AACCAAGGTGGCAACTACGGAGGCGGTCAAGGAGGTGGACAGGGCGGTGGACAGGGCGGTGGTCAAGGCGGTGGTCAAGGTGGAAACCAGGGAGGTAAAGGCGGAAACCAGGGCGGAAACCAGGGCGGCAACCAGGGCGGCAACCAAGGCGGAAACCAAGGTGGAAATCAAGGAGGGAACAAGGGCGGTAACCAAGGAGGCAACTACGGAGGGGGGAACCAAGGTGGCTACGGAGGTGGGAACCAAGGCGGCTACGGAGGTGGGAACCAAGGCGGCTATGGAGGCGGCAACCAGGGCGGCTATGGAGGCGGCAACCAGGGCGGCTATGGTGGCGGCAACCAGGGCGGCTATGGTGGCGGCAACCAGGGCGGCAACCAGGGAGGTAATCAGGGAGGTAAAGGCGGCAACCAAGGCGGCAACCAAGGTGGAAACCAAGGTGGAAACCAAGGCGGCAACCAGGGTGGCAAGGGCGGCAACCAAGGAGGGAATCAGGGTGGTAATCAAGGCGGCAACCAAGGAGGCAACAAGAACAACTAGACGTGGCACGATCGGAAGCTACAGGTATGTGACTCTGTATACTCCTGTTACAGCGTTCACTACTAACCTATAATGACAGGGACTGTAGAGCGGCGGAGTCAGCAGTCTCTTGCTCTGCGATAGGCCGGCATAGATATAGCGGAGTATCTATGGACGGAACGATGTTGTCGCTCTTTGAGTATTTTTGGTGTTGTATTGGGGTGGGATATAAGCATGGGAAAATTTCATGATCTCATGTGTACGGGATCGTCCATCCCTTTACGACTGTTCATAGCTGTATTCAACGTTCTCTGGAGCGATTAATGGAAGATGTCGGCTATTACCGCTACTCCTATCTCACCGAAGCGAGTATATGCCTGGTTAGATGATACTTCTCAGCTGATTGAATTCGAGCAGGCAGATGCTGGGACATGGCACGTGATCGATCAGGTGTTCAGTAATTACTTTGGAGGTTTCAAGGCTATTGTAAGTTGATCAGGTATTGTACAACTACTAATTGTATCCGTCACTATACAGAAAAGACGGAGTCCAGGTCCGAAACCGTATTCACTAAACCATGTCATCAACCTCATCTTGAGCCGCACGCGCATAATCATACGGCTGGTGCACATACGGCGGCCTGCTCGATATCATCGAGTGAAAGTCAGTCGCCAGTTCTGAAGAGAAGAGACCGCGTCCCTGCACGATTTCGTCTCCTACCAAGACCGGGGCAGAAGCTCACCTACATGACCCAATTCTTCACGCCCACAATTGCCGCCGCGCCAGCAGCATACGCACCCAGCAACGCCCTCCAACTGCCCTCCTGTCCGCACGTGAGTGCGACGAGGTCGTATACCAAGCAGCTGCCAAGTATCCAATCGCTCGTCACCGCCGCGGCCGCGAAACCGACGCCCGTCAGAGCCTTGACCAGCGTGCTCGGTGCCTCACCGACGAAGTAGGCCGAGGAAGTGTTGTGTAGGAGGTCGAGGATGCCGATGCCGGCGAAGGTCTTAGCGACGATGTGGGTGAGGATGGAGGTTTGGGACGAGGTGTTCATGCGCCGCAGCCGCGTTGCGACGTAGGCGACCTGGGCGACGGTGTTGATCGTGACGAAGATGTTAGAGGTTTTGAGCTCGTTGGCGTTCCAGAAGAACATCCATGCTGTTGGTGGGGACCAGTCAGCGTTTGCTCGTTTATACAGCTCTGCGTGTGCTGCAGACGCGGCGAGCACCAGACGGCGCGAGACTCACTTCCAATGCAGACGTTACCCAGAGCGTATATCGGCACGTAATCAGTCATCTCCGCGAGCTCCTCTTTTGTGCCCTGGCGTTTCCATAGCTTGTACAACCAGACCAGCTGGATGATCTGCTGCGGGAAGAAGAACGCGCCGATGAAGTAAGGCTGAGGGCTCCAAAAGGAGAGATTCTGGTCATGGACAGTCTTCATGTTCGTCGCGAGGCCATACTGTTGTGCGAGGAAGTCGAAGATGAATGAGGCTGGTGCGAGGTAACGCGCGGTGCTATAGGATATGCCCATTATGGGGATGGTGAGGAGTTTTGGGTCAGCTGGGGTGGATAAGGGTTGTATTTATGGGGGCAGTAAGAGCTTGAGATGGGAGAGCTCAATGGGAGGAGGCATCAGTAGGTAATGTACTAGAGGCGCTGCCCCTCGCGACGCTAACTTAATGCTGTCGAAGAGGGAAGTCGCGGTGTCATTGAGGTCCTGCGTCACCAGGATTCGCGAATCAGGGTTCAGCCTTACGGATTTGATATTGGCCGAGTCCCGATAACACGTGACCCAGCCATCAGGGCCGACATGGTGCTCTAATTCCACTAAGGAGAGGACCATTCTGACTCAGTACCTCGTTCACCATCACCGGGCCTCATAACTCGCAATACGGCATCATGTGAGTCTCAGCTAGCTATTGACTGCCTCGATGTGGAATGGGCTGTCTGTACCCACGGCAGGCCGCAGAAACGAAGACATGTTACGTCTCGCTTCAAAAGTCTAGTCCGACAAGTCTTCTCCATCGCGGCAAGGGATAATGGACTGATAGCCAATCGATTCTGGGAGGGCTTGTTGGTACGAAACATTCCTAACTATAGAGTGAGGTAGAAAGAAGAGGACTCGGGCAGGAGCAAGCAATATATCTATATGTCCATCAAGGAGAACAATGCTCTCTCATCAGATTCGGCCCCATTGCAATTCATTTGATCGCTCAATATCATTTACCCGGCAGCTGTACGCCTCATCGTTCTTTGACTTCCCCAAACACAATTCGCATACACCTATATGGCTCGTACTGTTTGCTCTGTTGTATACACTTCTCTTCTTTTCCCCGCTCACTGGTTCCTTGCCCCTTCTAGTGTTGCTCAGCCAAATTAATCCTGCTGACTAAAGTACCCATCTTCCAGGTACAAAGGCAAAGAGCCGAGAGCTAGACCATTGCAAATGTAGTGAATGCGTCTATGACGGTGGCTGACTTAGCGAAGGGGTTGCTGACTTGGATACTCGCGAGATCTTAGAGGGCTTCATGCGACTCAGGGATATATTTACTGATATTCCATGGAACTCCTTTGGGTACTGCTTACACTCCACGAGCCAGCACGAAATAGTCCCAGTAATCATAACAATCATGTCTGTCCAGAAACAGCGGTAGATACTTAGCCTCCCATTCCTGGCCAATCCACGAAGTCCAACGGGCCTTGCAATACTCCCAGTAAGCTGGATACCACCCGGATTGCTGCCAATCAACGACTGCAACGACATGAGGGTTGGGTCCTGATGAGAGCATGATATTACTTGGGTGTAGATCAGCGTGCGTGAACACGATAGATACGTCATCCGGGAGATAGGAGCGGTACGGATGAAGTATCTTTCTGCCAGTATACTTGTTTGGACCATATGCAGAAGTAAACCAGTCGTGGAATTCGGACACGCTCGGGAAGGGGCCAGCAGCCGGAGAACAGCTGTTTGTGAAAATGACGTCTAGTAGTGGTTGCCGACTTACATGACCTGAATACACAGTCAGAGAACATATTAAAGAACTTTAATACAATCAGAGAACTCAAGAATATAGAGAATAGGATTCAGAAAAGAGAAAGGTATTGTGGAGCTTGCAAACACTACATGAGAAACAACCTTACCAATGAAAGAATGCGAAGTATCCTGCTTGAGACAGCGCCATGCTTCTACCATGTGACGCAATTGGCTGCAAACAGAGACCCTCTCTTCCTCAGCCATCTTCTCCCAGCTCTTCTCAAGCGTTACGCCTTCCACCAGTTGCATATAAATGAACGTCTGCTCACTGTCCTTGCACCACCCATACACCTCGGGAACGGGCACATCCGGAGACAGAAGTTTACGGACGAGCAAAAGACACTGACCCTCCGCAAGAGTCACCTCGGTCCCATACTTCACCAGCAGGCCTAGAGAGCGGAAAATTACAGGTGGCGGCCGCGTGATGCGTCTTGAACCGACGTCTCCCGATTGGCTCGCGGTTTCTCTCACCTCTGTTGGAGACGGCAAAGACGCCGACGCACCGTGTTGTTTGAAGAAGGACGACTCGTGGAAAACGACTTTCTCATCGCAAGGGAAAATTTCGAATTCGACCTCCTTGGAGATAACCGGAGGACCCGATATCTGTTCACAGACACTGGCACCCATTCCCATGACGTTGGCACGTGGGCCTGCTTTGTTGAGTTAGTGATTAGGGAAGCAAATTGCTGATCTAAAAATTCGTACCTGGGTTTGCAACTCACAAATAGTGATGAATGCTCCAGGACCCCGGCCGGCCTATTCAAGCCCCAAGACTCTAGCTACCTGTGCGGATAAGGTGTACAAGTGGTGTCCTCCAGGACTTTTGCAGACTCTAACTTAAAGTCTCTTGAATAACAGACGAACAAAGAAAGTTGTAATGAAAGAGGCGGGTAAGTCAGAGGGCCCCGAAAGCGCTCCGCCGGGATGTATTACGTAAGCAGGATCACTATTGCTCACCTGGGCACCGTCCGAGGCCGAGAGTGACTCGAGGCAGTGCTCCGAATATCAGCGGAAGCGGTCGTGTGGTCGTGATGATTGAAACCTGGACGGCACGGGCGGAACAGATCACGTTGACACCACCACAACCACCAAGCTAAATCAGCCGAGAGCGATAAGGAGCTTATCTCGCTTGCTGCGCTTCCGCCCGCCCACTCATAGCCCGTTAAGACCCCCCTCCACACGCTATTATCCAGCGGCTGTCCGTATCTTTGGCTCGACACAAGCTCCGCTATGAGTAGTGTCATTAACATCATGCACGCAACAGTCTGGCGCCGGAGCTACGCCTCTAGGCCCGGGGTAAGGCGTCAGCGTGCCCCCTTCGCTCATCCGATGCTGCTCACGGCAACATCTCTCTCTATCGTCCTCTAGACGCTTCTTACCCTTCCTCTACTTCTTCGCTGTTTGCCTCAAGCACTGTGCGTTCGATTGTTCTTGTTCACGTGCAACGTTTCCTATCTGTGCTGTCATTCTTCCATTAGATCGACGTAGACCTTATCTCAGGTTACCTCAACGGCGCTCAACGCCGAACCTCATCTTCACCGTGCGCGGATATCCGCACCCAGGCATCCGCATGAGAAGACCCTCTGAACTTCGCTCCTAGGCCTGACAGACTCGAGTCTGAAGCCAGCTGCGGTTGGCTGAGACATCTTTCAAGGGTTCACTTGCTGTGCCGCGTGGCTGAGCCGAGCGACCTCAACGCTTCAGTCGGCCCCGGCCCATCTCTCTCTGCCTCTCCAGCTATACCCAGCAAGTGCCCTCTACTCTGAGTTGACTGAGCAGATACTTCAGTATGGATGTTTGGTTGTTGCTCGAGCTCAGGAAGCTTCTACCCAGCCCATCAGCCGATAGCGGCGTATCCACTTGGTCTGACAGTCATGTCTTCGAGCCTGCGTTACCACCACACTGCCAGCCAGAGAACGAATTCCTCCTTAAGCTGTCGTCAACCTTCCACACCTGCGTACCGAGTAACCTAGCCTTCGTCTCGACCCTTCTGGGCACGCTCAGTATTATATCGTGGCTGTTCGCTCAGCTACCGCAGATATACAAGAACCACACGCTGAAGTCAACCTCGGGGCTAAGCATCTTCTTCCTGGCGGAGTGGCTGCTCGGCGACGTATCCAATCTGCTAGGATGCGTGTTTACGGATCAGGCGCTTTGGCAGGTCGTTGTCGCCAGCTACTACTGCATGGTCGACATGATGCTAGTGATGCAGTGGTTGTGGTACGAGCATCTGCAACACGGAAACCCGTTGACAAAGGTGTGGAGTCGAGAGAGGCCAGGCGGCTCGGACAACGGCGGGGGCCGAACAAACATGCAAGAGATCGAGGGAGTGTCACTCTCAAACAACTCAACTGCGGTAGGCAGCTCAGCTTCCGGATCCAAGGATGGCACTCCATCAAAGACGATCGAACGCTCTCAGCCGCGAATGACCTTCCACACCCCCCACTTCTCGCGATCACCAAGTCCCTCAGGCTCGAGCACCCCCAGCACGCCCTCACCCCCCGCAATCCGCCGCCTCGGACGCACCAACTCCCCGATGCCCTCTCCCCGAACGGTCCTCTACATCTCCCTCCTCCTCGCCGTCTTAGCGCGCGCCTCACCAACCCCTCCCCTCTCCCCGGCCACTCTTCCACACTCCCACGACTCCGCCCCCCTCCTCAAATCCTCGACCCAGACAGCCGGCCGTCTTTTGTCTTGGCTCTCCACCCTCCTCTACCTCGGCTCGCGCCTCCCCCAACTCTACAAAAACCACACGCGCCGCAGCACCTCCGGGCTCAGCGCCTCCCTCTTCCTAGCCGCCTTCTTCGGCAACCTCTTCTACAGCTCCTCGCTGCTGACCAACCCGTGCGCATGGTCCAGCTTCGGACCCTACGGCGGCGGCGGCTGGGCCAGTGCAGACGGCAGCGAGCGCGCGGAGTGGGTCGGGCGCGCGGCGCCGTTTTGGCTTGGGGCTGCGGGCGTGCTGGTCATGGATGCCGGGGTTGGGGTCCAGTTCTGGTGGTTTGGGAAGGAAGCGGAGGAGAAGGTCGTTGTGGTTGAGGAGCGCGTGGGGAGGAGGTGGCGATGGAGGAGGGTTAGTGGGTGGATGAGAGGCTGGATGCCGAGTGTGAGTGAGGCGGGGACGCCGAGGCCGGGGAGTAGGGCTGAGGGGGAGGCGAGCGCGTTGCTTGGGCAGAGGGAGGGCGGGCAGAGGGCGTATGGTGGTGTCTAGGGTGTGGGGCGTAGCGGGTTAGATGAGTATGGTGCGTTTCTTTTCTCTGTCTATGGTTTTGGCGGCCTATGAAGTAACGATGGCGTTACACTAGCGCGGTATCACTTTCTTGTGCGGCTTTGGTATTTCGGCTATGTTGGGTTGCTTTAGAGTGTAGAGGAGACGGGAGCCTTGCATTGGACTGTTCATGGCTAGACGTCGGAGCATACGCGGTCCAGCGTGGCGTTAGAGACTGGTAGCATCTTTGTAGCTTGAGTCGATCTTCAATAATCGTTGTTGAACGTTGAACCCGGGTCGTTTGAGAAATCCTTGTAGAGTGGACTCATTTGGATGGGAGCCTCTCATCACGAAATCTGAAGGTGCTCGCCACGTATTCTTGAACAGCCGCGTAACACATCCCAATCATACACTGTCCACCTCCTTAAGCCCCACAGACACCAATAAACTCCCCGCGATGTTACCCAAACGCCGTCCTGTCATACATCCCAGATCCATCTCTTCGCCTCCCCAATTAACCTCTTCTTTCCCCCGGGTCCACCCTCACCGCTTTTCAAAAGCCTTCGGCGCAACCGCCAAAACAACCGCCAAACTCGCCACGATCAACGCAGCCGTCACGCCCGCGACCAGCGTCACACTCCCCCTACTCGCCGGAAACTTCCCCCGAATAATATAATGCTGGCTCTCAAAATACCGATGGAAGCCAATAAACAGCACGACGATGCTAATCCCTATAAAAGTCGCTCCCAGCGGCTTGCCCACGTGTCTCAGATGCGCCTGGGGTGACGCAGACGTAGAGAAGGGGGTAGAGGGGTCAGAAGGGCCGGGGGACGCAGAGATGGTGGTGTTGAGCCTGAAGAGCTGGGTCACTGCTATGCCGATCGAGGCGAAGGAGAGCGAGGTCCGCAGCCAGGCTAGGAAGGTTCGTTCCAAGGCCAAGTGGTCGCGCGCGACGCTGCCTTTGTTCTCGAGCTCGATGGCGCCGTAGTTTTCTACGAGGGTCGCCCACCAGCCTCTTTCCTGCCGTTCATCGTCGGAGGAGTCGGCCGCGCCGTCGGTTTGCCCTGGTCCGCTGCTGCTGCCGCGCTGGGTGAGAGAACTCCTGCGCCGCTTGATGCTGCTGATGCTGCTCGAGAGGTCGGCGCCCTCGTGCGCGTCTCCGCCCGCGGGTACTGCGCTCTTTCCAGTCCCGTTGTCACCGACGCTCCTGTAGCTCTTTCCCCCGCCCCTTTCCCGTCCCACGATCGCGGTCCGCTCGTCGGGCTCGCTGCTGCTCTCTGCCTCCTCTGCCCCCGCCGTTGAGCGTGTGCGCGGGCTATGCGACATCTGCGCCCGTGAGTCGGAGAAAGTGACGCTGCGTTTGGGCGTTACTTGCGAGGGTTCGGAAGGTGGGTTGGAGGTGGGACTGAGAGAGCCGGGGGAGGAGAGCGGAGAGGTCGCCATGATGGTGGAGCGGCGGCTTTAATGGTTGGCGCAGCGGTGCGGTGGGGACGATTAGGGACATAGGACGCGCATTGCGTTGTTGCTGCGGTGAGGTAGAGGATAGGACGGGATGGGACGGGACCTGCTGTGACGCAAGTTTCGTGATTGCGGCGGTCGTTGGCGTGCTCAGCCAGGCTTACCGGGGTCGTGGACGCGGGAGGATCGGGGGATCTGTCCGGGGCGTGGAGAGATCCGCAAGCACGTGCAATTCAGGCGTTTTACGAAAGCGTCAAGGAAACCAGGCTCGCACGCGACCACGAGATGATGTTGAGGCAATAGTACTTTTTACTCTTACAACTAAGCCTTGAACTATTGGAAAAACCTAACCCAACTGGTTCATTACGCCGCACGTACTCCGCCCAATGTGTACTAATCGCGAACATTAACGCCCTGTTACAGTCCCATGTCTATTCGTTATAGTGGTATACCTGTGGTTCTTAGCATTCAAATCTCTCTCGAAGCCAGAACAGGACTCACGTGATAATTCGGTAACCCCCAAGACTTCCACTCCAGCCTCGCCGCCATCTTCGCGAAGCCCTCGGTCTCAATCAGGTGATAGAACGCAAACGGCGGGAACATTGCTCCATCCCTGTGCACCTCCGCTTTGACAAGTAGGGCGGTGCCGCCGACGCCATTTAGCTCAATCTCCTTATTGACGTCTCCCGTCCCATCGGACAGGTACGCCATCAGCGTCCGATACGTCGGCATCTCCGCGTATCCCTCGAGCAGGATATCGTCCTTGTCCATCTTGGCGGCCAGCGCCTTGGCGGTGTCGCTGTCGATCCAGGAGTTGAAGTCGTACGGCCTGACATCCATGGCCTTCTTGTCGTTGTTGTAGTATCGCTGAAAGCAGTTCGGCACGATGATAGGTTTGTCGTGCGCGGCCAGGTCCTGTACCAGGCTCGAGGGCGTTTCCACGACGTCTGAGTCCAGCCACAGCACCCAGGATGTGGTGGGGCCGAGCGTGGTGAAGAGCAGCGAGTTGCGCGCTTTCGACATGGCGGCCCGTCGCGCCTTCTGGTTCGACATTTTGTGCCGCTCGGACTCGTCTTGCGATTGCAATGGCATCTCGGTGTCCTGCCGCAGGATGGTAATGGCGCTGAAGCGCTTCTTGTTGGCGCCGGCTTGCGTTTTGGCTATCTGTTTTTGTAGCGCAGCGGTCGCGGCATTGCCCTCTCGGCCTTTGGGGATGATGAAGCCGAGGGAGATTAGCTCGTGGGGGTAGCTGAGCTTCAGCAAGTTGTCCCAGTATTCTTGGTAAAAGCGGGCGAGCGGGGTGAGGATGAGGACGCTCTCGCGGTTGGCGACCGGATCGCTCGATGTTGTGAGATTCGTCATGTGGTAATGTACCACCGGAGGAGGGCCCTGCTGTCCATCGTTTTTCGCTTTTCGAAAAGGCAGCGAGGGTGGTGAGAGCGCGTTTACGGCCGGCCCTGTCGAGCCTAGAATCTTCGAGGGTGCTGATGTGACGTCGGCGTCGGAGGAGAAGATGAAGTAGAGGAAGCCAATTGTGACGATGGCAGCGAGAGCGATGGTGATGGGGTTTGTCCGCCGTAATGAGCGTGAAGTTGGCATCTTAGTGACTGCGAGTAGGGTTAAAGGATATTGGCGCTACGGGGAGGCTGTGGCAGAGTACGGTCAGTATGCATGCATACAGCATGTAGATCGTAGAGGAAAGGCCTTCGCGGTGCGATGAATACAGCGCTGAGTGTCACTCAGACTGACCAGACTCGGGAACACCCTCCGGAGAATGCGCTTCAAAGACTCGTGCACTTATTACGGTCTCCAGCTTTGGGCGAAAGACTGTTGAGCGTTCACTTACCGAGTACTGCCTCTGGCCCGGAAATGGTGGTATCAGTCCTGAGACTGGCGATGTGAGCACATGCGTGGAGCCGATCCGTTGTCGAGTTCGAAAGGAGACTTGTACTTTGTACATCGGGCCTTTGAAGACTGCAGGGCTGAAAACCTGAGGCCACAACCAAGAGCCGCGCGGGAGCTAAAAATTGCCATTCCAGATTGGCGGCTCTTGGCGGCAACCTCATCTGCATCACCATTGTATCTACGGAGTAGGCATTGGGGACTGGCAACCCCCGAAATATGGTCCTGTAGTAGACCTCATGCCTCTTCGGCCGCTGCAGACATACCGCACGCTGCTCTCCGGACGACTGATCGCCGGAGCGCCACTAAGAGCTCCGGCTGAGACTTCTTTACTGCTTTTGCGTCGCAAGTCGCATGACCGCACCTTACATACTCATTCCGCCGAGGCCCCCAGTTCTGCGGACCCTCTGGAAAGACCCAGAACCATCGCATCGGTGATTGTATCACATGAGCCTCATGCTACGGTAAGTGCTCAGAGCCAAAGCTCTTGTACCAGTATCGGCTCAGTGTATATCAATCTGCCACTACTCACCCACTGACCAATATCAGGGGCTTGCGGATGTTGTTTCCCAGATTGAGCCTATTCCCAGTCGGACCCTTCTTGGTTGGAAAGCTCGCAATGTAGTCTTCTTTCTGACCCCTACGTTCTCGAAATGGCTCATGCCGAATGAGGACAGGTTCATCAGAAGTACTTTGGGTAGAATCTTCGAGCAAGCGGTGCTCGATGATCCAAATCGTCCAATGAGCATCTATGTACTAACCGCTGTCGTCGACCGCCTTCCACTACCGCAAGCTAGCAGTCGTCCCGGTGATGCTGTGGATGACCCACAAATCGGCCACGAAGGTCTGGCATACGCCGTTTTCCCTGGTGCGGAAAAGCTGAAAACAGAGACCGCGGGCAAAGAAGGAGAGCGGTCGATGAGTCTTGCACAAGCAGCTCACAGGACGGTAACTATCAGGTTGTATCCAAGCATCGATACCGGCGCCGGACCTCTCAGTGCTCCTCCGGACCACTTTCGGTACGATTTACAGATCCCGCTTGCCTATACAATCTTCCATACAGGTCGACCAGCTATGATGTCATTCACGAAGTTCAGCAAGCCGAAAGGACCGAAGGAATTCTCTCTTGAGACTGTCGACGTTAAGCATGCAACGGTCAATATGATATGGCCGAATGCCGAAGACTTCTCCGATGCGTCTGACGCGGTAGCCTTTTCGCTGCCATTGGTTCCAATCACTCGTAGCAGAAGGATTGAAGCTGGAATAGGAAACATCGTCCGTCGCGTTTCAGATGCAGTCGATGGGACCGGTAGTATACCAGCTTCACAGGAGCTTGAGCAAGCCGTATCTGCCTACTTCAAAGCCAAGGAGATTCCTCCGCATGCTATGACTGTCTGGGCACTTGTATACCCAGCCGCCGCCAAGGATAGTGAAAAGCTTCGGGGTCTTGTATCAACGGGGGCATCGTCCGCAAAAGCAGACATTGTAGAGGGGTCTGTACCAGACTTCATCCGATCCTCCCTGGGATCACCTGCATCGGAGTGGAGTTCTTACATCTGGACTGCCCTAAAGGAAGGGGCTCGTTTGCACCGGGTGCTTAGCGGTGGAGGCGGTTGGGGCAAGAAAGCAGGACTCCTCTCCTTGGATCCCGACAGTTCTTACAGTGCTTCGTCTGCCAGCGTTGACGACGCCGACTTATCCGGAAGCAATTTTGCGATGGATGAGAAGCAAGCCCTTGGCGAAGTATCTAAACCGGGCGACTACATACAGTTCTTCGCCATGCAGGATGAACCTGCGTATGCAGAGCCGACATCAAACGCTTCTATGGACGATCACGTGGTGTCCCAACGGTCGCTTCATTTCGGTACCATACCCAGCAGCATCGACCTTATTCCCGAAGATCCCGGCACTGCCAGCCTTGCATCGGGGAAACCTACCCTACAAATATTCAAAAACCATTTTGGCGCTCTGTCTGAAACGGGCATGGGCATCGTCATAAAACGCCGCATGCTCATCCAACAACGCCGACCCAAACGTAATATCGTTCTGGATGAAGAGAGGACCAATACCAAGATCGACGTGCCTTTCTCGACTTTCCGTATGCAGACCGCAGGTCAGTCCCCCAACTTCCAGAAAGGAGGCAATGACGGCGAATCTAAAGTACGTAAGACAACTACCATCCCGGCACCGGGTACAGACAAAAACCCGCTCTATAGCCCAAGGGAACGGCTTCAAAGGGTCGGGACGCTACCTGTCTATCCCCTTCGTAGGTCCGCGGTGGCACCGTTCTATCCACGGCGCGTCCCGAGTACTCCAGCATATGCGAGGAGGTACAGCAGTACATGTACTGTACCTGGAGGCAGGGGCAGTGACTCGTATGTCTATAGCGCTCACACTCTGCACAGCGACGTGCCGATGCCGGTCACTATTCATAGAAAGGTTCAGACAGACAGCAACCACATTCGACGTGTACGTTCAGGAACAAATGTACATACCCTTCAGCAGAAATCATTGCAAAATCCAGCAACGACTTGCCTCCCTAAAGGCACGACAAAAGTGGGAACTGCCCAACCCTCTCAATCCCAGCGCAAAGAACCATCAAAGCTGGTTCGATACGAGCTGATTGACGCCGCAAATGAGGACCAGCACAAGCAGGATATGACTTTAAAGCCAGCATTGACCTCTTTCCAATCACTACCCACCGCTCAGGATCAACAGAGTGGAGTGCGGATCACGAAGCATGCTATGCCTATGCTGTCAAGACGTGCATTTGTACGCCAAAGAAACCGTAGCCAGCGTCATGATTCGGATTCTGCCACGCTCGACACACCAACAGAAGCACGTGTCCGTCATCTCATGACCTCTCCCAGCGCTGCGGAGCTCCAAAGAAAGGCCCACGCCGACCAAGACCGATTGCGCAGAAAGAGACTTCTGATAGCCCAGCAAGCCTATCTCTCGGACCATGCTGAATTCGATCCTACTGTCACCACCCCGGCTCCTGCACCAGCCGAGAAGCTCATCCATTTCTATAGATCTAATTCCAGCCGTTTCCCGCTGCCGCGGATCAGGAAGCACGGGGTAGACCCGCCGCCCGCCGAGGAAGCTGTCGGGATGGGGCACAATGCGCCAGGGACGCCACCTATTGCTCGTAGGAGGGGCAGACTGCGAGTTCGCACAATGGAAATGGGCCTCCGTATCCGCGCTCACGAGTCTTTAACGACGTTCCCGAGACGTATCCAGAGTACGCCTGGCAGGGGCATCGCAGAGCTGAAGGCGAGGCGGGCCAAGGCGGCGGAGGAGGCGTGGGCGGTTTTGACGGGGGCGAGGGAGGGGGAGGGGGAGCCTGCTGGGCAGAGCGCGTGGGAGATGATGGGCGGTGGGGAGGGAAGGAGTGGTGCGTTGCCCGTTGGTGAGGAGGCGAGAGATAGGAGCCGAGGGAGGCGTACAGCAGGACAGGGGGCGGATGAGGTGGAGGATTTCATGGCATTGAAGGAGAGGAGGAACGACGAATTTCCTCGAGCTCCAGATGGAGCTTCCAGGTTTACAGGGTTGAAGGAAGGCAAGAACGACGACTTGCCTCTTGCGCCGGAAGAGCCCGAGAACAACACTGCCCGACGTGGAGGGCGGAAGAGGCCGATCGTGGTGAGGAAGACGCAGAGTACGAGGAGTTTGGATCCCGAGGCTAGACTGCTGGCGGACAGCATTGATGCGCTGTTGAAAGGGGTTTGAGAAACTGTGTCTTTGTGACTCGGATGTTTGCGACGTCCGCGAGATGGGCTAGAATCTTGAACGTTGGCGTGCACAAGGGAACCACTGTATATGCTTAGACTCTTCGGGTGCACACTGTGTCAGTAGAGTAGCGCTCCAACCTCCTCTATGATTTTCATCGGAAACACGTTCGTCAGCTGCCCGATTGAGGGGATAGGAAAACCTGACGCAGGAAAAAGTTATGGAAGCCGGTCTCGCAAAAATGCGCTCTATCTAACGCCGTCTCCACGCCTACACAATAAGCTGAAAGTCAATATAGCGCAGTTAATTCCAATCTTCCGCTATCATTCTCGCCCTTCCTGTTGTCTGATTACAACGATTACTTCGAAAACAATATTTTGACCATACTTATCAAGCAGCGCAATCTTACATACTATACTACTCCAAAGCGAGCCCGAAAAGCAGTCACGAGTGAGTTGAATGAAGTACAGCCCAGCAGTAGAGTAGAGAAGCTTCAACCGGCACGCCACTGCGACGGCGGAGATGAGATGTTAGGGATCACTAGGTTAGCAATTGATATAGGGCCATCTAGCCAAGTATCACTGTGTGGCTGTTGCTTTGCTTAGAAGCTTGCAAGCCGTTGCATTTTTCATTATCTTTGCTGGCGACGATGCCGGAGCCCCAGCTGCCGAGATCCCAATATGAAGGCGTCCACGCAGATACTGTGATCGCCGGATTTGGAAATTGGAAAACAATTGCACGGAGATGGCAGTAGATGGCTACGTGACTTACTGGCAACGATCGATTCGTCCTACGGTCTGTTCTATTCCGCTGTCGTGCTTCAGACCCTTGTCCTATTTGAGATTGCTATAATGGAAGATGATGCACATAGGCCTCGATTCCCCTGATAGTGGTTAGTGTACAACGACGTTCTACGTAGCTATCCTCGTGTTGCCGTATTCGGATTCTGGCGGGTCTCCGAAGGACGACTGGAAGTACGGAAGTCATAGGGACGGGAAGAGCAGCGTTCTAGCGGTTTTTTCTTAGATCCTGAATCTGCATCGGTACGCTGGGGGTTCTCGACTGTCCGATGGATGTCTTTCTCAATCTGCTCGGCTACCTCAAAGACGTTCACGCGCTCTGTGCGTTCGTCTTCGCTGTCCTGCACCATGACACTGGTATCTGCCAGTGCCCTCACGCTTCCATTATTTTCAGTCGCCGCCGTCACCGTCATCGCCTCCGTTTGATAGCAATGGAACGTTCATTGATGCTGTGGCCGTAGGCCTGGTCGTCGTAGCGCTGGGGCTGTCTAGGGCCTGAAAGAAGGCAACGACGTTCTACTGAAGCAGAGGTACTGCCGTTTTCGGAAACGGGAGGATGGACGTGGAACGAATTTCGGAAGTGGAGTCCGATATACTTGATAGAACCATGTCCATTCTTTTCGTGGTCCACAGGGCGTTTAACGGATAGAAACGGCTGTTCTGATGAGCCTTTAAAAACCTCGGCAAAGCTATACTATGTTGTTGGCTCGCAAGAAACCCCGGATATGCCCTTTGAATGTAGTTCTGTTGGGCTGCGATATTGGAATGATAGACAAGCGCAGCTTAGGAGGTGAATGCTGAGAGGTTTTGTCTCGAAAATCTACATCTCTCAGAAGGTACTTGGAAAATGTTTCTACAGTACCCGTTTCCAGGACAGAACCTGCCGAACGCATCAGCGTCGTTACAGATACATGCGGAATGTACAGGACCAATGGGCACCTTTCTCTTTGTGCGGCAGTGGTCAGTTTCCACCTCGTTTTGAGGCGGCCGTGAGCGATGCCTTCTGCAGCCCAACTGCATGATCCGTGTCTCTATTACAGCTCCGTCTTGTTGCTGTAATGCACGTCCTCAGCGCAACAGAATATCTCTGACGCTCCACCACAGGCAGCGCGATAGGCATCGACCGTTGTGGAGCTAGAGGCCCCTGGGGAAGCCCATCACCATAGACTCGGGCCGACACATTGCACTGTAGCCCGGCTCTGATGTTTTCCCCGCACCTCCAGTGCATCAAAAATTTACCCGTCCTCTGTCCCCCTACCCGTCCTTCGACACTTCTACCCCCTGTGCCCCTTGCACACTCTCTTTCCCCGGCTGGTCGAACGTATCGACGTCCAATTCCTCCAATACCCCCAGCACCACGCCCAAGCTCTCGAAGAAGCCGTTTACGGCTACGCGCAGCATGCGGTTCGTCGTTGCTGAGTATACGACTTGAAGCACGGTCTTCTCGCCCTCTGCATCTTCAGACGAAGAGGAGGAGCTGGGGCTCTGGAGGGAGAAGGAACGCCGGACTAGGGGCGACAGCTCTTCATCGACTTGGAGGGCACGGCGGGCAGTTGACGCGAAGTTGGCAGAGTGGAAGGGAACTTTGAGCGTTCTGTATGTATTCAGCTGGTAAGCTGGGTTCATTTGGAGGAAATGGAGGAACATACAGTGTACAGGGAAATTCTATTGGCTGGGCGCTGTTCACCATAGTGTTCTCTATGTTTTCGCTGATCTGATACTGTTCCTGAGCAACGGCTGGGGTGGTGGTTGGGGTGAGGTCCAATCCGTGGCGTGTCGGTCGTTGCTCCGCGAGATCGTGTGCCGCGGTGCATTTTCCCCACAAAGAGGAGATGATGTCATGTGCCGGCAAAGCACGACGAGCGCCGGCATCATTCACTGCGCCCTGATTGACCTCTACTACAACCCGTCATCTGTACCTCCAAACAGACATCAATTCCTCCGGTACGCAATCTCTAGCAAGCCCCCAAGGCACTATAAAGTGTGTATACTCTACAAATCGACCATGGCAGCTCCATCTCCCTCCGAGTTCCTCACCTTCTTCCGCCGCGCAACAATGCACCCAGCCCTCAGACGCGGGCTTGCTAGCCGTCCTCCACGCGCCTTGAACTCGCTCTCCTCCCGCCCATTCAGCTCCTCCATTATCCGCGCCGACAAAGACAACCTCAGCACCGACAGCAGCGTGAAGACGGACCTGTACCCCGACGACAAGCACACGACTGACAAGACGGACAACCTGGACGTGCAGTCCAATAACAGCAAGAAGGGAACTGAGTACGTAGTGCTTCCACAGGCCTACAAGCGAGCTCCGTAGCCCATAGGGAAAGTGTAGATTGTAAAGTGCTGACGGGGGATGGCAACAGGGCGCACGCAAAGGGCGAGGGCGGTGCGGCGACTAGCCAGGCTGACGAGAGGAACAACACGGAGCGCGCGAAGAAAGAGCATCCGGAGGCGCCGGATGTTGTGATTGGAATGCAGGATGAGCGTGGCGCCAAGGGGCATTAGTCCGGATTGTCAAAGTGTAAGAGATAGGCATATGTAAAATGTAAGATGGACGGGTGAAGGTTGGTTCTAGCTGTCGAGGTGTGTGAGCAGCATTGTGGATACTACCAACGGCCTGGGGAGGTCCTATTGCTGCCATAGGCAAGGTGGGTTTCGGCTTAGTCTGCAAGCATCAAAGACGAACAAAAGCTCTGAGGATTTCAAATGAGAGCTTACCATCTTGCTTGCATTATTTTACCTGGAGTAGTCAAATATAACTTTTCTTCTCAGTCCCTTTGCATTCTGCGAAGCATCTGCAGCGCCTCAACTATCACTGCTGAGTGGTAATCGTTGAAGCTTCGTCGGTCGCTTTCTGCGTCATATTTGGTCCTATCTTCTGGATTTCACGACGTGCTCGCCCGGCGATTCCACTGGATTTTAAACTGGTCAGAGCATACCGTCTACTGCTGACAAGACAATCGAACATGAATATTTCTAAGCTTGTTTGGCTTTGTAGGCCATTCTCCTCTATGTCAAGACCACTGGTGGCGACTATCCTGGCCCTTCTCGCGCGTCAGTTAATTGAGGTTCTTCGTCACTTCTATTTGAAGATTACAATCTCAAGATAGCCACCCGGATAACGACACTTGGCGTACGTAATTGACAAGGTCTAGCATAGCTAGCTTTAGACGTTATCGCGGTGGAGTTGGGTAAGCTCGTTGACAAAAGAACAAGTACTCGGTCGCTATCTGGATCGCCACTACTTAACAACTTCCAATTCCCGTCATGAGGGCAAGACCAAGGATTAAGGAAGTCTGTCCTGGCAACACATCCCTCGCGTTCATCAGACATTTATAGTCATCAGGCCGAAGCTCAATACTCATAGTGTACAACTGAAGGAGAAATATATACCCGCCAGAAAAACCAACACATATCTATGAAGATGTACAGTGCCGTCCTGGTTCTAGCGTGTCTGCTCTCGGCAGCCTGCTGCCAATCCACCGGCTTCGACTCTCGAGAAGCCACCATCGACTCCGTCCACCACAGCCTCTTCAGTGGACTCCACAGTTGCAGGAATGTCGTCTCGTCCTTCGTCAGCCGGATCGAGGCCACCAACAGCCAGATCAATGCTATCATAACGCTGAACCCCGCGGCCTTGTCAACAGCAGATGATCTCGATGACCTTCTGTCAGCCGGCAATGCCACAGGCGCTCTGTTCTGCATCCCCGTCCTGCTGAAGGACAACTACGACACTTTCGACATGCCCACTACAGGCGCCAGTCTGGCTTTGGCTGGCTCGCAGCCGTCAGTCGATGGGCCTGCTGTGGCAGCTTTGCGGCGTGCCGGGGCTGTCATTCTTGGAAAAGCGAATCTGCATGAACTGGCGCTGGAGGGGTTGTCGGTCTCTTCGCTTGGTGGGCAGACCGTCAACCCGTACGATAGCACACGGACGCCGGGAGGTAGCTCGGGAGGCTCAGGCGCGGCTGTTGCGGCCTCCTTTGCCGTGTGGGCGACGGGCACTGATACTGTGAACTCGCTGCGCAGTCCTGCGTCTGCGAATTCGCTGTTCAGCATCAGACCAACCCGTGGCCTGATCTCGCGTGCTGGGGTCATCCCTATCTCTTATACGCAGGACACCATCGGGCCCATCGCACGCACCGTCAAGGACGTAGCGATCGCCCTAACTGTAATGGCAAGCGTCGGCTTCGACCCCACCGACAACGCCACAGCGCTCGTTCCCGCCAGTTCCGTCGGCATCGACTACGCCGCCTCCCTAACAACCAGCACTCTAGCAGGCAAACGCCTCGGCGTCCTCAATGGCTTCTACAACCGTACAGCGGGCAACGAGACCACTCCCGTGAACGCCGCCATGGACGCCCTACTCTCCCGCCTCCGCACCGCCGGCGCAATCCTCGTCCCCATTAACGAAACTATCTACAACGCGACCGCCATCGCCGCGGCCCTCGACACCCAGCGCTTCGAGTACCGCGAGCTCATGGACGCATATCTCAGCTCCCCGGCGCTCGGCGGTGCCCACCCCGCCACATTGACCGACCTGTACGCAACCAACAGCACAGGCGCCAACGGCTCCTTCCTTGTCATCCCCGCAGAGTACGAATACGTGACCACAGCCCTGAGCTCCTCGACCGCCAACACCACCTACGCTTCCGTGCAGCAGGGGATCAGGAACCTGACCCTCGCGCTCCAGGCAACCTTTACGCGGAACCAGCTAGATGCGATAGTCTACCCAGAGCAGAAGAACCTAGTCGTGAAACTTGGCGCGCGCAGCCAGAGCGGCCGGAACGGCATCCTAGCCGCGCTGACGGGATTCCCGGTCGTGACGGTGCCGGCTGGGTTCAGTGAGGCGAGCGAGGAAGCGCCCGTGGGTGTGCCGATTGGGATGGAGATTTTGGGAAGGCCGTGGGGGGAGCGGGAGTTATTGAGTATGGCCTACCAGGTTGAAAGGCTTACGAGGGTGAGGAGGGCGCCAGCGTTGGCGAGAGAGTTCGTCGAGGCGAGGGCGTATGAAGAGGTGCCGATAATTACGCCAAACAGAGGGAATACTCCGGCGGCTTATCCGGTTGGGACGCTTGGATGAGGCGGAGGCCGAGCTTTTGGGCGGGAGGTGACTGTATAAAACATCCAACAAGGAAGTAACGAGAGTGTCTGTAGCAGACGTTATTGAACAGAGGGACGTCTTCCAGCTTGAATGATTGACTATGATTCGATGTCTGGCTAGATTAGAAGTCGCCCGATCTTTTCTGCTACAAGTATTGCTGGAAGGATTACTCTCTATAGACAACGAATTCGCCGGTTGAGTTGCTCCGCTTTTATACCATACGTGAGGTGATGGGATGGATTGCCAAGTGCTGGACTAAGCAGTGCTGGGGTTGGATACACATGGATTGTCGCATACACCCTCCCACAGATCTCGGGGCTTGAGAGCTGGTATTACGACTTCCAGACGGTGTGCCGCATCTTCTTCCAGGAAACCCCGATCTCAGCGAGGGGAATTGTCTCAAATAACACCCCACTGGAATCAGGTGCTACGTGAGTCACATAAGGTAGGATCCGCAATGGTTCCTCAGATCTTTCGGATCGGCTTAAATGCGCTATCCATTGATGAAGCGCTTCAGTGGCGGCTAGCGAACGCCGCGCTATGCTCTGCAAACCGAACGATGGTCCTAGAACGCCATGCGCTATGCTCCGTAACAATACCACTCAGCCAAGCAGAACCTCAAGAAGATGGTGACGCGCTCTCGTCTTCGCTATCACTACCCTCCGGCCACCCCGCCTGCTTCCTCAAAACTCTGTTCTCCTCTTTCAGCGCCTTCACCTTCCGCACATAGCTCAGCGTCCCCTCATTGTATTCTCGCAATGCCAGCCGCGCCCACTCTGCCGCTTTTGCCAACCCCGCCTGCCACTCTGCATGGTCGATCCTTAGATCGGCATTGGCTTTGCGTTCCGCGTCCAGCAGGGCATTATAGTGTGCATGCAGCGCGACGATCGCTTCGGAGTGTTGGAAAGCGTACGGACGGAGCATATCGAGCGTTCGTGCAAGGCTGGACTCGTAGTCCTGTACCAGGTTCTGCAATGCCGCATTGGACGACTCGAGGTTGCTAATATAGGATTGTGCGGATGAGAGCTGGGTTTGGAGATTGACGACCTCGGCCGCGCTTTGTGAGGATGAGATGGCGCCGTTGGCCTGCGCAAGAGTGGGCGAGGCACCTTCGGCGGCGGCGCGCGCTTGGAGCTGGCTGATGCTGGAGACTAGATGGGCGGTCTCGGCTCGGTTGTGCTCGAGTTGGGTGGCGAGGTCTGTGACGATGTTCCAGAGGTGCGCCATATCCGTCGCGTTTCCCGCGCTGGCGAGGCCATTCACTATGGGAATGCTGCCAGGGCCAGGGCCAATGCCGTTGCTTTGGAGGGAACCGGGAGCTGGCGAGGGCGCCTGACGTGGAAGGCCTGGGCTGGGCATGTTGCTGTTCGAGGAGCCATCGAGAAAAGAAGGGAAGGACATGTTGCTGGAGCGCATGTATGTTGTCGGGTTGAGGGTGGGTTTGGGTTTTTGGGCTGTAAATGACTGTGTTTCTTCGAGATCGGGTACCGCTAGCTTTCCGGCCAGATTCAAGTGCAGTTGTGGGAGTAGTGGGGTATGCTGAGTCAATACGGTCGTCACCTGGAGGTGACTTGGAACGGTCCCGGTTGACAGCGGTGGAGATGGCGCCTGGCCTGCAGGTCGAGCGAGACTGTCTTGACTTCGGCTCTGGGAGAGTGAAGGTTTCCGACTCGGGATTCAGCACACTGGCCTCACTCGCAGTCTGTGTGGAAGCCAATGCCTCGCGTGGTGCACCGTATAGAGAGGTGTTGTTTGTCGGTGGTTGCGGTACAGGAAGCGCGGCCATAGCGTTAAACCGCGCTAAGCCCTCGGCTCGACGTTGTTCCGGAGAGCCAAAGAGAGTTGCCCGCCCGCCAAACCCTCCTGTAATGGTTTGACCACCAAAGATAGGAGGAGCTCCAATTGCTGCCAATCTTGCTGAGAGAGCGGCTTCCTCAGCTGCTTGAGTCTGATCCTGCGCCGAAGAGACAGTGTGCTGAAACCTGTCTCGGTTGGCTTGAGAGTCGATCCCCTCCGCTGGCGAAGCAGGTGAAGTATCGCTGCCAACATCGGAAAGCACGCTGAGTTCTATGTCTGGACGTGAGTCAGAAGCGCCGTCATCTGCTGCTATGGGCGCCGTAGAGCAATCCTGAGAACTCGATCTGTTGATGAGCTTCTGCAGGACTCTGTTCTTCTTGCGGGAGACCCGCGACAGCTCAATGAGAGGCTGCATGCTCTTCCGTTTGTTGTTCTGCGTAGCATCCGAGGAGCCGCCAAATCTGAAGCCCTGGACGTTCTCATGGTCGGGGACAATGCTTACGCTTGAGCCTGCATTTGGTCTCGAATCAATCTTCAAGCAGTCAAAGAGTGCTTCCACAGCAGGACTTCGGACCATCGGCTCCCCGTCATGAATTGAGAATGATCTCCGATGGCGGGATTGGCCTGACACAGATAATTGGTTGCGCACTGGCGACAATGGACGAGATCGAGGGAGCGTTGCATCGACACCATCCATCATCATGTAGCTTCGCCAATGGTTACGCGGAGCTTCGTTGATCATTGTGCTGTCAACCTCTCCACTCTCAATGCTCTCAGCCATGTCGATGCTTGGGAACGGTTGAGAAGGATTTTCTTCTCCGTCGTCTCTGCAGGGCGAAGCATCAGCAAGGCGAAGCATTTCCGAGGCAAACGGATCAACGTACCTCTCATCATCAGCAAATTCAAGGTGCTCCACATTGCTAGCTGGCTCATCTTGTGCCACATCGGTGAGCCTTTCTCCTCGTTGCCGCTGCTGATACCTGGTCATCATCTGGCTGTCGACTGGAACTGGCGGCGCGATGAGCGGCTCCCCGAATCTTGCGACTTCCCGTTGCTGGGCCTCTTCTAGAACGAGGGGATATCTGCGCCCAGGCCTCTCCTGCACAACGAAGGTAGGTTAGTAAACGAAGCTAACCGGGTTCAGGATCACCATTCGCAAGAGAATATAGAAAGCGCTGTTGGTAATGGAGCTTGCGAGGAAGCAAACGGAAAGAAAGATCATGTGCGGACACTCATCTCCTTCACCTCGCCGGAGGTACCTAGATTTACCGTCTGCTAGGGAACTGGTGCTGGGTGAAACGACTCCGAAGCCCGCCAAGGCGGGTGAATACGATCGTGAAGAGTTGGGCAACGCATCATGAACCTCGTGAAAAGAGACATGCTTGTTACAGGAGAAGCAAAGACCAAGCGGAATGAGCACCGCCGAGTCCAAACGAGACGATGAAACCCGAGAATTGACGCACCTCTACCAAAGGATCTGGAATGGCGAAACGAGCAGGCCCTTTCTTTGGTTTTGGCGCTGGATCATCAACCGCCTGTTCAAAGATCAGCACCGCAGCAACCGATTTCGTGAAGACGATACAACGCTCCGCAACAGCAAGTCCGGAGAGAGATACGTACTTGTTCAATGGTTAAATTTTCACCATCAACCGTTGTAATCGTGATAGTGGGCACAAACTCCTCGTGAATGTCGATTTCATCCCCCGGTTCGTCATCAGATAAATCGCTCGATGCGTCCGCGATGGGCCTCGTAAACATGTTGTCCATTGGGGTTGGATACATGATATAGTGATACGGTAGGTTGTATGCTGTGGGTAAAGACTGAGTAAAGACTGAGTAAAGACTGAGTAAAGACTGAGTAAAGACTGGCCGCACACCGGTGGCGTTAAGACTGGGGACTGGGATGAGAGTGGGATGATGAACAGAGGATGGAGGGAAAGTCGAGAAAAAAAGCATTACGAAGTGCTGAAGGTACAGGAAGGTGCACTGCTGGCAAGAAGATATGGAAGTGGCATCCACGAATTGCTGGCAGACAACGAGGGAAGCTACACCTTATCACAACCAATAATCGGCGCGAACCGCGAAAGATGGGTCGAGCCGCGTCCAACGATCGAATTTTGCACAAACATGGCGCTGTTATACCTGCAAAATCCTCTGGAGCTTCTCATCGGTACTCAATCCCGCGCCATCCCACCCCGTTCCACCAGTTACAGCAATCTCTGCGCCTCCTCCCGCTTCCCCAATACCTGCGACCCTCCCGGCCACTCTGGCGCTCAGGGTCCGCATCTTCGTCAACTCGGTCGCTAGCGCCGCATCTCTAGTGACCAGATTTGGTTGAATGTTTTCGTGCGGATCCTTGAACGGTTCGAGCAGGGACTGAAGGTGGCGATACTGTTGGATCTTTTTGCGAAGCGCAGCACGCCGGGCAGAGAGAGCGTGGAGATTTGTAAGGAGAGAGGCGTATATCTCGTTACCATCAGCGTCTTCGGTCTCTCTTGGCGAGGATTCTTCCCAGGTCTCGGGGAGTCTAGAGATGGTTCTGTTGCTTGAGCGTTAGCATTGAGCTGATAGAGTCCTTAGCAGCCACTGTTGGAGATTATGCAGGAACGGATCCCGGCTGCTTTTTCAAGCCCCAAACCAAAAGTCTACACCCGAACGCAGTCTTATCGTAATAGAACCTTGAGGACTTCAACGGAGCTGTGCACGTCCGTTATACATACAGAGTGTCCTTTCGCAAGCGGCTTCCTCTTCATAGCGGAAGAAAGGTTGTCACCAGAGATCCGGGAATCATTGGTGTCATTTAGACTTAAAGCAGAAGACGCGGATCGGTTGCGGAGGCAGAGAGAAAGACGTACTCATCTGACGTAAGATCGTCATCCGGAGTGATGCCACTCTGTGATAGTGCTTCATCGGCGTGGGGATCTGGAGCGCCTGCCTCCCAGTACAATTTGTCGATCTGTTCGGCGATGTGTCTGATAGCGATCGAAGAGTATGCGGATTTGCTGTGGCGACGGAGAAGCCGATTTACTGTTTGACTTACGTTAGCCGTTGCACTTAGCTGATGAAGGGGACATATCACGATCAAAAGTCGAATTGAAATTACGAAGTGGAACGGAACAGGCGGGGATGTTTGGGGTCAGATTAATAGGACAAGAGCTGTTCGTAGTGTTCAGTGATAACATCTGAGTGACTGATCGCTTTGTCTTAGTATACCGAAAAGAAATCAAAGACATTTAGTAAGATAGACAAGTGAAAGAGGGCCATGAAGTGGTGACTCTGTGAGGCAAAACTACACGACGAGCTCGTGCAAGGAATCTAGCAATTATCTTACCTTCTCGTATCGCTTCCTTAACATTGGCCTCGCTGAATCCGCCGACATCGTGATTGCTATCTCGCCATCTGTCCGATGGCTGCAGCGGCTGCGAAAGGATGCGTGTTTGGGTGCGAAGGAACGAAGTCTTGAGAGCAACAACAGTATTACTAGTCGCGCTCATCGTATCCGGTTGATTGCCAATGGACAGTTTGCTGTTCGTGGGACTGATAAGGTAGCTGCCTGGCTGTGATGGGACATGCTTTGAAATATGGTGGTTGAGAAGTGGACGCGTTCGCGATGCGCGCAGTCACGTGAAGGCATCCCATTGTCGGTCTCTCCGGTCACGGCCTACCAGACTGCTGTTCCATAGCGCGAGGACCGCTCTAAGGTAAGATGTCCCAAAGTGGTTAGATTTATCGTCGCCTTCGAAGAGGTTCAGAGTCAAGCACCCGAATGTGTCCTTTCCAAGACTCTAGCACCACGGAGTACAATCCAATATTTGCAAGCCAGTATTGAACAGAGGCAGAGAACCTGTTCACAGGCTTCGATATTGCCTGCTTACAACAACGTACGGAGAACAAGACCATGCCCCCGCTTTTCAACTTTTCCACGTCCACAATCAGTTCCCCCCAGACTTCTGGCTTCCTGAGCAATCATGTACACCTCTAATCTTCCTTCATGTTGACAACGCACCGAATGCAATCACCAGCCTTCATGTCGCTAAAAGCCTGGTTGATGTTGGCCAGCGGCTGGCGATGCGTGATGAACTCATTGACCTTGAGCTTGTTGTTCATATAGTCGTCAACGAGATCAGGGAGCTGAGTGCGGCCCTTGACACCGCCGAAGGCGCAGCCCTTCCACACGCGGCCGGTGACAAGTTGGAATGCTGAGCGAACCGTTAGCTATGCTGGGGTTTGAAGAGACAGGGGCAAAGGAGAGAAAGAGAGGGTGAAGCTGGTAGGGGAAAACTCACGTCTCGTGCTGATTTCCTGGCCCGCCGCCGCCACGCCAATAATGATACTCTCGCCCCATCCCTTATGGCACGCCTCCAACGCCGACCTCATCACATGCACGTTCCCGGTGCAATCAAACGTGTAATCACACCCACCATCCGTCATCTCAATCAGCTTCTCCTGAATGCTCTGATCGCCAATCTTGGTCGGGTTCACAAAGTCCGTGGCGCCGAACTTCTTCCCCCACTCCTCCTTGCTATCGTTCACATCCACCACGATGATCTTCTTCGCCCCGTTCTTCACGCATCCCTGCACCACGCTCAGCCCCACGCACCCGGCGCCGAAGACCGCGACATTCGACCCCTTCTCGATGCCGCCCCCGCCACGACCCGCGGTGATGACGGCAGCGCCGTAGCCGGTCGTGATGCCACAGCCCAACAGGCAGGTCCGGTCCATGGGCGCCTTGTCCGTGATGGCGACGACAGAGATGTCCGCCACGACCGTGTATTGGCTGAAGGTGGATGTTCCCATGAAGTGCAGCAGGTCCTTGCCCTTGCACTTGAAGCGCGAGGTCCCGTCCGGCATCACGCCGCGGCCCTGCGTGGCGCGGATTTTACCGCAGAGGTTCGTCTTGCCAGACTTGCAGAACTTGCATTCGCCGCATTCGGGGGTGCTGTGGGGGCGTGGTGGTTAGGAGGGTGGCTGGCCGGTGGGGTGGAGGGGGCAGAGGGAGCGTGAGAGGGACGTACTAGAGCGCAATGACATGATCGCCTTCCTTCACAGACGTAACGCCCTCGCCAACAGACTCGACGATGCCGGCGCCCTCGTGGCCGAGAACGATGGGGAAAGCGCCTTCTGGGTCCTTGCCGGAGAGTGTGTACGCATCTGCGATCCCCCGGGGTATCTGTCAGTAATCCTTGATTCTGACTCGCGCTTTTCGAGGTTTATCGGACGGAGGGAGTCTCACCTGTGTGGCAGACACCAGTGTAGTAGATCTGGATGCGGACCTCGTGGGCCTTGGGCGGTGCGACCTCCACGTCTTCAACGGAGAGGTCTTTGCCGGCTTCCCAGGCGACGGCGGCCTTGGGTGTGTCAATGGTGGTGTTCTGGTGGATGTGGGGATGCGTGCTGGCTCACCTTGCAGGTAATAGTCTGCTCGAGGTGAAGTTGTCAGTACATGATGCAGAGGCTCTGAAATTCGTGCTACATCTCCGCACCTTTCCAGCGGTATCGGCCGGCATGGTGAATTTGTGTTGTGGTCAACGGGTGTGTATAATGGCGAAGTTGCGAAAATGCACGAAGCAGTAAGATAGAGATGAGTGGGGAGAAGGTGGTATGAGGGTCGGATCGTCACGGCAAGCTCCCTTGAATATATAAACAGCCTTCGGACATTCTTCCATTAGGTGTGGGGACCGTCATTGTAGGCGGGGCGCATTTAGCCAAGCCCATCTGCAGAGACCTCGTTCCTCTGTCGCAGTTCGCTCGGGGCACTCTAGAAAGCCGTTCTCGAGGCAGCGGACAGTCTCGGACTTCAGCAGTCTGCTATCTTGTCTGTGTTATCTGGCCCATACATTGCGCACTGTAAACCAATGCAGTTCCGGCGGATCTGAATAGCTATCTCGTTGCAAAGGACTCGGGAAGCGATAGCGGGGTTGCAAACATCAACGGCAGGGTTGTCGGGATGGCCGATTTCGGCAATTCGGGCTGGGTTGCCTCTTTTGGAGGGAAATTGACCCGAATCTCAATTGTTTGCGCCGCTGGTGCGTTGATGCCTTGTCACCTTGATGCCTGTCGCTTCATGGGTGCTTGATACTCCCATAGTTCAGCGATCCACAATAGATAAAATAGCCCTTGACGGAGCCCGAAGCTAGGATTGAACCCGTCTGTACCTGTCGCGCCAAATCAGGACATCCCTGATGCATGTGGATTCCATCCAGTCATTGGGTATAAAGCTACATAAACTTACTGTAGAAACACCAGCGCTGCAGTGTCGGACAGCTTATACTAGCATCCTTGCTAGATATCTTCCGAGCCGTGTAGTCACAACTCTGCACCAGTGCCTGTCGGCGCAGCTCTCCTATTTAAAATCGTACCATCGCCCTTCGACACAGGTTCTACTTCCGCCTGCTTCTTCCTCAGCGGACTCCCGCTACTACTCCGCCTAGAACCCCTGCCAGCGCTACTCCTCCTCGCCCAACTCGAGCTCCGCCTCACCACATCACGAATACTGCTGCTCCTCCTTACCCTCTCCTCCGCATCTCCAGGCAACCTCAACACCCTCCTCAGTTCCGCAATCTCCGCATGGTCCCTCGTATTCCTCATCCTCCTCCCCCACACCACCTTCCCGTTCCGTACAACCACCTCACCGCCCACCTGCGAAAAATCTCCGCCCTTTAGCGCACTTCTCCCGCTGCTGAGCGCCTGCCAGAAACTGCCCACCACCACGCCGAGCAGGGATGACTGCATATACGACGGGGTGGTGGGTCCGAGGTCGAGCGTGCGTATCATACCGAGCGTCTCGTAGATTTTGCGCGTCGGGTCGGTGAAGATGGGGTAGGGGCAGGATGTCGTGGCGGTGTACTTTGGGATTAATGAGGGGTCGCCGCAGCTAATTATGGTGATTGCTGCGGGGGGAGAAAGGTGGGATAGCGCGTCGGGGGTGATGGCGTGGCTGACGGCGCGGATATAGTCTTGGCAGTTCTGTGAGGGGTTAGAGAGTGCTTTGCTGTATGGTAAAGAGGTCACAGCGGCTGGGTATACATACACCGCAGAAGAAGTGTCGGACGAAGATAATGAGCTGTTGTGAGGCTTTCTCTGAGCCAGTGTAAAGTGACCTGAATGGATATGATTTGCCGTTTACGTCTAGGATGGGAAGTTCGGCGCAGGCGTCAATGTCGGCTTGAGAGGGACCATTTTGAGGGTTCTTTACTGTGCCATAAGAGTCTGCTGGTGGATCGCAGCCGCATGATGAAGGGGCCGCTGGTGCTTTAGCTGTGGACGAGGATGCTTCAGCAGATACAAGTCGCATTGACGCCGCCATATTGCTCTTGCTAGTTCTGTAGTAATCGGAAAATACACTGTAATGAAGGTGCTAGAATTCAGGCTGATATCTGGTATATTGCATGAGCAACTTGGTTGATAGCCGCCAGCCTGTGAAGTTGAAAGACGTAGAATGGTGGAAGCTCCTACAGCGCGGAAGACGTTCCATTTGAGGAGCCATTTCAACGGTGTTGTCGGTCTTGCCGCAGGATTCAGCTCCTAATGGTGATCTGCTTCACTCGGGTTTCAAGCTTCCGCGCCCATGACCAACAGGAACAGCACAGAGGCCAGGAGGCGCGGCGAGAGCATGTTCCGGTCGGGTTGGGGGTCAGCCGCCCCTCGAGGAGAGGCGCGCCACTACGGACAGCTTTCCAAATCTTCCATCGAGCTCGGATAGACAAGTGTCGACGGCATTTGAGTGGTGGCACGACGGTTAGCTCTACGAGAGACCAGGGTTGTCGCGCCTAGCTGGTATAAGTTAGCGCATTCCCAGACATGAAGCGTGGAATTCTGGCCCGTCAGGGATATCAAACGTCTGGGGCTCAATAACTTCACATGCTCGGACAGAAAGCCGGATACACTGCTGGAGGATTAGCGAAAGCAAACACCTGGAAGTTCACGGATCTTTAAGTATCTCTAGGCACGCGAACGAAGCAAGTACAGGCAAGGCTTCTGAGGCGCCGCTCAGATGTGCAGAACAACCCACTTCCTTAGATAAAATGACTGCAGTAAAAGGACAAGATGCACGGAGGTAAACGCAAGAAGCACATAACAGATGCCTCATATGTATCTTGCAGAGTAGATGCAGCATTGATAGTAGTACGCCTTCTCAACATCTCTAAGCTTGGATGAAGCATTCCTTGAGCACCATTACTTTTGTCAAGCTCCAAATATCCCCTGGAAGCAGATCGACACCAGCCTGTGGTATAAATACGCTACTTCTCGCCGTCAAGCTTCTTCTTCTTCAGGCGCCTCACCAAGCCACTCGCGCTCTCGACCTCCGGATGATCAGAGCCGAGTATAGTCTCATAGACCTCCAGCTCCTTGCAAGCCGCCGCATACCCGAACCTCAAATCGCCAGCCTGCTCACAGACAATAGCAAGGTCGTCATACGCCTTCCCTAGCTCCGCCGTAAACAGTCCCTCCTCGACCAACAGCGCGCACATCTCCACCGCATCCGACACCGCAGCCGCCGTATCCACCTTGTCGAACTTCCTGAGGGACTTCCCATGCCCGTCAAGCCGCTCCTGCAACTCCCGCATCCGGTACCTTCGACTGTGGCTCTGCGCTGCGAAACTGCCTGGAACCATCTCCCCGCAAGCGCGACAGGCGCATCTGAAGCCGTAGTGCTTGAGCGCCCAGTTGCGCATGTGGGTGTCCCAGAGCGCGTCACAGTAGCACAGCGTGATTTCTTCTCCGGCGAGGATGTCGACTATGGCGTGGATGGTTTCTTTGCCTATGTTACTGTTCCATGAAAAGAAGGCGTTGGAGATGCAGGAGTGGTTGAAGCGGGAGGCGTCCATGAAGACAGCAGCGCCGCGCTCGTGCTCCATGCAGTTCGTCTGGAAGATGGAGAGGATTGTCGCTTTGTCGCCGACGCGCGAGTTGTGCTGTTCCTCGATGCGCTGCCTTTCGGCTTCGTGGGTGCGAGGGTGGATGGTGCTGGGCCAGTTCTTGGGGTCTTGGCCGTGGTTCGAGTGGAGGGTGAAGTACTTGGCTTTGTCTTCGGCTGAAAGCTTGTCGAAGGAGCGCTGGATGTCGCCTTCGAGGTACTCGGACTGAGCGATTGAGAGGAGCGGAGCTTCGGCAAGGATGCGGGTGCCACGCTTGATGGGCTGGATGGCGAACGCGCCGAGGCCTTTGCCGGGGCCGGCAGGCCTGATCTCGTAGAGCTTTGGAAGGCTTCCCTCTTGCTTTAGCTTGAGCTGGCTAAGCTGGACGGTCGCGGAGTGTAACTCCGAGATATTGGGAGTCATGCTGATTGACCCTACAGAGTTAAGACCAATGGAAAGCTTCTGGTTACGAGAGCGGAAAGATTTTGTGCCGTGGTTCAGTAGGCTCTGGCGGTTTGTGTTAGAGTTGCACAGATTCTGCAGTGTGCAGATATCGTTATAGTAAACAGTTTGTCATGTTGGTGAGATTGATCAAAGTTCAACGACGTTGAGACTGTTGGAATTTAGAAGTAAGGCAAGCCAGGAAAGCAGCGGTGAAGCAAAGAGACGTGTGCCTAATAATAACCCGCATACTGACGGATGAAAGAGCGTGGTGAGTGTTGACGTCTGTCAAAGTGACGAACTCCGTAAGTGGGCCTGCCTGGAGTCATTCGACTTATATGTTAGGTGCTGTACGCCTTGCATGTTTCGTTGTTCTCTCCAGGTAGTGTGAGATGCTTGATACCCGAATGTCCAAGCGAATTTCAGCAAACATCCAAGACTTTCTATTTACGTCAGGTCTTGAATATTCATGCGATTGCGCTGTCGTGCATCACAGCTATCTCCAGATGTTTGCATCCCGTAGACAAGTCAAGAGTCCCTTTCGGATGCTCCAACATACGCCACGTCATATCCAAACCAAACACCAATCGCTGCATTTGTCTCCGAGTAATCCACCCTTCATGCAACAAGAACGTAACGCCTTTCCACATCCTCATTCCTCCCAACCTCTTCCTCTCCCTCAAAACGCAAACGCACAAAGCCTTCCTTGAGCTCAGCTGGGCCATCCTTCTTGTTCTTTGATGCGACAACTTCAGCCCTGTAGAACGTAGTGGTCATAGGGTACAATGCAAGAACATTCTTGCCGGGAGCCAGATCCGGGAGACCTAGGTTGGAAGATGGAATAGGGACAAGATAATTAACACTAGCGCGGTAAGGTGTAGGGGGAGTGGGGGTGTCAGTGTCGGAGTCGATGATCTCATAGCTGACCGATGGAGGTCAGCATACAAACGGAATGATGGAGGTGAGAGTCTTGACGTTACCGGCGTTGCTTCCCTTCTCCGACTACGTTGGTGATGCTGCAGAGGATGCCTTCGCCTTCTGCCGCTTTAGCTTTGTTCTTGTAGCAGACTTCGGTGCCGACTTGGAGCTTGTTACGCTCTGATGCTGAGACTGCTCGGTGGACGTGTCAGAGTTTTTGTATATATTCACATGTGCTACTTGATCTGCTGCGGATATCTCACCCTTCACTCCGTCCGCGCTCTCCGCGCCGTCATCGGCTTTGACGGAAGCTTCGCGGCCTGCTGGTACACTACCTTGACGGCTTCCTGCCTTTCCGATCAAGCGGCTCGCTGTGGTTGAAGGGCCAACCTTGGGGCTTGGGTCACCGGGCGAGTCTCCGACGACGCTATCGTGGTCTTCGGCCACACTAGTGGCAGCAGATTCGCGCGTAGATTCACGCGCGGACTCGCGCGCGGACTCACGCTTGGGACCGCGACTGCGTTGGTTCTTGCCGCTGGCGTTGCGGGAGGTGTTGTTGGCCGCTTGATCGGCCTCGCTGGATGTGCGGAGGGCGCCGAGAACCTCGAGGCCGTTCAGGGTGCTGAGGTTGTTGCCGTCACTCTCGCCCTCGAGCATGGCTAGGATTTTGTCATGGAGGCGGACATTCTCCCGGGTGACGGATTCGAGTTCATCTTCCGACGATGTGTTGAGAGGCGTGCCGTTGGCTGGATAGAAGAGTCAGCAAGTGTTGATATTGAGCTTCCGAAGCAAGGATGGACACGTTGAGAAGAACATGGGCAAGATATGCGTAACCAACAGTCACTCTGAGGTCTCAGCAGCTACTGGAACCCGCCTCGAGGAGGTCCGGAGGTTGTGTGCAATATCTGCTTATATTGAGTGGGCAAATTGCAAGAAACGGACACGCAAAACATGGGAAGTGGAAACCTCGATGACAGTAATTGTTATACGCCACGTAAAGCAAGTGGGCGGGATAAGATGAACAAGGCTTAAAGACCGGGCCCGATAACGAAGATATTGTGCCGCCTACCTATGGCAGCATCAAGCTCATCTTTCAGCTCGACCATGCGCTTGCAAAGCTCGTTCGATTTCGCCTGCAGTCACATGAGTTAGCAATACATTTGCAGAGAGAGCGCACCGAGTTGGAACCTAGTAAGCAATCACTTGTCTAGTGGCTAATGAAGATCGGGTTCGGCGGTGCGCTTAAAGGATCTAAGGGATTTTTCGAACATACAATGAGAGCATCAATCTTCCTCCCGTCACCGATAATTTGATTCCAGATGTTGCGCTCTTCGTCTGCGTCGTCCTTCATCTGACCTGAGCGTGGGCCTCTGTTGTTGCGGGACATAGTGAGAGAAGAGTTGATACTGTGCGGAAGATTCTGCAAGACAGCTTTGTACTTAGGCGGTTCTTAAAGCAAAGGACAGCTTGGGGATTCGTGAATGTCAGAGAATGTGACCGATTACTGTCTTAGCGATAGCTCACTGTGGATGTAAGTGTGAGATGGAAGTGTGCAGAGTGCGAGAAGAGGATATTAAGAAAACAATAATCTCAGTAAATTACAGCCATACGTCATTGTGACCTTGGCCTAATCTTAGCAAAACTCCAAATTCAATGCGTTGTCTGAGCGGGCAAAATGTACTGAATACTGTTTGTTACAGAGTGGATTGTGAACTGGAAGTGTGAACCTGGGGGTCCAGTGACAGGGGTTGCGGACCGGGGAGAAGGTTCGGGGCGGAAAGCTTGTCTGGACCGCCACCATCCACAACAGCCCAAAACGCTCTGACGTGTGACGAAGTAGATTCCCTCGAGTTGCGATATCTTGAACAAACACCCACAGCGCCGACACAATGAGGAATCCATTGATCAGGCTACAATGCGGCAAGCTTCAATGAATGCTGTCTAGATTTTCTTGAGGACTAACAGTCTGCAGGTGTGAACAGCTATGAGTGGGGCACGTCCATCGCATCATACCGAAACCTCTGTATAGCAACCTAACATGGCTGCTTATAGGCAAGGTTGGTAAAGAATCAGCCGCTGTCAAGTTTGCGGCAGCAACGCAATCGGATGATTTCAAGATTGAAGACGACAAGCCATACGCTGAGGTCAGTCTCCTGTTTCGGCCAATCCGTGCACTAACTATCTCTACTTACCATCATAAATCAGCTATGGATGGGCACTCATCCCTCTCTACCTTCCAAGGACCTCGAAACACAGAGATCTCTTCTGGAGCTTGTCCAAGAGAATAAAGCTTTGATGTCAACGGAGATCAGCGAGAAATATGAAGACAAACTTCCCTTCTTATTCAAGGTCCTCTCTATCCGGAAGGCTCTGAGCATACAGGCTCATCCAAATAAGAAGCTTGCGGAGAAGCTACATTCCAAGGACCCGAAGAACTATCCAGGTTTGTCATGATTCCGCCGAAACTGCGCCTGTGAACACACGCTTACTGCTTTTATATAGATGACAATCACAAGCCTGAGATGACCATTGCCATAACGCCTTTCGATGGTCTGTGTGGCTTCAGACCGCTAGGCGAGATATCGCATTTCCTGTCAACCGTCCCTTCATTCCGCAAACTTGTTGGCGAAGACAAGGCCAAGAACTTCGAGGAAACCGTTAAGGGCCGCGAGACTTCCGACAAGGAAGAAGACGTCACCGCCAATAAGAAAGCGTTGCAAGAAGCTTTTACAGGCCTGATGAACGTGAAGAGTGATCAGGTTGAGGCTGCCACAATGGAGCTACTAAAGGCAGCGAAGAACGGAGGCGAGGAGTTCGCTGGCAGTGGTGGTCCGTCTAATAACGGCAAGGAACTCGCTGGTCTGGTCGTGAGAGTCAATGACCAGTTCCCGTCTGATATCGGCCTGTTCGTGTTGTTCTTCCTCAACTACGTCAAGCTTGAGGTCGGCGAGGCCATGTTCCTGAAGGCTGACGACATTCACGCCTATCTCTCCGGCGGTAAGTATCTATTCTTAATCTCATGACTAGCTCTACGGAATCAATTGTTGGTCAAAATAAGGACACTAACCTCACACTCTTCAGACATCATCGAATGCATGGCCTCCTCCGACAACGTCGTCCGCGCCGGCTTCACCCCCAAATTCAAAGATGTCTCCACCCTGACCACCATGCTCACATACTCATACGCTCCAATCTCTGAGCAAAAGATGCATCCGACGGATTACCCTTACGTCACCCTCAACCGTACCGCTTATTCCTCAGGCTCGTACTGCCTGCTGTACGACCCTCCAATCGAGGAGTTCAGCGTCACCAAGCTCGAACTCAAGGCTGACGGTGCCAAAGCGACCTTTGATCCGATTCAGGGACCTAGTATCGTTCTTTGCACGGCGGGTGAGGGGACGGTTAGTGTGGGGCCGAAGACTGAGGATGTGAAGCCGGGGTATGTCTTCTTTGTTGGCGCGACGGCGGAGTTGGTGGTGGAGAGCAAGTCGGAGGACCTTACAATCTTCAAGGCCTTTTGTGAGCTGCATGGGAAGGAAAGCGCGCTGTGAAAGGGTGATAGGTATGTGGTGCTTAGCATCGTAGAACCGGTCTCGTGATTAGGTCGACGTAGCATCTCACTTCAGAAACGCTGTCCACGAGCACTATGACCTTTCCTTACTCGCAGTCCAAGTGGCAAATTTGAGGAGAAGCCAAGCTCTGCAAGCTCTGTTATTCGGAGGGCATTCGAAGAGGAAGGTGTAGCCGTGATACACAAGCATAGTTCAGTTCTTCACACGTTGTCTTTGTCAACGGATCCCTGAAACCTCCGCACTTGCAGCCATCATCCTCCACGGCATCCGTCCCTTCTGGACGATTATGTCGGTTGATCCTCTCACAGATCACTTATCATACCATCCTAGAGAGATCTGGGCGTGCTTGCAACTTGTTCTCGTTCGTTGAATGACGAGGTTATGCCATCCGTTACAGCAGGGTTGTCACTGCATTAAGCGACCAAGCCATTTACAAGAAATTCTAGTAAAATTTCTCGTCCAACGATTTCTCAGATACACGATCTACGATGAAGACGCTGTTCCATAAATCCAGCAAAGCAAGTTTCGGTACGAAGGTGCAGTGCGGCAAACAGCGCGCGACTAGCACGAAGGGAGTCCGGTGCGAAAACGAAGGCTGGGGAACCAACCGCGAACTTCACAGAGCACCTTGTTGCACTGATGCACAAGCTGGCTTTTGCGCTGGACCCCGATCGTTTGATGGGCGGATTGTAGTCGCGAGAAAAAAAAATTTGAGACGCTGTACCGCTGCGGTGTTCTACGCACGAGCTAGTTACCCGTTTGGGAGGCATATCTCGGCGCCCCCAAACAGACTCCTAACGCCAGACGTGGACTTTCCGTACTCCTACCACGCACATCCGACAGCACCCGGCCTCAAAACTAATCCCCGTCATCTGCACACCCCCAGCAACACCTCCTACGGCAACGCCCTCATCACCCCCTCAAACGCCACAAGCGCCATCGCATTCGCGGGAAACGCCCTCAAAAAGCATGGCACGAACCCCCTCCAGTACCCCCTCCACCCATTCTCCCTCCACACGGCCTTGGCAGCGTCCCTCCATCTCGGGAATCTTCTATCCGGGCCCAGCGAGTCCGTCATGATGCGCTGCTTGACCACGTCGCTCGGGTAGGACGTGATCCAGAAGATCTGCGCGCTCAGGCCGCCGGCCCAGAAGTTGATGGCCGGGGTGGAGAGGGCGGTGTGGGTGGTTAAGAGGCGCGTGAAGACGTCGTAGGAGGCCCACCAGAAGAAGAAGAAGGTGCGGAAGAGGAGGGTGGCGGAGAGGCCGTGGTAGAGGCCTCTGAAGCCGTGGCCACGGAGCTATTCCCTGCTCGTCAGTAACGGCAACGAGGACTTAAGGTAGGGGAGGATGAGGCGGCGCTTACGAGCTTCTTGGTGCAGTCAATCGGTCCCTTGTACACCCTCTTCGCCTTATCAGCCGCATACTGCACCTGCAGCCTAGCCTTGACGTGCTCGACAGGCGCAGCGATGAAGCTGACGGTCCAGCCGGCGAAGATGCCCGCGATACCGTGGCCGACTGAAGGGAGTTGGTGCAGCGAGGACACAGTAGCATGAGCGTCCCTTCGCGGGCTGAAGACGTTTTCGAGGAGGAGGCGCCGGTAGACTGTTAGGGAGCCGAGCATGCTGTGTCGGGGGCTTTAGTGAGGGTTTGGTTGAGGGAGGGGTTGGGGCAAGTACACTGAGTCCATGAACATCCAGCCGATTAGGGGGGGAGTTGCGCCTTTGTAGAGCCCGCGCACGCCTTCATTGCGGACGGTTTGGAGGAGGCATTCGAGGGGGCCGCGGAATTGGGTCTTGTTGGAGGTCTGCAGGCGCACTTTGATGGTGTCGAAGCTGGGCAAGTGTCAGTTGCGCGTCGTTTGTAGTATCGGGGAATGTTGCTCACGGATGTCCAACTACCACGAGTCAGCATGCGATTGTGACTATGGAGCACCCGACTAACCACTCAACTTGGCAATGCCAGAAAAGATGCCCCCTACAAAGCCCTTGTAGTTGCTTGCACCGCCCTTAGGTGCGGGTTTGCGCTCCGCGGTGTCGTCGACGCCATACTTGACGGCATCATTCACCGAAGCGGACATTGGCCGAAGAATGCTGACGAGGAGGTCTGCAACGGATGCATACCGTTCGTAAAGGGTGGGCTACAACCACGGGATGGTGGAAGGCGCGATAGCTGTCAGTCAGCAAACGCCGAGCTCGGTGCTTTTCTGGACCCTGCGTGCTTTCGGAGCGTGATGACGCATGAAGCGGGCGGGAGATCGCTGCCGAGATCTCAACCAGCCCCGGACTCGGCATGCTTACTACCGACGTCGCTACCGTCTGATGACTGCTGTAAAAGAAATGTAGTTCACATTATTGCTAGCGGTCTGTGCCGCTTCATTGTCTTTCTATCTGGATAATCGGACGTCCTCACGTGAAGAATGGCCACAGAAGAGCAGAGGCAAGATGCTATCTCTCAGGCAAACCCAGACCCCACTAGGGTAGTAGAGTCCAAGAAAGGTACCGTCGGAGTGGGCACTCTATCAATTGCGCGACATCAACTGACCGGCCGCACAGTATGGACAACCCTGATAACAAACACAAACTACCTCCCCGGCCTCCTCGCGCTGGACTACAGCCTCAAACTCCACAAATCCGCCTACCCCCTCGTCGCCCTCTACACCGACACCTTTCCTCCCGAAGGCCACGCAGCGCTCGACGCACGCAACATCCCCAAGAAGCGCGTTAACTACCTGCTGCCGTCCATAACCAAGGACTACAGCAACGACCCGCGCTTCTACGACTGCTGGAGCAAGCTGACGCCGTTCTCGCTGGTGGAATACGAGCGCGTGGTGCAGCTGGACAGCGACATGCTGGTGCTGAGGAATATGGATGAGCTTATGGAGCTGGAGCTTGATCCGCCGAACATGGCTGGGAAGGGTGAGAGGGTTTTTGCGGCGAGTCATGCGTGTGTGTGTAATCCGCTTAAGAAGCCGCATTATCCCAAGGACTGGTGGGTTCTGCCGCTCTTTGCTGGATTTGTAGGATACGATGCTGATGGGAAGGACAGGATACCAGAGAACTGCGCCTTCACGACCCAACACTCCGATCCAGACACCGCGCAAAAGGAAGGTGCGCCCCCAACAGCCGGCCTAGGCATGCCCAACGGCGGCCTCCAAGTCGTCAACCCTTCCAGCGAGGTCTACTCCCTGATCCTTGACAAGCTGGCCAACGACACGGCGATCAACTACGACTTCGCGGACCAGTCGCTGCTGAGCGATCTCTTCTACGGCCGCTGGGTGGCGCTTCCGTATATATACAACGCGCTGAAGACGCTGCGGTGGGAGGGTGTGCATGCGGCGATCTGGCGGGATAGCGAGGTCAAGAATGCGCATATTTTGCTGTCGCCGAAGCCGTGGGATGAGCGGCCGGGAGAGGAGAGCGATGAGACGCATAAGTGGTGGTGGAGGGCGAATTTGGCGAGGAAGGAGGATGAGAGGGCTAGGGGGATTGATGATGCGTTTTGAACTTAGGAGACTTGGGTGCATCGGGAGGCACGCTTTGCAACGAGCCGTCAAGCGTGGTTTGGCTGAGCCTGCATCTCTTCTGACACTGGAAATGGTACAGGAGTTGTTGTAGAAGGGATTCGAGGATGATAGATATCAAGATACTATCGCACCGTCTTGACAAATCCTCTTTCTGCCATTGATTGTACCTACATACGTGCTTCATCTGATTCTTGAGGCCATTCAACCTTAGAAGCTGTCCGGTGCCTGAGCCGAACCAAGGTCGGCTTACCCCCGGTGCAGCTCTCACCGCGCGGCGCCGGCGGGCCGTTTCGCGTCAGCCGGATCTTCGCGTCGCGCTGCGTTTGGGATGTTATGCGGATATTGCTCGCAAACAAATGGGGTTCATTGTAGAGCGGTCACGAACAGACCGCTCTTTTAATGAAGCATCGGTAGAAATCTGATATCCAGAATCTAGATCGTTGTGGTTGCGTTAACGCGAGATTGCATCCGGGGTGCTCGGGGATACCCCTGATAGGTACAGTAAATAACCACCAAGGTATCCCCCGGTCTCCGCGAAACGACTCTCTGAAACTCCCCGAAGTCGCTGCTCCCACTCGAAACACTATCTCGCGCTTCACCGCCAGCAATTTCGCAGTGGGATTTTCAACAATCCTGTTCAGACGCAGCAGCCGCAATCTACACCACCTCAATAGCCACCACCCGTTGCATTGCAAAGCCGCACCCGCATACTCCACCACCCCAACCTTCGGACAGGCTCGGTTCCACCATACGCTTCTAGCATCGAAGAGCTCAGAAACCGGCACTATGGGCGGACAGATATCAAAGATGCTGAACAAGATCTTCGGATCCAAAGAGATGCGCCTGCTCATGCTTGGGCTGGACGCAGCGGGCAAGACAAGTACGTTCCGCACAGCCCAACCATACCTTCCATTCAAACACCCACAAGACCTTCAACCAGGCGGAACAGAGCGAGCTGACACAATCTTGCGGTACAGCCATCCTCTACAAACTCAAGCTCGACCAGGACGTCACCACCATCCCGACCGTAGGCTTCAATGTCGAGACCGTCACGTACAAGAACACAAAGTTCAACGTCTGGGATGTGGGCGGGCAGGACAAGATTAGGCCGCTGTGGAGGCACTACTTCTCGGGTACGTCGACAATCCAAAGCCTCTCGCGGAACGCGGTGGAACGGCCAGTTGACTGGGGACGCATTGCACTGCTTTCCGGGCAGTTTGTAGGCGGAAAGAAAGCTGACACGTCCGTTTCCAGGCACACAAGGACTCATCTTCGTCGTCGACTCCAGCGACCGCGACCGACTCGACGAAGCGCGCACCGAGCTCGCGCGGATCATTCAGGACCGGGAAATGAGGGACGCGCTGCTTCTTGTCTTCGCGAACAAGCAGGATCTCGCAGGTGGTGCGTACATACGACCGCCAGCACCGCGTCTGAGCTGTATCATATCAAACACATGAGGGATGCTAATCATATGGCGGACAACAGCAATGCGGCCGAAAGAAATCTCAGACAAGCTAGAGCTAGAGCGAATCGCGAAGAACCACACATGGAAGGTCGAGCCTAGCTGTGCAACGACAGGAGAGGGCATATTCGAGGGCCTCGTAAGTCTTCTCTACTGTTATTTCGCTACATTACGCTTGCTAACGCAATCTACGCTCTCCAGGCTTGGTTATCGAACAACGTCAAAGTCCCAACGGCTCGGTAGAGCGCACAGCGGTATCTTCAGTCCGCACGCCTTCAACATGACGCTCCTGCATTTGGTTCTTGCATATACCCCTTTTAACTCAACTTTTCACGCTTCGACATACACTCTCAAGCTGGCGGCCCTGACCAGTTGTTACTCTGCCTTGGGGCAGAGCGAACCTCTCCTGCAGCGCAACAAGTCCACATTGTAATTCCGCCTCCCAAACATGTTACTCTGCTCTCTTGGGCCGCTTCATCATTGGTGGGAGTTCGGCACCTCTGGAGCCCAGTTTTTTCTTTTCATATCTCTGCATGATACCTCGACTGCTTACCAGAAATCCCCGTTTTGCTTTCCTCTCCCTCCTCTCCCTCCTCTCCTCATTTTTGTAAGTAGTCTACGAGTCGGGTCACCGGTCATAGCCACGGCGTTCAGGTTTTCTGGGAGCTGACATGGAAGGGCACGTCTTTTGCGGACAATCTGTGGCGTATGTGCTGCTCTCCACCGGTCTCCAATTACATTGTGACTACTAAAATCATAAAGCGCTTTTGGATCATGCGTCGAAGTACAACATGACTCTCTCTCATTCGGTAATATGGAAAGAGATAAAGCTCGCATCACTTGCCAGTTCTTCAGTGTTTCCGTTGGCAACATACACATGCCTCATCTACTCACTCGTTCTAGAAGATCGATGTCATGACAGGGAAGAGTGGTCAGGGTACACCGAAAAGGAAGTAGAAAGGACTTCCCTGGTCGCAGCACGGTATCGAGCTCTGTGGTAGGTGCCGTCCCTCTAAGAAAAGTGCCACCAGTCTCTTACAGGCACAATTATCCAAAGCCTTCCACGACCGAGCCCCATTGTTCTGTTCCTTCGCCCAAGCGTCTTCTGCGTCATCTCATCTTCGCACGCCTGGTGCCCGGGTCTTGAACCTCCAACGCTCAAGCAAACACTCTCCAATCACCTCCGTCGCACGCCGCAACCTCCTCACCAACCCACCCATCCTCCTCCGCCGTATTCTCCGCGCTAAGCCCCCTCTTCAGACTCTCCTCCTTAACATGCCAAAACTCCGGCAGCGCGCCAACATCCCTTACCACGAACCCATGCGCCCCCTCGATCCAAAACCTCCTCCACCTCTCTCCGCCTCGGGCCCCCCCTTCCTCTTTCCCTTCCCCCGCCTCATCCCCATCTCTCTCCCCCTGCCCCCCTCCCTCCCCATCAACCTCGCCGTCGCCGAACATCCACCCAACAACCCCCTCCATGACCTCCCTCCCTTCCCCCTCCCCCTCCTCCGCACACCTCGCCAACACCGCCGCCAACACCGCGTCGCTCATGCCCTGCTCGGCACAGCCAGCCCGCTGCCTCGCGCGCACGTAGGCCCAGAGCGTCGGGAAGGGACACACGAGCACGAGCGTCGTCCGCATGAGGTCGGAGGGCGGGCCCCAGGCGTGGGCGGCGGCTTCGTGCGCGAGCAGCGCGGTCGTGGCGTGAGAGGGGGGTGGAGTGCTATGGCTGCGCGGGCTGGGGGGGAGCATGTGCGCGAGGAACGCGCCTGGGATCTTGGTCAGTGGGATGGGTGCAATGGCGGAGAGGAGAAGAAGAAGAAGGAGAAGGAGGAGGGGGCCGGGAAGACGGTGTGGAGGACGGCCGACGCACGTTTGGCGTCGATCTGGAAGTAGACGCCTACGCAGGTGAGGCAGAATTTCGTGCCTAGGGGCGTGGGCGCTGTGGTCCAGATGCTGATGTGAGGGGTGAGTTAGACTGTTGCTGAGGGAGCTGGGTCGACGGAAGGGGTCGAGCGAGGATGTGGAGGACGTACGGATGGGGGAAGTCGAAGGTGCCGCCTTGGCCTTCGGTGAGCAGGCGGTACCGCTTTTCCATGCTGCTGGCGGTGCCGAGGAGGCGGAAGGTTGTGGTTTGGAAGACAGGCTTGATGGGAGCATCATTGGCGTTTTGGAAGTGAGGGAGCTGTTTGCGGCTGCGGTGGTGAAACTGTGAAGCATTCAGTGTCGTGGTGAATGACTGGCCGTTTGCTTGGCAAGTGAGCAATCGAAGATGACAGGGACAGTGGTTTGTTCGTGAGATGAGCTGCAAGCCTGCCTTCAGTATGGTAACTGATTCATTCAAACAGATTTGCGAAGTGAACAGAACAAGGTGAAAGCAAGAGATGGACAAGAGTGCTTAGACAACAGTTTGGCGCTCAGTAGTATCTGTCCGTACGAACAAAGTCGCATGTGCAGCGAGGCCGCTGGTGGAATTCTCCTGCTCCTTCGGTTCCGCCTCTTACGGCTTTCCTCTCCTTCGTCTCATCCTTCGGCATACCTAACGAAGCAGAAACCATAGCAGGGCTTGGGACACTGATTTGTTGTGGTGAGCTGAGACTTCCTCAGCTCTGCAGGCGATAATGCTAGTTGAAGGAGAGCTACGTGGAGTAGTTGTGTTAGTGCGGTCAGAGCCCATTCTGTTCAATAGGTAGAGCCTTCCTAGGAGAGTTCTAGAGCATAAGAACCGAACGGCGTGATGTGTGACTTAGAGTTCAGTGATTGGGATTTGCTACCTTCACCACGATCCCCCGCTCTATCAGACTGAGTGAGGAAAACGCGCAGAAAGACATCATTCGGGTATCGTGGCGACCGTCAAGTGTGTATCGAACCGCCGAAAGCATGAGAAGGCTGGCGGTATCCTGCCAAAGAAACCAAAAGCAAACCCAACGAAAAAGACCCACAATGCCCAGATGTGTACGCCATTGGGTACGTGATGCTTGCCAACCATGGCTTCGACGCGCCAAAACTCCAGGATAATGCCGTGATAAACGCGATTCCAGTAAAGGGTTCCACCACCGTAAAACTCTTGCCAGAAACAGTTGGGCACCCTCCAAAGGATGTGCTCCCAATTTGCTCGTGTCCAGCCTGTCTTCAATCTTCCCAAATTGTCTCCAAGTCGAGATCCCCTCTCCTCTCTGCACCGCAGACACTCCATCTCTTTCGCTTGTCCCTCCCGCCGAATCCAAAACCGGGACGCCGCTCGCCCGGCACATCGAGACTGCTCCTTCGTACTTCCCCTCCTCCCTCGGCAGCTTTAGCAGCGGCATCGAGTTTCGCCAGCTTGTCTGCCTCCAGTGCGGCTTCTTCTGCGTCTGGAGAGTCTGGGATGGTTTCAAGCGATGATATGGAGGGGCTGCGCGAACGAGCTGACGTCGGTGTGGACGGCATGGATGACGAGGAGAAAGATGAGGAGAGGTGTAAGCCTGGGGGATAGGACTCGTTGAACTTGGTGGCGGACAGAACGGGTGAGGATGAAGAGGATGTTGGCGTGCTGCTAGAACCACCAAAGGGCACTTTCGAGACGTGATGGAGCGGCGACGTGGGTCGGCGCCGTGAGCGAGGGAAGGTGTAACCGTGAGCGAAGGGGAGCAAGGATTGCTGCTGAAACATCCGATCTGATCCAGCTCTTGGCGTCAGGTTGAGTTCTGAGTCTTCCGATATGCTTTCGATCTCGCCAATGCGAGACGCGGTAGGCTGCGGGTAGGTGTCTTCCGGTGCGAGCGAGAAGGGACTTGGTACGCGCGCTGGTGAGCGCAGAGGGCTAGATGCTCGAGCAGAGGGTGACGACGAGAGGTGTGTTGTTGGACTTATGACACTTGGTAGTGAGTGTGAGCGGGTCATTGCGGGCGCTGTTAGAGAGTTCGAGCTTGATGAAGATCTTAAATGGCTTCTGGAGTACGGAGAGCGGTTACGTGGACGTGACGAAGGCTGGCTGGGCTGAAGCAGAATGCCGGTTCCGGTGGGATCCGTTGAGCTCCTCGAGGTGGTTGGTCGCGGTCGCGGTTGTGGCATATGCAGCGGCTGGTTCTCCTCCTCCTCCTCCTCTTCTTCTTCTACCGCTTCCTCCACATCCTCAATCTTCAAGTTCTCCAGACGCGTCACTCTGTCTGAGATGGCCATGATCGAACCGGGGTCGCCAACGTTCTCGACTAGGGTGACGGCGGACTTTTGAGCTCCTGGTCGATCGGCAGCAAGGGAAGTGTCGTGCATCATAGCTAAGGAGTGTGAGGTAGCGGATGTCTGTCCAGTAGCAGGCTCTCACCGGCCAGCCAGCGTAGCAGGTGGTGATTTGAGTGAGAACACGTTGCCCTTCACGTATGAATTTGGGCAGGCTGCCGTTACACGGTCACCTTCGAGCGAGTGGATGAAGCTTGATTCTCCGGCTGGTTGTAAGGGTGGATGCTTCCAGCTCCCGAGGCAGGGCAGCATAGAAGGGCGAGGTGAGGTGAACGGGGAACGGATGGGAAGGCCGGGCCCGGCTCGGAGGTCGAGGGGCAGCTTCTAGGCACAGAAGACCTAAGCGAATCGAAGCAGGAGCTCACGAGCCCCAGTCGGCCAGCAGCTGGGGCAGAAGAAGTCAGACAAGCAAGCTGTCCTCGCTGTGTTTTAGAGCATCAGCAGCAACAGCGGTTAAAGGCGTTGAGCGGCAGCTAGAAGGGAAAAACACAGGCACATGCAAGCTCGTCACATTCGTCACATCGCGCCGCCAATCCATTCCCCATGGAGAAGCCGCTCAGGGTCCAGCCGGGGACAGGAACACGTGATGACCATTTGACTGTCTTGCAATCGCCTAGGTGCGGAGGTATCGTCTGCAACAAATGGAGGTAACTCCGGACATCGATTGTCTGATGTGCAAAGGCGTCAAACTGCTGCAATGTTCTATCCAGCTCGCCTGCGCCCTCACTCTGAGAATTATGCATGGGCCTTGTTTCTATCCCTGAGATGTAGGCGTTGCTGATTGAAGCATACGCTGAGTTGAATGTTATCTCAACTTCAGATTCGCGTCTTGCACACTTCATCTGTATTTACATCAGTCGTTGCATGGACGAAGCCTTTGACTGCGAGGTAGTCGAGTGGCAGCGGGGGGAGGTTCCATGACTCTATATATGACGGTGAAAGCCAGCAGTCGTTCTACGGTAAACTGACTGTATGCCGGATTGGACATGGGTGGAGTCAGCTTACTCTAATCTGCAAATACACTCTTCTGAAATGGTCAACCCAAGCCCGCACACTCTGCAATCGATGGACCTTGGTTGGCGGAGACGAGTACCTGCAGTCGATGCTTGGAAGACCGGGTGTGGAAACGTCGTGCTCGCTTGAGAGTTCACCCGCACCCCATCCGCACCTCAACAAAGACCACCATGATCAATTTTGGATGCATCGGCACAGGCTGGATAACGGCGTCCTTCGTGGACTCGGCGCAAGCCACCGGCAAATGGAAGCTCGCAGCCGTGTACTCCCGCAAAGCGGAAACAGCCAAAGACTTCGGTGCAAAATTTGACGTGACTGCCGTCCACACCTCCCTTGAGGCCCTGGCAAACGATGGCGATATCCAAGCGGTGTACATAGCGTCACCAAACTCGCTGCACCACGAGCAGGCAAAAATCATCCTCAGCGGGAAGAAACACGTCATCATCGAGAAGCCCGCGACCTCCACCGTAGCCGAGTTCGAAGAACTGCACGCCCTAGCAAAAGAGCACGGCGTCTTCCTCCTCGAAGCAAACAGGCATATCCAGGAGATAAACTTCAAGATCCTCCAACGAAACCTCTCCAGACTGGGCGCCATCTACGGCGCCAGCCTGACCTACGCCTCCTACTCCTCGCGCTACAACAACGTGCTAGCCGGCGAAACCCCCAACATCTTCTCGCTGGAGTACTCCGGCGGCGCCCTTGTAGACCTCGGCGTCTACCCGATCAGCTTCGCCGTCGCGCTTTTCGGGAAGCCGAAGAGCCAGTCTTACAGCCCTGTCATCATTGCCACGGGCGCGGATGGCGGCGGCCTGATTACGCTGCGGTATGAGGGCTTCGGCGTGGTGATTAATGCGAGTAAGTGCTATACTAGCACGGCGCCGAGCGAGGTTTATGGCGAGAAGGGGACGTTTGTTATCAATGCGGTTACGGATATTGAGCGCGTGACTTTCCTGGATGCGAAGAGTAAGCAGAAGGAGGAGCTTGCGAAGGAGAAGGCGAAGCTGAATTTGCAAGAGGAGGCGGAGGAGTTTGCGAGGATCATTGAGGGTGGCGATGGGGAGGCGGCGAAGAGGCTGGAGGAGCTGAGTAGGATTGTTATTGGGATTACGACGGATTTGAGGAGGCAGTGCGGTCTGGTGTTTGCTGTGGAGAAGTCGTAGGGTAGGGCAGTCCTTGAACATGGGACCTGAGGTCGTATCTTGACCATGCCGAACTCTCTGTAGTGGTTGTCTGAAGCTTCTGAGCCTTGTCCGATGCCTTTGCCTACACTTCATGTTCTGTAGGCATATAAAAGTTTGTCCAAATCGCGTTCGACAATTGTACAAACTGCATAGATCAGATAGGATAGTATGAAAGAGGTCACGATGACCTAGCTTAGCTGACTGAAGGAGGTATTCGTTCTCTACCGGGAGTCTATCGGCACTCCAGCCTTAGACAGCTTGTCACAAGATCTCAGTTGCATCGATGTTGCCTCAAAGGAGCAGAGTTTGGCGGGTGATAGCGACGCTAGAGTAGAGCAAACCCATAGAGCGCCCCTCGACCGCGGTACAGCCCGACGATAGATTGGTAAGTAAGAATCACCTAGCGAGACTCACGACTTGATGAACAGCACGAGAAGCCTCGACTACGGGGACTCCACGTCGGGACCCGTTTCCCAGCAAGAAACCTTACAGATCTGCTTGTTTCCGAGCCAGACACCATCCATTGTGGCGACATCTGGAAGGCTTCTGCACCAGCTCAGATCCATGGAGCAGAGCGGGCGTAGTAAGGTGCTTCTTGTGGCCTCAAGTGACGAGAGCTGAAGGAAGAGTTTAAAGCATCTTTTGCGTTTGCAGTCGTGTGCTAGGTAAGATGCCGAGATCTGCAACAATGGACTCCAATGATGCTGAGATGATTGCTTGTTGGCCGAAATCAACTTCACAGTTGAATTCCTCGAGCTTGTGTGAGGTAGGAAGCTGACTCAAGTGCTCAGAGGTGCATTTGGCGGAGGATATTCCGTCTCAGCCTACCAAGGCCTAGGTGCACGAATGTACAGATGCACCTACAAGATTTTCTTATGTCTGATTCTCTAGTCCAGAAGAGGGTGCTCTTTCGATAGTCTCCCGCTGATAGCCCAAGAAGTTAGTAAATGCCTGTGACAAAGGTTTAGTGCATGTCAATCCCTGACGGCGCGTGCGATTCTGGTAAGGTGTCGGTCAATTGTCGATATCAGCCCTTCGCCTGGCCCACGTTTCAGCCAGCCGCCATGTGGCGCCATGGTCGATCCTTGCCGCAGATCGCAATTTGAACTGCATTTCCCTCTTTTCTGGCGTGCTTCTTTCCCCAATCCGGTACATCTTAGCACAGCTACCTTTCGTAAGACACGGTAACCGATGTGATAGCGTGAGCCGTCGGAGGCGACGGCAGGGAATCTGCATTAGCAGCGCAAGCGTGGGGGGAGCTCTGGGCGCTCCCTTTGACAGGTCTTCGGCGTACTTGAAATGCCTTAGAACGAGAATTGTTAAACAAACGGCGGCTCCGCAATCCTCATGCCTTGATGCCGGAAGCCCGGGCATCAAAACCTGACGCCGTGCTTAAACAATTGGCAGCTGGCTTTTGCAACTTGATTCGCCGTGGGCTCTCCAGTGATCCACACGGTCCGTCTTGCTCCTGAACGCCTTGGCATGTTTAGCGCTGCAGTCTACCAGGGACCAGGAACGCTTTTGACGTCCAGCGATGATCCCAAACGCCGAGCGCGCCATCACTTCTGGCCCAGGGACGGCTCCACGAACTCGCGGCAAGAGCATCGGTTCCAGCAGCGTGATCGACGACCTGGACCTGAGGTTCAGCTGAGCGGCGCGGCCGCCTTTCACCAGCGGAGTCTGCTGCTTGTCTCCACCGAGGCACATACCTTCGGCATCGAGCTGTTGAGCCTTACGAAGCCCGCATCGCAGTAGCCTGTTCGGCTTGATGCAAGAGCAAGCACTTCGACTCGGCGTCACGCTCAAGCGAGGTGCACTCATGGTGTTCGTGGCGCTGCCAGATGTGCACTGGGCAGGGCGCTCCTTCCACAAGGAGATGAGGTACGGCTGAATCTTGAAACGCTTGTCTTGGAAAAATGAATCGCCAAACTGCAAACAAAGTAGAACAACACGAAACAACACGTCGTCGGCGGCAAAGAAGCAACATCGGGCGCTTATGCCAGATAAGTTACCCATAGCCACACTCTCCCGTAGCTTAGAGGAGGCCGAGAACACTGATATCTGTCCGAGACGGAGCCGGCGTGGTGGAGATCCAGCCTTAACGCTCCAACGTGCAGAAATCATGGCGCTCTGGCCAAGCATAGTCCTGAGTTTTCCCTGCTGTTTCCACTAGCGGCGGGAAGAGAAATGAGATGATGGCGAAGATGCTTGTCGGCACAAAGCCGTATATCAGCCCCCCGTCTCCTTTGTTTCTGTTCTTAATCATCATCGCCGTCACTCGTTGACTACGCTCTGCAACTTCAGGTCTGCGACCGATCATTCTCTGTAACCACAGTCTTTTCTACAACACTCACTTCAGTCTATCATTCAAGTCCATCCTTTTGCTGCCGGCTTCTCGAAGAATCGCCTGTCAAGATTTGATATCTTGACCCAGAGCTACATCGGTACCACCCAACAAGGATCTTGTAAACATCCATCAACATGCTTTTCAACAACCTCAACGCGCTCGCGCTCGTCGCTTCGCTTGCAGCTCCAGCTGACGCCTTCTGGCGCATGACCTGCCCTGGCCGTCTGGTTAAGGAGCGCGCCGATCCCATTGTCGCCCCAGGGAAGGTCTCTGCCCACGTTCACACCATATCTGGTGGCAGTGGCTTCGGGTTCGAGATGACCTATGACAAGGCTCGCGCCTCCAAGTGTTCCTCCTGCCCGATTAAGGCGGATCTTTCCAACTACTGGACTCCATCGCTCTACTTCAAGGCCCAGAATGGTAGCTTCATCAGCGTGCCTCAGGCTGGTGATTTCAACGGCCAGACTGGTGGCATGACCGTGTATTACCAGTAAGCTCGATCCCTTCCACGAGCGCTAGAGATATGACTAACGGATCAACAGACAACGCCCTGGCCCGAACAACGACAAGCTCAAGGCGTTTCCCAAGGGTTTCCGCATGGTCGCCGGTGACCCGTTCAAGCGCGCGCCCGGCACTGACTTCGCCTCCAAGGCCGTGTCCTTCGCCTGCCTCGACTACAACGGCCCCGCGACCGCTGAGACCAACAACTTCCCGAACCGCAACTGCCCGAATGGCCTCCGTGCCCAGATCTACTTCCCGTCCTGCTGGGACGGCAAGAATCTCGACACCGCCGACCACAAATCTCACATGTCCTACCCGGCCTCCGGCAACTACAACGGCGGTCCCTGCCCAGCCTCGCACCCGGTGCACCTGATCTCCATCTTCTACGAAGTCATGTACGACACGCAGAAGTTCGCCAACGAGTGGTACGGCAGCTCTCAGCCCTTCGTCTTCGCACAAGGCGACCCAACCGGGTACGGCATGCACGGCGACTTCGTGAACGGGTGGGACGTCGACGTCCTGCAGCGCGCGACGGACCAATGCACGGCCAACAGCGGCAGCATCAAGGACTGCCCCGTCTTCGCCAACGACCTCTTCACCGACGCCCAGTGCCACGCGTGCAAGATCGCGCCGTCCGTCAACGAGCAGGTCGACGGCGTCATGGCCAAGCTGCCTGGCTGCAACGCCGTTACTCCTGGCCCAGCGCGCGCGGCGCCTGTCACCACGTGCCAGGACAGCGCGGTCATTGGCGCTGCGGCCACGTACTTCACGGACGTGACGGCGAGCAAGAAGTGGGAGTATGTTGGCTGCGGCACCGACAAGTACAACGACCGCACCTTCAGGGCCAAGTCGACGAACCAGGCCACCATGACCGTCGAGAAGTGCATCGATTACTGCAGCACCGCTGGGTACAGCTATGCTGGGTTGGAGTACGGCACTGAGTAAGTCTTTCCCTCCCTAAATCTAGTCTTGTCATCTTGAGACAGCCCACTCTAACAAATCTTACAGATGCTACTGCGACAACACCCTCCGCAGCGACCGCGCGCCCGTCCCAGGCGTCATGGGCTCCTGCACCATGAAGTGCGGCGGCAACGGCAACCAGTACTGCGGCGGCGGCTCGGCCATGAGCATCTACCACAAGTGCGGCAGCACGTGCAAGAACGCTGCCATGAAGAAGAGACACCTTGAGGAGCATCGCCATGCCCCTGCTCACGGCCAGAGCGCTTAGGCGCGTTGTATACAGCCATGGGCGCATCTGTTGATCGGGTTCTCCGGTGGAGATGATGGTGTTCTCTTGTTTCTGCTGGCTGGTTCGGGGCAAAGTAGCATTCGTTTCGTGGTTGGGTTTAGACCATTATCTTTTTTTCCGGCTCGCTTTCCGGCTGGGAAAGTTGGGAGTGGGCGCGGTTGGGTAGGGAGCCTGTCTTCGGTGTGCATATCTGGTATGGGCATCGCTGGTCTGGGTACACAGATTTTTGGACAGGCAGAAATGTCACGTGCATGATTGATGAAAACTGTCTGCCCTCTTTGCTTGATTGTGCTCAATGAGGCGACACAGTTATGCTTGTGTGCTACCGAGAGCTAAGGACTGCAGTTCGTGAGGCACGAATGCTGGGGCGTTTTGTTCCGATCTGGTTTGGAAGTGCTGGTAAGACGACTATACCCTTTGTTGTGTCTCGTTCATGATTGTTGCTTCTTCAAGGGAGACTTTGAATTACTCGAAGCAGTTGATAGCTACTATCAGCCGTGGCCCCAATTCGGAGACGAGTCCGAGTGCGGGAGGTTGCCGTTACCAACGAGAAACAATTAATCGAAGTATTGCTTCTTTCCAGTAGAGACTGAGGACTGAGATTGAACTTAACAGCGGGTCCCTAGAACAGCAAAGGCACAGAACAGTTCAAAGAAAGAGGGCAAGCGCTTCCTCACAAGTTCTTAAAAAAAACTAAGGTACATTTGCACGCAAGGATTTTGCATTTCCAATTATCTACCGACATCAAATCTTCGAACAAAGTACAAACATACAGCATACCAGCCCAAGCCTTTCTCCGAAGCCCCATGCAAAATGGATAGACTGCTGACAGGCTGAAAGGCCTCCCAGGCCTGGTAAGCGTCGTGAAGCGATCTCTGCATCCACACAAATCGAAGTCCGTACCTCTCCTGGTTCGTCCGCCTGCGTTCGTATCATCTGGGCGCTTTGCGCAGTATGTGTTGTCGTGACTGCCGCATGCCCCTTGTCGCACTAACCTAGCAGGAGACGTCCTGACTACCCCTCGAGTTCATGAGTAGGGCTACAATCAGACCGTACAGACCTGCAAGGCCATGAGTTAGCCGTTGCCGCTAAGCTAACTTTGACACCGCTGAACCTACCCAGGACTTCGGCGAAAATGAGGATCAGAATCATGCCGACGAACAACCGCGGCTGCTGTGCGGTACCTCTCACACCAGCATCACCGACGATGCCGATAGCGAAACCGGCGGCAAGACCCGCCAACCCGACCGACAGACCGGCGCCGAGTTGGATGAAATTGGTATACAATGGGGTCTTCTGTCCCAGGTCGTTCGAGATCAAGACCGATACGACCAGACCGTAGATCGCAATGATACCAGCCATAATGACGGGGATGATGTCTAGTCACATGGTCAACTTCTTGTTCGGTAGGCGGCCATTTAAGCTATAAGGTGGACTCCATACTCTTGACGATCAAATCCGGTCGTAAAACACCCATGGCCGAGATACCAACGCCAGCCTTAGCTGTGCCGTAGGCGGCGCCGAAACATGTGAAGACGATGGCTGACGTGCAGCCCATCGCACCAAAGAAGGGCTATTACGGTGTCAGTTAGCGTGCTATTCTGGGTGTGGATATATCGGCGGAGCGATGCGGGTTCCCCTTTCAACGGGTGCGACGGGAGGCGGCGAGGACTGGGAGCATCGACTTACGGCATAGACGGGGCTACATATGGACTCTGGTCAGCAAGGAAGAACTGGAGACGCTTCTGAGACTGGATAGAGAGTAGCAGCGGAAGCGCTGGAGCTTGATGCTTATCTGGAAGAAACAAATCCAGACGCCCCAGGCAGGTTCGAGGGGGGCTCACCAGAGATCGGTAGCCATTGCGACGGCTGTTTCTGTTCAAGCGGGATCGAAAGGCTGATGTGTGGGCTTCGAATGAGATGCAGGAAGTCGGAGCTGCTGCTGTAGGCGATGGCGATGGTCGACGGCGATGACGAGGGCGAAGTCGCTGGTGGTGAAGCAAGAGAGACACCATTAGCGTGTAACGTGACTTTCGGTGTCATGGTTTTCCCGACGAGCTGAGCTTCGCATGAATTTCTGTCTGGCTTCGATTTTTATCTGCGACGGGCGATTTCTCGTATATCTACACCGGAAAGAGGCGAGCGAAAGCAGTGAGCCCTCTCTTCGTATCTTTCCTCCTCCGCGACCGCAAAGAAGGAACAATCTTGTACGCAGCGACCACCGAACACATCAGCGCATACTCTCCAAATATCACCATGGCAGACAACACCTCCGCAGCCTGGCCTATCGCCGACGCCGGGTTCGTGAATATCCTCCGCTTATGATGAGTGTCGCAACTGACACTTTGAAGCCTTTCCCAAGAGATCCTTGATCTCGTACAACAAGTGAGTAATTTCCGCAAGTAAGGCAGCAGCTTTCCAAACAACTGCTAACGTTTGCCAAAGGCGTCGCACTACCGCCAGTAAGTCGCCGCGTACCTATGTCTGCAATACAATACGTCTAATGCCGTTGAAGGTTGAAGAAAGGCGCGAACGAAGCCACGAAGACCCTCAATCGAGGTATCTCGGAGGTCATTATCCTTGCGGCGGACACCTCCCCATTGGCTATGTAAGCACCGGATACAATTTGTGCGCGCTATGCACCTCTGACGGCGCCCAGCCTCCTGCATCTTCCTCTCCTCTGCGAGGACAAGAACGGTAAGATAATCTAGCAAGGCGTTATAGTGACGGATATGCTAACACAGCACAGTTCCTTACGTCTATGCAAGTACCCAGGCCATTATCGGATCGCGGACTCTCAACTAACAAAGGCGAAACAGGTGCCATCAAAGATGGCGCTCGGACGTGCGTGCGGCGTTGTATGTCCTTCCACCAAATACCTCTCATTCGAGCGTGAATGCTTACAATCCTTCAGACCCGCGCAGTCATCGCTGCATCGATTACGACAAACGAGGCCTCCGATTTGATGGGCCAGATCCGCACCCTGAAGGACAAGGTTGAGAGATTGATGATCTAGTTGTGCGAATATATGGCCAGTTCTCGCGGGACAAGCGGTTTAAGCACAGAAGAAATCGTGGGTGAAGACGAAAAGGAGCTCCATATCGGTTCGAGAAGGCGGCATCGTTGAGGTAGTTTTTGGCTTTGGAAAACGAGGATCTGAGTAGTGGCGTGGCGCGGCTTCAAGATGCACGAAGGGGACCATCTGGGTTCCGAGGTGGGATAGAATGTTGTAAAAAGCGGTTCCGTCCGTAAGATCAAGAATTTCTACCCCATACCATTGGATCCTGTTCTGCGTAACCGGTGTTGGCGTGTTGAGTTGATCCTTCTTTAATGACACCCGGCTAAGGAGATGGGTATCGTATTTCTCGTTTCTTAAATTTCTTGTCATGGTCTTCGTGCCTCCCACAGAGTTCTCATGACCCCCATTTGAAGTCCGCGGCCTGAAATATCCATGGGAATACATATGGCTTCTCTCTAACCACTTTGTGTGTGTTCCTCGATCCTTCTATCCGTCCCGAGGTCCAATGTTCCTTGTGCCTTGGTTAACAGTTCATAAATGCAGTCGCATCATTAAGACCCTTGTTTTTGAACAGGATCGGTGTATAACATACTGTCTGGCGGTTCACTCTTGCTGCCCGTCTTCGCCCTCAGCACCCCTAAGGAAAGGGGCAAATACTAGTGATGGAGGGATGAACGGGCAATCTAAGACGAAGAACTCCGCTGTGTGATTCGCCGGGCACACAAGGATCATTTGCGCGCCGTTGCAGTGAGACAGAAATCTCTGGGAGCAGGAATCCATCTCGGCTGAACCCAAGGCTCTTTAGGCAGCAAAATCAAAGTCGAAGCATAAGGCCACAAGGAGGGGGCAGGATAACGAGACCCTGCACCGCAGATCTTTTGTGGGGCTCCGGAATGCTGTGTGGCGCTGGAGAAGGTTCGACCTTAGAATTAAATTTCATGGTATGAAGATATAAACGTGAGCTGAGAGCAGCGACTAACCGTCTAATCTCACTATAGCAATGGCTCTCGATCACTCAACATCAATCATCATCGTCGGCGCAGGCACGTGGGGTTGCTCAACCGCCCTTCACCTGGCGCGAAGAGGCTACAAGAATGTCAAAGTCCTTGATCCGTATCCAGTCCCGTCGCCAATCTCTGCAGGAAACGATGTCAACAAAATTGCGAGTGAACTCTCCATTGTATATTCTATACGCCACTGAGTAATAGCTGACGCCCCAGCAGATCACCGCCCGCTCCAGCTCGTTCGCCGACGACTCAGATGACGAGGTCCATGTTGCGCGGAAGCTCCTTGAAGCCTCTATGGAGGGCTGGCTCTATGATCCTGTCTTCAAGTCTCACTATCACGAGACTGGCTTCATCGCCGCGGCCAGCAGTCCCGCCAATATTACTAAATTACAGCAACAAGCTCAGGAGGACAAAAAGTCAGACTTCAAGTACCTGAGTACGCCAGAAGACTTCAGAAAGACCATGCCAGAGGGGGTCTTGACTGGAGACTTTCCGGGCTGGTGGGGCTGGCAAAAAAAGACAGGTGCAGGCTGGGTGCATGCCCGGAACGCACTCATCTCGGCCGCAGCAGAGGCGAAGAGGCTCGGTGTAACATTCATCACCGGTTCTCCGCAAGCCCACGTGACTAGCTTCGTATACGAGCAAGGCGATATCAAGGGCGCAAAGACAGCAGACGGCAAGGATCACCGCGCAGATCGCACAATTCTATGCGCCGGCGCAAGTGCTATCGAACTCCTCGACTTCAAGGACCAACTCCGACCCACCGCATGGACACTCGCGCACATCAAGATGACGCCAGAGGAGGCCGCACTGTACAAATATCTACCCGTTCTATTCAACGTCGAGCGTGGCTTCTTCATGGAACCGGATTCAGATAACCACGAGCTGAAGATGTGCGACGAGCATCCTGGCTATTGCAACTGGGTGAACAACTCCGCTGATGGCCAGCGCAAGAGCTTGCCATTCCCCAAGAGCCAAATTCCAGTTGAGGCCGAGCAGAGGTGCCGGGGGTTTCTCCGTGAAACCATGCCGCAGCTCGCAGACCGGCCTTTCTCTTTCGCGAGGATCTGTTGGTGTGCGGATACGCCTAACAGGTCCTTCCTCATCGATCGGCACCCTGAGTATCCGTCGCTTGTGCTAGGCGTGGGCGGCTCAGGCCATGGCTTCTCCTGCATTCCGGCTATAGGTAAATTCATCGTCGAAGCCATGGAGGGGACCCTCGATCCGAAGATGGCCGAGTCATACCGGTGGAGGCCTGAGACGGCTGTTAACCGGGACTGGAATGATACGCAAGGGCGGTCTGGAGGGACGAACGAGGTGATGGACTTCCAGAAGGTTACGCAATGGACTGCTATCGGCTCTGAATCTAGGCTGTGATGTGAGTATGAGTGCGCGCCGGGGGTTGCTTCGAGGATGCCTCATCTCGTGTCAATTCACCCACATTGCCAGTGCTGGGAGTACTCGAAGTCCCTTGAGCAGCATGCCATCAGGAACAAGCACTCAATCTCACTTTCGCCTCAAGCTGCTGCCGCAGTTCCTTCGGTAATCACACGGGGCACCCGCGCAGTAACCCCAAGCTCTTCCCACAACCTATGCCTCACAGCTTTGTCGACCAGCGCCTCCGTTGCAACCACCTTGTGCGTCTCGAGCGAGAACCGCGAGAATAGTACGAAGCGGTTCCGTATGTGGCCCAAGATGTTGACATGCGCAATCAGTCTCATCAGAAGACCTTCAGTCAGGCGGAAGAAGGACTGCTAGTTGAGTAGCTCGTCGAGATCATGCTCTGTTGTCCTGGATATGATTTAGGCGGAATCGTCAACGATACATCTGCTGCATCCATGTGCTGTCCAGTACTGTACTCGAAGTGCAAATGCGTCTCGAGGGGACTTTGGGAGGTCTAGAACTGCACATGGAGCTGAATGGAATTCTGTCCTTATCTCCGCTTTTCGTCCAGCACCTAATTGAGCTCTGATACTGGGTTCGGCCCGGCGATCCCCAGATCCAACCCATCTGCTAATCCTTGTTGCGATATACTTTGCTCATGGGACAAGATGTCGGGCATCCGAAGCCACGGCCCTTATCCCTCCCGCTGTCCCCTGGAGTGACAATATGTGCCGTGGTCGTGCAGCTGTCCTTAAACAACACGGGGTGGAAGGAAGGTGGCCTCGGCAGGAATGTCATACCAGTTGCCATTCAATGCACATTGCATCGTAGCGTGCAGAAGTGTTCTTCATGGTCTGAAGTACATCATTGACTCGATCCGCCATGCATTCTGTAGCTTACAACCTTGTCCTTGCGTGGTGAGATTTTCTGTCCCTGATGTCGACATCCCCTCTTCGCCATGGCACTTTTCAAGAGTAGAGCAGGCGACAACAACAAAGTAGCCGCATACGAACTCGAGCAAACTGCTGGCCCTGACGGTGGCCTCGCTTCCGTAAACGGAGCGGTCAGTGGTAGAGCGAGGTCTATTGTATGGTGCTTCTCTTCGCCATTGTCCTGTACCAAGCACGGGAAAAGAGGGTGTATAAAGGTCCAGTCATCAATATCAGCTGCTCTTCGTGAGGAGCTTGCATGGCCGTTCTGCTTCGAGTCATTGCTGCTTAAGCACGCTATCAGTAGGTGCCTCTCGAGGGACCTTTGCGAAGTAAAGGAGACACCGCTGTTAAAGTTTGTCGCTTCGCATAACAACTGCCTTCCAGCATTTGAATCTGCTTGTGGTGACTGCGTAGCGCATTGAGTAACCGGTTACTGGCCGTGTCTTTACGGGCTTTTAGGGCCTTATCCACTTGGTGTTCCTCGTAGATGGTAGAGATCATCAGTCCAACCTCGCCCTCTTGCCATCCCGCTCAGGCTCATTCCCATATCTCTTCCTTTCTCCAACCGCACTCGCGTTGGCGCCAGTTACTCCACCACGATCCGGTCGAAACCTGTCATCCACCCCATACGAGTCACCTCTCGGCCCTCTTCTGTCGCCCAGATCTCCCCACCTACCCGTATCCTCGCTCTTAAGATCCTTGTACCTCGTGCGACCCTTCTTTCCCAACTTCGTCATATCCCTGATCTGCATGTACTGCGGCAACAGCTCCCGATTCTGCACATCGTCCGCATAACGGCTGCCCATAATATCTCTCCGATCCAGTCCTTGCGCCTTCGCGTCGTCCTGGAAGAATGCACCCTTGTGGAAGTACTTCTGCATATACCCCATCTTCCCACGCCCTTCCCTTTCCTCCTTCTGCTGCTCCAACCGCTCTCGATCCTCCGCCTCCCGCTCCTCCTTCGTGAGGTTCCTACGACGCTCAACCTCCTCGCGCTCCTTCTCCGCCGTCTCGATGATCTCGCGCTCGCGCTTTACCCTCCGCAGCTCCCGCAGCTTCCACGCCGCTCGCTCGGCTTCGGGATCCACATCGTCGGTATCGTCCACCATCTCCGCATCCGGGACGTCCTCGTCATCATCCCAGCCCTTCTTTGCTGCCTCCTTAGCCGCGGCCCGCGCCTCCAACTGCTCCTGCACCAGCGCGTCCGCAGCCGCTTTCCTGCGCGCTTTTTCCTCCGCCTGTCGCGCTTCCTCCGCAGCCGCTGTGTCCTGCGGTCCTCCTCCTGCTGCGGCACCGTTCTTGCGCTGGTCTTTGCGCACGAAGACGGGGCGGAGCAGCTTCCGTCGCGCGGCTGCGGTGTCCTCTTCTGAACTGCTTTCTTCTTCTTCCTCTGACTCCTCGCTCCCACTTCCACTACCACTACCGGAGCCAGAGCCCTCGGCCTCGGACTCTGTCTCAAAGCCCTCCTCAGCCGCTTTCCTTGCCGCTGCTTCGGCCTCTACGCGTGCGGCTTCGCGTGCTGCGGCTTCGGCGCGCCGGGCATCAAGGTTGACGTTCCGGAGGTTGTGCGTGATTTTCGAGGCGCTGGGGAAGGATGTTGCTTTTGGCGGTGGTGCGGCAGTGGATTGCTGTTGCTGCTGATCTTCTGCGTCCGAGGCGTCTTCGTCGGAGGAGGATGAGGGTGCTTCGGCGGTGGGTTTGCCGGGGCGGTAGCGGGCGGGCTTGAGGGGATTTGCGGTCATGCGTTTGGGAGGCATGGTGATGGAGATTTGCGAGATGCGGGTTTCGGGGAATTAAGTATGGTGTAGGGGGTGGAAGAGTAGCTGGCTGCTGTTACAGTTTGGAGTGCTGCTGGATGTGGTACAGGTAGAGCTCGTGATACTCTGAAATTCGATAGGGCTGAAGAGGATTGAGTCTTGGCGTTCCTATCGATACTTCGGGATTTGAAAGAGAACGATGTAAATGCTCTGATATCAAGAGCACTTCCAGCTCACCACTCTACAGCAGCAAGTCCGCATTGCGACATCGAAGTCAACTGGCCTTCAAGGGAATTCTTGATGGCAGAACTCGTTGAAGCTTCAGTGTTCGTCACGGTTCAGTACAGTGCTACAAGGTACGGAAGCAAGTGGGAGCGCGGCAAGGCCATCACTTTGTTGTTGCACTTTAACGTTGTTTCTAGATACACCTCACTGCTTCTTTGACTTTTCTACGTTCATAGTTTTTAGCGCCAACCTCACTCGCAATGAAAGTCCCCGTTCTGTGTTGTGGTTTGCCAATACCATTTATGCGTATCAAGATGCCAGATCCAGGCGAGCCAAAGGGCTCGAGATAAACGTCTCCCTGGTTATCCAGGCACTCCCGGACCTCGTGGCCCTCCCAGTCCTCCTGATCCTAGCGGCAAAGACGCCGCGATGGTCGTGATGGCCGCAATGCCAACCACAGTTACAACAAACCAACCCGGTACTGTAGCGAGAGTATCTGGCCAGAATAAACGCTTATGATTTGGATTGGTGATCTCAACCTCAGCTTCTTCTGTCGTTACCAAAACCCCACCGTGAAGCCGCGAGCCTAAAGTTTCAAAGCTCATCGACAGCCACGGATCCGAATCGACATACATAGTGGACGTCCGTGAAGAGATGAAGTGAGAAACTTGGGTTTCAAATCGAAATCTTTGCGCTGGGATGTATTCGGTTTCTTGTAAGAAGAGACGAACCAAGGCCTTGAGGGAAATTGTTGAACACATGACAGTCCTCTTGTTCTTCTGTCCTATCTTGCGGGTTTCCTATACTGCGGTCCTCCCTTGTTCGCCCCATTGTATGGACAGCCGTTGCCTTTCTTGCGGTCGAACGCCTACCAGCTGACCAGGTCTTACATAATGGTTCTTCACCACACCTAATCATATCTGCGTAAGCTGGACGGCACAGAGCGCCAACTTGCGAGATATCTGCAGAGTTTGAGACAGAAACCATTAAGACGCAGCTCAACCTTCTGGAAGTGCTGTCTGTAAATAGCAGTAACTTCCACGCTCCCCGCGGAGTGCACTATCAATCAATACGTCTTTCGAAAATCTCGCCTAGCAGTAGTGCAAACAGGGGAAACCCATCAGCGGGAGATCAGAGCGGATGATCCTCCTTGCCGCAAGCGCTACCTTAGCCTGTTGCTTAAGGGATTGAGAATCGAAGCTTCTGCTCACCGCAACTTCGCTTATATGTGGGTTTGGCAGGAGAAGCAGGTGGCTTCGAACGCTAGGATAACGTCTCAGGCCAAAGCCCTTGCACGAAGCCCCGCCAAGCATCCTCGGCTTGCAGATCACCCGGCCATGCGAGCTCGTGGCGCCGATCAGTGGGTCAATCTCGCTGATGGCGATCAGTTTAGCCTTTCAAGGATCTCCCTGTCTGCTTGGAGTCCTCGATCGTTAGTTGTGAATGGGTTGTTCCAAGGTTGTGATGGAGCCATGTAACTACGAGGACTTCAATCGCAGAGGGTGTAGTGGTAGGAAAGCGTTTCCTGTACTGCTTAAAGCACATGGATATCCGGCGTCAAGGCGAGTCAAGCACTTGAAGCACACTCAGACCTTTCCATGGCTGTCAGATGGCGTTTCCGGGAACTCTCACATCCGACAAAAACCTCAAGCATAAAAATTAGCTCACCTAGCGCCGACCTTGGCTGGCGATCAGCACGCACGTCAGCATCATGATTTGCGACACCAGCGGGCGCGGCCCTCGCTTCTGCGCCGCTTGCGGGCGTCCCATCGCCTGACACTGGCAGTTTCGGGCGTTCCGCACGTCTTAGCTGGCTGGAAAGGGCCTGGAAGTTGCAGCGAAGGAAGCACTAGATCTGCGCCATCGTGAATGCTTTTTGATGTGGCCCCGCGTCTCGGATGCGTCTTGGGTGGTGCCTTGAAACTGCTTATGTTTGGTGATGGCAGCGCGGCCGACTGGCGAAGGTGCTTCAAATTAGCGAAGGCTGCCAGGCTTCGCTCTGGTACTTCTGTACCTGCTCTTCTCTTCTTCTCAGTCTTTCCGTTGTTAAAGAGCTACTCACTGCAAACGCGTGTCGCCGGCGCATCCGTTACGTCTCTTCCGTGCCTTCATAGAGGCCGGTTCCTGTGCACCTTCCGGCGTCAGACTTTGTCATCTTCTCGGAAAAGACGTCCCATTATGGAAATCACAGCAGAAACTCCCCTGCTGGAGCGCTTGTCCGTACCGCCTGTGTTTGTCCGGACAAGCATGGAAGCGCTCGCAGAGAAAGGCTCCATACCGCCCCAAGCAACATTCCCAGATGCTACATGGACGCGGATACTCTCGGACAAGCAGGGCCGCCGTCTCCCTCAAGCAATAGCCCACCGAGGGTATAAGGCCAAGTATCCAGAGAATACTATGGGCGCCTTCACCGGCGCAGTCAACGTGGGTGCACACGCCATAGAAACAGACATTCATCTCTCCAAAGACGGCGTTGTGGTACTCTCGCATGTAAGTCTCAGCATCACCTTTGACTGAGATCCCTTCAAAGACTGATGAGGTTACAGGACAAGGACCTAAAACGCTGCTTCGGCCGCCCAGACAAGATAATAGAGCGCGACTGGAAGTATCTCTCACAAATCCAGACGCTCCGAGAACCGCGCCAGCACATGCCTCGCCTACTCGACCTGCTGACCTACCTCGCGTCTCCCGGCTTGGAGGAGATCTGGCTGCTGCTGGACATCAAGCTCGATAACGACGCCGACGACGTCATGCGCCTAATAGCCAAAACCATCCAGTCTGTGCGTCCATCAAAAGCATGGAACAAGCGCGTAGTGCTTGGTATCTGGGCAGCGAAGTATCTGCCGCTCTGCGCCGAATACCTGCCCGGCTTCCCCATTAGCCATATTGGCTTCTCAACGCTGTACGCGGATCAGTTCTTCAAGGTGGAGAACGTGAGCTTCAACATGCTGCAAGCCGTGCTGATGGGCCCGTGCGGGGGCCGCTTTCTCAGACGCGCAGAGGCTGCGCAGAGGCCTGTCTACGCGTGGACGGTGAACGAGGAGAAGAGGATGAGGTGGTGTATTGAGAAGAAACTGGATGGGGTTATCACGGATGATCCGAAGCTCTTTCTGGATGTGTGCAAGGACCATAGTGAGTTCGCGCGGCCAGAAAGCTTCGGTTTGGGGATTTGGCTCGACGTGCTAAGAATTAACTTTTTTGCTATGGTTTACGGGTTGCTTTTCATGTGGAAGTACCGGGATTTCAGGGTAGAGGGGAGGTACATCTGCTAGACAAGCTTCTGGCCATAGGAGTAGAGGGGGTGCATAGGTCGGCGTTTCTGGGGCAGGCGCTATCTTCTGGGGCATTGAGAGAGAGCTGTAGATACGAGACATGATAGACGAAGCAAAGAACGTTGAACGCTGTGGTCCAATCTCTGCGGAGGTTCACCTTTCCTGATTGTTGATGGGTTTTCGTGCAACCGTTCTGCCAAGAAGACGCGGACCACTTCGCGACGCGTCGTCTGCGACTTCAAAAATACCCCACCTTGACACCCACGATGCCTAGGTATAGTGTTAGAAGAACCACACAAAATGTAGTATTGCTAACAGCTAAATAGAGAGATAATCACTATACAAGCTGGCCAGTGCGGCAACAGCGGTGCGTCCTTAACTTCTACTCCGTATCAACAAACCTGAACCCCCACCACCACCCATGCCTACGCTGTGTAGCTCGACCGCAACCACCTCCGATAAGGGCGCTTAATATTGAACAGATACCCACTGTCACACTCATGAACAAAGTGTAATGCGATTGTTACCTCTACTGATCTGCCGTTACCAGTGGGATCCCAGTTCTGGCAACAGCTATGTCAAGAGCACGGCATAAATCAAGACGGCAACCTTGAAGACTTTGCAATCGAGGGCGGCGACAGGAAGGATGTCTTCTTCTACCAGGTGTGTATAGCTCTACCTCCCTCTCAGGCATTATCACGATCATGTGTCGCCCACTCTTCACGAGTCCCAACCCTTCTACAGCGCGATATCGCGCAAAGACACCACATGTCCAACATCAGCACCGCTGACGCCGCTTAGTCCGATGACACCCGCTATATCCCTCGCGCTATCCTTATCGACCTGGAGCCCAGGGTGATCAACACTATCCAGACCGGCGCCTACAAGAACATTTACAACCCGGAGAACTTCTTCGTACACAAGGAGGGCACTGGTGCAGGCAACAACTGGGGCGCCGGCTACTCTATGGGCGAGCAAGTCCACGAGGAGGTTATGGATATGATCGATAGGGAGGCGGATGGGAGTGATAGCCTCGAGGTGGGTCATACCCAGGAATTGTCATTGCGCTTGCTGTGCTTGCCGTAGCAGAGCTCTGGGCAGAACTCTGAGCAGCAAAGAAGGCACATCAATAATTGACGATCTTCGCAGGGCTTCATGATGCTACACTCCATCGCGGGCGGCACAGGATCTGGAATGGGCAGTTTTCTGCTCGAGCGGCTGAACGACCGCTTTCCGAAGAAACTGATACAGACGTACTCGGTCTTTCCAGATACGCACGACATAGTTGTGCAACCGTACAACAGCCTGTTAGCTATGAGACGTCTAACGCAGAACGCAGACTCGGTGGTAAGTCAGGACGCGCGTGCGAGTCGTTCATGCCATGTGTGAATACTTATTCTCTTAGGTGGTCCTCGATAACGGTGCGCTCTCCCGCATAGCAGCAGATCATCTCCACGTCCAAAAGCCCTCCTTCCAGCAGACAAACCAGCTTGTAGGTACAAGCCAGCCTCTTCTTTTCCAACCCATCCACTTACCAAGACCCAGGTCTCGACAGTGATGTCCGCTAGCACGACAACCCTCCGCTATCCCGGCTACATGCACAACGACCTCGTCGGCATTGTCGCCTCTCTCATCCCCACGCCGCGCTGCCACTTCCTCATGACTTCGTACACGCCCTTCAGCACGGACAACGTTGATCAGGCGAAGATGGTGCGCAAGACGACGGTCCTAGACGTAATGCGGCGCCTGCTGCAACCGAAGAACCGGATGGTGTCGACGAACCCGAGCAAGAAGAGCTGCTACATTTCCATCCTCAATATCATCCAGGGCGAAGCTGATCCTACTGATGTAAGTCGCACGAACCGTGCTTCCCAGCCTGTCTCCCTTCCTCCTTTCTCTCCTCTCCCTGCGCAATCACTGCCTCGCTTCCTGCCACATCCCTGCCACCCCCTCCCGGAATACATGAACACTAACACCAACCTCAGGTTCACAAATCCCTCCTCCGCATCCGCGAGCGCCGTCTCGCAACCTTCATCCCCTGGGGCCCCGCCAGCATTCAAGTCGCCCTCACACGAAAATCGCCCTACATACCCTCCCAGCACCGGGTCTCCGGGCTCATGCTCGCAAACCACACAGGCATCTCAACCCTCTTCCGGCGCATCGTCGTGCAATACGACAAGCTGCGGAAGCGGAACGCGTTCATCGAGCAGTACAAGCGGGAGGCGCCGTTTTCTGATGGGTTGGGTGAGTTCGACGAGGCGAGGGAGGTGGTCATGGGGCTGGTGAGGGAGTATGAGGAGGCGGAGGAGGCGGATTATTTGACTAAGGAGGGGCCAGGTGAGGGGAAGGAGGATGCGGGGGCGGGTGCCAGTGCGTAGTGAGGAGGGTTGGGGTTTGATGCATTGGTGGGCGTTGGGAGTGAATGACGAGATATGTCTGAATTGAGTGGGATTTTCTTTCTGGTATGGCTTTGAGGGAGAATCTGGCTGTGGAGTCGACGCTGGAGTCTGTTGCGTCTGATACCGCAGTTCGTAGGACGCATGATACAATGCAGGTTTGCGCAAACCTCGAAACGATTGGAGATGTGACTCGATTACGCGTACTCGTAGTACACTTCCGCAGCCAAGCTAGGATGCAGAACGTGCAGGTTGTGAAGCTGAGCGTCAAGAGAGGGTACAGGAGCAGCACGCGATCCTAACGACGAACGGCGATAGAGCGTACGAGACGCCAAGTTGAAGACTATAAAAGAGAACGTCTTTAGCGCGCGCATCAGACTCACGCCTTGCAACATCACCACCAAAAGGAAAAATGCAAAACTCATAATCCCTCACCCTAACGGGTGAAGAACGTCCGCGAGGAAACCCCCCTCCTGCCGAAGCAGCTGAGAGAACATCAGGTTTATTAAGCGGCTACTAAATTTGGATGCTGTGTTTGGTTAGTAGGAAAATTCAAGAATGCAAAGCAACGCAAACGGGAATCGAACACATGCACCAGCGGCAATGCCCGCCCGGGTTAGATTTGACGGGAGTTTCCCACTAGAGCACCGATCCGAGTCCGCTGGGCAAGGTTGAGTGTGAGTTAAAGAATATATGAAGAATGACTCGGTCCGAGATGGGGGCTGGGGGGAAATGAAGGGCTGGCGGCGCAGCAGTAGGACGACCGCAATAGGGGAGATTACGGGCAGCGGAGGTTGACTGAGTGAAATGAAGTGGTTCGACTTTCCACTACTTGGCTAGCATGGCAGTCGATGCGGCTTACTGTACACAGATCTGCTTTGGACTTGGCATCACTGTCTCACAGCTGCGACACTAACCACAGTATCTACAACTGCTGAGAATATCAATCTGTCCCTCAGTATCAGTTCATACTAGCAGTGTTGGCTCTTGACATGAGGTTTTGAATGATTCTGAGGGCAGGCGAGTCTAGACAGAAATGCAACTTGGGGAGACTGGACGGAATACGGCTACCCAGAGACTTCCACAACTCGCAATAGAAATAGGACCTGGACATTATCTTCGAATCACTGAGACAGGAGAGAACGCTTCAGTGCAAAGCTGCAAAATACTGTGCTGCATAGCTCCCGCCAAAGCATACAATGGTCAAACACTACGATTATCTGAGACACTGTGGTCTTCATTGACCTTAAGAGAGCGCTGAAGGTCACTGTCTGTCAACACAGGCTAGCCAGAGAGACAGAGACTCCAGAAAGAGCGCAGGGATAGATGCGGTGCAGGCCTCAGGGGGAAGGAAACGCAGCATTCGCGTTCCTGATGTCGATATTCTAACGGTAAACGTCACGTGCCTCGAGCTCAATGTTGTCATCATCATCCGCCTTAAGCGAATCTGCCAGCCTCGGCATCCGGCAAGATCTCCAGCTCTCCACAATTTTAGTGACTTTCCCCGCAAGATGGAGGCTGTAGCGCGTGTTGTCTCTCCAGAGTCGCGAGCACTTGGTGCCGGCAGCCGTGAGGTTCATTTAGCCGCACGGGATGTGGATTTAGTCTGTATTAGTAGCTTGCTATGGCACAGTTCGGTCATCTCGTTACTTCTGATTCTCATTTGTATCCTCTACAAGAGCTTTCCTCATCCACTTCTCGAAACCTTCTGTGCCACACAGTTCTCTCCATTAGAGCCTCTAGCGAAGAATTGAGTTCTCGCCGAGGTAGTACGGCGCTGTGTGGGACAACAAGCCCGGGTGACACAGCATCGAGTGGCATTTCTACAGAATCTGTCGTCCACCTCAGCAATTGCATCTTTTCTAAACCTCATCATTCTTACTAGAGCCGTCGCATCATCTATAGCCCCCTAGATTATCATCGACTCCCGAATTACTCCCACGGTCAATCCGCCTCTAAACCCTTCTTAGTCCTGTAAACCTCTCCCAAGATGCACATCAAATCACGATGGAGCATCCCCATTCCCCAAGTCGACCTCTCCACCTACCTCTTCACCTCTCCCGATGCCTCCCTCCCCGAAACGCCACTCCTCATCTCCGCCAGCAACCCCGCGCACTACCTCACCCACTCAACATATCGCCTGTACTCTCAGCGCCTCGCCCTCGGCCTCCAGCGCGCAGGGCTGCACCCAGGGGACCGTGTCCTGCTCTTCAGCGGCAACAGCTTGTACTTCCCCGTTGTGCTGATGGGTGTCATCATGGCGGGTGGCATCTTTACTGGCGCGAACCCGGGCTATGTGGCTAGAGAATTGGCATACCAGCTGCAAGACTCGGGGGCTACCTTCTTGATTACGGCAGAGGCAAGTTTGGCGACGGCGCTGGAAGCCGCAGATGCGGTGGGCATGCGGCATGACCGGATCTTCGTGTTCAACGACAACGAGACGGACAGGGGGAGCCGACCAGAAGGAGTCCCCCACTGGTCGCACCTCCTCGCCCCCGCCTCCTCCGCGCGCACCTTCGCCTGGGAAGCCCTCACCACCCCCTCCCAGACTAGCAGAACCATCGCGCTAAACTACTCCTCCGGCACGACCGGCCCCCCGAAAGGCGTAGAAATCACCCACCACAACTACGTCTCCAATACCGCCCAAACCGTCGCCCTAGCCCAACTGGCCCCGGACTTCGAAGCCACGAACGCGCGCGCCCGCTGGCTGTGCTTCCTGCCCATGTACCACGCGATGGCGCAAACCATCTTCTGCGTTGCGGCGCCGCTGCGGGGTATTCCAGTATATATCATGCCGAAGTTCGATTTCCTGGGGATGCTGGAGGCTGTGCAGAAGTTCAAGATCACGGATCTGATTCTGGTACCGCCGGTTGTGGTCGCGCTGGCGAAACATCCCGCCGCCAGGAAGTTCGATCTCAGCAGCGTGGAGCGCGTCGGATCCGGCGCGGCGCCGCTGGGGCGCGAGGTCTGCGAGGAGCTGGAACAGTTATGGCCCAAAGGCAAAATTAACGTTAAGCAAGGATGGGGGATGACAGAGGGGACATGTACGGTGCTGTCGTGGAATCCTGAAGAGCGGAGCGAGTCGTTCAGTGTCGGGGAGCTGGTGGCGAACTGTGAGGCGCGGCTGGTGGATGATGATGGCAAAGAGGTGGGGACGGGAGAGAGGGGGGAGCTGTGGGTCAGAGCGCCGAACGTGATGAAAGGGTATTGGAAGAGGCCGGAGGCGACGAGAGAGACGATTACGCCGGATGGGTGGCTTAAGACGGGGGATATTGCCTATGTGGATGCGCAGGGGAAGTTCTTTATCGTGGACCGGAAGAAGGTGGGCGATGAGGTAGATGACGCTTTGATGCATGGAAGCTGACTATGGGTGATAGGAACTCATCAAAGTGAAAGGGAATCAAGTCGCGCCTGCGGAGCTCGAGGCCTTGCTACTGGAGCACCCGGCCGTGGCGGATGCCGCAGTCATCGGCGTGACCATGTAAGCTTGCGCGATGCGAATTATCATTGACTGTGTGGCTAACAATTCCGCAGTAATGGGGAGGAACTACCGCGTGCCTACATTGTCCTGAAGCAGGGCAGTAGTGCAACAGAGAAGGAGATCCAGGATTTTATGAAGGGGAAGGTCAGCCGGACAAAGCGGCTTGACGGAGGAGTACGGTTTGTGGATGCAATTCCGAAGAATCCGGCAAGTCCTGCGCTCCGATTTGGCAAAGACCGTGACTAACAGCGCAGCGTAGTCTGGCAAAATCCTACGGAAGCTACTTCGCGAGCAAGCTAAAGCTGAGGTTGGTGACTCGGAGGCTCGTGCGGTGAAGTTGTAAGGGCGGTCTGGCGTCCATAGAAGATAGACAGAACATTCGATATGAGCGTGTGTTGTGACTTGACAGGACACCTTCTACCTCTCCGTCATGCATTGCGGCTGGACGAGCGGCATGTCTCGTTACTTGACCTCAGGAATGCTAGGCTTGACGATGCCACGTCACATTAGGACAGCGACATTAGTCGCTTTATTTACGATCAAGCTAACGTACAAATTTTATGGTTTCTGTATTAGCGAGCTCATCCTGTGACTCCTGTCCTCGTCTCATACTTCTCTAACTAGTTAAAGTCCAAGTCATGGAGGTCGGAGCTGGCAGCGAGCGCTTCAGTCCGTAACTTCCGAGACCGGCTTGAAGTATTTGGTGATCCTGGCGTTGACCGACTCTTCAGACGGTAGCCACGCGATCATTTTGTCAATGTTAACCCTTGCCTCCTCTTGTCCAGCGACGATTTCTCGCCAGATCTGGCGAAGCCGTATACCGACTCTGTTCAGTTCGTTCATCTTGCCCTCCTCCCGCGCAACTCGAGCACGATGCAGAAGATCATCAAGTTTTTGGGTATGCCTGACGCGGCCCATAACCCATTCTTGGTCACACGGTTCAACGTCTCGCAGCCGCACCACCGCATCGTCGATCCGGCCATAAGCCTTAAGGGTGTCGGCTGGGATCACTGGTGCAGGGTCCTTGCAGAAGTATAGCGCCTCTTTTTCTTTCACATAGTCCGCCCAGGCCTTGTCGGGGGATCCTTCTTCTGACAAGTCCGGAGTGTGACTCTTTGTACCTATTGGTGCTAGGATCCCGTGGTGGTAGACGAGTAGGTCATAGAGCTTGAGTTGTTGGATGTTAGTGAGGCTCCACAGGGGCTCAAGCAGCCATTTTGCAGCGGCGACGGTTGACTTTGCTGTCCAACTGCGTTGATCAATAGCAACTTCGATTCTCAGCCTGCGGATGTGATGGGCCTCCCGAAGAAGCCCCACAAGCCTATGAACGTTGTCGCGGACATCGTAAAGCGACCTCTCCTTATCCTTGGGGTTGTATTCCATTATTTGCGACGGGAGTGAACCCTTCCCGACAGGAGCAAGAATCGTAACGTGGAATTGCTCGATTCTCTTGTAAGGCAGACTGCCAAGGTATTGCTTCCAATCTCGACCATGGGGATGCATGAGGAGCTTGAAAGGTTGAGGCTCGAAGGCGCCACCTGGGGCTGCGAAGGACAAGTCTTTGATTTCCACAACAAACTCAGTTTTCCCGTAAAGGACGCTGGAAGCCTCTTGGAATATCTGACGACTGACAAGCAGTAGCGACATGTTCCAATCGCCCAGATTGAATCCTGGTGGGCCAAAGGCAGTCCTGCCATCCACTGACCTGGGTTCGGACACCGGCTTGGAAGGCAGCAAGTACTCGAAGATCCGCAGACGTATTTCTGTGGGGAGTTTCAGCATGTAGCAAGGTACTGGGTAGTCCTTATGCATTAGGCACAGCCTGCATTCTAAATCAGCACCAACACCAAGAAAACGTTGAGGTCTCGTTGAACCTAGAGTTCTCGGTGAATTTCCGACTTAACGACGGCTTGTACATATGACACCAGGAGACCAACAGCATGTTTCGTAACGCATGATCAAATTCTCGTCGGCAATCGAACGCTGATCGCGGAGGATGACTTACTGGTGATAGTACGGCGGTAACCACGGGATACGGCGAAGGCATTTCTCGCCACAGATTTCGATTGCTTGGCATTGAGATGCGCGAAGGGTTTGATCTTGATGTAGCTTGCAGGTGGCTAAGAATCCCGGTTTGACCACCGTTCCGTTATTCATGCAAGATCTGCCCCGTGTCGTCTTGCCATTACAAAGGATATCGGCACAGCAATGGTGGGGACAAGTATCGTATTTATGCGCCGGTGGGGATCCGGTAGTTTTGACACGTTTGGTCCGCTCCGCATCGGCCATGCTCGAAATCTCTCCTGCACCAATAGGAGTGCGTTAGTGTGTTTCCAAAAAGACTGCAGGTGCTTCAGTGAGCCATGGCTACGACAAACCGGGGCAGCAATGAGAACAAGCTTGGCTGCGGGGTGGACTGATGAGTTGCGAGACTACAGCCCAGGAAATCGCACTGGCAGAGAAATGGACTTAGCCGCCGACAGGGCTAAGAGGTTTTGGTGTAGTGAATAGAATAAAGAAATGCTTCACCTGCTCGCACCGGCGACTTTTCAAGAAGAAATGTTAAGTTTGAGGCTCGGTGAATTTTCCAACTGGTGCACAGTTGATGTATCTGTACAAAGTCTGCTTTGAAGAGTGGTATTTCGCACGGCTTGTTTCATGGAGATAGGGCGATGAGTATCTTGCGGTGTAAATGAGAGAAATAGCTTACCTGCCATCGTCGAGCTCGTCCTGCAGTGGCAAAGTGTGAACAGCAATTGATCTCTGGGAAAGCCGTTCAGTGAATTCCTAAAGAGGCGATGCAATACTCTAGCAGACTGGGAGATGAGATGAGATGAGATAAGATTATATCTGCTGCCAAGCATCGCGGCAAAGCGTCATGGAAACTTTTCTGACGGACGGACGGCGTCGGGGCACGTCGAACTTCAAGAGAGGCTTGCACTACCTCTGTCTCCTGGAACCTCCATCTCTCTAAAAGACTTATCCTACTTGACCTGTGACCTTACCGCTTCTTTAATGTCGACGAAGACTCTACTATTCCAGGTAATTACATTCCTGGTTAATAATAGTAATCCAAAAGGCTTGCGATGGAACAGCGTTCCCGCGTCGATAAGCTAGGAAGGGTGCTCTGAGTCTTGTGGTAGATTGTGGCAGTCTCTTCCTAGTGCCATATCTCATTGAAACGTCCAATGTTGCGGCCGCTTCCGCTCTATCAACTCAATGTCCTATGTCTCATCCTTCGTCACACCGCTGCAGCCCCAGCCAATGCTTCATCCTCAGGACAAGTCCATCTTTGTATAATGCTCAAGCCCATTGTCATTTCACCCAACGGTCCGGCCTCGACTCTCTCGGCAACGTTGGTTCACGTAGTGGCCTGGCGGTCCCCCACTCTGCAGCGCCGGAGCCAGTATCAAACCCACCAGGATTTCCTCGCGGACGTCCTTCACCCTGACTGATGGGTGAGGGACTATGGGTTTTTGCTTCCCTTTGGTATTGCTTTATATAGCTGTTGTTCTCTTCTGCAAGTGAATGTCATGCCTCGTTTAGTGTTTGAGTAATAAATCTGTTAAGCTCGCGTGCTCCTAGGATCGTTTAAAGGTCTTGTGTCAAGCACAATAGCTATTGGGTCGGTATCAAGACTAAGAAGATACTTGGTTTCCTCATCAATTGTACATACTGATGCTATTGATGCAATCGGCTGTGAGTCGGCGAAACCACTTCCCTCGCATCCACCGAGCGACAGTTCCAAGCTCCAACGCCATCGATATGCAGTCCAAGGTTGGTATCGAATGCTAGACGCCATGAAAAAAAACCCCCATCAACAGATCAATCTTCCACCAGCTTGTCTTTCCTCCCCGCCGACGCGCCAGCCGCCTTCCCAGGCTGCACTCCCGCATGCACTACACCACCATCCTGCACAAAGAACACCGTCTCGTCCACGATATCCCACACGATATCCTCAGCGACCTGTTCCTTGAACCTCTCGCCTATGCCCCTCAACCTCCTCTTCTCCGCCACTCTGCTCTCCCTATCCCCACCCATCGCGACATCGCCTTCGCCATCCACCACCCCGGCACCCCCCTCGCCCCCTCCTCCCTCCCTCCGCAGTCCCGCAGGCGGAAACCAAAACTCCGGCCCAAAATTCACCTGCGCGACTCCCCCACAAAACGCCGCAACCGCAGGCAAATACCCCAACATGCCATCATCGAACGCACACCTCTGCTCCTCCGGTCCCGTCAGGCGGCTTGCGGGCGGCAGAAACGCCATCAGGTTCTCAAACGCCGTGCCGACCAACTCCCCGTTCTTGTACACGTTGATACTGCTGAACGGCAAGCACCTCAGCGCCGGATCCTCGTGGTTCGGGCTGGGCGTGGTGGAGAGGGGGCTGTGTTTGGGGTCCACGGAGCGGTCCCCGTAGTGCACCATTGGCGCCGTAGGCCGGTACTCGAAGTGCTCGAGGTACATCTGGCTCTTGTAGGGAACGGGCATGCGGTCACGTATCACATCTATGGCTTGGCCGATTTTGAAGGGGGAGGTGGGGTCGGGATCGTCGAAGCCGTCGGTTAGGTCGACGGCGGGGTTGTAGTTCCCGCTGACGACTTTGCGGTGCAAAGAGAGAGAGGGCAGCCGGATCTCGAGCCCGATGACGTCGCCTTCGCGGATGTTGGGGTCGGCGAGGTGGATGGGCTCGGGGGCGGGTTTGGCAGCGCCGGGTTTGGTTTTTTTGGTCTTGGAGGGCGGGAGGGAGTGGAAAAGCTTGCCCGGGCGAGATTTGTGCATTGTCTCGAAGCGCAGGTCTGTGATGCCGTAGCTGTAGCCGTCGTAGCCGACGGGTGCGTCGAGGGGGGCCTCGCGCCGCGCCCAGCCCACGCGAATGTGCGGCTGCGGGTTGTCTTCTTGCCCTGGTGGGATCGGGGGTCCGGAGGAGGGCACGCCGCGCAGGATCTTGACCTCGTAGTAGTGGCTTCCTTCGCTGGCGGCCACGTTCCCGCGGCCCATGCGCCAGCCTTTGTCGTTGGTGACGTGGGTCAGGGTGTCGTCGAAGTGGAGGCGCTTGTCGCTGTCCAGGAAGGACATGCGAGCGCCGAAGGGCCGCTGGTCGGTTTGGCGGTACCATTGTTTGTGGGGGAAAAGGGGGTCGGCGACGCAGGGGAGGTAGCGGTAGGCTTTATGGAAGGGTCTGCAGCTCTGTCAGAGATCGAGATCCCGGATTGCTGAGCTGCGAACTACAAACCTATCAAGCGGATTCTTGAGCTCCACTGTGCCATCAGGCGTAAGTATCGGCGTCGGCTCATGCGATACAAGTGTCGGGTCCTTGGGCGGTTCGTAGGCCTCAAGCTTGGGCTCTGGGACGGCGTACTTGATCGGCGACGGGGCTTCAGGGCCTTTGTGTTTCCCCTTCTTGTCCGGCGTGCTACCCCTTGCGGTAGCCTCCCGTTTCTTAATCGTCTCTCTCTTCTCGCGCTGCTCTCGTGGAGGAGGCCTTGCTGCTGGGCGTGCTCGGGGCATTGCGTCCGGGTTTAGCGGAGAGGAGATGGCGGGCGCATGGTCTTCTTCTAGGACCCGCTTTTGAAGGATTGATGGCGTTGCACTTCGTGAGGGAGGTTGCGCTGCCGCCATTGTAGCTGTTTCGTGTGCGTACGGGAGGATGCTGAGTGGTTGCGGGATGATTCCGCCGGGCTAAAAATCTTCTGAACAGTTTAGGGCAGCTGGCGAGAATACAAAGGATGTTGCGCCTTCGAGATGGTTCTTCTACAGCTCTCCCTGCGTCATCGGTTGTGAACGGTGATATATCTGCACTCCGGCGCGTCAGGTCGCGCTCTCAGTCCAAAAGCGCACCGGGCTGCGGGTGATGCGGGCGGTGAAAGCCCCCTCGGCGGCAGAAAAGCTCCCCACCAAATAATTTTGAGGCGCATCTATCACCACTCCGCCATCCCAGAGAGTACCGCCCAAGACATCCCCTATACCCAACCTAACACCCCAGAACCCCCAGAATGCCTAAGACACCGACATCCGCTGACTCGCGAGAAGCACGTCGCCACAACCCGCTCTCAGAAGACTACCTCCCCTCGCAGCACTTCAAACAAAAGCTAGGCAAGAGGAGGAAATCTGCGCGCGACGAAGGCGACGAAGAGAAATTCGTAGATGCCAAAGCCTCGCGGAAAATCCTAAAAATCGGGCAAGATCTCGTAGAGGAAGAGCAGCAGGAGCAGCAGTCGCGATATGCGCCAGCAGCGAACCCAGCATTCGCCTTCGACTCCCGGTTCCCGGAAGATGTGATCTCGGAAGAGGAGGCACCAGAGCACGGCGACGATGATGGCGACGCTTGGGGAGACGAGGAGGAAGAGGTGGTGGAAGAGGTTGAGATAGACCCCAGCGACCTCGAGACTTTCAACCGCTTCAACCCCACCTTCGACCCATCCACCCTACTACAACCCGGCGGAGGCGACGACGTGGAGCAAGGCGGCGGAGGCACGAACCTCACAGCGCTCATTCTCCAAAAGATCGCCGCCCACGAAGCTGGCCAGGCCCCGCAACGAGAGCACCCCTCCATCCACGGCGGCGGCGCGCCAGAAGACGCGATAGAGATCCCCGCCAAAGTCGTAGAAGTCTACACCCAAGTCGGACTCCTCCTCTCCCGCTACAAGTCCGGAAAGCTACCCAAACCCTTCAAGATCCTCCCGACAGTTCCCTACTGGGAGACCCTCCTCGCCATCACACGCCCCGAGTCCTGGACCCCCAATGCCTGCTACGAAGCCACCAAGGTCTTCACCTCGCACAAACCCATCATCGTGCAGACGTTTCTACACGACGTACTGCTCGACCGCGTGCGCGACGACATACGCGAGACGCGCAAGCTGAACGTGCACCTGTACAAGGCACTCAAGAAGGCGCTGTACAAGCCCGCGGCGTTCTTTAAGGGATTGCTTTTTCCGCTCGTGCAGTCGGGGACGTGCACGCTGAGGGAGGCGCATATCGTGAGCTCTGTGCTCGCAAGAGTTAGCGTGCCCGTGCTGCATTCGGCGGCGGCGTTGCATCGGTTGTGCGAGATTGCGGCGGAGCAGATGAGTGTTGATACGGAGTCGGCGGGCGCGACGAATATCTTTATCAGGGTGTTGCTGGAGAAGAAGTATGCGCTGCCGTATAAGGTGGTTGATGCGCTGGTGTTCCACTTCCTGAGGTTCCGGGCTTCGGATCCTGGAGCTGTTGGGGGCGAGGGTGACGCTATGACTGGCGTCAGCGGACAGAGCGTGAAGGATGTTAAGTTGCCTGTGCTGTGGCATCAGTGCCTCCTGGCGTTTGCGCAGAGGTATAGGAACGATATCACGGAGGATCAGCGGGAGGCGCTGCTGGATTTGTTGCTGGTGAGGGGACATAAGGCGATTGGGCCGGAGGTCAGGAGGGAACTGCTGGAAGGAAGGGGGAGGGGCGTTGTGGTGGAGCAGGGGGTGGGGAATGGAGGCGATGACACCATGATGGCAGGGACTTGAGATGGGTACTGTATGTACCGTCGTATAAGCGACTGTGTATGGTACTTCGTATGAACCAGTGACTGAACGTGGAATAAATATATCAGTACTACTGAGTTACCCAGAGCGATCAATTCCCCTTCCTCAACCCGATGCTACCTGGACCTTGCTCTTATCTATAAATTCTTCGTCAGCTATACATCCAGTACTCGATTCTGCCGGTGTTTCTGCCGTAATGCAGCTTGAACGATTCAGCAAGGAGAAGGGTACACCCACAAAAGGCGACGTAGTTCTCGATATGTTTCGCCTTCTCCATAGGCTCTGGATAGTACCAAGCCGCGTCGGATAAGTTTTTTCCGTTTGCCTCAATATTATAGTACGAGGCTGTGCCTTTCCACCCGCAGTGAGTATGCGTGTTGGAGGGCTTGAGGTAGCTCTTCTCGACGGACCTGTAGGGGAAAATACCACCGTCAGCTTATGCTTTCTCGTAGTGATAGCTGAGCAAGGTTCTACACAGGCTTACGACGGCGGGAAGTAGATATTCCCTTCAACTGTTTCCCAGCTGTCAGTCTCAGCGACGGTGACGCCGTTTACTTTGGCTGTTGCGGTGGGCATGGCAGGCGGCTTTGTTCCTATGGATCGCTTTGTGTGTCTGTAGGTAGTTCTAGCTTCAGAGCAGTAGTGATTTGGAGACGATGCCGGTACTCCAAGTAATACCACCTCAGGCTTGATTGCTTACATGAAGCTGCGGGCATGCTTACGAAGTCTTCGTACGCATCATGGACTGCAGTCCCAAGCTGCTTGCGGTGTACCCCACAAAGCTTTATCGATAGCGACCTACAGCATCGCGGAGCCGTTCCGCTTTCCCGCCGCTTCTCTCTCTTTTGGACCGCGGTACCTGCCTTAAGCCGCGCCCTTCATGTCAAAAACACGCCCTTCGTGTCGATTGCCCGTATACATATCAGATCTCCTCAATTGCCCATAGTAGCCTCGTAACGACCGACTGCTCCCTTCTCCTAGCGGCCAGATCACCACTATGAACTCCCAGCAGTTTCGCGAAGCTGCCCATGCGGCGATTGAAGAGAGTAAACACGCCTACGCAGTCCCCTCCGCCTCTAATCGCCCTTTGTCACCCCGCTAACTCTACCCAGTCATCGAATACAATGAAACCCTCCCCACCCGCCGCGTCCTCAGTGCCGTAACCCCCGGCTACCTCGCGCCCCTCCTCCCCTCCTCCGCTCCCACCTGCCCCGAACCATTCTCCCAGATCCAGCCCGACATCTCCGCCCACATCATGCCCGGCCTAACGCACTGGCAGCACCCAAACTTCATGGCCTTCTTCCCCGCCACGACCTCCTACCCCTCCATGCTCGCCGAGCTCTACAGCGCCGCCTTTACAGCCCCAGCCTTCAACTGGCTCTGCTCGCCCGCGGTGACGGAGCTTGAGACCGTGGTGCTGGACTGGGTGGCGCAGATGCTGGGGCTGCCGGAGGAGTTTTTGAGCAAGGGTGAGGGAGGCGGGGTTATTCAGGGGACGGCGTCCGAGGCGATTGCCGTGTGTATGGTTGCAGCGCGGGAGAGGGTGTTAGGGCGGATGCTGGACAAGGAGGGGCTGAAAGATGGGACGGAGGAGTGGGAGGATCGGAAGGGGGAGTTGAGGGGACGGCTTGTCGCGTTGGGAAGTGAGCAGGCGCATTCTAGTACGCAGAAGGGGGCGATCATTGCGGGGACGAGGTATCGGAGCGTGCCGGCGCCGAGGCAGGATGGGTTTAGAATGACCGGGAAGAATTTGCGGGATGTGTTGGAACGGTGTAAGCGTGAGGGTAAGGTGCCGTACTATCTGACGGTGTCGCTGGGTACGACGTCGACTTGCGCGGTGGATGAGTTTGAGGAGATTGCGGAGGTGTTGAAGGAGTGGCCGGACGTATGGGTCCATGTTGATGCAGCGTATGCTGGTGCGGCATTGGTGCTGCCGGAGTATCAGCATCTAACGAAAGCCTTCGTGCACTTTGACAGTTTTGATATGAACATGCACAAGTGGCTACTCACGAACTTTGACGCCAGGTATACTCCTTCTCTTCCTTTCTCTGTTATCTCTTTCATGTACTGCATACTTACCGACCCTCTTAGCTGCCTCTTCGTCCGCCGCCGCCACGACCTTACCTCCGCCCTCAGCATCACCCCGTCGTACCTACGGAACACATTCTCTGATTCCGGTCTCGTAACCGATTACCGCGATTGGCAAATCCCGCTTGGTCGACGCTTCCGGGCCCTGAAAATCTGGTTCGTGCTCCGGAGCTACGGCATTGACGGCCTGCAGTCCTACATCCGCAACCACATTGAGCTTGGCGAGCTCTTCCACTCCCTAGTGAAAGGACGCCCTGATCTCTTCTCTGTCCTGACCGGCCCAGCTTTCGCGCTGACAGTCATAACGGTTGTGCCTAAGAGGCCGCAACAGATGAGAAACGCGAGTAAACCGGATCCGAGGCATGAAGCTTTCACGAACGACTTCACGCCTGATGCGGAGAAGCAGGCGCTGCTGGATGCGAACGCTGTGACGAAGGAGGTTTATGAGCTTGTAAATAGCAGGGGTGAGATTTTCATTACGAGCGGCGTCGTAGATGGTACCTACACGATCAGGATTGTCAGTGCGAACGCGAATACTGAAGAGAAGTATATCAGGAGAGCGTTTGAGATTTTAGTGGAGACGGCAGAGGAGGTTCTGGGGAAGGGCGAAGCGAATGGCAGTGCTAGCTAAGGACATGGAAGCGCTGTAGATATAGATGCGATGAAATATAAGCCTCGTATTGGCCGGCGTAGCAAATGAACTTACGATACATCTCCCGGCCTTGACACTGTCAGATGGACAAATTCTCGTTACCAGAGGTAACGAATCCGAGTACGCACCAAAGACTGTAGTGAACAGTGTCATGATTTTGTAAATCTGCTCGGTGCTCAATCTGTTCTGTGTATTATGCAGTATTACGAACTTTTCGCACCGAATGGTATACCCTTCCTCAGCCTTCATGCTGGAAAGCTTGCAGCAATTACCTCGAGAGATTGAGGCTACCCTGAGAGAGTCCGGCGGACGTTTAGAAACGAGAGATAGACATGAGCTGTGGAACGAGTGCGCCCAAAGATGGTACAAGAAAGGGGCTACGGAGCCGCACCCGTCAATACCTGATCTGAAGCAGAGCGACAAGTGATGAATGCAAAGGCTATACAGAGTCCTGGTCAAATGGACGGAAGTCTACTAGTCAACGGACCTGAATATATCAGTCAAGGCTTTTCAAGCAGTGTCAATGATTTACGCGATCGGAAGTATTCTTCAGGCATCCGGGCGCACCCTCGTATAGAAAGAGGGAGGTTCTCGATAAGATATAGATGAGTGTAGTGGACATTGATCAGCATAGGGTACCGTAGGTTCGCGATGTTTGACTGTAAATTATTTCATCTCCTCCTTCAGTGAAAGGGAGGCTTTACTGTTTAAGACAATAGAGAGTCCATAGGCTGCTGAGATGGGTCCACATCGGACAACCTCTGCCTGGAAATATGTAAAGGGGAGAAGTGGACGAGCTCACTCGAGCATACCCTGGGAACTATGGACGGGTTTATTTTGGGCGGATAGGTATATTCGATTTTTTTTTTGGCGCCAGTCGATTTGGGCCACGCAATAGTTGTTGGAGCAGATGTACTTAATGGGTTTAACATATTGCCAAGCTCTTACAGCGACAGGACTTTTACCAGGCACAAGGCCGCGATACTTCGTTTTGAGCTTGACAGAGCGGTACTATTGAAGTTCTCCAGCCGACCTCAATGATCGGAGCACACCATATTACTAGGGCCGCTTGATGCTGCAGAATGGAGAGTCCGACGGGATAAGGCGGGCATGTTGCGCTATAGATGGCTTGGCCAGATAGGGCATCCTTCATGCGCGTTCTGTGGCTCCATGGAGATATTCCGATCTCTAGGATTTCGGCTGTCCTCCTGTGCCTTCGACTGCCCCGTATGGAAACGGAGACTCGGAATGGAATAGTCGTGTGTCTGTCGATCGCGAAACCACCTCTCCATACCAACGATTCTATTGGCCATCTGACCGTAGGATTGCCGCTTCCTTTTCGACATGCAAGCAAACGACTATGCGTATTCTTGTCATCTGTTGCACGTGAAGGGTTCCAAAAGTAGCTGATGTTGCTCCTTGTACGTTACGCGTCGTCGGGAGTGCCCTCGTGACCAGCCTGAAGCTTAACCATCCGATAACTACTCGCAGCGGACACCACGTGGTACGAACAGGCAAGGCGGCACGTACAGCAATGTTGAGCCCTGGGATTAAAGAAGAGTATTTTGAAGCTGTATCATCGCACGGTGGTCAAGTTTGGGCCGCGACTTCGTGGTTGATCAAGCTTGGCACCGAAGATGATATCACGTGATCTCACAACTCGGAAGACCTGGAATCGTGCATCCATCAACTCACAGCAGTCAGAGCAGCAGCCCACAGCCATGCCGCCCCGATTGAGCCTGCTGAAGGCCAGCAGCTGGCTCAGCAGCTCGTCCTGTTCACCCGTCGCGCCATTCCTCGTCCCCTTCCTCCAGCGCCCGCAACAGCAGCGCTTTGCATCCATCCTGGGCTCCCTCTCCGATAATCCTGGTGCATACAACAAGAAAATCCGGCGCGGTCGAGGTCCGGCATCAGGCAAGGGCAAGACATCAGGGCGTGGTCACAAGGGTCAAAAACAGCATGGAAAGGTGCCGAGGGGGTTTACTGGTGGACAGACGAAATATGAGATTACGCATCCGGAGAGGGGGCTGGGATTTGAGAATCAGTATGTGCTGCTGGGCGATTGCAAGAACACTAGGTGGTCAAGTGGAGCATCGCTGATGGTTGTTGTAGCTGGTCTGTCGAGATGAGCCCCTTGAACGTCGACAGGCTGCAAAGCTGGATAGACCAAGGCCGTATCAACCCATCACGACCCATCACCATGAAGGAACTGAATGACTCGAGATGTCTACACGGTGTCAAAGATGGCGTTAAGTTGCTCGCACGAGTAGGCAATGCCCTGTTATCCAATACGCTGCCCCTGCGCCTCTCCGCTTACACCTCTATAGGGCTCAGATCAACTCCGCACACCGATCAACATCATCGTCTCGCGAGCCTCCGCGACAGCAATCGCCGCCGTCGAGGCCGCAGGCGGCAAGATCACAACACGCTTCTACACGCCTCAGGCCATTAGGCGCGTGCTGCGCCGGAGTACAGATCCCTTAGAATCGTTACAGATGCAGACAGAATCTTCAGAAGCAACGCCAGACGTTCCGCGACGGAAGTTTGCGTACCGCCTACCTGATCCCACGAGCAGGAAGGATATCGAATACTACCGGGACCCAGCGCACAGGGGTTACCTGAGCTATTCAGTAGGAGAAGGCGAGAGCCCTAGCTTGTTCTTCAAGACGCCGGGACAGAGCAAAATGCCTAGGGAGGGTGTACCAAATAAGAGGAAGGCAGCGGAGAAAGCTGCAGAGAACAAGTTATGGTAGAACGTGGGCAATCGGTCTGAATCTTGGGGCGTTGGCTGAAGTGCGGTTCGACATCACCGCTTTGTACAAAACATGATGCACTCGTAGTGTATAGCATGAATCTTTAAGCAACTCAGATTTCTCTACATTCTTGGGCTCATCGCCTTCGGGTGATTTACATACGTATCCATAGTAAGCGTGCATAGCGTTGCGTTACATATGTGTAGCTTATCAATTCGCGCCTGTCCCACCACATCCTGCTGTCAGGCACTCCAGGCCTGAAATTGATTGTGGTTCAACACGTCGCACGACAGTGTCTCGGGGTAGTACTGGTGCGCAAGGCCACCCGTGAAACAACTCCAGAAAGCAGATTAAGGTTCAACAAACAGAGATTCCATGGGTATTGGCAGTATCCTTCTGGTGCTGACGGCGTATGTCGGAGGCGATCGTATAAAGGGGTTGTTTTGCATTGCTGAATGGTGTCACTTTCGGCTAAGTAATCTTCACTTAGGGCGAGTTAGTTAGCAAAGATAAAAATGATGGGACTTCCGTTGGAGGCTCGCTGGGATAGAACTGTACAGACGTGCGCCGGGATTCCGTGATGTTACCCTGCCCAGCAAGTTTCTTGAGCGGAATGATCGAGAAGGAGAAGCTGTAGGCCTATGCTGTCGACGACCGTTTCCTTCATTGCAGTGCTATGAGTTGATACTCCGCAGAGAGACTCCAGACTGCTGAGCCCCAACAGATCCTCGTCGAGGAAAGCGATCGGTGTTATCGGACGCGTACTACCTTCGTAATAAGGTGATGGCCAGCGCAGCTAGCAGGTCCTGAAATGATGGCAGTCTGACGCCGTGAAAACCCTTCGAGATATGCAAACTGCCTTACCTGGAATGTCGAGCAGAACCGACTGGGGATAACTGCACATGTAGCTTGGATGTCCGTAGGGTTTGGGAGTTCTACATGTTTTACCGTTCGGGCAGATAAACCTCACGATACGGTGGAATGTGTGACCCCAGGTTTGATAGGGCCTACCTACAGCCATAGTACTGAGGCGGTGTGCTGTTGTTTCGGAACTACATCCGTCGTCGAACGCCTAATCGGTGCCAAGTCGTGGGTTTGCGTTAACAATCAAGTGGTATTTGGATAAGCACTAGGGCTAGGTTGAATGCCAAGTATGAATTGCCAAGAGTGGATATTGAACTGACCCAACGAGCAAGGGTAGTCGGTGCGACAGCGTTAGCCCGTACTTTGGGCAGTCCGTTTGATAATGCTGAAATGCTGGCAAGTCCTCGCCTGATGAGCATCGATCCACGATCGTTTGCGGCAAAGAGAACAAACACAACGTGTGAGGTGTGCGCCTCCTTGCATAAGAAAGACTCAAAGGGCTTTCCGAGCCTGTCCGATCATTGCCTCATCGGGTAGGTAAGTACCCTAGGCGGACACGCGGAGAAGTGACAGGTGAGGATGCGTAGAGCATTTTGCTTGGAGACGGATAAGAACAACGTAACCACAGGGGCTCGTGAATCAGTTGCGGTGCCTCCTAGGACTAGCTTCCAGTGAGATCGCGGCTGCTGATCACAATCGAACGAGGAAGAAACCGCTCTAGACTGACCGCATCAATGCCGCTGCGGTGGAGAATGCCAGAGACGTGAGGGGAAAGAATGGGAACGTCGGGATAAGGGAGAAGACATGTTGGTTGCACGGCCATCGACCATTCGTGGATTCTGATGAGACAACACGACAAGCCACGCGCCGAAAAACTTGGACGATCGCTGGTTGACATGTCAAGAACGTCAACAAAAACGCTGATACAAACCCCCGTATTGGACGATGCGGTCTACGGCCGCCGGTCAGCTGCAGTTGGGCACGGCTACTCGAAACTGCTATTCGGCTGGAAGACCTTCATGAAGGTGGAGCGCTGGGTCGAGCTGAGACGGACGTTTCTAACGCATGAGGTGCTGCGGGTCAAGAAGTCGAGGCGTGTCTGTTGCACGGTGCGGAAGGTATCTCATAAGGTACTCTACGGCAGGCTTGCGACACGCTACTGGAAGAGCTGAACAGGGTGCCAGTGGTATGAGTAGATAGAGACACCCCATTAGACCGGCAAGTGCCGGGCGTCGGGCTTGGGATCCTGTTTGTGTGGCAGCACGATGTCGGTTGATGCTGCGGTCCAATGATGGCGCTCGGAACCAAATGGGTGAGTGGGACCTCCATCTTATTTGACTCTATCATTCGTAATGCGCCAGCAGCGGGCACGACATGGCCGGGGGATCACATCGCCATTATTGACGGAAAGTGCGGTGGCTTGAATCATCAAGCGGTCGACGGAGCGCAACAGTGCAGCAGCAAGTATCAGAATGAAACGCAGCCACCAATGATGAGTGTGTACGCATAAGCCGAGAGCCTCAACAGCAGAGACGCATCACGTAAGGTCGCAGGCTCGCAAATATTCCGTTTGGTCCATAGAAAGGAGAGTTTCCGTATTTCACCCACCTTGCCGTGTCTGGAATACAGCCGTTGCAAGGCCGAACAGATGGACGTCGTGTTTGGATTAGAGGGACGTGACTTGCCCTTGCTTCCTGGTGCAGCCTGTGAGAGCACGCATGGTCGCGGTCATGCATCCTTCGACGTCTCTACTAGTAGCCCGGCTTCACTTGCAACAGGTAGTTGCGCTCCGATGTCATGTGTGCTTCGTGGTTGACGAAGAAAGTTCGCGACAAGGCATCCAGCGCGTTCTCCGAAGCGCCGAGCAGTCGCGAACCAATTAGTATCCCAATATGGCCCTAGTGCATTCATGCTGCGCTATCGAGGAAAGCGCGGAGACGGTTCTTTACACTCGGTAGTCATCATGGCCGTCCTTGTGAGCGCGAACAAAGCGCCCTAGCGCATCATGCTACTCACACTCGAGGATGAGGCCAGAGTCCGTCAACGACAATGCCATGGCCAAACTGACCCCCAGCATTGGTCAGACTGCCGGAGCTCGCAGCGGATTGTGAATCCCTACAAATCGCTCAAGCAGCCGGTGCTGAGTCGATTCTGTGGATCCCGTATCACGAGTTGCGCCTCCTCGCAGCACCTCGTCTTGCCGTAGATGTGAATCCGATGTCAGCCACGAAGCCCCGGCGATGTGTAATCTACTGTGCCTCTCCTCAGCAGGCATAAGATTACGAGAACTGACCGTACAACGCCCTCATGGCTCGTTTGCCATGCTGATCGCTGTCCCACCAAGCCCCTCAATCCGCCCCGCCCGCAAGCAGACGGCGGATCTGCTTCAAATCTCTCTGTCCACCGACATGGATAACCCGTCGATTGCCTAGCGCTAGGAACCATCGGGGTTCTGCACAATGTCGCCTCAAAAGCAAACCCAGGCTAAGGCGCTCCCAGAGAGAAATGATTCGCGAGCTGCGGACACAAAACTTGGCGATTGCATCTGCGCCGCGTCTCGGATAAGTGATAGCCAAGCCGCCGGGTTCAGGATACCAAGCCGTGGGACCCTCAAAACAAGCCGCTTGGATATGGGAGGAAAGGCTCACAGCAAAGATGGTGGCGGTTGGTGCGGATGCGATACCTTGCGTTTGCTAGGGATGAGCAGCGGCGGCCGGACAGGCTCACACAGAGACCCGGCTTTGGCCTCCGGGGCGGCGGGTGTTCGCTTACAGTTGGCGCACTTGTCCTGAAGCGGCCGCTGAATCGCAGTACCTCAGGAGTACATTAAAGTAGGTACATGCTTCGTGCCAGGGCACAACCAAGCGGACGCCGGCCCAGGACGCAAATTTGCCAGCAGAGCGCTGGATCGACACCGCGAGGACGCAGAGACAGGGTTAGCATGGTGCGAGGGTGAGACTGCGAGCAGGCCGGCGAGCCACGGGCGGCAGCTGGATATTGACTCAGGCTGGAGGCAAGCAGGACTGCTGGAACGAAGCACAATATTGTAATGCCGTGAGCTGCTAAGGCAACGGCAGGGTCGAGAATTGTAAAACGGAGCAAATCAGACGGGTACGCGTGACGGGATTTACGGAATGGTGCGCGCTATCAAGTCTCCATTCCTGTACGCCTGCTTCATCGTTCGTGTGTGCACCTCACTTTCGAAACTCGACGGCCATCGGGCTGCTCGTCACGCAGGCATATGTTCGGTTCCGCGCTGTTCCCTGACTGCACCAGTGATCGCTCGATCCGCGCTGGCCGACGAGCGGGCGCTCCTGGCCCAGCAGAAAAGCCAACGATATTTCACAAGTTAGATAGGCTGAACCGGCGCATCTCGTGGCCGTGGTGGTAGTGCTACTCGCCGAGGCCTGGCCTGGCACGCCTGGGTGTGAGCATGCCTCTTTTAGTTTGCCCTCAGCAAGCCGTGCAGGCCGGGCCAAGAGCCACGGTTTGCAGCAGCGAAAATCCCAAGGATCGCGGTGCCGCCGCCATCGTGACCGTCCAACGAGCGGGCGGCAGGAGCTCAGCAGGCCGCTGATTCGTGACTCTTTTGCCGACTGCTGATAGCACCGCCGAGACGCGCACACTCCACCCAGCTCCGTCCGCGTCAGGAGTTGATTGACGGTGAAATTGACTGGCGAAGCTGGAAACGCCGGCTGTGGCTGCGGGCATCACCTCTTAGGTAGCCAGCTGCTTCCGAGCGTCGGCCTCAGCGTCCTGGCGTCCTGGCGTCCAACACCACCACCACCGAAGCAGCCGGCCAACGAGCGGGCATGCCGTTAGCAGATTAGCACTGCGAATCCCGCGGACTGCGGCGTCGCTGCGACGCTTACGCGTAGCTATCCTGGCTGTCCTGGGCTCCGTGGTTGCTAACCCGCGGCTTGGTCGCCAGCCGACACTTGTCCTTTTTGCGGAGCGAGCGTGGAGCTTGCGTCGCTGCATCGCTGCATCGATGCATCCGTGGCGTTGGTCGCTCTGACATCAACCATGCCACGCCTCCAACGCTCTCTCTCAATTTGAGGGATCATCTTCTTTGGGGGCCTGCGCCCCAATGTCTGGAACCTCCCGAGCGCGATGGTTGTCTGACGGGCCACGCTGTGGATGCGTCCAGCAAAGACTCCTTGCCCAGGTGAACGTCTCTCATCGAAAAAGGCTCCGCTTCCGCCATGCACATGCCCATGGAAAGCGCAGCGCCTCTTCACTTCACTTCGTCCACCTGTCGTGATATTCAACACTAAACTCATCACTCCCTTCCTCGCTCACTCCCGCCGGCCGCCTGCCGCCTGATAGCTCCACCGCCGGCCAGTCTAAGCGCAACTGCTGGGTCGTGACTGCTGGATAGGTACATATTTGGGCGGCATACCTTCCATCGTCGACCACCCTCCTTGCTTGACATCACCGAAAGCCTGCAGAGCCATATCCTTAGACCGAAGGGGTTCTGCTTTGCCTCGCACCTGTCCAGGCAATGCCGTGAAGTTTACATAGCTAGATTCCTCATTCTCGACCATCCTCCCTCGATCTTGGCCCGGTAGTCGTGCTCTTCAGCGTCGTCGATTTCCTTCAGGGGATCTCTCACGACCCGACCTCATGATCGAGCTACAACGTCCGCCACCTCACTCAATGCCTCACGCCGTTGCCTCTCGCAGTTCTCTGAACAGCTTTCATCCAGGGTTCTGCAAGTTCGAGCCACTACTACCGCCTCTTTCCTCTCTCAACTCGTCTGCATCGGGCAACCTCTTCGGCACCCAGCAACAGTCTGTCTTCAACTATCCTCGACCTCTAACCCCTCCCGGTGGGATGTCTGCTCCACATGGCGGGCTAGACGTCACGCAGTACAATGGTTATGGTAGCCAAAGAGGAAGGGAGATGCTGTCCGGCCAGCGCAGGCAGGATCATGCGGGGAACAGTTTGGCGTATTCAAACAACAGGACTGGCAGTTACCAAGCAGGTGGCCAATATGGTGGTAAGACATATGGTGCATCGACGAGTCCAAAAACGCAACTTCAGCCAATTCAGTCCGCAGAGCCTGTTTGTCGACGCAAGACGGCCACAGGTGCAGTGGCACCTTCACTCCAAATACCGAGCTCAATTCAAACTCCGCAAGGTAGCATGCCGCAACTCGCCGCTGAGGTATGCACACTCCGTCGTTCCGCGAGAGTGTCGCTGATTGTGCCAGATTACATGTCTCTTCTGGTTCGAAAACTCTTCCACCCTCCAGCAAGCCCTCGGCCACAGATCACCCCACCTACCTGTTACGCCCCTCGCGGCTGACGCAATACCTTCAACGGGCTTCAGGAAATGGGTTACCACGATTCTGGCCACGACCCAAGTAGCGCAGAATGTGATTTTGCTAGCGCTGCTCTTTGTTTATCGGCTCAAGCAGATCAACCCGGCCGTAAAAGGAAAACCTGGCAGCGAGTACCGCTTACTTACAGTAGCGTTGATGCTGGGCAACAAATGTGAGTAATTCATTTGATGACTGCATCTCCTTGCGGTTGACTTATTTTATGCAGTTCTTGATGACAACACGTATACGAATAAGACCTGGGCCGAGGTTTCTGGCATCTCGGTACAGGAAGTCCATGTCATGGAGGTCGAGTTCCTCAGCAACATGAAGTACAACCTTTTCACTTCCGAGGCTGATTGGAAGCAATGGCATATCACCCTTGGCAAATTCGGCACTTTCTTCGAGAAGGCATCACGTGCATCCTTTGAGCTCACGCGAAGGCCGACTGGATTACCACCGCCGACGGCACACATGTCAATGCTTCCCTCCCCGCCGGCATCGAATCACGCATCTCCTCCGTTTTCATCCAATTATTTCCCGCATCATGCCGCTCACTCTCAGCCACCCATCATCTTGCCGCAAGTCACCTCGGCCACAGTATCCCCTCTCGGAGTTGTACCGGAGTTTGAGCCACGCAAAAGCAGGAAACGGAGCCTCGATGAGCAAGCAGCAGAGCATCCACATAAGAGACACGCCTCGGATTACTCCCACCATTATTCTGCCAATAGTAGCGGTGCAATGTCAAACGACTTCCATCGCCGCCCGTCAGGTCTTGAGCCTGCTCACAGGCCAGAAGTACCCGTCACACATGCTTCAAATCTACCTAGACTCGCTCTACCAAATTTGCTCATTCCAACCAATCAGAGCGCTCAGGGTCCGCCAATGCAACTCCCGCCCCAGCTCCCTCCTCCAGGCGGCCGGGCCATGTCCTTGGTTTACCCTCCGTCTCAGCAGTGGTCTCAGGGCCCTTCGATCCCCAGCTCAACAACGCCAACACACCCGATGGGCGAAGTCTCGCGGCAGCTAAGCCCTTACCCCGCCGGCTCAGCCGGATCATCACCCGTCAATAACTCACAGCCTCCGACATCTTCCGGGAATCAGACTCACCTCTCGCCTTCCTACTTCTTGCAGCAGCGGAGTTCACCATACCGGCCTGTTCGTGGAGTTACAACCCTACTGGTTCCTCCGCCTGCGTCCATGCAGGATCCTTTTCGTCACATTGGGTTCGATCAGATGCAGTACCAGCCTCTTGGGAGGCCAAACAATGAGCGCAGAGCTGGACCACTGCCGTACATGAACCATGAGGCTTGGCCACAGACGAACCAGTTCAACCAATGGCCAATTCTTCCGCCACCGAACCCGAGCAGGTGACGAAGTACCCGCGGACAGGACCATATCTTGAAAACGGCCACACGTGCGTGGCTTAAGTGCTGTGACTTGGGAAATAATTTTCTCACCCTTCACAAACTGAAGGTCACTACCTAGCGCCTCTCACACTCTAATATCGGGCTATCATCGAAACAGAATGCCCTTTCAGCATACGTCACCTCCGAAACGTTTCGGCTTCAACTCGGCTGGATTATATTTTGCTTCACTTTTTGTGGACACTCTTCTAACCTTTGCTTTGAGCTAACGCATCATGGCTGTCTTGCTTGCATTTGAGCGTTGCTGCATCATCACGGCGTTAGGATCTTACTCTAGCTCTCCGGGCTCTGAAAGTCTGTGGCTTTCTTCGGTATTTTCAGGCATTTGCATTGGCGCGGCGTTGGGCTCTCTGGCTGAGGATGACACACATCATGCATAGGCCTCACAAAGCCTGCCTTATGGCGTTATCCTATGGCTTAGAGAACATGCTCCAGGATGGGGCTGAGCATAACTTTGTGCATACATTTAGTCGTCCATATATATTGGACGCACTCAAGCTGCTACGGCAGCTGGTGGGGCTTAGCTCGGATAGTCCTCTAGGGACTCGGGATGAGAGCTGGATCAAATAAAACTGTTGATTCGGCGTCTCATTCAAGATGACTTCCGCAATGGCTGCGAGCGTGACCGATACTGATTGGGTCTGCAATTATGTTCAGCACTACACGTCCAACAAAGACAGCAATAGCTGGATCACCCAAGCGGATCCTTCTTCCGCGCTTCGAAGCTTCCTCCAGACGCGCGTATTGAGAAATGGGTCTATCACCAACTCTTGGCATTCGGTGTTTGCCTCGGCTCGCAGCCGAATTCCAGGGGTTGTTCGGCGATTATTTCCAGCTGACTTCCAGTCACGTCCCACTTCCACATTGCTTGGTTTCCTTCACTGTAGTTAATCTCCTGTCTGTTGCTAGTCCGAGTCCTCTTCACGGCTATGTACGAGTGAATGTACGAGTAACTGTAGATAAGAGCTCCGCCGCGCCCACCGTCTCTCTTTCATCCAACCGAGTACGAATTTAGACAACAAACTGCGTCAGCTGTAACAAAGACAAAGCGCAACCATGACAGTGGACGACGAGGCGGAGAACGGCAACGTCTACGCTACCTTCGCCGATCTCATGAAACTCCAACGCTTTGACGACAACACCTTTCAATCCCTTACCAAAGCCTTTTCTCCTGGAAATGAAACCACGGCTTATGGAGGCCATGTCTTTGCTCAGGCGGTTTGGGCTGCTGCTCAGACAGTCAGGGAGGGATTTGTGGTTCATGTAGGTTTTTGTAGGGTGCCTTTTTCGTGTATATATATATCTATCGCGCCCATACTATGCGCTCCATATCTCCGCCAGGGTGACGAAGAACACCAGACTCCAAATCACCAAATTTCGGATCCATCATCAAGTTTAGCACGCCCGTTGCAACACGCTCAATAAGCTCCTCTCGTCTCAAGGTGTCTATGTTTTACAGTCGACTGCTTCTCTGAGTTTATGAGAGCCTTAGCCCGATGGCGAATACGATGTCGTGATTTTGCAGTCTGGCGATCTTTGTCACCCTGGCGATATACCTTGTTCATCCTGCCGAACGTTTATATACTAGTCCATATCACTTTCTGTGTTCTCGTTTGACTTTCGTGTAGTCGGCTAACGCTGTTCTCAGAACGTCACTGGCTGGTTTACAATAGCCGGCAACACCGCGCAACCGTTCGTGTATACCGTCCGCAACATTAGAGATGGCAAGCTGTTCTGCACTCGCGCCGTCGATGCATCCCAAGCACGGGGAGTCTGCTTCACATGCACCTGTTCCTTCAAACGCAGCGAGTCCAGTCCAATCTTTCACCAGGAGCCCATCGACCTGTCGAAGCAATACGCACTAGGCCAGAAGAAGCCCGAGGACTGGCCAGAGGCGCCTGGTGTCGACTCTCCCTGGTAAGGCAACTCCTCCGCCATCAGCGATCCATCCGGGCTAACCTTGGATACCAGGTTCTGGGAAGCCGTCGTAGCCAACGGCGACAACTACCCCTTCCCCGGCCTCTCAATCCGCAAGGTCGACATGACTTCCTACAATCAAGACCGTCCACCTACTGCGCGCCGTCAACTCCAGTATTACTCCGCCATCGGCCCGCTCCCACCGCTCGGCTCAGCACCAAACCTCCACGCCTGCGCTCACCTCTACGCCTCCGACCGCAACTCCGACTTCGTCATCACGAACCACCTCGACGTCGGCAACGACTTCACGCACATGGCGAGTCTGAGCCACTCCGTTGTTTTCCACTCAGAACCCGAGGCGCTGGGCATGGTGGATGCGCACGGGAAGCCGCGGTGGTTCTGCCAGGAGGCGAGGATGACGAGGGCGGGGGGGAATAGGGGTATGCATGAGAGCAGGCTGGTTGATGAGGGGGGAGTGCATGTGGCGACGACGTGGCAGGATGCGTTGGTTAGGTTTGGGGGCAGGATGGGTACGGTGGAGGAGTTGGCGGAGAGGCTGAGGGCGAAGTTGTGAGGGATGGGGGCTGAGGGCGGCGCGGTCTGGCGTGGCCTGCGACACGATGCTGGGGGGTTTACTTGAGTTTGCCGGGGTTTGCTGGGAATGGCTCGTGTTGCTCTCGTGGCAGGTTAGAAGCATAGAGTGTTCACACAGGCTGTATCATTATCCCCACGAACCGCAAGATGATACCGAGGCCTAGGCTCGGAAGTCTAGTTCCGTAACAATTCGTGCTATACTAATAAATTTAGGTGAGGCGGCGGAACTCCGGGCGTAGCACCAGAGTTTTGAGCCCAGGCCTTATATCATTATACACTCGTAACCATCATGGGCTTTTTAGTCAAGAACTGAATACACAGCCATCTCTGGTCGGCGTTATACTCAGCCTACAGGTGACAAGATATTCAGCTTCTCTGCTAAGGAGACATCGACCGCCAGCGAATCAAAGCCGTGAAGCCGCGCCTCCCGGAGCAAGCATTGCCTCGTATCGAGCAGACGAGCACAGAGCCGCAATCTACCACCATGCCTGCTCCGTGCGCAAGATACAATCGCCTTTGCAAAGTCTTCTCCTGACTCGTGAACCCGAGCCTGTGTCTTCTGCAGTCCCTTCGACCGGGCCGTCGACAATCAAAAGCTGAAAGGGTTGCGAGCACTCCATCTACCCGCTTGACCGGCCTGCCCACATGCGACACGACGGATGCTGCTACGTGACGGAAGATTTCGGATCCAGCGTCTCAGGGATTGAAGGACAGACAGTGGATTGAAGGGACGACAGGCCTACGGTCCCTTAGATTAAGCTGGCTATTCCCCTAAGGTTGTCCCTGAATCTGTTTCTTTATCCTCCTCAGCAGCAGAGCAACGCAACACCGAGAAGTTATTTTTGATCCCCGGCCCAAGCTTCTTGCTAGTGAGATCATCGTCAGCGAAACGGCAGTCGATTGGAGCGAAGCCGGCAGACTAGAAGCTTATCTCGAGCTTCTCGAGCTTCCGGCACGCCAAAGAAGCAAAGACCCACCCAGACAAGGGGACGCTCTCGCCGGCGGAACCGTTCAGGAGCGTCATCCAAAGGCTGGTCAAAAAGGCCGTTGCCGCACTGTACATAGCCGCTCCCCTTCACAAGGCCAAGTCACGGTTGAGCTGGACTTGGAATCCCATCGAGGGTGGAAGAACCAGCTCGGTCTCACGCGATAGAGACTGTACGTTCTTCGACAGTGCAATACTCTGGTGCATCGATCGCACGAGACGTCCTCGAGCTAGGAACTGGCGTTCGAATCACCCACCGTAAGGTAATAATTGATGCTCGCGACTGGCTATCTGTGCGGCAACGCCTTTTTTGACTGACCCTTGATCCGTGCCAGAGCCCTTTTCAAGCTTCGAAAATTCCAATCCCCCGCGACCAGCTTCATCACCACCCGTCACCACCACGGCGGCTGCCATTCTCAATTCCTGTCCAGCATCAATGGCGGGAGCTGCTGCCATGAGGCCCTTCGCCTCGGCCAGCCTGCTTGCCCACCTTCGCCAAACCGGCGGTCGCGCATTCTCCACAGCTTCATCCCGCTCGTCACTGCTCGCCCCTCGAGCTCGAGTAGCTTCGAGGGCGCCATTGAGGCAGCCTACGCTTCGCCTCGCCTTTCGACGCAACTACAATGACAACATCAACCCCGAGACAAAGGCCACGGTCAAGAGGAGGGGCTTCAAGTTCTTCAAGTGGCTGTGGCGGGCGACATATCTCTCGGCCATCGGCGGATTGATCTATGTGGGATACGGCATCTTCGAGATGCGGCATCCGCCCGACCAGGTTGATCCGGATCCGAGCAAGAAGACGCTGGTGATCCTCGGTGAGTCTGCCAAGTGGACGGCGTTCAATTGAGTCACAATTGACACCTCACAGGTACCGGCTGGGGCTCCGTCTCCTTGCTGAAGAAGCTCGATACCGAAAACTACAACGTCGTTGTCATCTCGCCGCGCAACTACTTCCTGTTCACGCCCCTCCTCCCGTCATGCACTACCGGTACTATCGAACATCGCTCCATCATGGAGCCTGTTCGCAACTTCCTGCGGCACAAAAAGGCCGCCGTGAAGTTCTACGAAGCCGAAGCCACCAAGATTGACTACGAGAAGAAGGTCGTGTACATCAACGACGAGTCGGAGATCAAGGGTGACGTCACGTCTACTGAGGTTCCTTTCGACATGCTCGTAGTGGGCGTTGGCGCCGAAAACGCGACGTTTGGTAAGTCTTGGGTGGTTCGATGTTAGGCACCAAGAACAGCCGCTCATCCTAGCATTACAGGTATTCCCGGTGTCCGCGAACATGCCCTATTCCTCAAGGAAGTCAACGACGCCCAAGCGATCCGGAAGCGTATCATGGACTGCTGCGAGACTGCAACTTTCAAGAACCAAGATCCCGAAGAGATCAAGCGCCTCCTACACATGGTTGTCGTTGGTGGCGGACCCACTGGCGTCGAGTTTGCCGGCGAACTGCAAGACTTTTTTAACAACGACCTGAAGAAATGGATTCCCGATATCACAGACAACTTCCACGTCACGCTCGTTGAGGCTCTACCCAACGTACGTGATCAAGCTTCAAGCCTGCCTGCAACCTCGCTAACTAGTCCTAGGTCCTGCCCATGTTCTCGAAGCAACTGATCGACTACACCGAGAAGACCTTCAAGGAAGAAACCATCACCATCCGCACCAAAACCATGGTCAAGAACGTCACAGACAAGTACATCGAAGCCGAGTCCGCGGGGCCAGACGGCAAGAAGCAGCTCGAGAAGATCCCGTACGGTCTCCTTGTCTGGGCTACCGGCAACGCCGTCCGCCCCGTCGTCAAGGACCTGATGAGCCAGATCCCCGCGCAGAAGGACTCCCGCCGCGGCCTCGCCGTAAACGAATACCTTGTCGTCAAGGGCACCGAGAACATCTGGGCGGTGGGCGACTGCGCCGTCGCGAACTACGCGCCCACGGCGCAGGTGGCCTCTCAGGAAGGCGCCTTCCTCGCGCGCCTGTTCAACCAGATGGCCAAGACCGAGGCGCTCGAGTCGAGACTCAAGGAGCTCTCCGAGGCGCAGGAGACGGCGCCGAACAAGCAGGCGCGCGACGAGGTGTTTACGAATATCAAGGAGCTGCAGAGGCAGCTAAGACGCGTCAAGCAGATTGGCCCGTTCGAGTACTCGCATCAGGGCAGTCTGGCATATATCGGCAGCGAGAAGGCTGTTGCGGATATCAGCTGGTTGACGGGGAACTTCGCCACTGGTGGTACCCTGACCTACTTCTTCTGGAGGAGCGCGTACCTGAGCATGTGCTTCAGCAGTAAGTTGCTACCTAGTATCCCGGCATGCTGTGCTGAGTGCTAACGACTCCCAGCGCGCAACCGAATCCTGGTGATCATGGACTGGGTGAAGGCGAAGCTTTTCGGCCGCGACGTCTCGCGCGAGTAGAGCGGCTCTCCCTCCTCGTCTTTCTCCGTCCATTGCTTCTCCGAGGCTTGTCTCACCCGCTACCTACTTCACCTGCACCTATATCTCATACCACCTTTCCATCTGTCCCCGACACTGTACAGATACTCTACGGTCGAGCGAGCATTGCGGTCTTCTGATCTGTTGTTGATCGATCTCTTTAATTTCTTCCTCGGGGCTCATTGGCTCTGTGTTCTTTGGCTTAGGCGACTCTGGTAGGGGGGCTTCTTCGATAGACATGTCAGCGCTGTATAATCAACTATTCCGAGAGACTCTTATGGCTATGGATATCAGTTCAATGCCATGGGTATGGCCGATCTTGCTTATTCCCCAAAGACCGTAACCCGGTAGTAGCAATTTGAGCCCAACTCAGGTGAGCGCCCTCCGCCCTGTCTGAAATCAGATGGTGTGTCCGTAAGCTGAAAGGAGATGCGAGGGATACTTCCCCCCTTTTCTCTTACGAGCCGCTTTCTCTCCATCCATCTCCGATCTTCGTCATGAGCAGCCGCCCCGCATGGCTATGAATATGGAGATTCAACCATAACCACCCAGACTCATAGCACACACCGCATCTAGTGTCTTTTCCATCAACAGGAAAGCAGTATTCTTAGCCCAAAACATCCACCCCTTCTATATGGGCCCAAGGACGATCCGAGATGTTCGTTGCCGCATCTCTGCGTCGGCTTTTTCAATACGATATTCAAGCTTAAACTGGACTCATGCTCTTCTTGATAGTAGAGCGGCTAGACCAATCTCAGGCGATAGAAAAAGACGTCCATTATTTCACGTCTTTGATGCATCGATCACGTAAGGTGTTTTTGATCTGTTGGCTGTCCTTCTGGCTGTTCATCTCTAGGGCTTATGGGTAGCTTTCCAGGCGGCAACCTTCATTTCGGGCGGCCCTTGACCGTTGCCTTCACAAGAAGTCCAACACGAAGACACGCCTATAGAGCGCCCAGCATTGCTATCTTCGCCTCCTGTGTTGTGTCCGGTCTCACGAGCTGGTCTTGTCTTTCCGGCGATTAACGCTCTGCTCGAATGTATTCAAATCGTGGCTATGGGAAACTCGATGGCTCTGAGGAAGCGTAGTCGTTGGTAGCGCAGCAACCCATCGTCAGCCGACGGGGGTATGCTACAGCTATCGCTACAGCAAACGCTTCCGACCAGCTCGGTCGGACATGTAGAGGAGAGAAAAAGAGAGCGTATGAGAAGCAAGCGAGCGCGCGGTATTCGAAAGCCATCGCTGCCCTTCGCAGTCCGCGAAGTGCTGGAATCCCCCTCGTCACCCGAGCGCCCTGATGGAGTCTTCATCCAGATCTCCTATCAGCCTCCCCTCCTCTCATATCCCTCGGAGACTCTACGCCTCAACCCCTTCCCCCTCCCCTACAATGCTCTCCTCCAACTCCGCCAGGATCTCCGGCAACATGCTCTCAACGTCCTCGTCCCTGACCCCCAGCGCCCCCGTAATGAGCCGTCGATACTCAGCCTGCCTCTCGCCCATGCCCGCAACGGCCAGGTCCTGCACGATCCCCTTGACCAGCGCCTGACGCTCATGTTGAGCCGTAAGCAGCGCCTGCGCCAGCTGCAGCTTCTCCGTCTCCTCGGTCCTCGCGCCATCGGCTCCGCCTCCACCATCGCCATCCATGTGCTGGTCCGTTGAAGAAGCGGGAGGCACCATAGCCGCGCCGTTCGCCCCCGCCATCGCCTCCGCCCTCGCAACCAGATTCCTAAGCTCGACCCTCTGCTCCAGCTCAAGCAGCGCCTCGCTCTCCCTCTCCAGCTGCTCCAGCTGCGCCTCCAGCTGTGCATCCACATCCCCCTCTCCACCGCCACCGCCGCCATCGTCCTCGTCACCCGCGCCTCCCTCCAGCGAAACGCCCAGCAGACTCAACTCCGCGCACTGCGCCCTAATCGCATCGAGCTCGACCTGTCGCTTCCGCGCCACCCGTTCCGCGTCCAGGGCCTCTGCGTCCTTTTCCTCGAGCTCGGCCTCGTACGCTGCAGCCAGCCTTGAGCATTTCTCCAGCAAGCTGGGGGCCAGTGTCGTCACGAGCGTCTGTGCGGTTTGGGAGCGGTAGCGTTGCTGTTGTAGCTGGCCCGAGCCCGTCCTGCTCAGGGCGCCGCTGATGCCCAGCCCATCGCCGACTACGACGTCGCCGTTCGCGCGGTCAGGCGCGAAGGGGCTCGACGAGGGCACGCGGTGCCGGCCGTCCCTGCGGCGGAGGTTGAGGTCGCGGATCAGGTCGTCCGCCGTCACGCCGTCCTTGTTCACAATGTCCGTTCTTACGTCGCGGCCCAGCAGCGCGCGGACGCATTTTCGAGCCCCGTTGCGCGCGGCGATCATGATAGCCGTATCCCCGTTGTGGTCCTGGGCGTTCAGGAGAGTGGCTATGGCATCCGCGCGCCACGTCTCGGAGAGCTTCGCGATGAGAGTATCGAGGTAGTAGCGTGCGCATGCGTATTTGTTCTTGGAGGAGGTCGTGCCGGCGATATGGTGGAAGACCGTGCGGCCGTACCAGTCGGTGCGCACGACGGTCGGGTGCAGGATTCGGACCAGTGATGGCATGGTGTCCTTGTCGAAATTGTTGGTGAACATTACTGCGCGCATCAGCGGCGTTTCGAGGTTGTTGGATACCGTGTCGATGCGTGCGCCGCGCGCGATTAGGTCTTTGACGACGGAGACGTCGCCCATGGCTGCGGCCCAGTGCATGGCGCTGTGGCCTTTCTCGTCGATGGCGCGGTCGAGGTTCAGGTGGGCGGGAGGGATCGGGGGGGACTGGAGCCGGTCGTCTGAGTCCATCAGCATGAAGTAATCGAGGAGGTGGTCTGCCCAGAGCTGGTGCTCTTGGTCTTCGAGTGACATTTGGTCGCCGGGCCCTGGTCCCCGTTTGCGCTTGCGATTGCCCGTGGAGTATTGTGAGGGGTGCGCATAGTCTACGTCATCCATCATCGATTCAGACACGATGGTCACATTGTCGGGCGTCTCATCGTCGTGAAGTTGGAGACTCATTCGATCGTAGTGATCTTCGCTTATTTGGCTTGCATTTTGGGGCACGGCGATGCGACGCGCGGCGGCAGGCTGACGAGGCACCTTGGGGCGGTTTGACGCTGCAGTCGCGTGTTTGGGAGCTGGCGGAGGGCTTCGGTCTCCGGGGACGAAGTCGAAGATGGGTAGTAGTTTGCTGAGCACGTTGTTGCGCTCGGCCAGCGCGCGGCCGTCGTGTAGCGGGACCCATGTTCCTAGACGGCGTCGTCTTCAGCGACAAGGACGCTTGAGTGTGCCTTTCAGTTTGGCGACTCACCCTGATATTTCCCGTATCCGCCTTGGACCTTCTCATGCACGCCCTTCTGGACCTCTCGTTCTAATATCCTCGTTCTGGCAGGCTTGTCAAAGTCGGCCACTTTTAGTATGTGTGTCGCGTTGATCCAGTCGTCAGCTCGCCGGCGCATAACATGGTTTCCTTCGACGTTGTATTCGTAGACGGGGACCTGGCAGCGGTGGGGTTAGAGATGCGCCTGACTGCAGGAGCGGGGGAGGAGCGATCGAGAAGGGACAAACGGTGCAAGGGCGAGGTAGGACGTACATTGCTGTAGGTAGCAGAGTATATTCTCTGGCTGGTGTCTTGAGGCATGTTAGAGAGCGTCGGCCGGCAGTGGGTCTAAGTGGGTGCATGCGGACGGGACGTGGAATTGGAGGACGCGTACTGTACGTGGAGCAGAGAGCGCGTCGCCAGGCGGGAGGTTTGGAAAGTTAAAGCGGCCTCAGGCGCCGAGTTTAAGCCGAGAGCCCGCCAGCACCAGCACCACCATCATCGGAGAGCATCACCACGACTGCATTCACCACCATGGCCGTCACAGACTCGATCAAGGACGCTGTAGGCCTTGGCCATGGCCACCCCGATCCGTCAGGCCGTGAGTAGCCCTCTGCCGCACGTCAATGGCGCCCAATGCGCCTGAACCGTACATGCCATGAAGCTCTTACCGAATGCTCACGTCTCTGCACAGCTGCCACAAGGGAAGAGATGTCAGCCGCCCGACTCCCCCTGGCATACCGCGACAGCTGCGCCCACCTCCTCATACCCCTGAACCAATGCCGATACCGCGAGATGTACCTGCCCTGGAAATGCGAGGTGCGCCGGTGGAGCTGCCTTCTCTCACGGACAAGTAGCTGACGCTTGCTCGCAGAACGAGAGACACTCGTACGAGAAGTGCCAGTACGAGGAGTTCAAGAAGCGGGTAGCGAAGATGGACGAGATCAGGGCGGCAAAGGGCGGTGCGAGGAGTAATTGAGCGGGGAGAAGGGACTCAGCGAGCTTGACACTACTTTCGTGAAGTCGGGCCAGGCCAGCTGTATATATCGGCATCTCAACACGGCCAAAAGAGAAAGAACTACGCGAATCACTTGACTCTTATGTGCCTGCAGTGGTAGCCTTCCAAGAGGAATGCACCAAGCCACCGCTGCCACGACCCTCTCAGTCGCTGGCCCACTCTACCTCAAGGCTGCATGTTCAGGGCTATCTTGAAATTCCGCTGGGCGTATTGTGCCTCTGCGAACCGTACGATCAGCGTCACTGGAACACGGCTTCCAAGGGGCGTGATCTAATGTGTATCCGCAGCTGATTTTGGCTTCACCAAAACTCGTAGCCATGTGCTATAGTTGGCCGCTCAGCTACTATGGGAAACGTAACAGCTACAGCATTTGGAGCGTCCTATCTGTACACGATTCTGCTTTGAACTGCTCTTTAAGACATCCGAGCCGAGCGCTCAACTTTGGTAAGACACGCTCGACGACCTTCGGTTGGACTGGATTACTACGAATATCGTCTGAAGTGAGCCACGGATGAGCTTATAAAAACATCCTCACTTGTTGAGCCATGTTTGGCCAAAGGGACGGGCAATCCACAACACCTGTTAGAAACTCAACCCTTCGACTGAAGTAACAACAAGCGCTTCCATCACTTGGACAGCGTCATGCCTAACCCGTTACCCTACAGACGCAGACTTCAAGACCAGAATACAACCCATCGTCCGCTGCGCCGATGAATGCTGTCCCGACGCCCCGGACCCCAAATGCAAGACCCCGACTGCCACCATGCACAACCCGTACCGTAGTGGAAACAGACAATGAATGTAAGCCCCAACGCCAAAGAATGCTTGCCAACAGCGCTCAGGCCGTGCAATAACAAGGGATCCAAAGGAATTGTGGAGGAGTTGTCTCAATGCCCAAGGTGTAAGGCTAAGACGAATCGGTATGTCGCGAGAAGAACTTCTTCCCAAAGAGCAGCTTGCCCATGCGGCGGTTGCTGTTGACCAATGTCAGTAATTGCTATAATTAAACCGAGTAATGAGATACTAACGTATCTTCCGTCCTCTCAGCCGTGACCTCATCCCTCAAACGGGCAATGAGAGAGTGGCGGAAACCTTCTGATTCAGGCTCCTATTCCTGTTAGTATGCGTCATGTCGAACAAGAAACTTAGGGACACCCACCTCGCCTTCAGCCCGCGGCGAGGAGTTCGCGGCAGATGAGGTGCCCTCGGAAGCTGCATAACCGCCCCGACTCGCAGTTGAGGCCGTCCCAGTCATCAAAGGCGTACCAGCACCAGAATGCGTACTAGAGGAGAAGGAGTTGGTCCTACTCAGTATGCTATCTCGTTCGGAAGCGAATGACGGTCTCGCTTCGGAATCCGAGCTGTTCTCACCCGGGCTGCGGTCCATAATGCTGCTTGCCTCGCTTGCGGCGGTGGAAGGGTCGCGGCTTGCCTTCAGCACAACCGCTGAGCTGGCGAGCTGCCTCAGCCGACTCTGTTGTTGCTTGCTCGGCCGGTGGTGGGAGAACTTGTTACCCACAATAGCCCCGACGTGGGAGATCAGGGCTCGGATAATGTCCTTCTTGAGCTGCAGCGCCAGGTCTAGATTTGACCATGTTTTGTTGCGGTACTCGAGCGTCGGCATGCGGAACACCAAGTCGTGGACGTCTTCGAAATTGCGTTGGCCCTTCCCCTTGTAGCTGAGGCACAGGACCACGCTGGGGATCTTGACGTAGGCTAGCGTCATGTAGTTCGAGGCACGGTTCATCATCTGAGTGAGGTCGTCCGATCCTGTGTCCTTACCTCCGCTCATTACGCTGTTGCTATTGTTCCGATGGAGCGCAAAGCGCTTCGACTTGTCAGTCTCGCTACCGTTCATGGCGGAGAGATTAGTCGCAGAGCGGCTTTTTGGCATTTTAGAGCTGGATATTAAGATATCGGTCGACGCGTCCTTCCTCGCTGAACGCAGTGGTCCAACAACGTCGGTACTGGATTTGTTGCGGTGGTAGTCTTTCCAGGGTCTTAGGTGATGCGAGGAATCTGCACGGCCTTCCAACCTCGTACGCTTAGGCCGTCGTTTGTCGGGCAAGGTCAACGTCGGCTTGAGCCTCTGAGCTAGGTCATTAGGTACGGTCAAATTCTTTCCCTGAGTCGGTTCGTGCACCAAGTTGCGAGTGCGCAGAGTTGGTCGACCATCTGTGCTTTCATCCATGTCCGAGTCGTGCTCTTCTTCATGTGAGGGCAACATGTGCTTGACCATGAGAGGCGAAAACCCACCATTCTCCCCAGAATTCGAGCCCATGCCTGGGAAAATGTACTCAAAGAGGCGCTTGCCAATCTCGCGCTCCAGCTGTACTTTCAGCGGGAACAGGTTGACTTCGAAGTGATCCATAACGGGGATACCGGCAATGGCTTCCAGCATGTACCATTGGATCCTCAGCATGGTTAGGACTTTCCCATCGGTGAAGGACCGATCGCTGGCATAGTATGCCGCAATCATCTCGGGATACTGGGCGCTTGGCAACAGGTTAAAGCCTCTGAAATGTTCCACCTCCATGCAATTCCAATTCGAGCCATCATTGTTGTCAGTCCGGTCGTACAAGGCGTTCACAAGCTGGAACTCCGCAAGGGATTGATTGCCCTCTCGTACCAAGTGCCAGACGATCTCCGATGCTGCGATGTACCAGCGGAGCAACCCCGTTGACTGCGTTGTCTGGGTCCGGTCGTCGCTCTTGCGCTGCGAAGTAGTAATTGCTTTCATCATGAAGAAGAGTTCATCCTCGCAATGAGCCAAGTCTTGCTCTATGCTGATTCGGTCCTTCCAGCCTTGACGATCAAGGTACTGTTCGTTGATTTGGAAGTGCCCCTTGATCTCTTCCAGCTGTCGAATCCTCTCTTGGAGCATGACGACCATCTCGGGCGCACCAGTGAGATCGCTAAAATCGGAGGCCAACATGATCTTTTCGAGCCGTTCAGTCCGCGTTTTCTCTAATGGCTCGCTGTACAGCAAGAGATCGAGCACGATGATATACATGGCGTAGTACTGAGAAGAATCGCAGATGGCTCGGACTTGCGGGAAATTGATCCACAGATGGTCTAACCGGCTTTCTACGCTGTCAGGGCTGTGTCTATGACCAGAATCTCCAGTCACATCGTCATTGTACTTCAATCGAAGTGTGTTGTATTTGTCGTACCGCAATGTCGCAGAGGTCCGCTCAACGACCATCTGAAAGCCATAGGGATTGAGGTCAAAGTCGAACATCACCTCGAAGGGAACCCAAGGTGGCCACACAGATCCGGCTGGTGTCCCGTAGTGGTTGCCCGGGTGCAGGTTGCGGTACGCGCTCGAGAACGTAGTTTGGCTCGCAACATACATCTGCAAGCTCTCCATGGCTGCAGAGAAACGCCGCTGTACAAGCCCAGAGACTTCGTCTGTGACTCTGTCTTTATCCATAATTTGTATGACTTTGAGCTGTATGCCCCTCGCGGTGACGAGCACAACCGCTTTGGTGTTCTTCTCACTCTGAAGCTGTATCTGTGGAGCTACTAGACGCACATAGTAGGTATTCTGTGGGGTGAACTCCTTCGAAACATCTTCTCCAGCCTTGTCGGCGGACTGCATTTCAGATTCTCTCCGCACTGGATCATCAGCTGTTACGAACTTCTTTCCGTCATCGAGTAACTGCTGTACCCGGTCTTGGACGCTCGGCTCATCGTCCCGCTCCATAGAGTCTGTGTGTACGGGCTTAGCGCCGATCTCTTCGTCCTCTGGCCTGACGCCCACCCTTGATTTTCTCTGTTCTTCCACAATGTCCAAGATGAACTTGACGGCTCTTCGAGACATGTAATATACAAACCCGCGCCTTTGGCTGACCTGATGGATGTATCGGAGTATAATGTTACGAAGCGAGTTACTCCATTTCAGTTGCGCATTGTGCACGATAAAACGGTTGTTGAAATCGCTGATGTAGTCTTCCAGGGGTGAAGAATCCATGCCTTCCACTCCAGTGTCAGTTGGGCGATTCTCTCTCCGAGCCGCGTAAAAGTCGTTGTCAAGTTCACGGTCGGGCACAGGACCTCGGTCGCCAGTCTCCAGCTTTTTGGTCAAAGTCTTGAACATTGATTGCAAAAAGCTTTGTGTTCTTTGCAAAGTTTCCATCTGTTTCCGAAGGGCGTCGAGCTCTTCACGAAGACGTGCATCCCCGTCGGCATCACGTACTACCTTGAGTTCCTGTTCGCCAATGCTCCGCTGATTGTGCTCAAGCTGCTCCGCTAATTGCCGGAGTCTCTGCTCGATAAGATCACGCTGAACCCGCCGGGGGTCGTTATTTGCAGACATCTTGCAGTCGTGTGAAGGCTCCTTGCCGAAGGCACTGGACCTCCTGGGGTCTCCTGAGATTGTATCCTCATGGTCTGTCTGGCGGAAGTATGTAAACCGAGGAGCGAAAGCCAAGGGTAGGATCCTTGTTTCTGGATTGGATTCGGCAGGTAACATCCAGTCAAGCTCCACGAAATCGTCCATATCAACCCAGGAGAGGTCATTGTCTGGGATGCTGAAGCGGGACAGGTCTGCAGCTGGCAGGCCCTGTTGATAGGCTGCGAAGGTGTCATCGGTTGCGGCATCTATATCCGACATCTCTGTGCCTGCAATCGTAGCAGAGACTGCTCGTATATCCGCAGATATGAAGTCGAGCTGAGCCTCGTTGATTCGCATACCACTCGTCTTAGTTTGCCTGGTGCTACCTTTGACTGGGGTCCTGAATTCCTCTCGCCGTTGATGCAGGTCCAGCATGAAGCTATCCAAGCGGAGCTTGAGACCAGTCGCGGATACAACACCTTTGCCATACTCCTCAACGTCTTTGTGCTTGTACACATGGCTCATATACAGTGGTGATAGGAGCAAGCTGTATTCAATCGTAGCTAGATGTCGGCCAAACTTTTTGCTGGACTTCTCTATCCCCGGCCATAACTTTCCTTGGCGAATGGGCAAAGACATGACGCCTGAGAATTGAGACCACCAGCTGTAGAAGTGACTGAAGAACCGGGGCGTCAGATGGATGCTGTTGTAGTTTGCAGCCGATTGCAGGTTTGAGGCAGACCAGTCCCTGCCAACCGGAGCGGCAATTGCAAGCGACAAGTGTATGTGGTGGCTGCGGAAACCTCTAAAAGCATCGTAATCCTGCGAAACGTCAGCGTAGCTTTGGTAGTGGAAGCCTCGACGCTCTTGCCTTTGACCTTGCGACTGTTGCACTCCCTGGCCTGCGGAAGACCACCTCATAGTGAGGCACAAAGTCGAACGAGCGGGTGGTCTTGTCAACGTTGCGCTCGAAAACCAGGCCTACTAGCCATTGGACGTCGCCTGAGAGCTTCATGATAGTCTTCTTGAACATTGCGGTCTGTTGATAACTCGATGCGGTAGAAGCGGTCTCGCTGTCTGACATGTCGGCAACTCTTGGCTGCCGGGCATAATGACTGAGGTCTGGTACTGCAAGCACGTAGGTGCCGCTATTTACGGTCATGAACTTTCGAGGGCTGGGGTCTTGAGCAATCTGCCATTGAACGTTGTTGCGCCAAACCATCACGAATCCAGCTCCGTTGCCGGTCACCTTGTATGGATCTCTCGAACCTGCAACACGTGTTAGTCTGTTTCCATCATGTCACAGTTTCGAACAACCTTTTAGTATTAGGTGGACATCTCCGTCACCTGTCCAGTCCACCTTAATCCGTGAGTGAAAATTAAGTCGAATCTTGTCCCAGAACCCAACACGCTCAGACGGATCCACGGCAGGTTTCGTAAAACCCTCAATAACCTGCATCGCTTCCTGAATAGCTGGTTGGTAGGAAGTCCCCCAGGTGATCTGTGTCGCAGAAGCTGTATTAATATCAATAGTCATGTTTGAGTACGTCTTCACTGGTGAAACCGTGCGGCGGACATTCACGCTGAAGCCTCCAAATATCTCTCCGGAGTCGAGTTTCTCGGGCGGGACTACGTCTACTCTGACGAATCTGGCTGATTCGTCATCTCGGTATTCTTCTGCGATGACGAAGTCGGTCCGCATTGAAAGCCCCGAGAGGCGTGGTGACTGCCCTGGCCGTACGGACGGAACATGGAGGAATGGAAGTGGGTAGTCTCGAAGGGTTATACGAGCTTCTCCAATATTGACCTGCACGTGCATCGGAATCAACAGCGAGTACTGCATGTCAACGGGCATCCCTTTGCCGACACTTTCCAGGAACAACGGATAGTCGTGGAGAGCAAACGAAGGCTTGTCAATCAAAAGGTTGAAATCACTGATCAGCACGGCCATAAGCGCTGGCCGTCTCGGCGTGGTAAGGATTGTCTCAGACTGTTCATAGTCGTCGGGCAACTCGTCGACTCCCCAAAATATGGAGCGGATATCGTGCATTGCGCGACTCTGGAAGCTGAGCCCGTGATCAATGCGCTTCTTCCAGCTCTGCGCGTTGAGTGACTGCAGTTTCTTCCAAGCTTGCTCGGTTGTAGTCTTCGCATTGTCGCTGATATCGCACGTGCCGTCGATGTCGTACCGCATCTTGACACTTGCTCTGCGGTTGCGTGAACGAGATGATCTGCCGCGTAGCCGATCGACGCTGTAACTGCGCCTCTCATTGGCATCGGATTTTCGAGATCCATGTCGCTCTCGTCCTAGACGTGCCGATTTTGACCTGAACGACGAGCCTTCCTGGCGGTTGTCTAACTCTTGGAGCTTCTTCACTTTTAAGCGAAACGCTTCCTCTCGCGCCAGCCTTTGCTTCTGTTCCAGTAAACCTACTCTGTAGATGACGCCAAGCTTCCATTCAAACGAGCCATCCTCAATCTCGAAGAGAACTGCATGAGTGCGGAACGATATCCTCGGCACGCGCTTTGGACCCACTGGCCTCTTCTGAAGGATGTATTCATCTGAATCCGTACGGAATCGATGATGAAGTTGTTGAACAGTCTTCACGGTGTTTGTGATGTTGTCGAAGATTTTGTGCACAACGAGTTGATGAGGCACCGCGATACGGATGGCATCAGCGACGACATCGATGGACTCTTCCTCATTGAAACTCGTACCATATCTCCGACGTGACCGTCGCATATCTAAGCGCAAAGCTTTGACACTGACAATTCGACTCCATGCTTGTTTGACCATTGGATGCTCTGCGTACAACCTGGCTTGGTGCAGCCTCGCGAACGGAGTTGCCCAACGGTGAGAGCCAGCTTCTAGACCGTGCGCTTGAACCATGAGTTGAGGATTGGACGGCATGGAAGCCTTGACCTGGATAAACCCAGCCTTGAAGTCGAAGGTACTTATCTCAGGGTGCTCAGGCAGAGCACCGGGTCTGACTGGCTTTTTCGGCCCGTCCACGGGAAGCTGGTTCTGATTCATGCCAACTTTGTAGTGCGGAGCACGCGGCTTCCTCTGTGGGAGGAACGTCTTGCGCAACACGGTTATCGCCACACCAATGGCAAAGTGTCTGTAGAGCGAATATTGCATGTATAGGCTTTTCGCATAGGAGTTGATGTGGAAGATGGGACCATACTGATCGGTGGACGTAGTGAAGGCCACTTCGAATTTAGGGAGAGAAAGAAATGGTTCTGGCTCAAGCGCGTCAGCTGACTCAATAACGAACCCCTCTAAGCCCGAGACGTGAATTGCTAAGCGCCTGCCATCGGTTGCATCGGCTTGCGGCTTTCGAGATGGAGAAGGCGAGACAGGTCTTATAAATGCTTCGTTGCGACTGATCGACTGACTCATGGCTCGGCGCCGCACCGGGCGTGTTCGTGTCTCATCGCTCTTGTGAGCTTTGTATTGTGCAGTCCAGCTCTCCACATGCAACGCGGCGCCACGTGGATGCTTGGAAACCTCAGCATCTACACTTGCCACTTCGAAGTTGAAGTCTGAGCCCTGGAATTGAACGTGCACCAGCCATTGAGGAAGCTGCCGGAGGAACTTTGGCCGCTGGTGCTCCACAGCCTTACTTTTCACCGTCGGATGCTCGCTGTTAAGTTCAACGAAGATTTGGCGCACGCCTTCGCTTATCTCAGGACGTATCATGTATACAGAGAGGGTCTGGAAGTTTGCAGTTGCAAACACCATCACTTCTGGAGATGCGCTAAGCTGGATCTTGAACTCGAGACTGTCCATGGCAAGGAGGTTGGACTTATTACCAGAGGCAGTCTGGTAGTAAAACTGATGAGACGAGATCCGCAAGTTCGAGGCAACGGCGTAATGAAGCTCGCCGTCTGCCGAATGGGACGACTCAGTATCGAATGAGATAGAGGACGTGGCGGATATCAGAAGATCAAATTCACCGGTCCCGATCTTGTCGCTTTCCATCGGCGGAAGAGCTACTCTGATCACAGGCTCATGGATTGTCGTTTTGATGCTTGCTTTCGGTAACAGTCGTGACATGATGTGACGCCTTGTGTGCGGAGCGTCCATCCGAGCCTCGTTACTCTGTCGACTCTGCAGAAGAGCGAGAAGCATAGGTAAGTGTTTGGGGTCGAGATCCAACGAAGGGGAGGTGACGACGAGATTCGCGAAGAGCATGTTTGTGTTCCGCTCTGCGGAGCTCTTGTCTTCTTCAAGCTGGATGGTCTTGGACGGTAGAGTGGTTTTGACCGTCGTTGTTGCCATGGGTACGTAGAGCAGTCTCTCTGGGCGGTCTTCCCCATCGTTGATGCCCACAGACACGGAGATCGCTGCGATCAGTGCTTGGTGTGCTACATCGGTGGGCGAGAAGTACATCAAATGGGCCGGGCTTTTTGGATCAAGGCGTAGGAGATCGAGGCCGACTTCTTTCATAGACACATTCAGATATATTGGATTGACCGAAGGTTGTGCGAGGCGAACGCGCTTCGACAGCCCAAAGAAGCCCACCGCAAATTGAATTTCTTGTATACCTCTCAGTATGGAGCTTAAGAACTCTTTCGAGTCGGAAACGGTCTGTATGATGCTCTCCTCTCGGCTACCAGGCCTATCCAGCTCCTCCATGACATCCGCTAAGGAGATTTCAATGTCGCCTTTCTCAACGTCTGCTTTACTGTAGGCTCTCCTGCAGTTCTTGATCCGGCGTAAGCTTGTTTCCAAGTCATCGTACGGGACACTTAGTCGGCCAAGTTTCAGTGCGATAGAGGCGTCTCTGAGACCCTCAAGATCCTTGTAGAGCAAACCATGTACGTTGAGGGTGCAATGATCCAAGATCTCGGTAGAGTCTTTGCCTTCTGGGATGAATAGTATGCTTCGGGCCGTGAAAATCCATTCCGCAGGGCGTTGGTCCTTTGACGAAGCCTTGCGGTGCAGAAACAGCCGAGTTCTATCCACTGTCTTGCGCCGGACGTCCACAGCGACGGACAAGCTGGCGACCTGGATTGTGCCTACATCGATTATGTTGATTGATAAGTTCTTTACCACCAAGTCCGCCACGCGAACCCAGTTGATCTTGCGGTGGAGCCTTTTTATCTTCTCCTTCGCCAGTGTCAACCGCTCCCACGTCCGACTTCTCTGAAGCTTGCGCTTGACAGCTCCATGAGATGGCTTTCCGTTCGGTGAAGGAGTCTCTGAGTCCGCACCAGAGTTTTGTTCGTCTAGGCCATATCCATTCGGCCAGTGCACCCATGTCTTCCCTTTGCGACTTTTTCCGCCCAGTAGTTTCAAGTCCACCGAGAGCTCCAATTGTGTCAACTCGATGCTTATCCATGTGGGCTGAGCAAAGGTAGGTCGATGGAGAGTAAAACCCAATCCACGGATATCAACCCTCAATCCTTCTGTAGGTGAGAAATGTATACGGCGCAAGCCCGACCAGCCAATCCTCTGAATGGAAATGCCGGTAATGATACGAAAGAGGGCGAAGATAACGAAGGTCGACAGGTAAAGCAGGACCGCGACACCTGCAATAAAGGATAGACTTGGCAGTGCCATGTGTTCGGTGGAGAGCGGGTTATCGGTCGACGCGGCATTCGCGGAGGAGTCGGAACGCACGCAGCAGGTATTGAGGCAGTCTGCTGCTCCGTAGAGAGTTCATTGTCGACCATGCAACATGTCCGGCGCCTCTGAGGGTAAGTACAGTCCGTATAAGAAGCGGAGGTGCCGGATGTGTAAGGAAAGCCCCGCCAACAAAGCCGCTCGGAACTCAACGGAGAGGACCACGTGAAGTTCCCTGCTGTCTTCGTGATATCGCAGAGGTCATTTGAGGGTGTAACTCTCTGGTGTGTCTTGTTGCTTTTGTCAGTTGTTGAGGGGAGTGCATTGCACGTCACTTGCTGCAGGCGTGCCGTTGAAGCTGCTACGGCTTGGCACCACCATGCCAAGCATCGTGAAATCATGAACTCCAACCCCAATCTCCACTGGTACGAAGAAGTCAAATGTCTGCAACAGCTGCACTACACGACGCTTGTCATGGTCTGGACCCCAGTATCAGATTCTAGTGATGTTCGTCATAGCCTTTGTGACATAGTAGAACCTCACGGCGGCGAAACTACCATCACACTCGACCGAAGTGATGAATCGTTGGAGTGCTCCTGCATCTGTAGCGGATGCCGGTCTCAAGACTATGAGTAGCACGTTGAATTGAGTCATGCTCTTAGTATGATAGCATGGGTGGTCACGTAAAAAACAACGGATTACTTGATTCTGAACCAGCGTAAGTGAGTAGCTGACGACAATAGACCTCCAACCAGAACGCTATCAACGAAAACAGGGATATAAAGCAGCAGGTATATAACCACGAAGACCGTAAACATTGGCTTGTAGAGTGGCGCTGTACAGCCCTGAACACGCTAAATTAAGAACACCCCAACATATTGCGCCAAACCGCTGCAACCCCATTTTCTGCACGTTCGAAACTCTCTCAATGGTGGACCTCGTGTGAGGCAACAGCAACTTGCTCCTTCGAGTCACGGTCTGAGGACTGCATCTCGATCTCGCCCAGTCCGACATACTTCTTGAGTGCCTTCGCGCTCTGCAAGCGGCCAAGTCGGTCGCAGCAGACGATAGTGAAGAGCATGCCAACGAACGCCGGCAAGAGCGATCCATTCTCGATGAAGTAGTACATGAAGTCCTGCTGCCGGAACAGTACGATGAACGCCGTCGAGAGCAACAACATCGTGGTGCGGCCGCCAATTGCAAATCGGTCGAAGATGTCAGTGCGGCGACCGTGGTGGCGTGTCAGCCAGATGAAGCTGAGGAAGCAGGCGATGACGACGAGGACCGAGCACCAGAAGTAGATGTAGACGGTCGTGAAAGAGTTGATAGCCAGTTCAGCGGGTTCCGTGCCATTCGGTAGCTTGGCTCCATTGGCTTGGAAAAGTCCACCAATGAGGTCTCTCATAACGTTTCCAAATCCTGGGATGACGTCTTTGCGTGTGTCGAAGGTCGACACGGTTGCGCCCGAACAGATACCAGCTTGCGCGCCGAGAGCAGTAATCGACTTCTTGATAACAGCAACCTGAGCCTGGCTTTCCACCTTCTTGTCCAGCTGGAAGTTGTCTACCGCCTTGGTAAGAGCATCGACAAGCATCTTACCCTCGAGACGTTGTTCAGCGCAAGCAATGTATATATCGGCCCGGAACTGATCAATGTTCTTGAAGACGTAGCGGGCGAGCGCAATTTGCTGGGAGCCTTCAACAACTCCAACGATGGCAAGGTGCAGCGGGAAGTGAAGGCAGGCCCAGAGCTGTTCTCGGACAGTTCCATAATGACCATGTGGATGGTTGTCAAAGTAAAGCATCCAGAGGAATACCTTTTCACAGCATTAGCGGATGCACAAGTGACAACCCAGCATCAAGTTTAGGCTCTTCCACTTACCAAGATAAGAATGATGCAAAGAACAAGAGCGCAACCTTCGAAATTAATACCCTTACCCATCCTATTGACCGATGTATTAGCATGCACACTCGATGGCTCTTAATCGCATGTCAAGGCTGTAGTCACTTACAATTTGCCCACAGTTTTTGTGACGCCAATCGCGCCCTCACCGATAACGATGAGGGTGAGCAGGCCCATACGCTCCACAAGGTGGGTTTTTTTGAAGGAGAGAGTTCTCCAAATACTCGAGACGCCAATGACGGCCGCAGATTCTGCGAACAGAACGATGTACCAAACATAGTAGATGGTCCATCCATCGCCAGTTGCCGCCGCGAAAGCAGGGGTCATGGCAATGAAGGCTCCAGCGGCAAGAACAAAGGAGGCAGTGTTGAGCACTATAGGCAGTACCAGCTTCTTGGTCTTCTGCAAGCTGAAGACCAGGACGGCGATATACTGGATAGCAAGGAGAGCGCGACTAGTGAAAAGTAGCCAGCACAGGATTTTGAAATTCTGATTGCGGTTGATCAGTTGATGCTGCACAATCATGCAGGAGTTAGGACATACCTTGTTGTTTTGCTTCTTCCCGCCAGGTGCAAATGCGGATCCGACTAGGGCAAAGCTACAGACAACGTCAGAAAACACATGGTGGCAAGTTCAGCGATGGCAAGCTCACGAACCCGATCATGACCATGAACTGGATGACCTTGCATGCCCGTTCGTAGACAGAGTCGATGGCGAATCTGACATCGTGTAGAGTGACTTGGAACCAGGTGGCCCAGATGATTCCAAACAGTCCAATATAAGCCAGGAGGGCGTCGATATCTACGATGGCGTGGTACGCGGTGAAGGTGGCTAGATTCGCAACAAAGAAGCTGGATACCATCAGACTAACCCTCCTTTTTGTCAAGATATACTCAACCTACAGATCGAAAAATAGCTCCACGGAGTTGGCCTCATGTCGCAGGTGGAACGTAAGGTCACCGTCATGGGCTTTCACCGGAGACTCAATCCATGGCAGCACCTGAGCCTTTCTCTCTTGTAGCTGCTCTACCAGCCTAGTAATTGGTCAGCGATGTACGCTCAAGCGATCGAGAACCGCAGTTGTAGTGTACTCAGTAGCTCGTGATACCACTTACAATTCATCCGCCGAAGCTGGCTGGGCCTCTGCCTTACGTCTATGGAAGAAAGACCGCATACTGACGAGACGAGATTGTTCCTCTTTTGATAAGAGCTGGTCAGACTTTCGCAGTAATGTGAAGGAACGATTAACCGTGTGTAACTAGGAGAGGCATGGCTGTCACCGACTTATATATCAATCATTGTTTTGATCCTATCTTCAACGCATTCAGCGCCATATGCGGATACCGGCATCCAGATTGACGCTCCAAGACACTCCAATGCCGCCAGATGCAAGCTTTGGCTTCCAGGCCTGCAGCCACAGGGCTCCGGCCAAGCTGATATGAGGAAAACATTTGAGAAGCGCAGGCGAGCCCGATGAAAAGACCACCTGACGGTCAGGACATCAGGGGAGCTGGGGAAAGCTAAGGGTATCAGTCGCAATGGCACGCAACCGAAGATTTGCAGATCTGGACGCCACAAGTGCTAGGTCTCGGAAAAGGGAAATATGACTTGGCGTTTTGTCCAAATACGTGCTGTCCCGGCACAGACGACGATCGCTTACGGTCTTTTGGGAAAAGCTTGATCTGCGGGAGAGCGCCTGTCAAAAAGCCCAGATGACGGGACCCCTGTTTCTCCCCCTCCCCCTCCGCCGGGGAATCCGGTGATGCCGCCGAGCGAAAATAGCCCTAGGATGGCGCTGCCACGTTGTTAGGCTACTACGGAGTACAGGGGGCGAGACTGCAGAGGGCGTTCATGGACCGAGCTGAAGGCGTCGCTGGATCCAGCTGGAGGCGTCGATGGATTGAGCTGAAATGCAATGCTTGTCTCCCGCAGGCGCTAGGCGTGATCCGCCGTGCAGAGCCTCGACTCCATCTTGGTTCGCTGTACCATCAATGCAAGGCGCCTCAGGGGCTTCATTCAGGGCTTGCAGCGTTGATTGGACTAACGGGCGCGCCGTATCAATAGTGCTGCAGAAGCTCCGACGCAGAAGGGAGAGTCATGCACGTCTGATCAGCAACATCTCTATTGCAGACGGAGAAGCCGCAGCCAGAACCAACGGCTCGTCTCTCACCGAGGAACTGTCAGCGCAGAAACAAGCTTTGACACATTGTCGCATGCTAGACTATCTTCTAGTACCGACAGCACTGCCATGGCTTCTGGGCTTTCGCCCTGGGATCGTCAAGGTAATGTGTATATAATTCACCCTCTAGACTCATGTCCTCATCCAAAATCCATTGCACTCTTTCCCGTTGCTCAGCGGCCTCAGTCTTTGTTCTTGCGGTCTCAATCCCTCTGGTGTTAATATCTGGAGAGATTCATGTTCTGAGGACTTGTCATAGCTTATCTTGCTGAGCGGCTAGCTGTCTCGTAAGTGATATCCGCATTGCTCGAATCTTTACCTCTTGTTGGACGGTGTGTTGTTCTCAGCCGATTTCGAAGAGAGACGTCTCTGCTCGCTAAGTTAGCTATCATATCACAATCGATGTGAGGATACTTCTGGCAGAGTGGAAGGCTTCACTGCGGCCCGGTCGCCGACGACTATCGTGCAGTTCAAGAGAGCTGACTTTGAGCGTTTAGATCCTCCATAGATTGCGGCCCTCGGAGTTGCAGATCCGCAGCAATGTCTTCCAGTTCGTCACAAATCGGCCTCGAAGCCGGCACTCAGCGTCCACAATCCCGCCCACGCCTCGTCAAACTCTTCCCCTTCTGGGGCTACGGCTCGGTGCTTACTGCATGCCTCGGTCTCGCAGGATGTATCGCCATACTCATATATGCCGATGACTCTCCACGAGAGAAGTGGCGGCCTTCTCCAACCGTCTATCTTTCCATATTCGTGGCAATGATCAACATCTCGCTGCACTTGGCCCATGCCGAAGGCCTCAACATCGCTTGGTGGAAGCGGGCCATGGATCGTCAGGCATCACCAGACCGTCTGCATGAAACCTGGGAAAGAGCGGACAGTCTTTACATGGCCTTCGCTTCTGTTCACCGATTCGACCCCATCGCCTTGGCCACCATCTTCGTCGCTTTTGCTCCCATAGCAGGGCCTCTGCTGCAACGTGCCGTTAAGCCGGCCATCAGTGGACCTTTTGGCTCGACTCTAGTCAACGTGTCGATTGCCGAACAGCTACCAATGGGCTGGAGCGGCTACTACACCGGTCGTAGTATGAACACTGCTTTCACCACGCAAAACTTTTCGAACATAGTCTACGAATTCAATGTCAACCAAGAACAGAGGGTGACCGCAGAAGGCTGCGACGGCGAGTGCCTAGGAAAGATAAGGGCCGCCGGATTCCGAGTCAACTGCTCCGAGTCTACAATCCCGTTCGATCTGGTACCGAAGTTTAGCGACGACGGAGTTACCCAGCTTACCTACCCGGACGAACGTATCTTTGCCAGCTACGCCAACTTTAGCTTCGCTGAGCCAGAAGTGATACAAGTCGCGGTTTTACATAAACCGACGGGCGAATGCAGTGGAGACCTGGTGATGCAGACGTGCTCCTTGACCCTGGGCAGTATCGAATACCCAGTTATATTCGAGCCTATTGAGCCTATTGATCCTCATAATAATACTCGGCGGCGCTGGACCAAGCTTCGCGTATATCTTGACTTCACCGCAACGGGCCTTGGTTTAGATCCATCAGCCACCGACTATGGTATGACCGGCGATGCATTTCTAGCTCATACGAGTCGGACATTTCGGCCCTCTGCTGTGATTAAGGAAAGAGATGGCGATACATTCTCCACCATCGGAGGCGTTGCGCTCGCCCTGAACGGCTTGTATGCTTCTGAAGCACGCTCCCGCTTCATCGGTGCCAGAGGCTACGAAGTAACAACGCAAGGTTCCTTGGCTGCAGGATTCTCCTTTGTCGAGGAAGAAGGACTGAATACGGCGGAACTCCTGAATACGCCAGACGGATGCCGCCTAGGGTTCTGGAATCCGATCGACCAGATACTATATGCCGCACACGAGTTCATGTTTCGCTCTGCCATTGCAGCGACGGAATATGCCGATCCAATCCCTCAGCTGATTAAAGCCAGCCGGGGAAAAGTCCCTGTCTGGAAGTCCGATATCCATTATCTCGGTGCAGCCATCGTGTTCAGCTGCCTTGGAATCATCTTCGTTACTCCCCTCTTCAATGGCTTCTGGCGGTTAAGCTCTTTCCCTAGCATGTCGCCTATCGAGACGGCGAAGTGTATAAACCAGCATCAACGGTCCGAGTCCAATCAGAATGTGAGTGGCAGCGCGTATGAGATGAAGACACCGATCGTCCGGGAGAAGGAGGTTGGTTCACAGAGTTAGATGAAAACTTCTTTCTTGTTTGGCGTTGCGGAAAGGACACTAGGGGGCGCAACACATGGCCGACCTAATCTGTCGATGTCTATCTGTTTGGAAGCACGGGGCGGTTGATTAGGATGATTGTATATATCAAGTACTGTGAAAGTGTTCCTCAGGACATTCTTCATCCATGTTCTATAACTCGGACCGGAATCGTTGAAACTTTGCTTTGAACCACCTGTTACCTTCTACATGAAATTGGCCCAACCTACATCACTCAATGATTTCGCGCATGGCTATCCTGTGCCTTCGTAGACACAATTGCGCGCGTGACCATCATAATGCTACTCGAGTAGCGATCAAATACGCTGAAGATCAAGGTACTTTACCTGCAGCAGGTCCAGTCTCGCTAGGTCGGATTGGAATAATTCTATTCGACAGGCAACTGCCGCAACTCCTGAGAGGGTTGAAGCCAGTTTGAATCAACGGCTGGAATAATGAGCCTTTCATTGAAAAGTACAAGCATGGTAAAGAAAATTCAGATACGCTCGTTCGTGCAAGCCGCTCCCCATGGTCCTGTCGAACGTGCCGCAGTCCTTTCTGTGAAAATGCTCTCGTTGACGACGGGGGGATGTGACATAAGGTATGGCTGGAACCACATGCCATGTCGCCCAGACAGCTTGCCCCCTACAAGAACACCTCTCTCGTGAATGGTGCCTTCCAGGCGCTCGGATCAAAAGCCATATCTTCTGCCTCAAACACCGTATCTCATAAGCCCGCTTCAATTTGGCTCGGTGCTTACGAACGCCAGTCGAGCGCCACATCATTCATCGCGCTGAACTGCGCGCGTCTCACGCAGACCACGGTAGAACTCGTCATCTCATTACAGTCTCCACAACTAATCCGGCGTTGCCTACTTACGGAATATCTCAATAACAACTTGTCGAATGGTTAAGATTGAAAAATGTCAGAACAAAGTTGCAAAGCCTTCATAAGATACTACAACATAGGGACGCCCACGATGTCCATCTGCGAGAGGCCAAACCCAGCCCTACGAACCGCAAGTCGAAAAGAGTGTTTTTGAACCTACGGGCCCTAATTGGCAGCCTTACGGTGTGAAGACGAAGATGGATTGGTGGTAGGTACCGTACAGCAGCACGTGATGCGAAGTCGAGATACGGCGGATACGGCGGAGCGGCACGGCTAGCGTTTCGTCTCCACCGTCAAAAGCTGAGAGAATGTAGAGCTCGAGATGGGACGACATAGCAACGCCGTCAACTTGGCAAAAGCGATACTTGAAAGAGCCGAAGATGGCAGCCGAATCTCTGGATGTTCTTGCCTTCAATCATCCCCTATACCTGGATTTGTTCAAATCACATGTCATTCGATTGATTGAACTATTACCCGGAGCTCCCGATGACCCTATCATCACTCGTCTGTCGATCCAAGAGCTGGAACATGCGCAGGACTACGAAGCCATATCCTACGTATGGGGAGATCCGCAGAACCGAGTACCGATAGAATGCAACGGAAGAACACTCGATATTACTGTAAATCTAGACGCTGCATTTCGAAGAATCAGATACCAGGATCGTTCAAGGCTCGTTTGGGCAGATGCTATATGCGTCAACCAAGGAAACACACGAGAGCGCAGCCACCACGTGTCGTTCATGAACAAGATATACAGGCATACGAAGAGAGTGCTGGCCTGCATAGGTAATGATCCCGACGGAGGGGCTGAGAACATTGCAGCCTTAATCAGTGAGCATGTCGAGCGCATGTCTGGATATACTTCAATCCTAGATATGCCTGTGCTTGCTGCTGACGATCCAAAATTCGAAGACGCTCGGTGGAAGTGCTTGGGGGTACTTACGAGATGCGACTGGTTTAGTCGCGCATGGGTTCTGCAGGAAGTAGGCGTGGCAGCGGATCCTCGTGTGCTTTACGGCAGCACTGAGTTCAGCTACCGGGACCTTATGAAGCTCTTGAAATGGATCGTACGCTGCGCATCAAAGCTGCAGCCAGCAGCGGGAATCTGGATAAGGACGATCCATACCGAATGGGAAGACTGGGGAGCAGACTGGCAAGAAAAGACGATTTACAAATATACGCTTCTCGATCTCCTGAGCCATGCCAAGGAAGTACGCTGTACGGCTGCTCAGGATCACATTTACGCCTTAATTGGACACCCTCTTGCTCAAGTGGAGGATGGCAGCGGGCCGATTATCATGCCCAATTACGAGAAATCCGTTGCGGAGGTGTATCAAGAGTTCACGATATGGATGCTCTCAAGGCTTGGCCTTAGTGTGCTCTCCGCTGTCGAACACGACGAGCAGACCGTTAATGAACACGTACCGTCCTGGACCGTTTGGTGAGATATGAATACAGTTTGGAAGTCGATGGGTTACTATTCTGGATTCTGCTATCGTGCGTCCGCTCCTGGAAACCCAGTGCGCTCTGCAATCACAGAGGGCGATCTATTGAACGTCCAAGGCACCTCCGTGGACATCATTCAGAGGATTTATCAATTCCCCGCTACGGAAAGTGATTGGGAGCTCAGCGATGCTCTCAAAGCTTTGCAGTCCGCAAGCACATTGAATGGCATCCTGGACCGCATTTGGCTGGATATACATCGCGACGAAATGCCTTGCATTTACTCTCCAGACCAACGCCAGGACGCGTTCAGTTTGGTATTGTGTGCAGGACTGACCAATTATACGTGTGCGGAAGAAGTCCTCGAACGGCATCGGGGGGATTTTACTGCATTCTGGGCACTTCGCCACCAGGCGCTGTCAAGAGATGCAGTTCCAGCGGAGCTTCAGCAGACGAGCGAGCAGGGCGATGCTGATAGCTTCTGGTACGATTTGAGTTTGTCATGCAAAGGCAGAAGCTTTTTTATTACTCACAGAGGTTACTATGGACTTGGTCCATGGACTACGAAGCCCGGTGATGTGTGTTTCATCCTCTCCGGCGCGATGGTTCCCTTTGTGTTGCGCAGAGCAAATGATCAGGTTTCATATAAAGTCGTTGGGGAAGCCTATATCCATAGTATTATGCACGGTGAATTTCTGAAAGAACGAGACGTTGGTGTCGGTTGGGATGATCTTACACTTATATAGGCCTATTTTCTAATTGCCGTCGTATTATAATGTCTCGCATGCCAGTTTTAGCTAAGTTGTTGATGGAGTGAAAGGAAGTACCTGATAATAGCTATCAACGCACTTCGAACGGAGAAGTGAGTGTGAAGGCAAAGAATATACTATTCTGCGACTGGGATAATTGGCGCCACAAAGCTGAGACTCGTCATGTATAGATGCTCTCGAAGAGGGTATGATGCGGGACGAGGCCTGGAGAATTTAGCTAGAAGTTTGGCCAGCGATGGGAAGGATGAGTGCTGTTGTGTTAGTATGTTTGTCATTTTGAGTGAACTCTCACGTGATATGTGGACATGTAGTAAACTAACTCTCCGTACCCGAGTAAGACTATCCAGCCTACACTTTGCTCTACCCCACCCAGGGAGCATCTTGTATTGATAGTGACCCCAGGTCCCAAGCAGCTCACTTTACAGATCGTTGCATCTGAATAGTCTTGATCTTATGGTTCTCAGCAGGCCGTACGAATCATCACATGCCTCGACGCCACTGCCAACGCATCACTATGGTGCTCAATGAGAGTCCGAGAGTAATACGTAAAACAAAAGAGTCGAAACTCAGCATAGAGATCGGCAAAGAGCACGGCATGCTTCCACGTTGATTGCCCCGTCCTGTTGCTGTGTTCTCGCTAACAGGCAGGCTGAAAAACGGTCGGCGCCAAAAGCATGATCATGGTTGGTTCATTCCCGCATATGAAGATACGCCCGCGAGTTTAATCGCCACGTCAAGAAAGCGGTTCGTGCTATTGCCGCCGTCTTCGCGCTTGTGACACAGTACGATCAAGATGGTTCGTCAGCTCAGACGCCCTGATCGGAGCTACTTCCACGGTATGCATGTCCAGGACGCAATCGGCGGAAACTCTGCATCCACATTTGGATCTCTTCACGTGATTTGTTATTCGGAAGGCCCGTCCGTTTACATAGGACCATGGAGCTTTCCAGGTTCGTGGTAAAGGCTATCTCTGGACCGGGCCTCGCTGGGGAGAGAGTGCCTCTAGAGGTAAGAGCTACGAGTAATGGTACATAAGCAAGACTCTTCTTCTCACCCATTTTCTTGTGCTCTTGACTTTCTCTTCAAGTTTCCCTGTAGTCGCTCCGCACCTGCCCTCCGATATTTGACCGTATGTCCCGCATCGATGCGGCTGCAGCAATTAGATCAAGAGCACGGAGAAAATCCCTTGGGTCGGTGACGTTTTGACCTCGTGGTGTTCTGCATGTTGGTTGCACGAAGCTGACATGCCTATGTCAGATTTGCCTCTTTCCGAATCCATCTCATTTGTTGCCTTGTGGTCTATCTTCAGCTTCTATCCTATTTCCAGCATCCTACTTCTCGGTCCAGCATCTGATGTGCTGGAGTCCGCTTGAATGATCTCATACTCGTCGAAAACTAATCATGGCGGAGCCGCATTCCTTAGCAAATGCCTTTACTTAAAGATAAAATCCCTCCTCCAGATTTGCTCAGAGTTACCCGCAGAAAAGACTTCAGATCTATTTCCGTGACTACCATGCGCACTTCCCGCCACGCTTGAGGCGACTTCAACGACCTTCCTCCCGCCGCTTCTAAGCATCGGTTTACCAGTAGATAGCTGAACACCATCGCCCTTGATGATCTTCTTCAATCCCACGTCCCCTTGAATAGAGGCAACATTTAGCGAAGCAAGCATCCATTTCCAGCAAACCGCAAAGGCACAGGTTCATGGCCTTACCAGTCAGCAAGCCCCCGCGGCATGCGAAGAAACCATCTGCTGATCTCACGCTTTCAGGCATCCTTCCCCTGTAACAGCGTCAAAGAGCTATCCTCCGACCGTTACGCCCTCGTGCTCGTCATATCCCACACGCCCAACTTCCTCCAAACACTGCGCGCCCACGGCTACGATCCCTTCGAGCTGCCAAGCGCGCTGCTGCTCGAGTACCCTTACTACGAGATCTTTGTCGCCACCCACAGCGTCGAAAAGTTGAGCATCGAGTACGACGTCGACGTAAACTACGACCCCCTGCGCGTTGATGGTAGAATGATGCAGAGGCTCGGGGTCCGCGAGGCAAACATCCACGTCTGGAAGAGATTCTGGACGCGTGTTGTGGATCAGCCGCAGCCGGTGCAGAGACTGTACATGGCTTTTCTGGAGAATTGCAAGCCGGCTGAGTATAGTTGTTGCGCGCAGTTCTTTATATGTTAGGACTGGAGCCCCGGACAGCTTGACTAGATGGTTTTGCTAGCGATGGGAAGGATGGGTACTGTTGTGCTGGTGGAATTGCGAGCTTGAGTGTGCGTGTTGGATCTTGACGAGCAAAAGAGCGGAGAAGGAGCGAAAATCTCCTGAATTCGATCGGGAAAGTAAAGAGGGGCGTGGAACGAAATGACGACTTGTACGAAGTAATGAGTAACGAAATTTTGAAAGGATGAGACTGCTACTATCATTATCAAGGTGCATGCAAAGCTAATACGAGAACAATTGAAACATCGCAGCGAATTCTGTAAGCGCAAGCAAAGCCTGTAATTTGTACCAGTAAGCAAGCTTAACCGGCCGATAGGCGGAGCGTGAGAGGTGAGAGTTTAGGATTAGAAAACGATTTCAGAACTGAGGGATGGGTGTTAAGGGTGAGGTAGAGTCAAGCGATCAGAAACAAGAGGCAAGCAAAGAGTTGAGGGATGAGTTATGACGTGAAGGTTGAGAAGTAAGCTGAGAAGTGAGAGTTGAGAGTTAAGATATCCTGCGGAAAGCGGACATGTTACCGCATTCGGAAGGAAATCGTGTCCGTAGAACGACGAGAAATGTGAGATCGTGAGAAAAAGATGAGAAACAGCGAGAACGTACTGAGAGTTTGGGAAGTGAGGGCTAAGAAGTGGGTGTGAGAGTGAAGAATGCGTTATACGGAAAGCGTATACATCACTGTATTCGGAAGCAAATGGTGTCCGTAAAACGGCAGCGGATGCAAAAAGCCGTGAAAACAGTAAGAAACAGCGAGAAGGTGGCGGTAACTATGTACAGTTCTTCAACGTCCGTCTTACTGGCCTGCGTCCCTTTGCTGGCGTCCTCATACTGACTGTGCTTGAGGCCTTCGTTGTCATGATGTTTGCTGTGACCTAGCTACTTATATAGGTTCACTTGAGGTTATCGAGAGCTTCCTAGAAAAGGGCCAAAGGTGCTCTCCAGAGATGTTGCTTCAGACAGCACGACGATGGGTGGAGTGGCTCTAGAATGACGTGAATACGCGTCTAAAAACTGACCTCAACATGGCTGACTAGAATTGTTTATAAGAGTCCAGGTTGCTGATATGCTATTTCACTATCATTCTCTAAACCGTGTCGAGAAGTGCTGCACAGCCGGGTTGAAGATTTCACACATACCCATCCCTTCATCAACGAACATTAAGACTTTTGACTCAGCGTCAACGACTCTTCATAGCCAGATTCAACCGACCAGCCGCTTGCGACAGGCGTCACGTTCCCGGGACATGATCACCAAGTGAACGCAAGCAAAGTTGTCATTCTAGCCCATGTACCTAAGATAAATTACACCGTCACGATTGCGTCCCACCAGCAAACCCACCTTTGTTACCGGACCATTGCTGAAGCCGGCTGATAGCTTACAACAGTAGGACCAGCTAGAGGTCCATACAGAACCGCTATTCCAAGCCATTGCCGCAGTAGATCGTCGAAACCCTACTTGATTTGCCAGTTGATCTGCCATGGACAGCGGCTATCCAGAGCTTGTGTGCTCCATACCTGTTCCCTAGGACTGACGTCGACGCTGGGGCGGGCGGTTACGGCATGCTGAATACCCTCAGTTGTACAGTACCAGATTGCTCCTTTGCAGGTGAACCCATTGGCTGAAACTTGCTCATATGCAGCAGATTGAGAAGAGGTCAAGCTCGACGTCCAGATCAGTCATAGTTCCCCAGCCCAATCTGGCTCGCAAACGCCGTACTGACACTCCTGACATCGTCGTCATCGAATCCGCCGCGTGCGTGTGTGTTACGATACCCAGCAGGAGAGTTCTGATCAGCCCGTCCGTTGGACTCAACGTAGCGCTTCAGGCGGTCCGACTGGCTGAGGCTCGTAGGTTTGTTAATATCGTTGAGGCTGAGACCCGCAAGGCTGACGCCGCCCTGCGCAACACCGCCCTTGCCGTCTAGCGTAGCGCCCGTGGCATCTGTCAGCTCGCTCGCAGCGACAGACTCGCCAGCCACGCTCGCGGCACCGTTGCCACGAGGCTTGGGACCGGGACCTCCGCGTGCGCCGCCCAGAGTGGGCCACTGCTCCGAGAAGCCCTGGAACATGGGCGGGTAGTTGGAATGGGCGCCTACGCCGCTGACCTGGGATGAGTAGACCGAGGAGACGTCGTCCGGGATGTATCCGACGATGGAGCCGTTGTCGTTGTATTCTTGGCGAGAGGGCTTGCCGTTCGCACCGCTGCGCCCGGAAGTCATATTGTTCGCGTGCTGAAAGGCCATCTGGTAGCGCTGTGGGCCGCGGTAGCTCTGCTTCGGACGGCTGAACTGCAGGAGCGAGACCTGAAGGTTGGATAGTGGACCTTCGACAAGGCAGTTGCGCTCCTTGAAATGCAGTAACAGATAATGCCACAAGGGGTGCTTGGAAAGAACTTTGGGATTGCCCAGGATAACAAGACCATACTTTGCACGAGTGAGAGCGACATTAAGACGTCGGGGGTCGCTCAAGAAACCAATGCCTTGGTGGTCGTTGGATCGGACACAGGAAAGCACGATGAAGTCCTTCTCTCTCCCTTGGAATGCATCGACGGAAGCAACCTCGATTTCCTTGTAGTTCTCCTTCTTGAAAGTGCCGTTGGTCTGCATGGAGCTGACGACATAGCTGCGCTGACCTTCGTACGGGGTGATGATACCAATGTCTTGAGGTTGGACACCCGCCTTGAAGAATCGGGTGATGATTTTCTCGACATTCGTGGCTTCGGTTCGGTTCAAGTACGAGGTACCAGAGGCCGAAATCTCTTCGTTACCCAAGTTCGACCAGAACATCATCGGCGCATCGGCGACAGGCCAAGGAAAGTCGACATCGCGACGCAGGCGCTGAGCCATGGTGACACCGTTCTGCAAAGAGCCTTCGTAGAACATGTTCGATGGGAACTGCGACAGGCATGGATGCATACGGTATTGCACCTGAAGGCGGATAGGTGCGCAGCCAAGGATAACCAAACGCTCGAAAAGTGATTGGTTCAAGCCTGCCTTCGCTGCCTTCTTGTTCATGATTACAGGGCCCAGTTGCTGGTGATCTCCAACGAGTACAACTTGCTTACATCCCAGGACAAGAGGAATCATGCACTCCGGCTCAGCTGACTGAGTAGACTCGTCGATGAGAACGGTGCGGAACTTGAACTTCGCCAGACGCGGGTCACCTGCGCCGACGCAGGTACAGCAGATGACATCCGCGTTGGTCAAAATCTCCCTTTCAGCTGCGCGGGTGAGCTGCTTGTACTTCTTCTCGTCTTGGCTAGACAATTCTCCGAGCTCGTTCTTGAGCTGAGTGAGTTTGTTCAATTCCACATTGGTATCATTCATGCGGACCTGCTCATGGAGAGACAGGAAGCCTACAGGAGATTCGACGTCTTCCCTAGACTTGGCTGTGACGCGAACAACCTTCAAACCGGTGCGGTGGATGCGCTCGCAGAGCTGGTCAACTGCGACGTTTGACGGAGCGCAGACGAGCACTTGGCCGCCGTTGATCTTGGCAAGATGATGGATGATAGTTGCAGATGTCACTGTCTTGCCGGTTCCGGGCGGTCCTTGGATCAAGCTCAACGGCTTCTGTAAGACACTCTTGACTGCATTGATCTGGCTTCCGTTAAGCTCCGGGAGGCCGGGCACGCTGAATTTGCGCGGCATTTGGGTCTTCATAGGCGCAGCGGCAACTTCATGGCCCAGAAGCCGGTGGAAGATGTATCCGGAAACGCTCATCTCGTCTATGGCGAAGGTCTTCATCGCGTGCTGCATGCGGTCAAACGAGGTAGCCTTCCAGACGTAGTCCGCGCAGAAATTGTGTGTACATTCGGTAGGTACTGACTTATGGTCGCCTTTGGTGCGCAGTTCGATGGTGACTTCGTCGGACTGGTTGTTTGGGATCTTGATAACATATCCTACGCCCTCCCAATGCGACCTGAGCTCACCGACATACCTCAGCCTCATCTCATCTCCAACGGCAAGCTTGACATCGCCGAGCTCAAGCTTGGGAAGGACGAAGCTTGCTAAGTGCTTGTTGTTCAGACCAAAATCCCAGCGGACAACTAGGTTGTCTTGCGATTGAGATTCCTTTAGCTTCCTATCGTAGTCGGCCTCGATTTTGACAAGGGGTCCAAAGACGTTCTGGTACTGATAGGCATCGTCGTAACGGAGCAGAACCGGAGCAGGCTCATCATCGACTCCCGCGCCCTTCTCAAGATCTTGTATAGTTGCGCTTGCATTGTCCTTCCACATTTCTTCCAGCTTCGCGATCATCTGTGGACTGAGGTGTCGAGCACGCAGTTGCTCCTGGTCCGAGGGCGCCGACACAAGCCAAGGGAGGAACGAGCGGTCCTCAATGAGCGGTTGCCATCGAGAGACATCCCAGTTCATGTCCTTTGACGAGGGCATAGCAGCACATGGTTGGCGACAGAGTAAGACAACAACGGTGTCGGACTTGGCCGGGATGAACCCTAGCAGGAAGACGTTCTTCGTTCCGCAATTGTAGCATTCCAGGACAGTATCTCCAAGAGGCGAGGCAGGATGCAACTGGACCTCCTTGTGTCGCGCGCGGACGAGGTGGTTGATAATGTGGGAGGAGGAAGTGTTGCCGCGAGCGCTGCAGAACCACTTGCTGCATGCTAGGCACTTGACGACGCTGCCGGAGTTGTGGATTCCGCAATACCTGGAGCGGCAGAAAAAGTCAGTACTGTATCTGCAGGGAACGACCTAAGACCAGGCCTGCAAGAACTCACGCGCAAGCATGAGGCGGCAGCTCAACGTCTTCCTCCGCCTTGTGAGGGTATTTGCCGTTCACGCCATCCACGGCCATACTGGCCATACTCTCCAGATCTTCGTCATCATAGACATCCGTTTCTTCGTCCTCATCGCGCCTCCTCCTCCGCGCGTCTCCACCGAGTCCGTTCAGAATGCTCTCATCGTCGCCGGCGTCGGCGTTTATCGCGGCCGCAGAGTCTGAGATGAGGTGGTTGCCGAGGTGTGTAAAGGCGCCTTCCATGGCAGTAGCCGGCTATTTCGGGTCTTTGTTGTTCTCTGCGATCTCTGCGATCTCTTTGTTGCAGCTATCAATGTGCTTGTAGTGTGTTTCTCGGGGGGGTGGTGTGGCGGCCGTCCTAGTGTTAAAGCGGGCGCGGTGTAGTGGAATCGGAGGACCTCCGGGCCGATTGCGAGGGAGAAAAGAAAGGAAGCTCACAGCACAGTCAAGCCTTACGCTGTGTATGCGAGACGAGAGGGCGAAGTTTGTGAAGGGTAAACAGGAAGCGCACGCCGCGGTGGTGAGAAGAGAAGCGCAGGGATTGTCAAACTCTTGGCATCAGACCCCTCCGAGACTTTTTTTGATAATCACCCTTCACCGAGACCACCGCTTCTTCCACACCTATTACCTTCGCACTGCAGCCATGATAGTAAGTCCTCACTTAAACCCCCATGCTACTCTAATCTCAAGCTGACGTCTCTTCCAGCGCCGACAAGCCCGCGAACGCCGCGACTACCTCTACCGTCGCGCCCTCACCCTCCGCGATGCCGAAATCGCCCAGAAGCGCGCAAAACTGCGCGCCTCTCTCGCCTCGGGCAAACCCCTCGACGCCTCCATCGCAAACGACAAGACCCTCCGCGCCGACTACAAGTACGACGAATCCCGCGCCGACCGCACCACCGAAGACGAGTTGGCCCTCGACGACGAATACAGCACCCTAAGCGGAATCCGGGACCCCAGTCCCCTCGTCACAACCTCGCGGGACCCATCCTCACGCCTCGCGGCTTTCGCCAAGGAGATAGACTTGCTGTTCCCAACCGGCATCCGCATAAACCGCGGCAACTACGTGCTGCCGAACCTCGTGCAGACCTGTGCCGCCAACAACCGCAGCGACATCATCCTGCTGGCCGAGCACCGCGGAACGCCTACCTCGATGGTGATATCGCACCTGCCTCACGGCCCGACGGCGAAATTCAGCCTTCACAACGTCGTCCTGCGCCACGACATCCCCAACGCCGCGCGCGGCACCGTCAGCGAGTCGTACCCGCACCTCATCTTCGAGAACTTCAACTCCCGGCTCGGAAAGCGGGTGGTGCAGATCCTGAAGCACCTCTGGCCGCCACGGGAGGGGCCGCAGAAGGTCGGGAGCCGGGTTGTCACGTTTTTGAACATCGACGACAGCATCGAGGTGCGGCATCACGTGTTTGTGAAGACGGGGTTCCAGAGCGTCGAGTTGGCTGAGGTCGGACCCAGGATGACGATGCGGCTGTTTGAAATCAGTAATGGGACGCTGGAGAATAAGGATGCGGATACGGAGTGGCATCTCAGTCAGTATACAAGGACGGGGCGGAAGAAGGAATATTTGTAGGATGGACCGGTCTAAGGAGCCGTTGTTTCTGTCGTCATATCTTGGCATCTTAGCGAGGCGTTTTGGTGTGGGAAAAGTCAGGCTTTGGGCGGCGATACGGACAGAGATGGTCACGTGTGCTCATAGGAAGATGAGAAAAGCTAGTCTTTCGCAGACGGACAGGTGCGTGTCCGCCTTGTGATGATGGGTTGGCTTCAAGGAAGCGAGTTACATGCCGCAATGATGTAGTGCCAGAATGGCAAGCTGAAGATCTATCAATAGACGCCCCCCAACTGTTTCACCCCTCCACTCGCCTTGAGTGATCAAGTCCGTGGCCAGCAACGAAGACATGTCTAGAGTTACATTGATAATGCACAAAAACAAATCCGTAAGAAGCGAATGAATGCCGTCAAGGCGGTCTATGATGCTCCAGTATGCTCCGCTTTGTGCGCCAAACCAAGTCCGGATTTCTCCAGGGGTATATGTGATCGCGATCGGAAAAGCAGATAGCCGACCCAATGTCCGTAAAACCGACCTCTTCCTGTGAACACCAAAATGCCGACGAACAATATGATACAGGGAATGGTACAAGAAAGTGTCATCTACTAGAGTGCCGGAGATGGTTGTGACTCGATGCCGAGTATGCTTCTACACGGTGCCGGACCGGCCGAAGAAGTTGTGATCTCCGTCCTCTCTTGGATCTCTCCTCTTTCGATCAGAAGGGGTGCGGCTGAAGACCCTTCTCAGAAACTCTCCTCTGCCTGATCTGGGCTCTTGGATAGGGCTGGATGGCTCGGTAGGACTAGACACGAAGCTCCTGCCGTCGTCGAGAGCAACATGTTCCTCTTTCCTGATCTTGCAGAACAGGGTGGAGAAGATGTACGGATCGCCGTTGAGGTTGTAGAGTGGTAGATGGCGATATCCTTGCTGCAGGCTGGATAGCTTCGCGGTAAAAGTCGCCAGCGGGGTGCCGTTGTTGACGTAGTTCTGGCCATCGATCGAGTTCCACACAGTCCAGCGAAGGAAGACCAGACTGGGGTACCGTGTGTCGACCGAGATGGAGATCGCCTCGTTGAACAGCGGATCATAGCCGTTTCCCTGGACGATCGCCGTGCGCCTTCGCATGGGCGACCCGATACCGGACACGCCATTGCGTGCAGATGCGTCTAGGCCACCTTCACCAACGGCGTTACCGCGGGCCTTGTCGTCAGCACTGTACATCTCAACCTCGATGTACGGATTGACACTGGTTCCTTCGCCGAGTCCGCGCGGTCTCGGAAGTTGCTGCGCGGATATGATATCCACTGAGAATTTGACAAGCTTCTTCCCCGGCTTCCTGTGTCCGAGAGTCGGGAAATCTATGTTACGGGCGGACGGTCGGAGCTCCTCAGGCTTGAGGACATACCCAGTGCGATCGATGCCAGCGGCGAACATGGCTCTGTTCATCTCTTGTCCAATATCGTAGGTTTGCCAGTTCAGCGCTGCCATCTGCACACCACGGCGCCAGTACCTGTGAGGCTCGAAGTTCGAAGAGTTGATACGCCACCCTGCAGGGTAGACCCGCATAAGGTAGCGCATGTTGTGCCGCTCGAGAAGTTCCTTGGTAGCCGGGTCTTTGGCCTTGGCGTCAAAGGTGCGTTCATTGAAGGAGAAGATATGATTGTAAGTGTTTGCTTCCGGTGCTGAGAACGACGAATATTTGATGCCGCGGGCATAGATACCCAAGTCTCCGAGAACCCTGATGATATTGCTGGTCTTCTTCCGTTTCGCCTTCTCGGCATTCTGAGCCGCCGCGTCACTGTCTTCAGCCGAACTGTTTGAGCTGACCCTGCCAGGGGTTATTGGCGGAGTCCGTGGAGTCCGTGGAGTGGCCCAGAAGCTTCCTGACCGCTCAGGAGGGCTCGAAGATGGGGAAAGCGTGAGCAGCGGTGAGCCAGGGATACTGCTGATGTCAAGGACCAGCGGGTGTGTAGATGGAGAGCTGAGACTACGGCCGCGCCGAGCAAGTGCGAGGTCACTACGGGATGCGAAGTCGTCCCGCTCCTCGGATGCCTTCACCTTGATTAGGATCTTGTTCTTCAGCTCCTCGGGAGACGGCAGTATAGATGACCCGCTCGCCAACGGGTAAAGCAACAGTTGATCGCCAAACTGCGACTTCATGATGGCTGTCATCACTGCCTGCTGCTCCGGATTGCAGTGGACCTCCAGCGAGATGATAAGAGGGTAGGACGATGCTTTGAACGCGTGCTCGGCGATGACAGCAATACAGTCTGAAAACTGGACACTGCTCGTCAAAGTTCGGCCGTGAACAACAATTGGACGGCCATCGTTACCATCCCAGCAGTCAATCTCGATGCATCGACAGCCGGCTTGCAAAGCTAGGACGTACGCCTCTGTACTTGATTGGCCGGCTACCTGCCGTCCCATGAGATAAGTGTTGTGCGAGCTTGAGATGAAGTACTCGTTCAATGGCCGGTCATGCCTTACGTTCGAAGGCATTGAAGCTAGCACTTGATTAGCAGGCGAGGCTAGATAGGCTTGAAATGCCGCGGAGCTCATGCGCAGCGAAGCAGCCTCAACGTCGGTGGTTTCCACCTTGATCTTCGACTTCGAGCTTTTGCAACATCTTTCGAAAACGGAGACCCAGTAGTTCATATCCGACTGGACATTGACGCCTTGGATGTCACGTAGGAACGCAATGAAGCTCTCCAGGTTAAGGCCAGGCTCGTCTGGCTTCTTGATGCTCTCATAAACTTTCTTGACGTCTTGGCGCTTCTTGATTCGCCGTAAGAAGCGGAGAAACTGAGTAAAGTTGAGTGAGTTCAGAAGGTCGTCGTCGGCCCGGTTGAATTGTTCGCGAATGATCTTCTCGGCGCAGAAGATGTGAAGGTTTCGGCATATCTTTTTGACGCCTTCGAAGTCTAATCGCTCGTCCTCATCTCCACGCTCGAGCCTGTTGAACTTCCGGTCCATTACGCTCGTCCACAAGGCACGGACACTCCGCTCAGCCGTTCGGCCAAGGTCTTGCATCATGTCGGCACGACCACGTGACATGGTGTCTAATGCCGTCGTCCATAACTGAAATGTGTAGTCAGTGCGCGCGATGAGATGCATAGTCTTGTAGATTACGCCTTTAGAACGGTCCGGCTTGGTGTAGGAGATGGTGAACCAGCGTGCTTGCTCAGCAGGAGATACTCGGAACTCCTCGTAGTACGGCCTCGCATCGGCACCTGAGCGGATGTCCCAAACATCGTCAATGTAAAATTGTTTCGAGGGTTTCGAGGGATCCCACCAGACTTTGGCGGAATCAAAGTCGAGACGGAATTTCAGTTGTTTTCTTTTCTTTTTCGTGACTTTGGTAAGCGTACTGCCTTGTTCCAGAAAGGGTGACCAGATAGGCCCAACAGCCCCCTCCGCAGCGGACCCTACACTTTGCCGGCCAGTGGTGATACCCAGTCCATTCACGGTGGCACGCTGCGATACCGGTTCGCCAAGATCGTCAATGGCTTCCTCTTCTTGATTCTCAAGCTCAAGCTCGAGATCGGAGACATCCAGAGCGCCGTCCGTCATGCTTTTACTGTCACTCCTGCGGCGCATGATGGCTGGTCCGCAACTGTTGTCACGGTTCTCGTGTGATGCGGAGCCCCGCCGGCGCGAAAGCCTTGAGTGTGCGCCACGCGATATTCTCCGTATCAAACCCGGTGCCCTGCTAGGAGCCACATAATCTGCCGTTGCCGAGGACGGAGTCGACGCAGGGTTAGAGGTCGGTGGGGGCGTCATTGTGGCGTCCGGAAGCGAGAAGAAGGAGGGTAAGCTGTGTGGAAAAGACTGCGGCTGCAGACCCTCTGGGGTGGTCTGGAGCGAGGTATTTGTAGCCATAGCGGAGGCTGAAGAGTAAGGACTGGTGCGTAACGAAGAGTTGCTGGCAGAGCTTGCCAGTGTCACGACAGGTGGAACGGTGGTAACGATATGTCGCTTAGTCTGATTCCGTGCAAACGGCTGTAGAGCCTGCGGAACGGAGGGACGGTCCCCGTTGGGAGCTGGAGAGCGTCCCCGTAGAGGAGATGCAGAGACGGCCATAGTGTGGAGATTGTTGGCAACGCCCTTAGTTGGTGAGAACGGTATGGCCCATTATGTGGAAACTCGACCGGGAGTAGAAGTCGCACAATCAGTCCAGCTGTTGCGTGATATGGGTGCGAGGCGGGCAGTCAATGCCTCGTTACCGCATTGCTGCTGCCAGGCATACAATGGAGGATGAAGCTCGCTGCGAAATGCGACAGCGCCGCAAGCGCGGGTTTATGCGGGCAGCAGCCGAGTGCGTCTGCAGGATGCGCGTAGTTCGTCTCTGCCGCTGGCCTGGGCCGAGTGCTGTCCGTGGACGGATTGAGTAAGCTCGTGAGGCGAGCGATGCGTGAGCTCAAGGAGGGGGGGATAGGTAGCAATTGGGACGCAAAGGAGTGGATGTTGGCAACGCGCGGCTGGTCTTTCGGCGGAGTGAAGCAGTAGGAGTGCTGTTACAAGATTGGCGCGCAGAGCAGTGCAGTTGGTGGTGGTATGCGTCGTCTGACGCGGAAAGGAGCGACTATTAGGAGTGTCTGTTGCCGGGAGGGCAGAAAAGAATTACCATGAGTTTCGATGTTCGATGGTATGCATACGTTATTTGGCCAACCCGACCCCAACCCCGGAATTAACGGCTCCTCATTTTCTCACCACCCTTGCAGCCTGGGCGTTGGTCTGAGTGAGCGAGCGGGTTTTCTCTCCAGCCGCGAGGAGAGGCCAGGAGAGGCTCAGGGGATGGCAACTCCGCGCTGATGCGAACGGCGCTTGCCAGAGCGTCAGGAGTCACGATGCTACCTTAGCGCCGTGCGGCACGGCTTCTGTCTACTGGTCTAGTAGTTCTGCATGCCTTCAGGTTGGGGCGAGACATCAACATTGCTCTGCTGTTCAGCGATCTGTTTTCATCTGATGTCCTCACGTCACGCCTCTTTCTGCCTGACCCGAGAGGTCCTGCTCCCACAGAGAAAGCTAGCTCCCGACGCATGAAACACCTCGCAGTTCTCGGCCTTGCCAGGCTAACGTCCACGTCATGCTCGGCTCGGCAAAGCCATCTGAAGCAGCTTTCCCGCTAGAAATAGCCCCATTGATTCCTTCATGCGCAGGTTTCTGCTCTGCCGCCTTCTCCAGCATCCAGCCAGCATGCGCTGGTTGGAAATCGGCCTTGACTCCGGCGAGTTCCAAGTTGGCAAGGCTTGGAATGGCCGGCATGGCACGACGTCGTGAATTCCAATGGCGTGGAACGTGCTGGCTATTTGCGACTGCGCTCTAGCCGTTTTGAGATTGCTGTCGTCAGAAATTGCAGCGGACAGAACGACTTCGCCTTTCTCGAACAATCTGATAGGGCTGAAGGGGGTACTCCGTTAAGGGGTCTGTTGAACAAAGGTACCTCTCTAGTGCAGCCAGCGGCTCATCAGTCGATAAGAGAGTTCGGTCTAGGGCAAAAGCTACGAGTCGTGCCCGTCGTGGATCACAGCATAAAACTACCGCTCCCGCGAGGGGCCTTGCAGCTCAAAACGCCAGATTGCGCCCAAATGGGGGCTGTGTGACTCGTCAGCCCAGCTCCACACAATCCTTTTGAAAGTGAGTCGCAAGAAACTGTGTATTCCACAGCGAAAACTGCTGCCTTGGTGCCGCTCAACAGCGGTACCACCCTTAGGGATGCCCATCCCCTCCCTTGCCACCCGTCTGCTGAAACCGCCGAACCGTTCATCCCGCTGTCGCACATCAGTTCGGGTACCTACAACGTGGCGCCGCCAATGAGCAGCCAGCACTGTGCGCCCTCGTCATGATTACCGTTTGAAGCTATTCCCAGCGAGACGGTTTAGCTCCGCAGCTCCGTCGATCGCAAGGGTCCATCCCACCTGGAGCCTTGGAAGAAAACCGAACCCCACGCGACTTTGCGCAAAGTGCCACACCGCCCCTGTCGCAGATTCGGCGCTAGCTCTACCCCTCACTTTTGCGTGTGAGCTGTCAGAATTGGGCTGACAAGCGCCAAAACTCCAAAACACCAAGCGAGCTTGTCCGCAGACAGCAGTGTGCCGGGCGGTCCGAGAGAATTCGCCGTTCAACGCTCTTGGCTGGCTGCGGCAGTTGTGACTTTATGCAGCTGCAAGGCTGGGATTGGATATGGTCCGCCTCGTGATACGGCGGCAGCCATCCAATGCGTGCTTACCCGCACTCATCCGAATCCAGCCCAAGCTGGAAACCCAATGGCGGACGTCCAGGAGAAAGCTGCGTAACATCAACTTCCCTGGATCGTGCCGTGAGCTGTATGCGGGGCTCTCCACGGTCTCCGGTAGGGCAAGAGATGGCCCTCTTGTGCGTGGCCGTTGAGGATAAAGGCGCCTTGCCAATCAGGAAACAGGCATCAGCCGACTCAAGGCGGTGTGCGCATTGTTGATAAAGCGCAGAGTTTCGTCCAATCGACATCAGGATGCCAACAATGCGGGCTGTCACAAACGCAGCACATCGCAACACCTTGTCATAGACCACTGAAGCCGCCGTGAAGGTGCCGAAGGTCGCTTGGATGGGTAGGCATGAGCTGCTGTCCCCCTCTTGCGGAGGCTGAAGCGCGGCAGTGTGACATGTCACGAGTTCTCGGGATCATGCGAACCGTGGACATCTCGATGACCTGCAGCGGCGTTGCTGCGGGTAGGCGAGAGGCGGCATTGCAGGAAGGTCCCGAACGTCTGTACGAGTTTCACCGCTTAACAACATAATCGGCCCTGCGCAAAGAATTTGGTGCTCAACAGTTTTACCAGCGAGGCGCTAAGTCATGGCCCTACAGGCTGTTGTGCGATTCATGCTCCGTATTCCGGTGGAAATTGAACCGTAACAAGGCTGGAAATGAACTATCTCAGATGGAATTTCAGAGCCCAGGCATTTGTATAAAATCATCCGGAAGCAGTGAAAAGTATGCTGATTCAAAGGCGGACAGGAGAGATGATGGATACGAAACAACCCGGGTCGCTAACAATGTAAAATTACTTCGTAGTGCCTAAAGCGTTATAAAGCATGCATATGTACCTGATGCGGCAAGGCAACGAGCACAAGATAAGAGGCAAACATCTGTGCGATGCGTTCAGGGAAGTTCGTAAGCCAGATCAATCCTCAATCATGTCAACCTCGTCATCAATCTCATTGCTCAATGGGATATCGTAGATCGAATCCGGCGCCTGTCTTCGCCTCACTTTCGTCCGCCTTCCTGTCAGCTTTTTCGAGCCAATGCGCACTGTATGACTCTCTGAATCATTGCCTATGAACGCAGCAGGCTTTGTGAAAACAATCTTCTTCGGTCTTGCTCGGCCGGTTCGAACCGATTCTATGGCAGCATGAATGTTGCTTATAGATAGGGGGTCCGGTGACGAGTGCTCATCTTGCGTTGATGTCTGGTATGTCGCCGCAGTAGACTTCACCTGCTTACGGCATCTGGGGCTCGAATTTGCAACTGAAGAGCCTTCGCTCAGCGCTGCGTTATTGTACATGGATGCTGTAGGATACTCTTCACCAGCCGCCGATCCGTGCCCTTCGCTTTGACCGGACAAGACCGAGCCTTGAGATGACCGGCGAGGTTCCTCGGCCATTATCTGAGGAACGCGGGTTTGGCGGTCAGAACTCGTGCGCTCTTCGGCAGCGAGAGACCACTGACTGGAGCTAACTCGAGCCTTCTTGCAGGGCGCAGGTTCAATATCTCCAACTGAGCTCGCCAGGGCACTGCCGGGCCGGGAGCTGCTGACGTCTCCGAAAACAAATTTCCTCCATGCATCGTCGCCATTGTCTGGCGCCGACGGTTCTCTAGCCTGCTTCCGCGTGAGGTCCGTTATCTGTCGCAGAGAAGCGGAAGTAGATTGCTGCGTTTCAGTCCTCGACTTCTGAGTGTTTGTAGAATGTGCGGACACGTGAGCAACAGTTGATATTGCCTGGACAGGCGCCGTACTCGACTCGTCCGACGACCCCAGAGTGGCACGAAGCGATCTCAGGCGATCATCAATATCTGTGGCCCCGTATGGACCGGCTTCTTCGATGTCACGGTTATGCCTAGTGCTGTAATAAGAGGTATCTGTATGCATAATCCGGCTCGAGGCAGCAGCAGAGAGCGGTAAGAATGCTTTCCATGGCTCATCACCGACAAAATGCCCAAACCCTTCTTCCACGATTCTTGTATCCTCGGGCTGGTCTTGGTGGCTCTGGTAATGGTCTCGGTCGAGTGAGTGTGCAGCTTGTTCGTGCAACTCAGAGTCCTGATAACGGCTCTGTGAAGATGGCTCAAAAACAAGGCGAAAAGGCGCGGTAGCGGCGGCCGCTTGTTGAATGCCGAAGTCTCCCAAGCTAACGTATTCGACCAAACGTTGTGGGGGGCTACCTCCTAAAGCATCCGCGTTCGGTCCAGGTCCAGGTACTGTATCTGGCATGGCCTGCTCCTGGAGACTAAATTCTGGATGATCGGGTTTGAATATCTCGGGATCCCAAAGCCTCAGCATGCTATGAGTGTTCCGCTGCGGAGAAGAGCGATGTTTGATGGGAGAGGGTGTGGCTTCTTCAATGGAGGGACTAGTAGAACCAGGCAATCGCTGGTGTCCGCCATCGGACTCTCTATCGTCGACTCCAAGGAGCGAAAGCTGCCAGTCGCATGCAGCATCGCGTGCCACAGTATCGTCATCCAACAACATGGAATCTGATGACTGCGCAGTAAGGCGTACAGAGACGCCTTGCTCTGCACCCAGCTGCGTCGAATGCCGGCTAACCAACGCGTCCGTTCCAATACGTATACTAATATCGTCCTTGTGGGGAAGTGCTCCACTCATGAACGGCCCTCGAACGTTGCGGTTATTGCCCCCTATTAGCGTAAGGGCTCGGCGTGCTTCACCGCCTAGGCGCTCCCTCATACTGCTCTCGATCTTGCGCCTCTTGCCAATCCTCTCTTTTTCTCTAGTTGACACGAACTGCGTGTGGACTGGCCGAGACAGTGCAAGCCCAACCCAATCATCGTGCTCTAAGAGCTTTCGTTTCTTTGCCTCCAGGAGCGGCTCCGAGGAGAGTTGATCCTTAGACAGACTTCGGTTGCTCCTCGTCCGGCTCAAGACCTTCCGCGGCGAGGTTTTTGTCCGTTTGAACTGCTTCTTCCAGTTTTGCACGTCTCGACTGGTCGGCCTCCGTGCGGAGTTTGGCGAGTCCGCATGAACTCCATGACGCGGAGAAGTAACTTTTTCCTGCTTTAGCCGGCTGCCCCAGTGATGCGAGAGCGAACCCAATGAACTGAGTCTTTTGGCTACCGGAGCGACGGAGTCATACTCTTCGAGCGTCTTTTGCCTCGACTTTGGATGCCCGACGTGTCGTGTAGAACGATCACCAAACGGCGGAAGGTGTCCGCCCAGCACCCCATCATCGTCGCGGAGAAAACTTGGTTTGAATGGAGGGTAGTGCTGGAGGGAGCCATTCTGAAGCGCGGTGCGGACCTTTGCGAAGTGCTGCTTCTGACGGTTAAGAGCGCTGCTGCCTTGCTTCGAGTGTCGCTGTAGCCTGCCACCAGTCCAATTCATTGCGAATCGACGCGTCTTGGTATCTTATAACTATCAGTTCCTGTTGGATGACCGAGAATAAGTCTGCAGCATGTCTGAGTTCGGGATAACGCGTGTGAGGGTTGATGATGTTGAGACAACGGTAACCGAACCTGTAATGCACGCGATGGAAGAGGTCGACTGCACCCACTTGCAAGATACAGAGCACACTCGTGCTGAACTACAGCTCTTGAGTGCTTACGTAGGTAGTAGTGGAACACCGCCTAAATGCTCTTCAATAGCCAATATACTTTCGTGCACTTGAGCGAGGCTCATCACCAGACACTTGAGCAGGCCTTACCACGTGATATCGCGAGGAGAACGCGCATGTGCTCCCAGCTTGGGCCAGTGATATAACGCTCACGCCACTCAGAACAGTGCAGCAGAACATGTCTAGGGCACCGCGGCGTTCAACCTGCAGGGTGCCGCCACCTCTTCCGCTTACGAGAAGTCCTCTTCTTCGTATCTGCTATCACTCGGCGGGTTCAAGTATCTCTTCACTGTCTCCGTCTCTGCTAGCTCCTGCTTCTCAGGTTCCAGGCTGTTCCACGCCTTCTCTAGTAGGTTCCCTTCAAGCGTTCTAAGCCTCACAGCAAGTGCCTTTGGTCGATCCCGGCAAGCTGTTCCCTCAAGTCCTGTGCATTGATCATGGGGTCAGTGTGATTTGAACGGCTCACCCCAGGTCTAGACAGTTTCCGCCGTTTCCACGAAGCAGAACATGAGAAGATGACTTACCCACGGTCCGTATTTCTTCATCGCTGCCAAAGAGCAGCCGGGCCTGTGCCTCAACTCTGTCTTGGACCAGAGCAGTTGCGCGTAATCGAAAAACCTCCCACATTGGATCTGCCTCCAAAGCGTCCTTTAGCTGAATTGAATCCCTCAACTCTTCCTCTTTCCAAAAAGCCTTGAGCTCTCGGTTGCCGTCATTCGTCTGCAGCACTCGAAAGTCCAGACCGTCCTCCTCATTGACGCAGCTGAGCCACACATAATCGCTCTCCCAACTGATGCCGTCGGCTTTGTCGACTAAGCGGAAGCCCGGAGCTGAGGTTGATATGAACTTCTTCGCCCGCTTTAACGGGTCGTCATCTGGAATCTCGAGATCGAGGAAGAGCTCCCGCGCAGAAGTCATGCTTTCTTCAATGAACCCGTATGAAAACACCATCTCGCATGCCCCTTTCTCGTCCCCGTAACTGAGACGATAAGCAACACAGTTCAATATAAGCTAGGGCCAACATACGTGATGGTGATTTCATCCCCAACCTCCAGCCTCTTAGCATCCCGCAGTAACAGCACTGCATTACCCTGTCCATCAGTCTCGTACAGGGCAATCGTCCCTTCCCCTGAAGCGTGATTTGCCATGTCAACGCAGGGAACCATGCAGTCACCTATGCCAGGGAACTCTAGAGCGCGTGACCGGTACATGGCGTCAACCTGGAGCCAGTCGTCGAAGGAAAGCATGCCTGTTTCTTCGTCCCACCAGTACTTTTGGCACCATTCAATGTCTTCCGAGGCTGAGCGCAGCTGTTCGTACTCGCGATTTAGACTTTTGAGCTTTGCTTCGATGGCGGGTTTGAGAGTGGTACCCTCCAGAAGTGCGAGTTCTGCTTCCGTCCAGAAAGTCGGCAAGGATTCTTCAGGGAGGAATTTGACGTAGCTATTCGTAATCAGAATGTGGTCACAAACCTTCACAAGACAGTACCATACTCAGTTAGGGGACTCCGAACAGCCATACCCTTTGAAACACTGGGACATGCTGCTGTGGCTTGCATGAGGAGAAAGACGAGTATGGATCCTCGGGCTGTCTAGCTGTCGTCAGATGTGAGTTTAACATCCTTGAGCGGCAGGGAGAGATATCCATCGATGAGAGCGCCTCGGAGGCGAAAACAGCATTGCTCTTCTAGATTCGCAGAACAGCTTACCCGTCCATAATCCCCAAGAGCACTCAAGAGCTCCTGAAGGTTTCTGTCCGATCTGGCATGGTTTTGGACGCCCTCCAAAGACAATACCAAATCTCTGGGAACAACCATCAACGGGTCTTCGCCATCAGAGAGGGCTCGCTCCGCAATGATTGCAGACCCCCGGTCTTCATACCCCGGCAGTAGCCCAACTCTGATGCCATTGAAAGTAACCCCGTTCAGATCCGCCCACGGCTTGAATGCTGATATGGGTAGTCGTAACCAGCCCTCAGCTCGTCCGCGCCTGATCATCGCGTGCGGAGCGTGAACAGAAGCCTTGTGGAGGATCTTTTACACACGATAGTCCCCGCTGCGGACAACAGTGGGTTAACAGCGTGCGTGTTGCGGAGTCACGGTCAACCATACAACTGAACAGTACAGCTGATACTGTCTAGATACAGCAGACCCTTTTGCTTCCTGAGGCGTTGTCTCCCCTCTGCAGTGGCTCGAGATGCTGCTCGCGCGCTAGGATCAATCCACTCGTACGATGACGGCGCCACAAGCGGTACACCGCATGCGCTCCCGACGTGGACTATGCCAAAGCTCAGAATCGCTCGAGTTGACAACGAAGGACGGAGGAACAGAAGACATGCAAAAGCCCGAAGACGCGCGGATCTCATGTGCCGCGGAGGCATCGCAGGGACAAGTCACGTGGCCAGAGGGAAGTACTTGGCCCCGTTACTATGGCTCCCGCTCGGACGCTCTGACCACCCCGTAAACAGATTGGAGAACCACAACATCTTCTCGACCTACAAGTCACCCGCACACCTCTCCCCAGCTTTACCACTCTCATTCTCCGCAACACATCGTTACTCTATTCTTTCGCACATGTGGAGAAGAGGCCCGAGGGATACAACAAGCCAGCAATAGCCAGCAGCAAGCATCGGGGAGAACAGCTTACTGCCGTCTCGCGCAGCGCAAGAGAGCATTGGTTCCACCGCCAGCGTATACCGCCAGAACTCGAGGGAGAACTCCCGTCGGAAACACCATAAGCTTAGGAGAGATCGTGCCTTCTGTGAGGGAGACCGCAATGCCTGCGCTGTCGCAAGCCGCTACCTCTGCAGCTGCAGGGATGCCGCCGTCTGCGGCAACTAGCTATGGGCAGGTAATTGAGTACATACAAGGTATGCCGCTTCCCGACGCTGATACTCTTCGGTCACGGTAGTGTTACATGCTGACCGAATTTCTTTATTAGATCGCCTATACCTGGCTTCGTACACGCACCCCCCAAATGCGCATACTCCCTTCCCATATCCGCCCAAGCAAAGCAGGTCACCAAGCAAACGGTCGTCAAGAGCGCAGCAGGGCCCTACCGCTACAGGTGCTGGGCTGAAGGCACAACCGCCAGTGTACTTCTCAATTGACAAAAGCCTGCTGTACAACGCCTTCCATGCCGACTTTGGTCCACTGCACATCGGCCACCTTTATCGCTTCGCCGTGCAGCTCCATGAGGTGCTTGGAGACCCTGCAAACGAGAACAAAGGCGTAGTGTTCTGGAGCAATGCAGACTCAAGAAGTACGTATACTGCAATGGGCGTAACTGCTCTCGCGCAGCGCTAACGTCGTGTCTCTTCAATAGGTCGCGCAAACGCTGCGTGCATTTTGGCCTGCTATATGGTTCTCATTCAGAACTGGCCACCGCATCTTGCGCTTGCGCCTATCGCGCAGATGGATCCGCCTTGCATGCCATTTCGAGATGCCGGATACAGTCAAGCCGATTACACACTTACCATCCAAGATGTCGTGTACGGCATATGGAAGGCGAAGGAGGAAGGCTTGTGTGGATTGAAGGACTTCAGTCTTGAAGAGTATGTCAGTTGTTAACGTCTGCGTGATTTCCGCTGACGATTGAGATAGGTACGAAAAGTTCGAGCGGGTGGACATGGGCGACTTCAACTGGCTCACGCCCAGTTTTGTTGCCTTTGCATCACCACAGCACCAGCCGGTGGACATCATAACGCCTTCGTCTCCGCTGTACGCAAGCCTGCCAACAACGATCAAAGATGTACAGCGCAGTGCGCTACCTACGCCTTTCAAGAACGTTCTATCACACTTCACGCACCGCAACGTTGGTCTTGTCATTCGATTGAACTCTGAGCTATATTCACCATCGTACTTCACAGCGCTGGGGATCCAGCACTTGGACATGATCTTCGATGACGGTACCTGTCCGCCACTAGGTCTAGTCCGCAAATTCATCGACCTTGCGCACGAAATGATCACGGTCAGGAGGAAAGGCATCGCTGTGCACTGTAAAGCCGGTCTAGGTCGCACGGGCTGCCTCATTGGCGCGTACCTCATCTACCGCCACGGCTTCACCGCCAACGAGATCATCGCCTTCATGCGCTTCATGCGGCCCGGCATGGTGGTCGGACCGCAACAGCACTGGCTCCACCTCAACCAAGGCACCTTCCGCGAGTGGTGGTTCGAAGATTCCATCAAAGACAAACTTGCCGCATGGGCACCCTCAACGCCCACCCGCTCATCCCACAAACAGCGCCTCGCCAGCAACGGCCAGACCTTCACGCCGCCTAACGGCAGCCAGAAGCGCACCGCCCTCGGCGAAATCACGCATAACGAGCAGTCTCCTGAGCGTGCCTCGCTCGGCGTACAGGACGAGAACCTCCCAGCGCCAACGCCCGGCCAACCCCGCAAGACGAGCAAGATCTACGGCAACGGCACACTCGGCCGCCACTCGCCTTACCGAGCTCAAGCGCATGAGAACGAGCCGTTCGTCAAACCGGATTCTGAGATCGTGACGAGCTCGCGCCTTGTGCAGGGCGAGTCGGAGAGCGAGGAGGAATTCCAGCTGCGCATGCTGGCTAGGCGTGCAAGCCGCAGCCCGACGTCGCGCTCTCCGGCTGCGAACGCGAAGAGGAGGGCTGTTAGTTGCACAACTACCACGACAACCACCTCGGTGACGGCGTTGTGGAACATGCCTGGTGGCGAGAGCGACATCGAGAACAGAGTCTCGCGGCCCAAGACGCCGGGCAGCACGAAGGGCAGCGGCAAGGGCGATATCAGCGTGGGCAAGACGAGGTCGAGCCCGCTGAGGAGGAGCACGGAAGGCAAGACGGGCGTCAGGAAGACGAGTGGGCGCGTCGGCAGCATTGGCAACGCAGGCAGCGTGACAAGATCGAAGTCGTGAGCTGTGCGGCAATCATCACCATGAGTCAAGACGCGTTCGGTGTTTGGTGGGCGTGTGTTATGGCATTCGCATTGTGTCGGCGCATCGCGGCTCTGGAAGTCTTCCTTTTCTCGGCTCTTGTCTGTCTCGTTCGGTCACATGAGCGCGCGTGTCGCATGGTTCTGTAGATGTGCTGTCGGTGTCTCTGTTGCACATTTCCGCTTTGCTTGCGTCTCTTTTCTCTCTCACGGATATGGGCGCTGTGGATAATGGCTTTCGGCATTGTTTTGCGGTTGTTATGTCTGCTTTGCTGCTGGCTTGTTCCCTGGCCTTTTCTTCGCCTGGCGTAGGAGGTTTCCAAGGCGTGGAAGGGAACGATTGTGTACGAAAGGCATTGAGAATGAATCAGCTTTATTTAACCTTGCTGCTTGTTGACGAAAAGCGCTGTTTAATTCCAAGTCCTGATAGTGGACCCGAAAGCCGCAGACAGAGCCCTTCACAAGGCGTGGCTGGACTCACACACCTTACCTTCTCACCCTCGATTACGCGCTGCGAAACTTCCAGCGAGACATCCACCCGCGGTGTCGGTACTAGAAGTCCTTCATGAGCTCTGCGCAAGTCGTGTTCCGGCCTTGTGGACAGCACGACGGCCCTGGCCCTACAGCGTTGGTCGAGGAAATCCAAGATAAGAGGCCATCTGCGCTATCTGACCGGTTCTCAGCTCTTCTCAACAGTTCACATTCATCATCGTTCTACGGAACTGCATTTACTTCCGAATACGGTAATTTATAGGCTTTCTGTAGAACGTCGTTGTCTAAGATCACACTTTTGTTCTCAGCTCACACCTCACACCTCACACCTCTCAACTCTCATTCTTTAGCTTGCTTCTAGCTTAGACCTAGGCCTTGTTTAGGGCCATGAATCAGCTGCACTGATACCTGGGAATACATGGAGTATGGCCCATTCGCAGTACTAACTTGACAGAGTGTGTGTGCGTAAGCGGGTCTACCGCTGCCATCATGTCCCAAAGATCGTACGCAAATCCTGCGGTATTCGAATTCAACGACGAGATGACCAGGAAAGAGAAGCTCCTAGCGCGCAAGCTTTCTAAGTAAATCGCTTGAGGCATCTGATAGTTCTTCGGCGGAGCGTGAGGCAAGGGACACCCTTAGATCGCTATAGTGTCAGTTCAGTAAATGAGAGTATATTAAGTGCTTAGGGATCAGCTTGACGAAGAATAGCATCACTCTCAGACCATATCGTTCCCAAGCCTAAAAGATAAGTCTACAAACGCAAACTCCACCCGAATGCACACCCCCTCCCTCTCTACTCAAACCTCTTCTCATCCAAACTCGGCCCCCTCCCATGCAACACTCCCAGGCTCTCCCGTCTCCTCCGCCGTCCCCACACCTCACCGCCCCACCCCACAAGCTGGTAACACCACCCCCCCGCCACCAGCACCCCTGACACGACATTCACCAGCCTCACGACCAGCGCCAACAAACCCCCCTTCTCCTCCGCAATCGTCAGCAGTATCGGCTCGATGTCGAACTTGACAAAAATTCCCGGCACCTGGCTCTCCCCGACGGGATGACTCTGCTCCGTGACGGCGTACTGGTTTGTGTAGATTGTGTGTTTTGAGGGATAGCCGGGGGGCGGCGGGGTCGTGGAGTGGAGGGTGTGGAGGGCCTCGGTGTAGATTGTGGGGACGACGGAGAGGTAGTATTGGAATTTGTAGAAGTGGGACTCGGTGGTGGCGAGGGTGCTGTCGAGAGGGTTGGTCAGGGAGGGGTAGAAGGGGCCGAAGGAGAGCTCGTTGATTGTGTGGGAGAAGTTGAAGGCTATATGCCATGTCAGCCAAGGTAGGTTCAGGGTTTGTAGCTGTTCGGGGTGCCTGTCGATCGGGCTTACAGTTGTGGTTCAGATGCTCCCCAAACTCCATATACCCATGCCCTCTCGCCGTGATATGGAAGTCGCCCTGTACTTTGTTCCCCTCGAGGCTCCCATATACACGACAGGCATCCGGCATGCCCCTCAGCTTCGGTGTCTTCGAGAACTTCCTCCTCCCACTGGCAGCCCCTAGATAATCATGCACGTCCTCCTGTCCCTCAAGGCCCTGATCCGCAGCGCGATTAAGCTTATGCACCTCCCTCGAATTCCCCCACGCACCCCACTGCGTCGGATCCTTCTTCAGCAAATCTCCCGCCAATATACGGTCGCCAGACGCGTCCTGCACGTTAACATGAACATCCTGGCAGCGCATCGCGACCACAATGTCCAGATTAATCTGCAGGTCATGGCTGATGCCCTTCTCCACGCTGAAGGTGTGCGTTGTCGTGCCGGCCCACCAGCGCAAGATCTCGGTGAAGGCGAGCCAGCTACATGTGGCTATCAGGACGAGCGTCCAGGCGCCGCCGTTTTGCGTGCGCGTGAGGTAGGTTGGCTTGGTCTTGGGGAACGCGTCGAAGGATTTCAGCACGCTGGGCGCGGGGCCGAAGTTCTCCTCCGAGAGGTGCTGGTCGGCGTAGCCATTCATGGGACTCAATTGGGACGCTGCAGGTCCCGGCGATGGATTTCGAGGCGCAGGGAGCGGGAGAGTGCGGTGTCTGGGCGGATTGTTGCGAGGGGCGCATCGTGAGGCTCGATATCGACAGGTAGCCTTACCCGTGAGCACGGGCCATTTGGTGTTTCGTTTCCCATTCACGTGCATTTTGCCAATTATGGTGCTGCGGCGAGTTCTCTAAGACGGCATGGAGAATCCTTAGGAAGTATCTGTTCAGTACGTCTTAAGACGGTAGTCTCACGAAACACACTGCTATGATCTGTCCGTGGTGTGGGACTTGTATCTGTAATGCAGATCGTGAGAGCCATCACCTTCTTCATGCCTCGACCATTTCCTGAAGAATCGAATTGGATACCGCAAATGAACGGGATACCCTGAAAACGCACATGCACTAACCGGCTAAGTCGATGGTAGGCAAATCAACCATATGCACTTTCGCCCCACCGAGCGGCACAAGCCTGACCTCCCTCGCCTCTCCAACACACTTCCTCCTCTCCCCCACCGGCGGCGCATCCGGCACGCCCTTCCACAGGCCCCACTCGATCTCACAACCCCTCACCGTAAACCACGACGGCGGCATCCCAGGCTCGAACGGATTCCCGAGCTCCCCCTCCGCGGCGTGGAAGACCAGCGTAGTAGGGTCAATAGCGATGTTCCAGGCGGTGGTGTTGGCGATCTCGTAGTCCCTTGCCTGCTCCGGGAAGGTGGCATTTGAAAAGGGCTCATTAGTCCGGAAGTCCTTCGGCGGCGTGCTGGCGTTCGTGGAGCCGATCTCGAGCGCGTAGAGCAGCGCGCCGCGGTGCACGGCTACAGTGTCGTTAGCCCGGTGCTCGAGGATCGTCTCAGGGCCGATGTAGTAGGTTAGCGTGGTGATGCCGGGCTGGATCACGATGGCGTGGAGGCCGGTGTGCGAATCCGGCTGGACAGACATGGGCCGCTGGTACGGGAGGGATAGGCGTGTCGACGAGGTCGCCCATGTCGGAAAACGGAGGTGGAACTCGAAGGCTGCGGAGGCAGCGATGGTGTATATGAGCGTGTTGGCGAAGGGGTAGTTGGTGGTGCAGTTGACTGTTATCTGCGTCCCGCTGGGCAGAGTGGTAGTTAGCGCGGCGGGACTCAGGAAGGCGTGCGCGAGGCCGTTGGCGCCGACTCTGACGAAGGAGTTGGACAGAAATTTGGGAAGGCCTTGCGGGAAGTTGACGGTGCAGCAGGGGTAGTTCACTTCCAGGCCGTACGTCTGGGACCATTCGTTTGTGTTCCAGAAGGGCTTGTCGGCCAGCTTCTGCGAGAAGGGCTGGTTAGGCTGCGTGACATACTGGCGTGCCCACCAGTCTGGCGTCATGTGCACTGGTAGCTCGTTGTAAGCTAGAGACTCGGCTCTGTCGGCGAAGGAGCCATCGCCTAGAGCTTGGTAGAGATAGCTCATGGAGTACATGGTTTCGACGACCGTGCAGGTCTCTGAGCCGTAGAATGGGCTCAGGCCGGCAAGTCTCTCGTCGCCTAGAACTGTACCGGAAGCGGAGCCATGGTATGTAAAGGTCCAGTTGACGCCCCTTCTTGTGGACTCCAGCAGAGTGTCATTGTGCGAGAAGCGGCGTAGTGCCGCGCCACTCTTGAGTCCTTGTCCAGCGTTGACAGCGTGGACATATGGAAATAACGGGCTGCTTACGGCAACATCCTCGGGAAGGGTGTTTAGATCCTGCTTGATGAACACGCCTTCAGAGAACCAGTAGGCCCAGTCAATGGCTCCGTTAAGCAGGAATTGCATGTTCTCCAGCAGTAGGAGACCGATATCGCGAGGGTGCTTCTCGTACATCCACTGCAGACTGATCATCATATCGGCGACTCTTACTCTCCCCCAAGTGAAATCAAATTCGGATAGTTCGTCCCCTTCATGGTACAGATACCCTCTGTGGTCATCCTTCAGCATCTGGTTCATCAGTCTCATGAACTTTTCCAGGGCACCAAGCACACTCTCTTGATACACCTCAGGGTCCGCCTCTACAAGCCCGATCAATCCAAGAAAGACCGGATACCGTGCCCAGAAGTTTCTCGCCGTCCCGTTCTCCGGACCAATCCAGCCGTCATCTGCTTGATGGGCAAGGACATAATCCACAGCTTCTTTAACTTGGATTTTCAAGCGCGCATCATCAAGGCCATACGCGAGAGGGACGATGCCGTTAAACCAGTACGGAAAGCCTTCATTGAGACCGCTATACTCTGCTGAACCACCTAGCCAGGGCGACTGCGCAACGTAGTGATAGAAGTCATGCATGTTTCCGGCAAGGCCTTCCGCCTCGAGCTGTAGCTGATGGCGGAGCCAGCCTTGAGGTTTGATGGTACCCAGAGGGAGAGGTTCAAAGGCAAGAGGGAGTACTGGTAAAAAGTTAGGACAAATCGAGATGAAACTGGGGTGAATCATTACGGGTGCGATTGGTCTGTACGTATCTAGTCGATTCCGCGTCGTCAACCATGGCGGTGTTAAAGGGTCTCATCATGGCGGAACATTCTCCTCCAAGTACCCGATGGAACAGCTCCAGAAAGCCATTGGCTGAGATGAACATCTGAAGGAAGAAGAGTGTGCCAGCGATGATGATGAGAGGAACGGCATATCTGGACGGCCAGCTAGTCGATCGGCGCCTCTCCAGGCTTGAGGTATCAGGGTGTGACTTCATCGTTTCAGGATGACAGTCGTATGCAATGAGAGGTCGGAGCCAGCTTAGTTATGTACGTCTCCATGAATTGCCGGCTTATACGAGAGTAAGATTGTCAATTCGAGGAAACTATCATGTGACCGGAAGCATAAATGCTGATTCAAAGTGGTGCGCATGTGGAGAGATGACCAGTGAATGATTGATGGGGTTGCGGGACACGCGCATCAACGTTGTCGAAGATCGACAACGCAAGGGAGCGGTCCGGCTGCCGCCTGCCGAGGAACGCCGGGCTGCAAGCCACTTAAACGCCAATCAAGCACGGAGTCGTCGTCAAACTGCAGGTAATAGATTGTATGGGAAATGAAGAGAAAGGTAATCAGCTGTGCATCGTACTGTATCCAAGTTCCTCCGTCAATGTTTGACTGTCCTATACTCGAAGGCTTTCCAGCCCATTTGACAGCATTCCCTTAGTATTCTCTCCAATTCCTGCTGGGTCGCAGCAACTTGGATACCACTTCTGTTCTGGCGAACCCCTGTCTTGCTAAGCCGATACTGGGTCGATCCGCGGTTGTCGTGCGGGCAATGCTTCATGCTCGCCCACCACCACGCGCGGCTCGATGATACGGCTAGTTGCAGAGTAGCATTGATATTACGTCCAAACCAGTCCGTTGAGTGACAGCTGGAGAAACCCATGCCGCTGATCCTATTTCCTGGGACATCGAGGGTTCACACATCCAACGAGTCCATACCCCAAATCTCGATCTTCTTAGCTTCCTCTTTCGGTACCCTCTTGACTTGTCTGAGCAGAACCGGTTTGCTGCCCTTCTCCGTAGCTTTACTGTCACTATGAATGATCTTCCCGCACTCGAACACAAAGTCGCCGAGTCCGATGTACTGCAGATTCTTATACTCCGGTCTCCAAAGTTCGTGGCCTAGCAGCGCCTCGTGGACACTATCGTCCAGCGCTGCAAAGTGCTCTACCTCGTTGTCCTCGAGACCGATCAATATGCGAACGGCATACAGCTTAGGCATCAGTGGGATGAACGCGCGTAATTCCCCAGGCCATCTCCCTTCAAGTGCCAAGCCTAGCTGTTCGAGGTTTGGGCAGGCCGCCACGAGTCGGCTGACCACGTCTTGCCCCAAACGCCACTGATCGGACAGGAGGAGGCGCCGCATTGAATGACCGTGGTGAGACGTTATGGCCGCAAGATAGTCAGCTGCTACCTGGATAGACTCTTGCGATGCTTCCTTCGTGCTGGGCGACCGCGTGATTGGCGATGCTGCAGCAGGCGTTCGCATGGGTGTCGTAGAAGCGGACGTTGAGTTGTGGCGTTGTCTCTTAGCATTAACAAGATACAGTTCTTCCAGGCCATTGAAACGAGATAGCATGCCAGCGTGTGTCCGGTCCAGGATGTCTCCCCGCATCATCTTGAGTTGTGTAGGTATCACACCGGGTTCTTTCATCCGCCATGAGTTGTCCAGGAAGACGGTCATGGGGTCCTCACCGCCAACACAGTTGATGAAGGTAACGCTGCGCATGGTCTCGAATCTGAAGACCTGCTCCATGTCTACATCGTGCTGACTGAAGAGGTTGCTGAAAGAGAAGTGTTGGACTGGGAGGATGTGGCCCGCAGCGATACATTTACCAAAATAGCTATGAAGGTTGACGCTCGTCTCGCCCTCATCGCGCATACGAGGACTCCAGTTCAATGTCAAGCTTTCCAAGTTCCTTGAGTGTAGGAGGAGTAAGGATATGTCGTCGGGATAACATAGCGGGTCGATGTTGAGAGCTTTGAAGGCGCGAAGATTCGGCATCGGTGGTATCAAGACAGTCGGTCGCGGTACACGTGTGGATGGAAAGGCGAGCGTCAGGGAGGTCAAAGTGTGTCTATTAGCAAGGCCATGATATATCGTCGAGAGCGGTTTGGTATTAAGCTCCCAGCTACTTGACGTTAGCTACCCAGTGTCTGCAACACTTACGCACTTAGACATACCCAAAACTTTCTAAACATGTCATCTTGTCCATGGCCGCTCTGATGACAATATTCAGCATCATGCTGTTATCCGGAACTCGTCCCTTTGTGAAATCATCGACATCGCTCTCCCTCCAATCTCCGAGTAGCTTCCAGCCTTTGACGTAGCTCGCGGTGTTCCGCGTCGCTAAGCCATTGAGGCCCATGGAGAACGGACTGCCACCGCCATAGCCCTCCGGTCGCCCGTTGAAGTACCGTAGCTCCGCGTACGAGCGAAGCGTGACATGTTCGTAGAGTCTGGGCAGGGTCATGTAATAGAGCAGCCTTGAGGTTCGGGTAAGGCGCGAAAGATCAGCGACATCGTCAATCTGGTAGGTAGGCTATTAGTAGTGCTTCCGAGGGGAACTGGATAGCTTAGGTATTCGCACCTGCGCAATGATGAGAGCGAGCAAGTTGAGAGGCAGGTCTTTCTGCCCCCGCGAGCTGGGGTGCATGCTGACGGGCGACGTTGCGAGTACATAATTAGGAACTGGTCCATTGGTATGGCTCGCCATAAATCAGTCAATGGACGGGATGTTCGTTTGCAGGATGAGCCAGAATAGTGTTGCGGACATGATGATGCGATTTGGTCGAGGCGCAGGCTGACAGTCCGAAAGTCTCAATGCCGCAGCGTGTAAACCCATTCTCGGGTTCTCATCTATCCGCTCGGCGGCTAGGGCCAGATATGTACATATGCAGCTAGGTGTGCAGCTGGGAGTGAAGGGCCGGTCATGCACTGGGAAGTCGCCATAGATTCGAAACACAACCTAGCCTTCCGTGCCAAGCCATAGTTCTTGATCCGCAACGCGCTCATTATTTGAAACAGACTCTTCAGAGGTTTTGGCATCTTGAAGAACATCTCATTCGGATGCCACCCGGTCAAACATTTGTAAAGGGAGTCTTCTTGAAACTAAAGGAGCCAGGCTCCAATTCGAAATGCATTGTTATCTAGTTACTGCCCCAGTCCGTTGACTTCCCAAAACAGAATGCTGCCCCATGTCGAACCAGCGCCAAACTCCATAGCTAAGCATGCGCGCTTATTGCGGACCAAAACCACGTCGTTCGCAGGTTCCTTGCAACCGGATCTGGGTGGGTCAACCCTGGACGAACCAAGGTTTCCTGTCACCATACTCGGCGCCAGGATATTCGAAAGGCGCGTCGTATACCGGTCTGAAACCCTCCATATCTGGAAGTTCGCCGGCCTGCGCCTGACCGGATTCGCCCAACGAGGAAGCCGGCACTGCCATCAGGACACCACACTCCCAATTGCGGCAGTTGAGCTTAGCTTCCTTTCTGCTCTTGTCGATTACTAGCTTCCCCCAGGCACTTTCCGAGAGGTTCGCGCTACCAGTGTACATCCAAGCGATGTTCGAGACTTTGCCATCTTCATTGCTCCGCTGGCCGCGAGCGTAGAGGATCTGGTACAGAACATGTTAGCGTCAAGGAGGAAACTAGACGGTGTGACTAGGGTGAGCTTGCCTTGTTGTGACTCAGTAATCCAGCGCGGGTGGACTTGCAATCCCTGAAGAGACTTCTGGGAAAGGTAGGCGCGTTCCACCACTTCGAATGCAGCCAAATCGTGCCACCATTCTATAGTATCATTAGATATCATCAGTAATTGAGGAATTTGCAGGGGGAATACCTGCGTCCCTCCTTTGCTGCGTGCAACGGTGTCATGCGTGGGAAAGTATATTCGAAAGTCATCAGGCAAAGCTTCCAGTCCTTCCTCCATAATGACATTATCCAAATTGTCAGCGGCCGGCACGGCAGGTTTCTTCTTCTTGGCAGGCTTAGATTTGCCGCTGTCGTTGATTTTGTCTACGTTGAGTCCGCGAGCGGCCTTGTATATTAGCCCTAGGAAATCCATACTAAGCGAACCGATAGAGGAAGCCTATCAACACGTTAGAAGAGGAAAGAGAGCTGTGATGAGTACATGCTTACGCAGAAGTCGATCTTGAAAGGCGTACCAGACTGCAGGCCGAGTGTCTGCACCGCTCTAGTGAGACCTGGGTAGCCAGTGCGCTTCAGGTCTTCGCCGTAGTGAGCGCCGCCAACTGTGTGGATGAAGGCTAGATGATCTGTTGCCGAGAAATCAAATTTCAGAACACTGTCGCAAACAGTTTCTTCGAGACCCATGGCCTTTAGAAAGTACATGAGTTCCTTCCCGAAAGCCGTGAGTTCGTTGACGGAGTTGCGCTTGCCATTTTCGAGAAGAGGCAGATCAATAAGGAATACAGACTAAGTAAGTCAGTCGGTAGTTCTGCGAAACGCAATAGACCGGATCAGGAGGGGTGGAGAGGTCCTAAGGTGGGTAAGATTGGTGTGATATGGTTCGCCTGGGGTTAACGTCAAACGCTTGATTAAGATGGAGAAAGCGCCGTGAGCTGCTGGGAAATGGCATAGGTATGAAAGATGGATGCATGATCCGGACTCATCCATGTAACTCACATTTTCCATAATGCCGGATTCGCCCCAGTCGTAACTCACTAGGTTGGCGCTTGGAACAACCACACGAAGATGCCGTGGATAGGAGAGTAACATCAGTTTGCTATGCATGCAGTTCACCTGGCCAGGCATAGGCGGAAAGCAAAGGCGCAAGTTCGGCGTACCCGCCGCATCGTTGCGAAATCGATCTTGATCAGCCTTCTCTTTCGCTTGCATGACCATAATCACGTTGGTCGTCCTGATGTCGATCTTCCTAAAGAGCCAGTCGATATCCCACTGAAATGCGCTGAGCACGGCCAGCTTCAGATCTGCGCGCTGAAGCACTTCTTCGATCTTGATGTCGTTGCTTCGTTCGTGTCCAAAAGCCCAGGTCTTCTTCACTACGCCGTGCGGATACTGCAAGGGAGAGCTAGGCTTGCTATCTCCATTGCGCGTGGCGGTCTTCTGGATACTAGGCGGAGATTCCGCGTCAAGATCAATAACCTCTATGTGTTGCCGCTTCGGCTCACGTTGCACAGGTGGTGGTGATATGGATCCTTTCCGCTTCATGCGGGCAGCGGCAGCACGCGCGAGTCTCGCCTCTTCCATTGCTTTCCTGTCGAATCTGTTGATAGATGGTTGACTTTCTGTAACAGCTTCGGAGGCTTCAGACGGCTGCTGAGGGATTGTGCCTGACGAGACCAGTCTGCCTTCCTTGGTTGTATCATTCTCGTGAGCCGCTTTAGCTAGTGGTTGTGGCAATCTTGTGCCCTCAGATGAAGCGTCCACATCCTCGGAATGGCTCTCTAGAGATAATGCAATGGCTTTCTGCAATTGCTCATCGTCAGACGAAGCCATTTCTGACTCGGAAGCAGCCGGAATGCAAGAATCACTATTTTGGCACGTATTTCATGTCGGTGTTACTGGCGTGAGAAGCGAAACAGCGTAAGAGCATCGTAGATGATGGTCTTGTGTAAGTGAGATGGGTGAAGCTAAAAAGAGGTCTTGGCATGGAGCGAGAGCACGTGATATCGTGTTTTCGCGACTCCTCTCAGAAGGGGGCGCACTGGTGGCGGTTTTCGTAGTTCGAGGCAAGGTATTGGTTCATTGAAGTGTCTGCCAGGAGGCGATTTACTATGAACGCGGCTCTGAACATGCTAAAGTATGCGCCATGCTAATGCCACAACATCGACCAATACATGTGCGCCGGCGCCATACAGTGTCCTATAGATGCCTTGACTTGCAGCCCCACGGAGGCATTTGAACGGTTGAGCTTGCTCGATGTGACGCCGTCCTTGCCTCGCTCCTGAACACACGTAGTTGCAGCCATCTCACTTGAAGATGCCAAGAACCGAACGAGATGCCTTCTGACGGTGCTTTCCTTGATTCCTTTCCAAGGGTAGTCCATAAAGTCTGCTGCAAAATTCTGCACGACGGCTGTTGGCCTCAAACAAGCGCTTTGCCGGTACTCTCGAGCTTGTGCTCGCTGCTATATCGAGTGGATATGGCTCACCGGCCCGCTTTTGAAGCCTCCCAAGGCCACAGGTCTTTCAGGAGATGGTCGTCGGACGAATCCTAGGCCCTTTACCGAGCAATTGCTAAGTGACCGATGTGACTTGTCGAGAGGCGGAGCGGGGGCTTCCGTGAGCCCGACTTCGGTCCCGCATGCAACGTTCGTCTTTGAGCAGTACTGGCATATCCACTTGTTAGAACCGTGTCGAATGCGGTAACGCCTGAATCCGCAGTTATGGCCAGAGATTGACTAGCCACCGTGCAGCGTGGAGACGAAGAGGATGTTATCATTCGGTTGAATTTCGTACTCCTCTCCCCCTTCTAACTCCCAGTCGCCGTCGTTGATAAGGACCAGAATGCCGGGCCGCCTGAGGCGTTAGAAGGGCTTCTGTATCAGCCTGGGAAGCAAACTTACACCGTATCATCGAGCACGAACAGCTCTTTACGATGATCCCTCATCACGTTTTGACACAGGTACCGCACGAGATATGCGATGTTCGCCGCTGCGTCATTTTCATCCCTGACAGGGAGCGTGATTTGATGCTTCCTTCGATTGGAGAAGAGCATCTCGAGGCCTCCACTAGAATCTGTGTTTTAGTCACGAAAGCGCCTAGGAAAATTACGGACATACGTGAATTCCACAGTGACCTGGAGGCCATCTGTCCCTGAAGCATCTTCTGCCATTTTATGCGAGGCTCACCAAATGCGTAATGAAGATCGTGTTGAGTTGATGGCAACGTCTTGGCTCAAAGGAAAAGGTCACCGATTACCTAAGCGAGCGACTAGCGCATACCAGGACTGTGCGGCGCTGGCTCCTGGAGTTTTACGGGCTTTATGCATGAAGCAACTCTCGGATGAAGTGACTATGGCAGTCGTTGAGCCTATCTATCTCTCAGCTGGTGGCAATCGACACCCTGCCGCAGCAGACTGGAACGTGGATAAGCCAGGTTTGCTCGCATTTGGTGCCGGCAACAATATCGCTTTGTGGGACCCGTTGGATGAAGGTTTCCATGGAGTTCAGGCGCTTCTTTCAGGACATACAGACATTGTCAATGTGGTCAAATTTCTGCCCCTCAAGGGCGTAGCAGATTCGCTCATTTTAAGCGGATCAGCGGACAAATCACTTCGAATTTGGAGCAGGGCTGCCGATATCTCTACCGGATGGCTCGAAGTCAAGACGATTACCGATCATCAGAGCTCGATTAACTGCGTGGCTGTTCTGCATGACTCTGGCGTTTTTGTCTCGGGCTCAGCTGACGCAAAGGTGAATGTATGGAAGGTTGAGCATGACGAGAACTCTGAGGGTATCGAGGTGAGGCTACTTCAGACTATATCTCTCACACCAAAATACTTTCCCCTTGCTGTTTCCTTGGCACAGCTGAATGAATCTTCTATCGCACTTGCCGTTGCCGGAACCAAGGCGAGCATTCAGATTTACATCTCAGAAGCGGACATCTTCAAGCTTGCCGCCACTCTGACTGGCCATGAAGGGTGGATCCGCTCCTTGAGTTTCGTCCGGGAAGCCTCAGATGATGGCGCAGACCTTCTACTTGCATCAGCAAGTCAAGACAAGTACATCCGCCTATGGCGTTTCCACCAAGGGGAGGAGCTCCCCGCAATCAGCAGTGCGACCAGTGATCCTTCACTCGGAGCATTTGGCAAGTCGCTGTCCAACAAGGCCCACCGATTCGAAGCACAAGACCAGAAGTACTCCATCACTTTTGAGGCGCTTCTGCTCGGCCATGAAGACTGGATATATTCTGCTAGGTGGCGCCGTCATCGCGACAGGCTACAACTCCTTTCCGCTTCGGCCGATAGTTCACTGGCCATGTGGGAGCCGGACACAACATCTGGCGTCTGGATTTGCGTCACCCGGTTGGGAGAGATCAGTACGCAGAAGGGAGCAACGACCGCGACAGGGAGCACTGGAGGCTTCTGGATCGGGCTCTGGTCTCCCAGTGGGGATTCCGTAGTTAGCCTAGGCCGTACAGGGAGCTGGAGATTATGGAATTATCAGCCAGAAGAGGATAGGTGGACTCAAAGCGTGGCCATTAGTGGCCATGTCAAAGACGTGAAAGGCGTCGCGTGGGCCAAGGACGGCTCGTATTTGCTATCCACTAGTTCTGACCAGACTACAAGACTGCATGCCGAATGGCTACACGAGGACAAGAGATCGTGGCACGAATTTTCGAGACCGCAGATCCACGGCTACGACCTGAACTGTATAGACTCGATCGGCACCTCAAGGTTCATATCTGGAGCGGACGAGAAACTGCTTCGGGTGTTTGATGAACCGAACGCAGTGGCCAGTCTCTTGGACCGATGCTGCGGTATTCGCAATGAGTCCGTAGCAGCACTTCCCGACGCCGCAAACATCCCGGTCCTGGGACTGTCAAACAAAGCAATTCACGCCGTAGACGAGAATGAGGCTTATGCTAACGGGCAGGCTGAAGATCAAGATACCTTGGACCCCGCGGCTGTGGTTTCGAAGTCAGCGCTCGACATTGACTATCCACCACTTGAGGACCATCTTGCGCGACACATGCTGTGGCCTGAAGTAGAAAAACTCTACGGGCACGGCTATGAGATATCCACGGTAGCAACGAGCAACGATGGTGGACTGGTCGCGACGGCTTGCAAAGCAAGCTCCGTTGACCATGCTGTCATACGCCTATACGAGACGAAAGAATGGCGCGAGATCAAGCCCCCGTTGACTGCGCACTCGCTCACTGTGACCGGCTTGGCCTTTTCAGACGACGGTCAATACCTTCTCAGCGTGGGCCGTGATAGGCAGTGGACACTGTTCACTCGTAATGGTGCTGCATCACGCGACTACAAATTGTTCGCGTTCAACCCCAAAGGGCATGCGCGGATGATCTTGGGCTGTTCATGGGCCCCGAGAGCGGCTAGCAGGGTTTTTGCGACTGCGGGAAGAGACAAGTTAGTGAAGATATGGAGATTCGAGAATACCGACGTCGCCTGCGTCGTCACGATTCCTGCAACCTCCCCTGTTACAGCCATCAACTTTCTTTCACAGCTATCAAATGAGGAAGTAATTATCGCTTACGGAACAGAGACCGGAGATATCTCCATCCGCGTACTTGAAGGCAAAGGGCTCACAACCAGATACGCTTTTAACATGGACCAATTTCTCCTTCCATCCAAGGGGGTCAACCAGCTTGTATGGCGCCCGCAACACCCAGACCGAAATGTCGAGAATATCAACGTAAGCGCTGAGCCGCAGAGGAAGCGGCATTACCTCGCGGTGGCCAGCGAAGATAGCTCTGTACGCCTGTTTGCGTTGCTTCTACCAGATCCAGCGTAATCGTGCATCAATGGCTTTGGCTCTTCCGAACCCCTTGCACAATCTTACGGCATGTGGTATGTGGATCTATCTGGGCAGATAGCTCAGGCTGCGAAATTCATCGATTGCTGGAACACCACGTACGTGTGTCATTTCACATAATGGACAAAGATGGAGATTGGACCGCTGTCGCTCCTACGTGCCTTTGTGTAGTCTTGAGGCGCTGAGGTGACCTCTAATCATCAACCGGCGCTTACTCTACCTCGTAGACGTAGACTCTCATAATTGCACGAAGCAAAGTACATTGAAACCCGTCGACTCGCTCATTATGTCAGGAATTGCCGTCACTGAAACGCCTCGAGCAGAGGTCTCGTTGATGGAGGATTCGTGAATTTCCTTGAAAAGCCGCCTTTCCTTTACTTGATAGTCCATTCGGACTTCATCTCACTAAGCGGTCCAGATGAGCATATCTTCACATACATGCATTCGATCTTCACCCCTGAACCTCGTTTCATACAGCTTGACTTCACTCATCGGCTAGTGCCGACGGCAATTACTATCTGCGACTCCAGGCCTATCTACATCAACGCGCTTTTAAGAGGATACTGACGACCGCCCGCGTCGCTGACTCCTTCTGCGACAAGAGCGCAGTACAAACCTGTGGCTCAGCACTTAGCTCTTTATTAAAAGATTGCGCCGAGTCGCAGTTCAGGACATAACATTCGAAAACGCTGTCCAGCGGCATCTCAGCGGCTTTCGCACTCACCAAATCCATTCTGCCAACCCGTAACGGCTTTTCATTTATGTCGCAGCTTTGGTCCCCGTCAAATCCCCGAATCTACCGCAGCCTTTGTTGACCTCAGGAAATCTTCTGTCAGCTCACGACTTGCACATCTTGAGTCTTTCGCTCACAGCACATCGCACCAGGAGTTCTTGACGAGAACCCCAGAAGCGCCGTCCGCGGCACAGAGCGGCTGAACAGACAGCATAATGTCTCTTGAGGTGTCCTACAGTGCAGCCGCACCCCGACACATCAAATCAAGACCGAGCCATGGCCGACAGCAGCAGCATACGCGAGAGGGGCCGTAGCCAGCATTGCACAGCATCACGAACAGTCAGAAATGTCTCTGGTGTTCTATTCGCTCAATCTATCACCGCCGAGGAGTCGCATTGTAATTTGTCGTTGAGGGGCTAAGACTGCCAGAAGACTTTAGGGCCAAGAACTACAGGAAGAACTTGTCAGATGACGACATTTGGAAGACCACACGAGGCATAGCACTCGAAGCCCACCGTTGGGGCGTGCCTCATCGAGGTTCGACGCGACTCTCGGAGGCGGACTCAAGATGCTCGGTCCAGCTCTCTACCCGCCGGGTTCGCAGATCACCTGTGATGAATCTGTCTTCTTTCAACTTCCCTTTCACGCCTCCCGGCAATGGTCCCCGCTGGCCTCAGTCTCATAGCGTACGAGTACTCAACAAACCTGAGGTTAAACTCTCATTTTTCAGCTTCTCTTTTAAACCCTCCTCGTGAGGGTCCCGCTGGCCGGAGAAAGTTTGCTTAGAGGCGTCCAGCGGGCCGATACTTTGCTCAATTCTTGCAAAGCTCAATATCCAAGAGGCCCCGAAACCAGTGGTTGCCGAACACTCCTCTAGATTCCTGCACTTCGCTGCAGATCAGCCTTGCCACTGCAGATTCACCTTCCGGTGCGGTCCATCCCGACTACTGGAGCTACCCACGGAGCTGAGATTGCAGATTCTGTTAAATGTGATCAGACCGCAATCGGGCACCATCGACGTCGCTAAAGAAGGGCTGTTGCCGTCAGTACTCCGGACCTGCAATCAGTTCCACTACGAAGGACTCCTGATAACTCGAAGAACATGTTTCACTTCCATCCGAGCTTAGGCCGAACAACCTGTTTAACACACACTGCCCTATTTCTGGTCCACGTTCTCTAGTCCTACATCCTGTCATGAAGCATGTGGAGATTTCCATGCAGCTTGTGCAGTACAAAACGCGGGATCAGCTCCGCAACTTTCAGTTGAGCGGTCCCCCTGACTGCCAGGTCATCTTTGGTGGCCGCTATGCATAATGTAACAAACTCCTGGACTGTGTGGCTGCAAGTCGCGTGAACTTCATGGCGTGCATAAGCGTCCCACCTACGCCGCACCGGAGTGATGAAGTAACATTTTACCTGCAACACGATCTGCGCACTATATTCGAGCCGTTGAAGTACGCCGGTCCAGGAAGGATTGAAACGGTAGCAATAGACATCCACGGCCTCGAACGGTGGCTGCTAGACACGCAATGGTGGACCAACTACTATCGAGAGCTGCCAACCGCGGTTCTCCTCGCCGGGTTGCAGTCCAGATGGGCCCAGTACTTCAGCATTTGCGGGACACTTGGCATGCCACGTCTGTTTCAGGCTTGCAGCGTTGGAATATCTTGGGTTTTGCGCTCTTGTCATATTATCTTTCATGAAGATTGTATGGTTATTCGGATGGCAGCATCAGCTCCCGCCCGGCATTGCTTACACCTGGTCGCCTTTCTTGATATTATCGCGGGATTTTCTGGGCTGCTTTCGCTCGCTACGCAGCTGCCAGTATGCTTGGCTGATTCGGTGTACTGGATTTTTTGGGTCCAAGGATGAAGAATCTCAGCTAGAGTTCCTTGGGTTGGACGGATGATTAGATTGCGGGGGATAGCTTAAGAGCATGCTTCAAGGTTGTGATTGCTAGATCGTATCTTAAGCGCGTTGTAATTTCTCTGCATGGTTGTTTATGCTCATTCCGATCTTGCCATGGCTTAGTTCCCTGATCGACGCCGCGGAAAGTGTACATCGTCACTCGCATCAGGATCTCTCTTCTATCTCGGCGCAGCACCTAGAATACTGCTGGAGAGAAACATATTCGTAATAAGGTGTCGATACATCGTACAAGGTTCACCTTCAATCAGCCTGCTCCATTCCCTGCTCCAGTCCATACGTACCCAACATCACACCACCTGACCCACAGCACCCAGTGACCTCTTCTGTCTCACCCAGCCTACAAGCTCATTAGTCTCAGTGTATGCCTCACTCAGTTCCACTCACGAGACAGCGCAGTCTCCCAGCTAAGAATAACAAACTTACCGTAAGCCCCCGCGAAGATGCAGAAGACGATATACCCATTCGCGCCCATCGCCAACAGCATAACCACATAAGCAACCGCAAACTGCAGCGCATGGAACAGCGTCCTCGCGGCCTGCTGCACGGCGCTCGGCCGGAACCTTCTCCGCAGTACTGAACCAGCAGCGGCCTGCGTCCCGCGTGGCGCGCTCCAGCCCTTCCCGCCATCCTCGTCAGCGGAAGCGGAAGCGGCAGACGAGTTCGGAGCGGCGCTTCGCTTCTCGAACCCTCGCACAATGGACCGGTCGTATGCCTTCCCGGTCCGCCGGAGGCCTTCGAGTAGCATGACGAGGAGGAGAACGCTGATGCAGGTCACGGCGAACTCCGCTGGGGTGTGGACGTGCCAGTGCGAGGCGAGAAAGCAGGTGTCTATGGTGGTCAAGTTCCAGAGCATGGAAATTCTGCAAGTAGGGCCGGGTGAGGTGTACTCGACGTGGTGGGTGTGCTCCATTGTCGCGGTGGTGGTGGTGGTATTGGAGAGGGGAGGAAAGCTGGAGGAGGTGAGATGGGATGCAGAGGGGGAGGTACTGCTAGGACGATATGTTCTGAGTGGTATCTTGTGAAAGTGGTTGTCGTTGTGGAAATTCAAGGTTCCAGACTCGAAAGAATATTTAGGTTTATAGGGAAACTTCTCCACGCTCTACAGGTTACTCTCCGCCATTAACTCCTGAGTCGACCAGTGCTAACCAAAATAATTGGGCTCTCCAGTGAGATCTGCGCGATATTAAGCATATCCAGTACCACGGAAGCATTTTGCGTCCCCTAGGTATCGTTCTCCTACTTCTTGCGCCGCCACTGTTCACGCCGTATCGATGACCGTGATGGCCTCTGTTGCAGCCATTCTCTTGCAGCTGAGTCGCCGGCAGAACTAGAACGTATACCCAGGCAGCAGGTTAAGTGTTGAAGAAGGGCGGACGCTTCTGGGTGCCCAGTGAGGTGCCAGGAATTCCACGCTTGGCCTAAGCGGACGGGATTGCGCCATCACGGAACGGCCCGTCAGTCACGTGGCGCCCTTGCATAACTTCAGTCAAGAAAGTGTCATCGAGGCATTCGCGTTTCGACCTCATTGCGCTGCTCGCAACTCCTTACGCACAGTGCGATCCTTCTATGCGAAGGTGAACGACGCGGACATACAGCCTCACACCTTCTCAGGCGCGTTGCGCAGGAGGTGCGCAAGAAGCACAGAGAGACCTGTATACATGCCAGTGAGGCCAGTCGCGCGGAACAGGTAGCATCTGGCACTGTTTGGCCACCTTACTCCAGTGCTGCGGACGTGGGGGAGTGAGCGTGAAGAGAACTCCGTGCACATGGCGAGGCGGGCGCAAGAGGTGGGGAAGCGAGCTCTGATTAACGGCATCCTCCTGGTAATGAGTGGGTAGGGCATGGGAAGCGAGCTCTGGGAGACTCTGTAGATACGGTGACGCGAAGACAAAATGTACGGTCGTGAGCTCCAATCGACCCTGTGCTGGTGACGGCGCGTAGGCAGGAGATAGGAATGTGCGCCCTGAAGGCTCCGGGCCTTTGGCGCCGCACATGCGGGATGCTGAATGTCAACTCAAATAGTTTTCATACGCAGCTCACAGCATGACAGAAACGCGGAATCGTGGGCGCAGTCGCTACTTGTCCAGTTAACGTCCACCTCTTAACCAAGACACTCCGAGCCCCTGGAGATCCCATGCATTTGACAACAAACACTCAAGATGAAGAAGTCGTAACATTCATTAATTTATAAACACTAAGCAAAACTCCAAACGCCCCCAAAAGCCCCATACCCAAAGCCCCAGCCCCCACCCAAAAACCCAAGAACGCCACGAAATCCACCCAAAGACCCACCCATGCTAAGAACGCACCCAGAAACCCTCAACCATCGACCACACCCTACCCCTTCAACGCCGCCTCCGCCCTCAACGCCCTACGCCTCCAATACTCCACCTCCTCCCCCAGCGCCTCCTCCCTCCTCTCCCCCTCCTCCTCCACACCGCCCAAGACCCCAACGCCCGAGTCCACGCGAGACATGCCACAGCCTCCCGCCCTTGGCGGATTGGGCGCGCTTGGCCAGGGAAGGTAGCACCCAGTGGTGCCGAGCTCACTGCGGCGCAGCTCCGCGACGACGCCGCGCCAGTGCTTGAGCATCATTTCAAGCACTGCGGCCGCGATGTGGGTGCGGCGGAGGGAGGCTTCGAGGGCGGCTTTGCTGTTGTTGATGGTGTTGTTGGTAGTGTTGATAGTGTGTACGTTGCCACGTCTATGGTATTCTTGGTGGCCCGCTCCCCGGGCTTGTAGGAGGAGTGGGGACGTCTCCTCGAAGGGTTGAGAGTAAAGTTGCGTGAAAGTTGGAGAGTAAGACCGGTCGTATGTAGAGGCGTGAGAGAGAGACGAGCCATTCTTGATGCTGAGTGAGTCGCACGGCGAGCACGCGGATGCAGAGGATGGGATGAATGTATCGAAATCTTCTAGGCTGCTTGAGGTGTCGAGGCGGATCATGTCTGTCAAGTTTCCGAGGAGGAGAGGTGCGAAGACTACGGCGAGGGCGTGCGGGCTCATTCGCTCTGTGGCGTCGGTGTTGATGTCGGTGTTGGTTTTGGCTTCTGAGCTTTCTTGAGATGAGGAGTTGATGAAGGAGGTAGATGCATCGTCTGAGAGATAAGAGAGAAGGCCGAAGACGGCTGAGATAAGAGCGAGCCTGTGGCTGCTTTCGAGTTTGAGGAGAGAAAAGGCGATGCATTTTGCGTTTGAGCTGACTCCATTCAGGCCCACGCTTTCGTCTTCATCGTATTTGAGAGTCATAACGTATCGTATTGCGTCGAATAGGCGGAGCGACCCTAATATGCCGCCCGGAAGCTCCCCTAGAAATTTCTTGAAGGTAGATGCGATGTCATGCACGTCGAATGAGACGGAAGACGGGAGGGTAGATGCGCGGATGGTGAGTTCGATATAGCTGTCAGAGGCCTCTGTGGCTTTGGCGTGATCGGTGAAGTGGTTATATAGAGAGGTGATGACCCGCTGCTTTCCGGGTATACGGAATGTTCCTGTTGCAGAGCGTCCTGAAGACTGTTAGCAATGATCAAAGCTGGCACGTCAGACATAAGAAGCTTACCATGTTGCACGAGGTAGGCCGCGGTCGCAGCAAACCGTGTCGGAATTGCAACTTTGGCGGCGGCTACTTGAGGAGGAAGTTGAAGCAGATTGATTCCTTCTAGCCGGCAAAGGTCTGGAAGAGCCAATGGTTCTGAGATTGTTTGTGGCTCGTTTCTCGCGAGGCGAGTGTTCATGTTGAGTCTTCTTGCCATAAAGCTGCGCGTTCCCCAAGCCCTGTCCATAGATGAGCTGCTGAACACGCATACCCCAATGGCTGTACAGGTAACTTACAAGATCTGGATAAGGTTGACAGCCACGGTAGGTGCAGCCTGGCTGACCATCACGGCCATGACGCCTGATACCGAGAGAGTATTCATACTGTCGGAAGGTACGAACTGCTCTTGAATCTTTTTGGGAATGCACGATACAAATGTATAAGAAGGTTCGAGTGTAGTAAGAGTGCTTTGGATGAGTTTCTAAACAGTGATGCTGCAAGTGCGTTGGTAGTTGCAATGCAGAATGTTGTGAAGAGTGTGAGGAAAGAAGGAGGGAAGGAGGAAAGAGACGAGTTTTGTTAGGCAACCCGACCACCCCTGCTGAATCATCCGTGGCGAAAACAAGTCTAATGCCGACCAACAATGCCATGCTTCTAACGCCAAGGGAATCTCTAACCATCTCCAATGCCTCAATGCGTGATCTGAATGCACTTCGGTGCTAAGAGACACAATTTCCAAGCTCTTGAGGGAGTATAAGCACCGTTGAGTTTGAATGCTGCTGGCCTTGAAGCAGATGCATCACTATGCCGTGCACCCGTACGAGTGTATGGCTCTGGTGCTCATGTTCATCAGTGTTCCTCGGCCTCTCCCTCTAGCAAAATGTATTCCAAAATGTCGCTTAATGTGAGAACGCCTTTAAGATGGTTGTTCTCGTCGATGACAGCCAGCCTATGCACCCGTGACTTACGGATCGTGTCAAAGATCGTAGCCAGGTTATCGTACAGAGAGCAGGTGTAGATGCCCGCAAAGTCCTGCGTACCGTTAGCTCCTTCCCAATGCCCATTGAGACTCCCCCAAAGTATCGAGGAAACAAACTTACATCTGACCGCTTGAGCAATGCATCGCCCACGCTGAGATTCAAGTCGTCGTACACACCTCCTTTTATCAATGTAATGACATCTACAGCTTCGAAAACGTTGATCAGTATGCCTATGAGCGTTAGAACTCGGTCAATCGAACCGTCACGTTCCGGCTCACCGTCTTTATCCAGGATTGGTACGCTCGATATGCTTTTCTTTACCAGCATGTGGATCACGTCCATGACAGGCGTATCCATATGTGCAGTCTGGACATCATCGTACGTGCCCAAACCGATATCTTTCAACGGCTTCTTCAACATCTGCAGCTCTTTCACATTGACCGCCACGAACTTCAAAATCCTGTACTGCGTCACGACACTGACGACCATGTTCCGCTTTGTCTCGTCGTCCACGTCGACCAGGGGTATCCTCCTCGCACGGGATTCCAGCATCTTCCGACATGCTTCGTACAGCGGCCGGCTCGGCGCAATTGATACGGTCTCGATCGGGGCGACCCCCAGAGCCTTCTCGATGTCTGCTCCTTGGTCAGTCTCGGCTCTAACGTGGGCGGTATATAGGCCAGAGTACAGGCATACCGCGCAGGCTGTCGAGGCGGAACTGGTCGATCTGGGCCAGGGCATCCGGATTCTGCCAGTAGTACTGGATGACGTTGATGTAGTCGGAGGTCGTCAGTAGGCCGGCGAACGTCGACGTCTTCGAGTCCCACAGCGGCGCGGATACGATGTCTGCCAAATCAGGCTGTCAGCCGCGATCGCGCCTGACAAGGGGTTCAGGGGCGCCGTACCATTCTGGATGAGGATGTTCAGGCTCTTCTTCACAAGGAGCGCAGTGTCGAAGATGATGAGCCGGAAGCTCAGAGGGAGGACGTCGTAGCTCGTTCTTACTTTAAGGAACGCTCGGATCGCACGCTGTCAAGAGTTCGGAGACATCAGTCAGGTGTTCAGTCCCTGAATCGCTCAGCTAGCCCCCACGGGTAGGCCAAAGAGCGGTAAGGCCCTGAGGGGGATGAGGTCGCGGGATTGGTGGGGGGCAGCTTACCAGGCCCTCGGTCTGCTCGACATCGAGTGGGGTGGTGTCCGATGGGGTTGTTGGCCGGGCATGGCTGCGAGGGCGCAAGTAAGACGATGGATGGACGAAGACGCTCTCGTGACCAGCTGGGCCAGGAATGGTGATGCTAGCGGGCGGTGGTGTTGAGTTGTCGTTCGGATGGGCGTCCACGGCGGCGTCTGCTCCGGACATTGCAGGTGTTGGGCTTCGCTCGAAGCTGCATGGGTGAGGTTTGCGGAAGCAGCGGAGGGCTGGAAGAGGGGGGAGACAATCCGAGTGGCCTGCTTGACGAGAAGGGTTGAGAAGTCCGGTGGTGAAGGCTGGGTGTGGCGCCCGTTGCAGTGCCGAGACGTGGGGCAGCGGATTTTGAGTTTCGGCGTCACTTCCGCCCGCCCTCGTGCAGACGCTCACGCCGCCGCCAGCCGTTGCGCTGTGGAGACGGGAGCCGGGAGCCTTGGACGGGGGAGTTCTCACGCAGGTACCGTGTGACCATCGGGACGTCGAGGGGCGGCCGGTTCAGGGCTGGATGGGCTTCATGGCGTGCGAGCTCGTCGTCCAGAATGTCAAGTGTGAGTTGAGCTGGGCTTCTTCTGGTTTCAGTCAACTCAGTTGGGGATAAACCGAGGGCGTCCTGGCTTCATTTCTAGTCGTCTAGTTGATGCACTAGGCTCCAGTTTGACAAAGCTACATTGAAAAACACACGAACGAGACGGCGTAGAACCGCGGATTCATTCTGTCATTCTCGACAGCTGGCTTAATACCGTGTCTTAAGTTCATAGATACATGGCAAAAGCCAGACGCCGTTCTCATGCCCGATCAGAAAACCCCCCCAGAACGCTAGAAAAGCAACTTCAGACGTGATCCCTGAGAATACCACCACTGCAGTATGTCGCGGTAAAGGTCACGCCACGAGGATGATGAAGCTAGCGAACCTGAAACAGAGCCGCGACCAGGGTGCCTAGCCCCTGGCTGATATGCCCTGTTGCAGTAAGCCGACTACAAGCGAAGACTGTGAGTGCCAAAACAGCGATCAACTCTTGTGCTTGTTTGCAACCTGTGCCTTCTTCAGCGCCTCAACATTCAGCTCCGGCCCCGGTTCCGCCTCCTCCTCTTCCTCCATAATCATCTCATTGCTGTTCTTGTCAGCATCCGGGCTGCCAACCTCGTCCATAGCCTTCTTGGCTGTAGCGACGATCGCCTCTGCCTCGCTGACGCTCCCTTTCGGTGCCGGGTGGTCTCCTTCCACGCCTAGGGACGACTCAGTCTTCAGTTGCTTGAGCGCCCGGTTGTCGAAGCGGACGACCATGCAGGAGAGGTTGTCGGTGGAGAAGCGAGCGAGAGCGTGGTCAACCAGCTGTCTTGAGGCCGCCTGCGGATCCTGGGTGTTGCGGATTAGATCGACGGCTTCTTGGTCGGAGCAGACATCCCAGAGCTGTGTTGTTATTAGCGGATTGCACTATGACTGAACTCACTATGGACACTCACCCCATCGCACGCCAGGATAAGGAATTCATCCTGGTCCGGCTGGATGACCGTCTCGGTAGTATACGGATGCCCTGTCACAAGGTCCTTCATGTAAGCGTCGCCTAATGCTCGAGTTACGGCCAAGACACCGTTGACGCGGTTGTTCAAGATCAAGCCGCCGGCGTTGGCAACGCGTCTACCCTCATTCTCATCACTGCCCTTGTGATCGTATGACAAGCGAAGAGCGCGTCCGTTTCGGCAGAGTACAATACGAGCATCGCCGACGTTGGCAGTGTAGAGAACCCGCTGTCGTGATGCGGCTTCTTGAAGCTTTGCTACAGGAACGGCATCAGGCGGGCCGCCGGCCGGCGGTACCTCAGCAGAGTTGTCTGGGTGTGTCTGCAAGGGTTTGGATACTGCTTCAGACCCTGGACCTAGGCCTTCTGAAGCTGCCTTTGCTGCTGCTGCAGCTGCCGCTGGAGCGAAGGACGCCGACCCAGTAGCCGACTGGGAGCTCGGCACTCTGTCCTCCCATCTCAAGACTGCGATGACGGCAGTGCACCCGCTATTCTTCAAGGGTAGCTTTTCGAGCTGTTGGTCAACGGTTGTAAAGGTCTGATCCAGTAGCTCAGGAATGGGCGTGTTTGGATTCTTGCGGATGATGTCTTCCAGGAGGATATGTAGCTTCTTACCGCACCAATCTGCGGCAAATGTCCCGGCGTGTCCATCGAAGATAGCGAAGTAGCCATTGTCGGTTTCGACGACGTGCTGTGATGTGACTTCCGTGATACCTGAACTCGAATCTGAGACGGAGCTCCGGTTATTCGAAGTGGCATCCGAGCCAAGAGCCGGTTGGGGCGTGCTCATGAAGTTGTACAGATAGGCGTGAGTGTCTTCCATAGTCCTACGGCATTTTTTGTTCTTGTCTTCTGTGACTCCGACCCTGAAGGTTGACCTCGGTGTTGGGGAAGATACACCCGCGGAGTTGTTCAATGGACCTTGCGGGACCGCCAGCGCGGGATCTTGTCGCTCTAATGTTCGAAACGACGATGCGGTCTTTCCCTCCCCGGAGCTGGAGGTGGGTGATGATCCAGAGAGGTGCTGTTTCGCGCTGGAGAACATATCCCTGGCCCTGGCTACTCCACTAGTCCTCCTCTTCCTTTCCGCATCCGGGCTTGCATCTTCGCGGGTTTTCCGGGGACTGCTACTGACACTGCTTCTCTTCTCAGGACTTGTGCCCGTCTCGATGGTCGGTATGCGAATCGGGTCAGGCTTGGAGCCTTCGGCGCCTTGCTCAGTGTCTGCAGCCCCATCATCCTGCCGGCCTGGCGACGAGCCGAACATCCTGTTCAACAGTCCTCCTTGAGTGGAGAAGCTCCTTCGCTTACTTCCTGCCAGGTTGATGGTTCGGTGGTTTGCAGCGCGGATGGCGCACTTCCGGAGGTACGTCTGATCGAGCGGAGACGACAGAGAGCGGTGGCTCGGCACAGGATGGCGGAGACAGAGACAGCGTCAAGGAAACGCTTATGGCTGGTGAAAGGAGATCAGGCGACAGCACTCTAGAGACTTCAAGAGTCAGCGGAAGCCCTTGAGAATCGCAGTTTCGGGTAGAAGGGACGTCGCTTAATCGTACTAGAAGGAGGGCGGCCCTAGCGCCAAAGGCACTGCCACTTAGGTCGGTCGTTTGCAGAGAAGGGCTCTAGGTAGGCGGAGCTACAGGGCGAGCGTGCTCTGGGAGCGGAGTTGGAGATGTTTAGGGGTGTTCTGAGAGAATAGGCAGGGTATGTAGACCCTGCACCGCAGGTCCGACAGAGATGACGTAAAAGCAGCTCCCCCCACAAGGGACCGATTTGCGGAGTGCTAGGTCTCGTGATCTTCAGGATTCACTGGTTGCAGGAATCTAACTTTGTTCTCGAAGCCCGGATTATCTTGTCCTCGCTTATAACTACAGCTTAACACCTAGTTTTAAGACAAGCTGTTATTAATATCTCGCGCATAGTCCACTAATATACATAGCGAGACTAGTGCACAGCCGCCGTCTCCGCCGCTGCCTTCACCTTGCGGAGTGGGACAGTATGCGTTTATTGCAATGCAATAATGTAGGCGAGTTCAGCCTGACAAAAGAGCTTATTAGCAACGACACGATCCCTCCTTAAGCAATACTGTCGCACACTTGGGTTGAGAATCAAGAGGTGACTTTCAAAGATCTGATAGATGGTTCTGGCAAGAGCAAGAGTGGCTATAACAAGCTTCAATGCTGCGCAGAACAAGCCAAACGCAATGACCTGCAGTACTTCTGGGTCGACACTTGCTGCATCGACAAGTCAAACCATGCCGATCTTTCACGAGAGATCAATGCCATATTTCGGCGGTACCGCTAGGAGTAACTATATCGAAAGCTGCGGCTCGTAGTGTGCGGAAACATTGCACGGTGCTAAGGTGACCCTGCCATACACGTCTCAGATCACACGCGTCTCCCCTTGCTTGTTGAGCGTGGCGGTGGTGGCGGTGGTGATAATGGCGGTGTCTTACCCTATAACCCTTCCGGAAGCCTGGGAGTACTTACCTAGGGAAGCAAGTCGAACCTTAGTACACCTAGTCATATCAACTACATCAATAGACATCTGAAATTGAGTTTATTGACATATAACTTAGTCTCGTGGAGTGTACGTGGTTGTACGTGTAGCGTACATCTACATCAATAAGTGTATCTGGTGTAATGGGTCTGGACCCTAGGTTTACAACCACTGCTTGTTTCCAAAATGCGAGATAAATGCACCACCATACCCACTGTCGATGCTGGCCTTCTCCCAGGTCGACCTGATATTTCGAATGGCTTCGTCTACAGGGGTTGGACCCTTGAAGTGTGGGGCATAGGTTGAAAGCTTGCCCATAAATCCCATCAAGCCCTGGATCTGTTCTGGAGTGGCTGTGGGTCTGCATTAGTTAAATATCCAGATGTTTCAATCTTGAAGACAGGGATACGTACCATTCACATAGTGCCCCACCTCTACCGCTCCCGGGCTGATACTCACAAAGAGCACACCGTCTTTCTTGTATTGCGCGTTGAACTTGGCCACAATGACGTTCATGGCCGCCTTGGAGGCAGAATACAAAGCACTTGTCTCAATCTCGACATCGTTGATCAAGTCGAGGTCGGCATGACCGCTGGAAATGGTGACGACCTTCTTGACCTTGCCCTTCATGACAAGAGGGAGGAAGAGGTTGAAGAGGTGGATGTTGCCGACGACATTGGTCTGGAATAGCTTCAATGAAACATCCTCCAGCTCCTCAACCTTGTCGCCCCTGTTGAATACATAGCGTTAACCACAGACCAGCCCGGACAGTAGCCAGAGGGAAGTAGACCTACAATGCGCCGATGGGGTCATAGGCGTCGAAGAGGGACGGGAAAGCTCCATTGGCAACCAGATAGTCGATACCACGCTCGCCAACAATCTTGGCAGTGTCGGCAGCGGCTTGCTTCAGGCTGGCGTAGCTGGTGAGGTCTGCATGGAGGATGTGGACATTGCAACGGTCGCCCAGCTCTGCCGCCACCTTCTTCTCGGTCGCAGCCTTTTCGCGGACCAGACCGACGACTAGATTCTTCGGGTCCTCCGAGATCTGCTTGACGAACTCGAACTACGCTGGATTTAAGCACAAGCAATGCGTAACACGGCATAAGGCAGACTCACCCCGATTCCCTTCGATACCCCAGTAATAACGTACACGGACATATTGAGTAATTTTAACTTGGTGTAGGATGCAAAGCAGAGTACTGAGTTATGATATGGATTGTAAGTCTGCGATGGAGTCTTCTTATATATACTCAGAGCCACCTCACGGCATCCGTGCGAAATCCCGAGAGCTAGCCCGCGCAAAAGGTCGGGTCCGCTGTCCGCCGCGGTCTCCTAAACAAAATGCATTCAGGGCGTGACTTGGAGTACATTGTCGTTTCCTCAGGGCAGAGAGATATCTTTTCCCGTAATGGAAATGTGGCGAAGTAGTATGGCCATGGTGCAGTAGAAGCACCCGCCGATTGCATGGCCGATAAAGACTGCACTGTAACTCCAGATGCCTCTGTATCACCAAACCATCTTGCCTCATTAACAAGAGGCTCTTTGTCCTCGATATTGATCCCCTAGAAATGGAGGTGTTTTATATTGCGGACTAGGCTTCCGCCGTGCGGGTTAGCGCGCGGGCGATTGCCCAACGGGGACGCACCCAGCTGACAAATGCGCGCCTATACTCTTGCCGCCGGGAGGTCTTCGGTGTAACGGCCGTATCTACGGCCGCATCTACGTCCGCATCTATGTAGACAAGACGGTGGCGGAATTATTCTAACGGCTAAGCCAGCGATATCTGCTTGAGCGGCAGAAATGGGACTCGGAAGACAAGCCCACTACTGCGAGGCTAGCAAGGGAGGTATTCAGGGGCTCTGATTGGCTGCTAAGCTAGCTGGTGGATGAGAGCTTCTGAACGGTTGAGAAGACGATAAAGACACCTTGCCAAGCATCACGAGTCTGACATCATTAGGAGAAGCTGACAAGGATAACTACGGGGGCGCCCTTACTAGGCTGGCGTTAGTACTACATAAGGGCGGCATTAGTAGGTCTTGTCTTCCGAGTCCCATTTCTGCCGCTCAAGCAGATAAACCCTCACTGAATCAATCTGTCGATGCAACGCCATTATTTCACTATCCGTTCATGATCGCAGCGATTGCATAGCCTCAAGCGTGATCTTGGTGATGCGGTGAGGACTTTCCGGCGGCAAGAGTAGTATTCCCCTCGACTTCCGCCGCGGACAAGATCGGGAGCCAGTTCTGCCCCCGAAAAAGACTCCAAAAGGATTTGTCCTTCGACAATGCCGCACGCGGAATCAAACGCCTGCAGCGCCTGTGCAAGGTCGAAGCGGAAATGCGGTCGGCAGATGCCGTCATGCGCACGATGCGCGGATAGGGGCAGGTCCTGCGTGTATCCGCCGTCGAGAAGCAGAGCAGCTTCCTCGTCTCGGCCATTGTTGTCGGATGCGTTGAGAGGCTCGGTGCCGAGAGTGGAGGATGGACTGCTCGCTGGGGTTGCAGGCAACACATCCTCCCGCACCGCAGACCTGATCCTTGCAGACGACCTCATGTTGGACCTGGCATTCCCACTCATGGACAGTGACTTCGCTGCCCCGTCGTCTCTCATTCAAACGCCCAGTGCGCCGGCCACCAGGGCAGACTGGTTCCTTGCGCCCGAGACGTGGAGGATATCCCATAGAGTGGACACCTCGGCCGCTATGGCAGTTGGCAAAGCGACGATGAAGAAGTACGTGGCGGTGCTGCAGTCTTGGTTCGAACGCTGGGTCACCACCGGCAGCAACCCTTTTATCCATCCCTGTCTGTACAGTGCGAACTCCCCGGCGTGCGTGCAGGTCGCGTATGCCACGCTGGCTAGCTATATCCACCGGACACCCGCAAACACGGACACCGTCCTCCAAATTGTAGAGGACAGGTCGAACGATCTACTCCGGGAGAACGGGGCTATTCTGGACAGGGTTGGCGCGGAGGAGTGGGCCGACGGAGGGGAGCAAGATATTGACCTGTTCGCGCAGTTAACAAGGCTGCACGCGCTCATGGTCTACCAGATCATCGGCCTCTTCGACGGCGACATCCGCTCCCGCTACGTCGCCGAAGGCCACATGGCCGTCCAGGATAGCTGGGCCGGCAAGCTCTTTCACTCGGCCGCAAAGGCATTGTCAAACACCCACGCCGTTGCCACGCATCTTGTCGGCTGTCTGCCAACGCCGTCCACCTACTCGCAGCAACAGTGGTACCTGTGGATCCTGTCGGAGAGCATCCGCCGCACCTGGCTCGTCGCCGTCAGCCTCTCCCCCGTCTTCACCGCGCTGCAGCAGCGCTGGTCGGCCTGCCCCGGCGGCGTCATGTACACGAACCGCAGCGGCCTTTGGAATGCCGCGAGCGCCACCGAGTGGGAGAAGCAGTGCTTGGGAAGGAATGTGGCGTTCTTGCAGCGCTTCGAGTGCTCGAGGCTCTTTGACGACGCGGAACCCGCGGATATTGACGAGTTCGGCACGGCCATGTTGGACATGACTTTCAATGGGGAATTGGTAGAGAAGTGGAGGGACAGAAGCGGTGGTTTATAGTCATTAAGAAACTTTTCAAAGCCGTCCTATCATATATTACTACTTTATATATACAACGATGCTTTCTAATACCTATATATATAATACAGAATAGCTTCGTAGTAATAGAAATACGAATGTAAAATGATATAGTAAGATATTATAGAGATCAATATAAATATTACTATCTCCACTCTATTCTAAAACTGGAGGACTAATACTTATCATAATATAGAAAGGCTTAATACTAGAACTTAATTAACTAGATAAGACTGGAGCTGGTTCCTGTCGTTGGACTTCCTGCTGTCACTTATTTCAGGCAGTGTTAGAGTCGAAGAATCCACTTGGTAATAATCGCTCCGTGGCACGATTTTCAGAGCCGACAAACTATCAAGCCTCGACAATTGACTTGGAAAGCTTTGTGGTGAACCTATAGCTACGCCGTTCACAATAGGCTTCCGTAATACGAACCGCAGATCACCACAGCTCATTTCATCCTCTGACACCGTGATCCCGTCGTAGATGCAGCCAAACACGTCTAGAGACGTCCCCAAACGCCCAAGACGCCTGTGCTACCATGCAGTGAGGTAAACAAAGGCAAAGAACAGGACGAAGACACCGTGCCCTTTCACCTTCTTAAACTGTCAAGTCTGGCCTGCAGGTCGTCGTCCCCGGGATCGCCTCCGCCTACTGCTTGTGCCACTCGACCTTCTGCCACTGTGGTCTTCTGGAGACCAGATGGCGTCTCTCCAAGCTGTTCGGGGTGCGGTCAGCCATTGCTCGGTCGGAACGTAGATGGAGAGCGTGTGCACACATACCGCTTGACCCAGATCTATCCCTATCTCGTCTAGCACCTGGTTGACGACCTCCTCACCCTCCTCCTCGTCTTCCAGACCCGTAACGTCGTCGATGGCATCGTCCATCATCTCTTGCCGCTGATCCATGATGTCGTTCTCCTTCTCAAACTCCATGGCAATTCGCTGTAACGCTGGGAGGTTCATTTGCCTGTTCATGCTGCCGAGCAGAGTCGTCGCGCCTTTCATGGACTGCATCATCTGTTCATTACTCCGGACAGTCTGAAGCTATCTGTCAGCTTGTGAGTGCAAACAACCACCCCGCGGCCACACTGACCTGTATTCTTAAGGATATCGCCTGCAACTGCGTCCGCATCTGGTAGAACTTCTGGATGTACCTAGCCCAGCATGATTAGCCTCCTGTAAGGGGCCATCCATACAACCCAGCGAGACCCAGACAACTGGCACCCGCAGCGAAACCCAGACAACTGGCACCCGCAGCGAAACCCACCTCCTCGTCCTCACAAGGTCTTTGGCCTGTATCCTGAGCGGTCCCATTTGCCCATTCTTCGCGCTTTTCTTGATGTCTGCCACAAGCTTCTTCTCCTGGTTCTCTAGCTTCACCCGCTCCCTGTCAAGCTCGCGCTGTGTCTTTTCGAGGGCTCGCTGGTGTTTCCGAAGCCGCTCCGCTGGGGTCATGCGCTTGCCGAAGGCCCATTCGACGATCTGGCAATGGTGTGAGCGGAGTGCTAGAACTGGGGGATAGAACGGGGAACTGACATTCATGGCGGTGGTACGAGCCGTCAAGCGGTCAAGGTTAGGAGAATATCTGGGATTGTTGCTGCTGCTGTCTGCGCAGAGAGCTTCGAGAGTAATCTATCAAAGTTGCCTGCCCGTGACGCGGCGGCTCATCCGCGCCAAGGCCGCGGCATTTGATCCGTGCTCAAGCCAATCCCTATCGCAGGGCATTCATGGAAAAACGGGCGGCGTCACTCGAAACTATCCATCACCGCCTCACTCGCGCCACTGCAGCTCGCGATATGCCCTCGCATTCTCTTACACCAGCCAGTAATTCGTTATAGCCAACATGAGCCGGAACGTCTCTCCTGACCGCGACTTCTCCTCCTCAGGCCCCAGCACCCCCCGCCGAGCGGCGACGTCCGGCCGGCCTCAGTACATGACGGTGGGCTCTGGCTCGACCTCCGAAAGCGCCGCGCGCCTTGTCGCATTGCTGGACGATGACTCTGGGTACGGTGGAAGCATACGCAGCGGCGGGAGCAATGGCTCGTCGTGGCATCCAGGGCTAACGCACGATCGACCCACGCCTAGTCATACTCCAGAGGTTACCGACAGACACATACATCAGGGCTACTACAACCGCAACAAGACACAGCTGCTGCGCGCTATCAATGAGGCAGTCGACACACTGAAGGACTTTCAAGCGTTCAACCAGGATTGGCCGGCACACTATCCCTCCGTTCAGCGAGCAGATCCTTCCGAGCCCACCTCTTCACAGCGATCTGATCCTCGACCTGGTCTGCATCATACTCAGTCAACGCTCGACAACCACTATGAGCCTCGGGGTCCGCCTCCCAGCAGGCCGGGCCTAGCAAGGCGAGCCGGTACCTCGCTGGGAGAAAGAGGATGGCAGCCCGAGGCCAGCTCATCTGCAGCTCGTCCGACAGCAGAAGAACCGAGACTGGTGACACCGCAGTTGGCGCAGAACTTCCTGTCAGTGCTCAACATCGATTTGAAGATGGGTGGCTTGTCGCAGGCAGAGCTGGTTCACTCGCTGGAGAAGAAGTCTATCGCGTCCCTACTTGACGGCCAAATACGGAAGATCAGGCAACACCTGTACGCACTACGCGAGCGCATAGAAGATACGTCGAGCAAGGTGTTAGTTACCGGGGATCTCAATGCAGGCAAATCGACCTTTTGCAACGCGTTGCTGCGGAGAAAGGTACTACCGGTGGACCAGCAGCCCTGTACCGCCATCTTTTGCGAGGTTCTAGATGCTCGAGAGAACGGCGGCATTGAAGAGGTGCATGCTGTGCAGATCGACACTCAGTATGTACGCGACGATGAGCGGACATACGACGTGTACGCGCTGAAAGAGCTTGAGAACATCGTTACTGAGAACGAGCGCTACTCGCAATGTAAAGTCTATGTAAAGGATATCCGGATGGTCAACGAGTCGTTACTCAATAATGGCGACGTCGACATTGCGCTCATTGATGCACCTGGTTTGAACGCGGATTCCATTCTGACTACCGCCGTCTTCGCGAAAGATGCAGAAATTGATGTGGTGGTATTCGTTGTGTCAGCCGCCAACCGCTTCACTCAATCCGCCAAGGAATTCATCTTCAATGCAGCTCAGGAGAAGGCCTACATTTTCATGGTGGTAAACGGATTCGATAACATCCGAGACAAGAAAAGGTGTCAGGAGAAGATCTTGGAACAGCTTGCAGGCCTCAGTCCCGCAACTTTCAAAGAGTCATCAGAGCTTGTCCATTTCGTTTCCAGCAGTTCCATACCAGTCGCTCCTCTAGGCGGTCCCGATGGGCCTGGCGGCGACGGGAGCGGTGGCAGCGGAGGGTCTGGTTCTGGATTCGAGGTCCCGGACGGTGATGACGATGACGAGCCGTCAGGAAAGCACGGTGAGCCGGGCTCGCCACCTGGAAAAGGAAAAGGCAAGGAGCGTGAGAAGATACGAGATTTTGAAGAGCTCGAAGCATCATTACGACGCTTCGTGCTGGAGAAGCGAGCACAGTCTAAACTCGCGCCCGCAAGGACTTATCTGATGAACGTTCTGCGGGACATCGACAGCCTGGGAACGTTCAACCGGAATATCGCGCAATCAGAGTTCAACCGTGTGACCGAAGAGCTGCGGACCCTAGCACCCGCTTTTGAGAAGTCGAAAGAAGCCGAAACCGAAGTCAGCAGAGGCACCGACCAGACCATCGAGGAGACCGCAAACAACGTCTTCACGCACACCCGCGAACACGTCGGCTCTTCCATCGCGCGACTCGCGGAACACGATTTCGGCGTCCAGTACCCCGGTCTCCTCAGCGCTTACTCCTACGCCGAAGACCTCAAGGCCGCAATGATCCAGGAGATCTCTGACAGCGTCACGCGCTGCGAACAGTACGCCCGCGAGCAGACCTCCGACCGAGTTAACTACATAAAATCGCTAGGCCTTTTACATCTTGGCGACAACTACTCCCCCCAGATCTTCCGCAGCGAACGCATGTTCATCAAGCGAAGAGACGCGCTCGCTCGCCAGGTCGACTTCGAGGTCGAGACGCTCGACTTCTTCGACATGGCCAGCCTGTGGGAGCGGCAAGAGAAGGTGGCGGGCACCGGTATGGCCGTGACGGTCGCCGGCGTCGTCGGCACCCGGCTCGTCGGCGGCGTCGGGTGGGTCGACGGCGCGCTCGGCGCAGCTAAAGTGGTGGGCGCCAACAACCTCCGCAGACTCATCATCCCCGGCGCCATCCTCACAGGTACGAGCACACCTTCCCCCTACTCGCTGCCCACACAGGACATGTTACTAACATTTAAATCAGTCATCTTAGGCATCTCCTACGCTCTCGCCTCGATCCCACGCTCCCTTCCGCGCCGCCTCAGCAGCAAACTCAGCGCACAGCTCGCGGAGCTCGACTACACGCACAAGAACGCGCTGCGCATCTCCTCCGAGGTGCGCAAGGCGCTGAAGTTCCCGGCCGGCGAGCTGCAGAGCGAGCTGTCGCGCAACGCGAGGGAGCTGAGGGGGAAGAAGGAGGAGACGAGTCGCTTTAGGGACGAGGCGGAACATGCGCTTAAGTACTTTACTAATTTGGTGAGGAAGAGTGGCAGGATTAGGAATGTGGTTGAGAATGTGAACTTGGAGGGGCCGGCGCCTGGGGCTTTGGTTGTTTGAGAGAGAGAGAGAGAGAGAGAATTAGGAAGGGGTGAAAGGCAGGGGAGTTTTGTGCTGTGCGGCGCTGCATCGGGCCGGGAGTTGGCCGTAAAGGCTGCGCACGCTCGTTATAGAGGACCATGCATTTGGATGTGGATTTAGCGGTTTTGTCGCATGTCTCCTCTCAGGTTGATTAACTAGGTAGGTCTGCTAATCACAGATACCTTGAATATGGACTTTAATATGACGAAAATGATTTATACCTTTCACTCATCGAATCACAGAGACAGAAACTTTCGAATCTACTCTACTCGTCTCACAAATGTCCAGTTACAAAATGCTTGGCCTTCTAATACCGTCTTAAGAAGACAGCCGCGGCTCTATATCCAATGTGTACCCAGCCCAGCCTTCCTCGCTATGCATCCAACATGAGTCATACACAAGAAAACTTTTTCATGCAACCATCCAGATATATGTGCGCCATTTCCATGCCTCGATCCAACACCCCAACCCTTCATACAAGCCCAACCGGCACCTCAACCCCCCTCACCCCACCCTTCCCCCTCCTCATCGTCACCGAGAAGTTCCTCCCCACACCTCCCATCCCCTCACTCTCCGCGCGCACCAGGCCCACGCTATCCGCCTCCCCACCTAAAGACGCCGCGACGAACTCCGCCGTCATGCTCCTGCCTCGTTTTCTCATGGTCGCGGGTTGCGCCGTTGCGGGGACCTTCTCACCGAGCGATCTGGACTCGTCGGCTGCGTCGTCAAGCTTCAGGACGACCTCGACGGCGCGCTCATCTTCGGTTACTTTGGGGTGGCGGACTGCGAAGTATTGGGCGTATTTGAAGATGGACCTGCCAGGTGTCAGACGCTCAATCTTTTCTGGTTACCAAGAGACGGAGGGGACAAATGTACCAGTAGCAAGACAAAATATTCACAAACGTCAGCACCATTTTATACGGCATGTAATATGCGATGCAGCCCCACGTGACGCGCTCCCCTTTCCTCCTCAGATGGATCTCGTTGAAGACAATGACGTTCAGCAGATAGATGCCTGCAGTGACGCCCATGAGGATCCCGGTGAACGCCGGCCGGATGTGGAAGCAGATGGGGAGGACAAAGGGCGCCAGTATGTACAGGAGGGTCTCGTACACCTCTTGCCAGACGAAGAGCTTGGCGCCGAGCTCCCAGATCCCTAGACGCCAGGAAAAGAGGATGTACGCCATGTTGTACCACATGCCGTTGACGAAGAAGAAGTTCCAGCGGTAGAAGCGCTGTTTCCAAATGGTCATTTCGCCTGGCAGGGTGCTTAGCATTGTGATAGGCGCGCTGAAGGTAAAGAGGGAATGAGTAAAGGCTTACCAAAACCACCTCGAGATCCACCGGAAGAAAAGAACACAGCTGAGGGTGTCTCAGTCTCGACAAACACGCTCGTGCACATTGTGATCCTGGACCCGAGCTTCCGCGCAACGTGGCCGAAGAACCAATCTTCCGACACCGAAAAGCCTGGATGCTCGTGGAACGTCTTGATCAGGAACTGCCTGTCCACAAGGAGATGGCGCCGTGAGGGAAAGTCGCAGATCCGATCATACCAGCGACAGCACGCTGCAGGCCGGAAAGCTTGTACTCCAGATCCTGCGCTTGCTGACAGAGTGTTCCAAGGGTGGAGCCAGGACCCACGGACTTGATAGTGTAGCCGACACATTTTATCTTCCCGGTAATGCGGTCAGACACGATGGGGAAGTTTGGCGGAAGGGTGCAGTCGTCGTCGATCAGTAGGATATACTTGAAGTCCTTGGCAGCGTAGCAGCCGACGAACTGCGCGACAATCTTGGAGCCGATTGGGGACCATACGTGGTTGACTCCGTAGGGCGCAATCACTTCGGCTGTGTTGTCGATTGGCGTGGGCGAATTGCCGTTGGCGACGACAAAGATGTTCTTGGCTGGAAAAATCTTCAAAGCGGCTTTGAGCGTGTTCTCGATGAGAGCTGCGCTCTTATAACAAGGGATCAGCAGGCAAGTCTCCTGCACACGGGGATCGTCCAGTGGCAGGGCAGCCGGCGGATCCTTCTCGAAGAAAATGAGGAGCGGAAGGAAGGCGTATATAGCGGCGATGCCGACAAAGATGGCGAAGCCGTACTGCAGGATGAAAGTCTTGGACAGGAGCTTCCACATGTTGTAGACGGCACCGTCCCAGAGAGGCACACCAATGAGCACGAAGTAGATCATGCATGCCAGTAGTACGTAGATGCTGTACTGGAAGGCGATCTGCACCCAAAGCCTCCTCTTGAGGTGCTGCCCTCTCGTCTTAGCTTTTTCATATAGCTCTACCATCTTCTCATCTTTCAAATTTCGGGCGGCTGCGGCAGCAGCTCCTTGAACGGCACCTTGTAGCTTGCCTTGGACGTTCGCAGTAAGTGCTGGCAGGGACAGTCTTCTGCTCCTCGCCTCTACTGGCGTCAATATGGCCTCGTTCTCATCCTCCTCGGACCAAGCAGCCGCGGTGTCAGGCGTTGGCGATCTGGAGGGTGTTGTTGACCTTGATGGAGGGTCGGCGAACGGGTCTGAAAGGCATTTGACTCTGCTGTTCGCTGCTGAAGGGATGTCATAGAACGTATAATGCCCTCGTGGGTAGCAGAACTTAGGCGGTGCAAGCTGAGGTGAGCATCTTGTCGAAGACTCGGGTGTTGTTGAAATACTTCTGAGAGAAACACTTGGCGACAACTGGATGAGGTCTGACTCTCTCGGAGGCCGCGGGCTCGATGACCGAGACACAACTGTATGTGCTCGTCTGGGAGATGCTACCGGGCTGCTGCGATCCTGTATCTGTGGTTGAGGGACCAGAGGTAGTGGTGCCGGAATGCTCGATACAGTTGCTCTTCGAGCCCCCCTCCTCGAGTTCCTCCTCTGATATATAGGTAGGCTGTCGCGAACGAGTTCCTCATCATGTATCCACGGTATGCCGGCAGCGGTCGGAGAAACTCCCCAGGAGTACGAGTCACAGCTGAGGAGTGACGTCGGGATGACAATGGATTGCCTCCTCACGAGCGCAGAAGTCTCGTTTTCGTAAGCCATAGCATCAACGAGGAAGGGCTGTCGCCTTTAGATAAGGATGGGGACTAGGGACAGGCCGTGGGTGGGAACTATAGTGTGGATGGTCCGGCGAACAATGAATCAGATCTACTGGACCAAAAAGGACACGGAAGTGATATATGACTAGTACTTATGAGATGAGACCTCGGAGGACATCGTAGACTAAATCTTCCATTGTTGTCCCCTTAGGCGTTGATAATTTCAGGTATCCGCCATACAGACCACACTCCCCCGGCCCGCGCCAGTCACCGCATGGTGGAACCTTGAGGTTCGGAGTACGTGACAACTTCCGTGTGGCTGCATTAGTGGGCTGAAGCAGCAACATCCTCTCCCGCAGGCGCCACAGCACGACATCATGCTGTTGTACTTGAGGACGTCAGAGCACCCATACATCTATACGAGTTTACGCTGCTGAGTACGGACTGGACGTCAGGTAAGAGTGGACAGCCATCAGGTACCCGGTTATAGTAGCCACACTAGCGGAATGCTACGATACACGCCTCATGGCGTGAGCAGTCTTACTAGCGACTAACTTGGAGGACAAAAGAATTGGAGGCCAAAGACTCCAAGAATAACGAACAGCTCATTCTGCAGAAGCGAAGCGGTATGATGAGGCAGATGATGCCTCCGAAGTGTGATGGTAGAGACTGGAGAAGTGTATGAAGGAACCTAGCTTTGCAACGCGGCAGAAACTGCGACCACCATAGACATCTCGGCCAACACCGAGTCAAATTTCCATGTGGTTATGACTGAGCCACTACGACCCCGGCTATCCCGACATCTGCACGTTGCCGACAGGTGAGAGAAGGCTTGCAAATTCCAGGACTAAGCTTCTATTTCCAGCCCAACCAGACGGTTACAAACTGTGGCGTGCAAGGCGGCACACCCCACAACACCTGCTCCATGTGCGCTGGCAACAGTGTTCGAAGTTTTGTTGACATCTTGATGGATCGATGCCAAAGGGCACAAGAATATCCCTTCGGACAATGGGTTGACCAGCTCCAAGCCAGGCTCGTCAAGCATCACCGGGTTGCAGCTAGTAAAACGTATCCTTCTTGCCCTGTCCTTTCTGCGCTGGTGGAAGCCGATAGGGCTAGGATAAGGTGGCCGCTGTCGTTGTTCCGTATGCAAGCCCACTGGCCGACTGGCACTTCGGCGGGTACTTTGACCGCGGACTATTTCTGGAGCGAGGCTGGTCTCTCGTGTACCATTACTGCAGCGTAGCAATGGTCACCCTACTAAGGATTATGGAGAGGGGTATGTCAGCCACTTGCGGTCTCTACAATGCGATCCGACGTCGTATGCAGCTTGTCGTGGCTGAGGTAGCTCCCGCCGACGGGCCGCTAGCCCTGATACGACCCACGTGACCTGCGCCGAACGACGACTGTTGGTAGCTGCGGGATACGAGTATCACCTTGCCAGAGAGATTTCTCAGCAATACTTCCACCTTTGCTTCGCGCGCTCCACGTTCCGCTGACTAGGCAAGGTAAGTGAATGACGAATAGGCTGGCGCTGGCCGTAGAGATCCTCAAGCAGGACCGCGACCAGTACGACTCGTCGAAGCGCTGCCAGCTCATAGTACGGCGATTGGAGATCTTGTCCATGGGGGTGGGACCTTGTGTGCCACAGAAAGGCTTGTCATCGAGGACGGAGTAACCGGCGTTGTTGAGCAGACGAGAGTCGACACCGCGGCTGCCACCATACGGCTTCTTCACAAGGAGCAATTACAAGCCGGCTTACCAGGCTCCTGAACCCGGCGCTGCTAGTAAGTGGCTTAACTCTTCGAGGTCACTGAATCCGAACGTGTGACCGCGATCGTTCTATATTTGGGCCGAATAGCTCGGTTCAAGATCGCCTCCGAATACGCAGTGTACCTGCAGATGACAACCCACTAACGCAAGACTCGATCTGAAAGATCCGCACGCTGCAACCAGCTGGCCGCTTAGTGCCGACTCGCCAATAATCTTTAAGTTTACGGGGATGCTACTGTTGTGGCAACAAAAGCCCGGAAATAGTCTCCCGTTCCTCTGTGGTCCTCTCGAAAATTCTGTGCGCTTCCCCTGACCTTGTGTTCAGTACATCTTCTTTTATAGAGTATTCGTTCAACGCGTGCTACCTCAAGACTCACTCCACTGGTTCCGTCGGTGTTCCTGGACCTTTGTGCAACGATATCAAACAGGTCGTTTCCGTTGTCACACATCTCAAAGCTCATAAACCACGAAGTGGCTGCTAGCCATGAGGTCAACCGAAAGAAATCTACGGAAGTTTCCTCTCGTCCTTGCTCTTCTTAGTCTGGTCAGCTATACCCTAGGTAAGTGCTTATCAGCGTCATCGGTCCTCGTCAAAACCCTTGAACACTACGTTGACGACTCACCAGCCGACACGTGTAGTTGCGGTTACGCACAAGGCGCGGATGTTATCTGGACCGACAGCATTGAGACTGACTTTACTGCCGTGCGCGACATCGAAACTTTCCAAGACTGGGCCGTACAGAAATGGACTTCAGCTCGAAATGTCTCCGAAGCACCTTACGGCCGTCTCCGTGAGGCGCGGAACGTCGTCGCCAATCCCGCAACGGGCGGTGACGGATCCATAGGAAAAGATGGCAGCCAGGCAGGTCTACAGTTGTATGTTCGCTCTGCTCTTGAGGACGACAATACACTCGTGCCTGTTGGCGAAATCTTCTCGAAAAGAGAAGACATTCAATATGGCTCGTTTCGGGCTGGCATACAGACTTCCAGTATAAATGGCACTGTCAGCGCCTTCTTCTGGTACCGGAACGCAACTCAAGAGGTAGACATGGAGCTTCTCTCCGCCGAGACAACAGCGAATAACTCGACCCTCAACATGGTGTTGCAGTCTTGGCAATCGCTCTGGGCCGGCAGCGACGCATCCAAAACTGCCGGCTTCAAGAAGGATGTGTTGCCATTCATCGCAGATGACGCGGTACACGAGTATCGATTTGGTGAGAGCAGCTCATGTCAGCTCGTTCTTCAAGTCACGTGACTGACCTCGTCATAGACTGGACACCAACCTCCGTGTCCTTCTACGTCGATAGCAACCACCTATGGACAAACACCCTCCCCGACTTCGTTCCTTCGAGTCCGGGATACCTTGTTCTTAACCATTGGAGCAACGGCAACAGCGGCTGGTCCCGGGGGCCGCCAAAAGAAGATGCGAGAATGATTGTCACTTACGTCAAGGCGTACTTCAACTCCACTGATCCGGTACGGCAGCGCGACTTTTCGTCCGCTTGCCGGAAACCGAGTAGTGATAACATCTGCCAAATTACGCCACAGGCTGAGCCACCCATTTGTCGAAAGCCCGGTGGATGTGAGGGCGGGACGATGACTGTCTCAAGCGCTGCATCGACGGGCAAAGTACTGAGTGCGATTTTGATATCGATTGTTGGCATGGCGGCTGTGTGGCTCGCTGGTATTTGAACTTTTTCCATTGCATCGCATTGCTCGCTTCCCGCATTCTCAGGCGTTCTAAGTTCTGGGTCTGCACGATACCCTTCCGCGTCGTCCTGTTTACAACTGTTCATATTGTTCATGCGTAATCTGTACATATCTTGGCTCTATCATAACAGATCACAGTGCGTAATATTGTTATACTTAATTCACAACGCTCGCTTTACTAATCAAAAGTCAAAAGTCTCCGTGTGCAGCATCACCTCCTTCGCCTGTCCTCTAATGACTCTCTTCTGCTCCCTCGCCACCAGATTACTCAGATCGATCTTCAGCCCCTCAGGCCCACATCCCAGGACCGCCGTCCGCCTATCCCCAATCATCACCCCAACCACCCGCTCAATATCTGGCCGGGCACCAACATGCATCTCCACGAAATCATCTAGCGGGCTGCCAGCATCTCTTACCGTCTCCCGGATCCCCTTCAACAGCCTCTTCCCGCTGCCGCCACTCCTCCCGCTGAACATGCTATCGACCGGACTGACAGGGCTCACCGGACTGGCCGGAAACCGCAGCGATACCGGCGGTGCCAATCCAGTAGGCGTCCACGGTAACATCGGAGTACCCAAACCGGGTGTCTTTGGACTGACTGGTGAAAGACCCAGCGGACTTGTCAGACTGAGCGGTGCCCTCGGGCTTACCGGCGACAGACTCAGCGGGCTCGCAAGGCTCGGCTGGGCAGGCCCTGATGCTATCGTCCCGAATGCCTCCTTGACCGTCTTGACCCTTGCGACCTCCCGCAACGGTTTTCTCGTAGCCCACACATCGACCCCGACGCTCCCACCAGGAGCAACCTCCCACATGCGTCGCAACTGCCCGCCGATCCAGTTCACGTCCCCTTTGCTCCGCGTGATCCAGACCAGCCGTACCCGCCTTGTCGCACACCCCCCTGCCCGCATCCGCTCTGCGATGTGCAACAGCCAGGGCAGCATAGCCGTGATCCCCGCGCCACCGGCCACGAGGATGACGTCCTCGTATCTGTTTTCGAGGCGAGGAAGCGCGGTGCCGTAGGGCCCTTCTATGACAGCCGAGAGGAGGGCGTCTGGGTGTTCGTCGGTGTAGTGCAGGAGGCGGCGCGTGAAGCCTGACTGGGGCCTTATCAGGAACTCAAGGGTATTCTGGCTCGATTGCGTCGGTACGCCAAGTGGCGTTCGAGGTGTCGAAGAACGGTTCGGGATGGAGGCGATAGTGAAGGGATGATTATCGAAAAGGTTAAACTGCGGAAAGCGGAGGAAGACGTGCTGACCTGGCTCCCAGGACCAGCCGGGCGGTGCTAAGATCTCCATCTTCAACATGTCGGGCGAGATGCTGTGGACGGCGGCGGGGCAGCCGCGGAGCCAGCTGCTGCTGAGGCGGAAGAAGGAAATTTTATGGAACGCGCGACCGAGGAGCGAGAAGAGCCACACGGCCATGGTGGCCCACAGGTAGTGCCAGGAGTCATACAGGTTGGCGAAATGCCAGAAGAGGAGACCGAGGAAGATGACGGACATGGTTACGTGGGACCAGGCGAAGAATTCGTAGGCGGCGCGGCGGATGATGGGAAAGGAGAGGGCCATTATGGCGACGAGGAAAGCCAGTGGGGGCACTCCGGAGTAGAGAAAGCTGGCGTGCTTGTAGAGTGCCTCATGCAGTCGAGGACGGCCACCCTCGCGGAGCGGCTGTATGAGGAATGCGATGGTGTGTATCAGGCTCAACGCTAGGAATATCCAGGAAAGCCAACGATGTAAAGCATTAAGCTTCTCGTGTCCGATGCCCGTTATGATGGTGATGATGTTGACCTTCGCGGCTAAGGCTATGATGAGCGGCATCATCGCTGCGGCCATGAAGCCGGTTCTGCTGCCAAGAGGTGTCTGGCCAAGATGGTCTCGGTACCACGGTCGCTGAGCGAATGAGAGAATGCAAGACACGACCGTGGAGAAGACAACCAGGGCCATGACTCCATAGGATGGGATCTCCAGACGTCTTCCTAGCGGCCCTCCAAGTTTGCGGTAGGTTACACATCTCCATAGCGCGACATGTCTATCCCAGAGGCTTGGCCGGGTGCTGGAAGATATCCTTCTCACCCTGCTATCGCTCCATAGGTGGATGATGTGTAGGACTACAAAGACGGCAATGAGGCACACATAGAACCAGGACGTGTAGTGGCCATATAGCGATTGAGACGGATGTTTGGTCCCTCCGAGGCTTTCGTGCCTTCGTAGCGATCGCATCCTAACGCATGGTGATGGGAAAATGAGCGCTTAGAACAGTACGCCACCGCGGAAAGCCAGTATATACCTACAGCCGCAGGAGAATTAAGGTTTGACGCATGGGAATGTGCCGAGAAGCAAGCAAAGGCTTCCGCTTAGCCAAACAAGGCGTGTGGAGCAGGTCCAGACGGGGCGCACCGTAGATTCAGCGTGGACCTTCAACGCATCCGGCAGACAACTAAAGGGGACAGTGCACGCTTGAGGCTTGGAAAAACGGGTGACTAGGGTGTATGAAAGGAGGTCGACTGTGAGGGCAAGACGGAGACAAAGAGGTGGCTGGCCATGATGCAGCAGCTGGGCTTCTTTGTTGCGAACTTGATGAAAATGGAAAAGGCGAGAGTTTGACCGCGCCCTACACCAACCTATGCACTTTTTAGGCGTGTAGCCCTTCTGCGGTTAAAGAAGCTTGTTCTGGCGACTTATGACAATGGCCTCTCCCGGAATGACACAGGGATGCTGTGTGTATCAATAAGACCAGTTCTCTGTCTGGAAGCTCGCTCGCTCTCGCAATATTATGTAGCATCTATTCAGACAGACATTTATGGCAACCGGAAAGACGAGAGACTTCTGAAGTGAGACTGCTACGAAAGTTCATGTGCGGATCAAAGCGGTACTGCCAAGGAGCAGAAGAGAGCAGTCGTCAAACCTGAGGGCGGCTACATCTTTGTAGTGCGATACTGGTCAATAGTCACGGGAACAGCCCTTGATGCATGTCGGTTGATGCCTCGCTCGAACACAACAATGTCGGATTCGAAGTTGAAGAGTCGATGTCGTGCAGGTGATCTCAGCCCTACCGGACACTCCCGCACCCTGAGCTCGTGGCGTCCCGTTGCCGTATCACTTCCGAGCTGGAGGTCATTGGCACCTCGGCGAACGCAGCACACGACAACAACGATCGCAGCGGCCGATGGCACGGCCTCCGGGTGCACCGACATAGATGGCAAACCCCCGCGTCATCTTCATCGTCGTCCTTCTGCTCTTTCTGCTCTTCTCGCCAGATCCGCAGCAGCCATCACTAGACCAGCGGTTCGAACTCGACCAGATCCTCGGCAGAGAGCGCGCCGCGCTCGCCGTGCTCAGCAGCTCGCACTACGGAGACTTCGACGCTTTGAACGGGACGCGCAACCTTAATCTTACGGGCTTGCGGAGCGAATATGGCTATGCGTGGGAGCTGTTGGACAAGGTCAAGGAGAGAGCGAGAGAGCAGGTGGCGAGCGTGCTTGGAGATGCGGGCTTGGGCATTTTGAATGGAACTGCGGAGGAAGAGTTACCACTCTATCGCAATATCACTGGATATGTTGGAGGCAAGTGGGCGCGGTCGAAGGTCGCAGAGGGCCTGTTGGCGCCTCAGCTCAACTTGTCTGCTGTCACGCCGGAAGGCATGTACGTGACTCAAGAGTACAACAGGAATCTTACTGGGCTCGAGGGCAAGGTCAGGCTGAAGTTTAGGGAGAAAGAAAGGACTGTAAAAGCATCGAACGATTCGATCAAAGACGTCAGCGCTACCTTGACACTATGGGACGACGAATCGTACGGCGACTGGTGGGAAGTAGCACTCCATGGCGTGCACTTTCGAGACCTTGGCGGGATGCTCTTAGCAACCACGAGCGACAAGTGAGTGATTTCGTAACCAGCTTCGTGTAAATTGCTAATGATTCTCCAGGTTTTCTGGCATTTTTGCCCTGCCACATTTCGCACTTTCCAACCACACCTACGCGCAATCTCAGCTAGTGCTCAACGAGACGCTCCGCGAAACTATTCACAAGCAAGCTACTAGTCTGAACGCCAACACGAACCCCTGGTCCTCCTCACAGCAAGGGGCTGGCGAAGGACTTTTCTCAGTTCCCCACTGTGAATACATTGTATGGCTCCAACAGCATCCGTTACCTTTCCGCTCCCAAAACAAAGTCGTGGGAGAACAGGATCCGTATCACCTAGAGACGCTAGAGCATGAGCTGCGGTTCCCAACCGGCCATCCGTTCCTCAAGGCGCCGCCGATGACCATGTCCATGGTAGCCTTTTCGCCTGACTGTGGCTTCGTCATCGAGTCGAAGGGCCCTCCGGACTATGCACCTCAGGAAGGACTCCATCTACAAGGTCCGAAGCTTGAATCGCTGATCAAGATGGGCAGGAGACACATCCTGTTCTTCGCATGCTTGTTGGGTGGGCAGATTATGCTCCTCGTGCGACAAATGAAAGAAGCATCGACGCCCTCGACTCGCAGCCGCATCAGCTTCTATACAGTTGCCATACAGGCGATGGGGGACGGCTTCGTGCAGCTCGCTTTTGTAAGCGTGCCATTGTTCGCCGAGGCGACTTCTTTGACTATGTTGGCTACAGCTTTCTTTGCTTTCCTATCTGTAACGTTTTTCGGAATGAGGTTCCTCATGGATATTTGGACCGTGCAGTCAACAGAACGCCGAAGACAAGAAAGACAACAAGCCACATCAGCCCGCTCGAACGCCGCCACCCCTCCGAACGGCCAATCCAACGTCCAGACAGCACCAGCACCAACATCAGCGCCCATCATCACATCTGCAGGCGCCGACACGCTGCCCCTGCCAGTCACCGCCGCGCGAGCCGTAAGCTCCGGCGCCACGCCCATCATCCTCCCCTCCGACCAAGACGAGCTTGACACAACCGACACCAACCCCACGAACAACGACACAGGCGGCAACCCGACGCGCCGCGAGCTCGGCGCCCTCTACACGCGTTTCTACCTGATCCTCTTCGGGACGGTGATCCTCTCCGTGCACGCAACCTCGTGGCCAATCCCGCTGCGCTCCGCGTACACGAACCTCATGTCTTTCCTCTACTTCTCCTTCTGGGTGCCCCAGATCTACAGGAACGTCATGCGCAACTGCCGCAAGGCGCTGCGGTGGGAGTTTGTGGTGGGCCAGAGCGTGCTGCGGCTACTTCCCTTCGCGTATTTCTACGGCGTGCGGGATAACGTGCTCTTCGTCGAGAACGATCGGTACGCGCTGCTGGGATTGCTGGGTTGGGTGTGGTTGCAGGTCCTCGCGCTCGTGAGCCAGGAGCTGCTGGGCCCGAGATTCTTCGTTAGGGAGGGCTGGGCGCCGCCGGCTTATGATTACCATCCTGTCCTGCGCGAGGATGAGGAGGGCGCAAGCTTGCCGATTGGGTTTGCGCAGCCGGGGGATGAGGAGCCGGGAAGTCCGTCTGCGGCGAGCAAGCCGGGGGAGTCGAGGGACAAGGGGAAGAGGGTGTATGACTGCGCTATTTGCATGCACACGATTGAGGTGCCGGTCGTGCCTGCTGGTGGCGGTGCTGCGGACGGGGCGGCGGGGATGGGGGCTGGCTTGCTTGCGAGGAGGGCGTATATGGTCACGCCGTGTAGGCATATCTTTCATAGTCCGTGTTTGGAGGGCTGGATGCGGTATCGGCTGCAGTGTCCGATCTGTAGAGAGATTTTGCCGCCACTTTAATACGGCGTAGTATGACGAAGGCCTAGAGATATTTTCCAAACATTGAAGCTCTTGTCGATGCTGGTGTTGTGCAGCTGCGAGCTGTGAACTTTGCTGACTGGCCATGCGCTTCCTTGCGCCGCGTAGAATCCACATCTTGCCTGAATTTCCAAGTACTGTCCAGGTCGAAGCGGCTGGCTCTCGGTGGTGGGACGCTCGCGTGCGCGATAAACGCCATCTGAGCCGCCTTCCATTTGAATGCCATGTATCAAGTTGTTTCCCCGCTTGGCATTTAGTTCGGGTATAACGTTGAACAATCTTTCGAACATCTTTTAAAGACTCAATCGTCACCGAAAGACAGCTTAACAGCCTTCACTTTCTTCTTGACCTTCTTCGCTTCCGGTTTCTTCTGCTGCTGGTCCTCTTCCTCTCCTTCAGTCTCACCAACAACCTTGCCCACTTTCCTCTTCTTCTGGTTTTTGCCGACCTCCGCGATCTGCTGCTTCTTGAGCGTCGTCCCCGTTTCCTCAGTCCTCGTCTCCCTTTCACGTTCCTCGTCTTCCAAGCCGGCGGGATTTATACCCTCACCTGGCTTAGCACCCTCCTCATCCTCTCCGTCTACCTTTCCGCCCACCAGCGCCTCGTACTCCGCCTTCGAAAGCATATCATTGCTTTCATCAACAATGGTCGGTCCATCGTCTTCATCGTCACCGTTCTTCAAGCGTTGTGGCCGCGCTATTTGACGCTCATGGCGGTGCGGATCTATGCCCGCAACCTCGCCGCGCATGCGACGCAGGAAGGCTGGTTCGTTCTGCTCATAGCTGAGGCTTTTTGCCTTGAAACTCATCTTGCCGAGGACAATATTTGATGAACCGATCCCTCGCTTGTATAATTGATTTATAATAGTACGGGGGGAAACAGACGACTTATAAAAACGGACGGACGACTTAAGGACGACGTCACGTGACAAGCTAGTAGAATAGGCGGTGGCAGCTAAGAATTACGACAGCCGACGGAACCACCTGAACCTGGGAATTGGTTCGCCTACGCAGAAAAAGCAGGGCGGTCCCCGCAGCGTTTGGCACTATGGATTCCCGCCGGGTGATGCTCAGTCAAGGTGCCTTGGTTCAAGCGTGGCCGTGATAGTAGTGGCTGTATCCAGCAGCGACCGGCATCGGACGATGGTGCTGTGAATAGACGGTGTCGAGAGTCTCCTGCCCAGAGTGCCAGAATGCTTGAAAGGGGGGCGAGCGAGCGTTGAGGTTTAGCGGCGAACTCTTGGGCCTTGGCGCATCACTTTCCGCGTGGCTGCTGGGCGTGAGGGCTGTTTCTGTAGACCCCAGGAACCCATCATCCTGCCAGACTGTTCCCCGAGAGGATCAAGGACCATCGCCATCCGCCGCTGAGCATCACTGCGCGCTGCACTCTGCAGGCATTGGCGGTTCTTCCCCGGTTGTAGGGTAAAATACCTGTTGCTGCAACCGGCAAAAGAAGAACTTCCTGGACCCCTACGCCGACCTCGACACCACTCTCTCTCCTCGGAACAAACACCAAGACTCGCCAATCCCACTGCGCTACCGTTCTACTACCCAGCCTTCTGTTCTGCTTTTAGGATCTCTTGTCGCCGGCACCTTCGTGTTGCCCCCGAGAACGTCTCAGGGTTTTCTACTTTTTGGAGTTGCATCCAGCCGCTCGTTACCCGCGCATCAACCGTTACCACCACCGCTATCGAGGAGCGACACCTCTGAACAGAGCAGCGTCCCCATCACGCTCCTCTGCTCCTTCGGCTGAACAACACATCTGACCGCGCTGCCGCCCGCTCCGAATGCGGCGCCGGTCCGCAACGCTCTCCTCAAACCCTCCGACACACCCTCCCACCGCCATGGGCATAGTCCAAAACATCCAACAACACGTCACGAAGCGCCTGCCCTCGTCTCCGAGCCTCCCCACCCTCGATGACCTCTCCCGAAAAGCCGACAGGCTGTCGCCACGGTTAGCCTTCTTCCGGCGCCGGATACGCCTAAAAGGCAACTCCTCGATATCGATACCGCTGGGGATTGTGCTGCTGTTTCCGTGCATTGTCATAATACTAATACTGGTGCTGTTTGTGCGCCATCCGTCGTCGCCGGGGAGGATATTGATGCCGGCGGGGGCGCCGCCGAGTATACGGTAGGGATATTTGGTACACTCTTACGCCGCACAAGGAAGCTAATAGATGGGCGTGTACAGCAAGATTAGCGAAAAGTATGACAAAGTCTTCGTGACAGGCTGTCTAGACGCCGAGAGGTCCGCGGCGGACACGCCCCGAGCGAACGCAGCTTTCGTGGTGTTGGCGCGAAACAAGGAGCTCGATGGCGTGATACAGTCGATGAAGTCGATTGAGCGGCACTTCAACCGGTGGTTCAACTACCCGTACGTGTTTCTCAATGACGGCGAATTCAACTCGACATTCAAGGAGGTGGTCCAGAATCACACAAAATCAACAGTGGAGTTTGGGAAGATAGATGCGAGTATGTGGGGATATCCGGATTGGGTGGACAAGAAGGTGGCACAGGAGGGCATTGCGAAGCAGGGAGACGCGGCGATCATGTATGGAGGCATGGAGAGCTACCATCACATGTGTCGATTTTACTCAGGGTAGGTTGGGATGCCTTCCAACTGACCGCATCAAGGGCTAACGAGCGCATAAAGGTTCTTCTACAAGCACGAGCTGCTACAAAAGTACGAGTGGTACTGGCGGTTAGAGCCAGAGATCAAATACTTCTGCGACATCACTTAGTACGACCGTCCCTCACGCGCGCCTAACTCTAGCTAACCCCTCACAGCGACCCCTTCGTCCACATGGCCCGCGAAAACAAGACCTACGGCTTCACCATCGCCGTCAAAGAACTCAAAGAAACCGTCCCCAACATCTTCCGCTACGCCTCCGCCTACAAGCGCACGAACAACCTGACCTCAAAAGGGCTCTGGGAGATGTTCGTTGAGAAGCCGCCAGAGGAGCCCGAAAAGACGCTCCCCAAGGACGACCCGAAGTACAAGAAACCGCTCCCCGAGGAGATCCTCAGCACAGAGCCGGGCGCGGGATCGCTGCCGGACATCGACCCGGAGGCCATGGAGGGCGAGAAGTACAACATGTGCCACTTTTGGAGCAACTTTGAGATTGCGCGGCTGGATTGGCTGAGGAGTAAGGAGTATAACGACTTCTTTGAGATGATGGATCGGAGTGGAGGATTTTGGATGGAGCGGGTAGGCAGCCCGGGTTCCCCTCTGAAACAGTGGGCATGTACTGACAGAGATACTGTAGTGGGGCGATGCACCCATCCACTCCCTCGCCGCCGGCGCCCTGCTCGGCCCCTCGGATATCCACTATTTCCGCGACTTCGGCTACAGACACACGACTATTCAGCACTGCCCGGCGAACGCGCCTGCGCGACAGCTGCCGAGGAAGAAGTGGCTCGAGGAGACGACGCTGGACAGGAAGGCGCGTGAAGAGGAGGACGCGTACTGGGAAACGTGGGACGCGGAGAAGGAGAATGGGGTGGGGTGCAGGTGTAAATGCGACACGGATATCGTGGATGTGGAGGGGAAGCAGGGGAGTTGTTTGGCGGAGTGGGTGGAGGTTGCGGGCGGGTGGGCGAGTCCGTGAGGGGGGGGAGTGGGCGGATTAGTGTAGGTAATATCATGCGCGAAGAACATGGCAGCGCCCTCGTCTCTTATACGGAGGGAAAGCTGCTGCTGCATTGGGACTCGCCTTGTGATAGGGCGGCTGTCAAGGCGTTCAAAGGGTGTATGGGCTTGTATAGTTTCGTGGACGGCAGGGTTGCCGTTTTTCGTAGAGACAAATAATCCGCATCAGCTGCTGAATTGCCTGCGCTAAATCCATCATGTTTGTGTAGCCGTGCAACTCCCGTCCCATATGTCGTTTCAAAGTACCCACTTGCTCCTGATTCTGCTCTGCTTGATACTGACTCCCTTCTTACTGTCAGGGTTGGTTTGCTCCCCGCAGAAAACGCTTTCCTACCTAATTGCTTGCTCCTGGTGAGCGAACTCTCCACCGATACTTTTGAAGTTCAAAGAGTTCCTTCGAAACACACGCCTTAATACCTTAAGTTGTCCTTCTCTCCAGGGCGGAAGCAGGAAGCTAGGAAGCTAGGAAGCTCCACTATCTTATCGCGCCCCGCGCTAGGCCGGGATAGAGCTTCACGACCACCCGCATGGAGAGCCCCGCCAGCAGGTCACTCGCTTTCACCCTCTACTGCTCCCTCGTCGCCCCCCCGAATAGCCGTGACACGTTGGAACATTCCCCAGAGCTGCAGCCAGCAGCATTGCTTCTGATATCCTGCCACACCTCTCCACCTCATCATCACTTCCACAGACTCTGATTTCACGAGGCTGCATGCTCGGGCGCCGTCATAACCAGGTCTGGGATACCTGAGGTTAAGGTTAGGCAGCATTACAAACCTTTGCCCCGAACCGGACTTCTCAACGTATGTCCCACGCCTTAAAAGCCTCTTGAGCTCCTCTCTCTCCTCTCCCTCCCACCGGGACTCACTTCTGCTCTCCCTGACCCTCGACTGACATGGAGTCACCCCTTGAACAGCCTAGCTCAAGCCCCGACACGCACGGCCTGATCTTCCCCACTGTCCACGTCAACGACATCGTCGAGCACTTAGCTTCAGCAGAAGCTTCTCCAACAGCATCGACACGACTTCCTTCCGACCAGACCCCGACAGCATCCGCCATGCGTGGAACACAACCCCACTCCACTGAGGCTCCGAGCTCCCTCGAGGAAAGCTCATACGAGATCCTGGGCGACTCCCAATACTTGACGTCCGATGACGAGGGAAACACCGAGTCCCTAGCATCGAACGAAGTACAAACTCCCGACGACGTATCGAGCGTCGCAGACACTGAAGACTATGGAGAAGATCGTCCAGCAACTCCACCAGTGGACGAGGGCGACCAGGTCGAGGAGCCGGAGTTCCAGCCGTCCATACACCTCGCTCGGGACGGCGCAGTCTCTGACAGTGGCATGACTGCGCGGCCCAATGCACAGTTGTCGACCTCGTCTATCCCGTTTGCGGACTCTGTCGAGAGTCTGAAAGGCGGCTACATAGAGGTCACTCAGACGATTAGGAATATACAAGAGTCCGACATACCCCGCCTCTTCCCCTCTTCCGATTGGCACGATGCCGTACTCACTGTCAAGCAAACCCTAGCACCCAAACCTCTGAAGCTTGACGGACCGTTTCGAGTGCTGTTTATCGGAGATCAAAGTCACTGGGCTAAAGAAGAGATTATCCACAAGGTCGCGTCTGCTTTGGCCGTTACTGCAAATTTCCGGATGCAGGCTCATCCACCCTCTCGCGGCCTCTCCAGATACAGTGTCATTCCAATATCTGGATTTGGGGAGACCGACTCTCCTCCTGAAGTGCAGCTCATCGATTCAACCGGGATCGAGCTCGTCGTCGGTGAATGCTTTGGCATTGTGGATGTGTTGGATTATCCACCAACCCTCATCATCGATGGGAAGCACGTGAAGCTCTCCAGCCTCTCTCCACAACATCTGCCGGGATGGAACCTTATCGTGTTCTTCCACCATGCAGACGAGGCCAAACACAAGGCTCAATCTGAGGAGGCTTGGCCTGCACTACTTCAATCGCACTTCCAAAAACTAGACGCATGTACTCTCAATATCTCGATGACACCGTTGTTTGACGGGTGGTCCAACCTGAACCATACACACGCCAGCGACATGAAGTTGTGTGTGGAAAAACGCGACTCCGGCGCTGGAGTTCCCACAGTTCTGAAAGAGATGCCCGTTGACCTCAAGACGTTCTTGGATGTAGACTCGGCGCAGCTGAACAGGCACATTGCATACGTTACTGGGCTCTATGACGACAGCGACGAAACTCCTCGAAACGAGAACACACTTAAGATCCGTCTGTTGGACGGCTTCAAGGGGTTTCTGAAGAAGCAGGACAAGGCCGTCGACTATACTGCGGACCTCCTTATTCGACTGGGCATCACGCGAATCTTGACGACCCTCTTCCTCGTCTTCCTTCTGTTCTGGACGCCTAGTCTTATGCAATACTACGGGGTCTCACACAGCAATGCCACGGCGTCCACTACTGCCGTGCAATCGGCCATGTCCAGCCAAAATGCGGCCCTAAGTTCCGCACTGGCAGAATTGGTCGGAACCACTCCCATCGCCTCAGTCAAGGCAATCTCTGACGCGCCTGCCACCTCATCGGTCACATCCCGCAAGCAACAAGCGTCGACCTCAATCCCAGCCGCCTTGCGAACCACAACAGCGCCCAGCAAACCCGAATCAACACCCGAGCACCACCCCCTCTCGCCCCACGCCAACGACTCGGAAGACTTCAAAGCCCACATCATCGGCGACCACCACTTCGCCCTGACGCCACCGAAGGACTTTGCCAGGCTGAAGAAGCAGCCTGATGTCATTGTGCGCGTGTTCCGCGGCGACCAGCCTCTTGCCCCGCGCTTGGAGAAGCTCGTCGAGGGCGTCTACATCGTGGCGATTGACCGCGCCGAGGCGTACGGAACTCTCGACGTTACAATCATTGCCGAGTTTGTGACGAAATCGAAGCGGCAGCGATGGCATGACCAGAGCTTGAGGCTGGATTTTGGCTCTCCCTGGCTTAAGTCGCACCTGTGGGCTGCGGCGCCGGCGAAGGCGGTGGAGTATCTGAGGGGGCTCGGCGAGAGGTATGAGCTCAGGCTGCCGGACATTGCGGCTGCCAACGGCCGCATGGCGGGTCTTCGCTATCGCGCCGCTCTCTCTGCCAACAAGGCTAGCCAGAGCGCCGCGCAGCTCGCTGAAAAGGCCGCCTGTGCGGGCGAGAGCGTCAAGCAGAAGAGCCGGGAGGCCGTGCAAAGCATCAACAACGGCATAGACGAACTGTACGACGTCGCCACGCACTACCTCAACACAGCCGCCACCAAGTTCTCCCCCTCGACGCTCTGGAAGCAGGCGCCCTCACTGCACGCGCCCGACGCGGTGGGCAAAGCGCAGAAGAACGCCAAGGCATTACTGGGGAAATTCAAACCAGCGAAGCCACAGCGCGGGCCACAGGTGCTAAACGGCAAGCCAGTAAATATGAACGATCTCAGGGTCCGCGAGACGCTGCGCGGGTTCATGGACAACGGCGCGCGGAAATTGTGGCGGCAGGGGACTGAGCAAGTGCGCGTTGAGTATCATGACTGCATGGACGTGTAGTGATGACGGATAAGAGAGATGCTTCGGAGGTAAGATCTCTGTGCTGTGCTTTTTCCTTTGGGGGCTGGTGTTTAGATTGGTAGGAATCGGGATAGGAACCGGACAGGCTGAGAGCAAGGGCGCTTGATGGGCACATGGCAGGATGGGATAGGTTCTCGAACAATGTCTCTTGACTCTTGGAGCTAGGCTGGAAACGGGGTATTGGCTGTTTGGGGCTGGGGTGTTATGGGGCTACAATTATGGTATCTGTGGACGGGAGATCTGAAGCTAGGATATCCTGTAGCTCGAAGCCGCTAGAATCCGCATAATCGACGTTGAAGCGTCCGCGAGAACTTCGTCTGCCCTTGCGCAGGTTTTTGTGTGCATGTCTTGACAGAAACGTAACCAGCCATTAAGGATGGTCGAAGTCAACCAAGCCCTTGAGTATACGAACGGAGTTTGCACCTTCGGATCGTGGAACAAGATACGTAGTATCATGGGTGTCGAGTCCTATCATGGCTGTGTCGATTGAATCCCAGCCCATGTGTTGGATCCTTTTACTGGAGGACGATCGGAGCGAGTAGCTGGTCCTAGACTGTCCAGAGTTCGATGGAGGAAGCGTTGTAGCGAGCAAACTATCACAAGGAGCAGGAAGCGATCTTCCACTCTGCAAACTGGGCCCAGGTTCTTCACTGGTTGGCCAAGATATGTAGGATGCCGCCTCGATAATACCGCATCGAGGTTGATATCTGTACATCGCTTACAACGCCTATCACTTTGAAATCGGGTGACTCTTTTTGCTCGTTCAGAGGATGGTAAAGCTTCGAGCTTTGTGAGGCGGTCTAAGCGGGCGTTTGATTCATCGTCCGCATGATCACGGTATTCCCCCTTTCTCTCTGAAGTCTTGCGGGCCATAATAGCGGGCGAATGGCTTGAGTTACCAAGAACGGAATCCAGGAGATACCGACGATGGGTTTTGATACCGCGAAGGAAGGATGACGGTGACAGATCTAGGTGGTAGCTCTAAGAGAGGTTGAGACGAAGGCTGGCAAGTCAAAGGCCAAGAAGACTAGACTGAGAAAGCTGGACGATTGGACAAATGAACAAGGAGAGAGCAGCATTAGGTACTCGGGGTGTGTGGTGAGTGGCAGGCGAGGTTCCATAAATATTGGGACACTCTGTCCTGATAATCTCCCGTCTCGCCACCGGCTGAGCTAGGCAGCAGTCTTAATTGAATGCTTCAAGGATATGCTACGGCCAGGCTCCAAGAAGCCAGAATTGTTCCTCGAAGAAAAAAAAAAAAGGGCCTCCTCTTCAGACTGCTCAGAATTCTGTTTAGGGCTCTATTTAGGGCTGCTCAGGCGTTACTGAAGCGAGCTCACCCTCGGCTCAGGTTGAGATGGCGACTGCTCAGGTCCCAAGATGGAAATATATTTGGCGAGGTCTACTTTCGTGGCAGACTATAGAGGTAGAAATACTGGCATAGCAACCGCCCTCGAGATGGGCAGCCAAATCCGTGAAAGCCAAATCACTCAGGGAACTACAACACTGGAACACTGTGGGCGAAAATTTGATCCCGCAGGCGGCCTAAGTAATCATCATATCCCCAATGCTCTTCCTGTCCCTCGACGACTGCCAGAAAGAACGAGCTCATGTCTTTCCTCGCATACTCACTTGACGCCTGACCCCTGCTTCCAAGTGCGTAAACCAACGGTTGGCAGAATGAATGAAAGGCGACCCCAAACCCCTCCAAATATGCAATGTGTAAGATCAGACGGAACCCAAAAAACACATTTGTCGGACTGACCACGGGCCCAAGGTCGAGGGAAGACGCAGCTGCGCACCCCGAGCGCTTCCACCCCGCCTGACCCAAGCCGTCGAGCACTTTTCCCCCCTCCACAACTCCCAACCTCCAGCAACCTACTGCAGCCCCCCCGCCTTCTCCGTCGCGAACTCCCATAGCATCTTGATGAGCGCGTCGGGTAGGGTATAAAGATCGACATGAAACTCGCCATCTGTGCAGATCACAACAGGTGAATGCGTCAGCCGGTTTCTGCTGCTTCGTGTCTGGACTGAACTGGCAGAATGAAATGGCGGCTTCTTACTCTCGACGTCATTCTTGATGTATGTTTCTTGCGTCTTGTGGTCGTGTACCATCTGCACGACTTGCAGGAGGTCGTCTTCGCTGAGCCGCTGGAGGCTGTCGGCTAGTTTTTCCATGTCGACCTGCATGGGCGAGGGGGTCAGTACTCGTTCGGGGCACGGACTGTGCTTGCGATGCGGCACGAGAAGTGGATGGAGGACTCGGAAAAGCGTGCTCGCAGCGCTGCTCGAGGCACAACTGTAACACTGCGCATTGTAGCATTGCATCCTGGGCAAGCTGCTTCACCGGAATCTGCCGTCCAGCGTGAAGTGTGGAGCAATGCAGGTGAAAGGGAATACGCACCGTTTTCTCCTTCTTGTTCTTCTTACTCGCCGGCTTGCCCTTGATGCCGTTCTCGTCACCCGCAGGTCCCGATTCGCGGAGCAGGGCCAGGAGGTCTGGTTTCGGATTCCTGAAGGTCTGGTGCGTATCGTCAGTGCTGCTCGTCCCACCCTTCACCCTCCCATAATTCGGGCCACTACGGCCGGTGAAGACTTACGACTGTATGCACCGCCTCATACCTCTCCTTCTGAAAGTTCAAGTCGTGATCCAGCGTATTGTCACCCCCCTTGTGCTTCGCCGTGAGTGTAATCTGCATGTCGAACTCGCCCCACCCCTTCTCCTGGATGCGAAACGGCGGTTGCTTAATCGCTGTAAACCGCACGCATCAGCTGCTGCTCTCATCGGCTCGGTTTCCTCGTGACGAGAAGCCAGCGGGGCTCCTACTTTGCAGCGCCCGCTTCTCAAAACTCGGATGCAGCCTGTACTGCGCCTTATCGAAGATGTTGGCGGGGACCTCCTCGCCGTGCTCGTTCACGAGGTATATCTCGATGCTCCATGCGCGCATCGGGAAGCCTTCCATCTCGGGGGGTTCATCGGGTCTGCGGACGTCAGTCGTTGTTCGCGGTGTAAGGGGCTCAGGTGACCTGGAGGAGGTAGACACGCGTCGACATACAGGATTCTCTGCTCGGTAATGAGCTTCACGGTCCGTTTCACCTGCAGAGGTGTTAGTAGCTGCTAAAAGCGCGCGTGGTCGTGGACTTGTACTTACGTCCGGCATTTTGGGTGTAGCAACGGATTGAAGCTAGGATGGGAGCGGATCCAGATAGGTCTAGAATCGCAGATGGTAGCGCCCCTGTTGTATGGATATATGAAGGCAGCGGAGGTAGGGAAGGTTCGCGCAGGAGTTGGTGCGTTTGAATAAAGACGTGAAGCTCAAAAGAAGATGGCGGGGCGTGGTTCCCGTCGCTTTCGCGTGAAAGGCGCGGGGAGCTTCCGCGGCCCGTTCCGCAGGGTCTATTGAGGCTGAAAACTAGAGTTATTCATTCTATTACGGTGGTTCACATAACCCATATAAAAGGCAGCGATGATCAAGGGAGCGTGACAGGCCGATTACAGTCAGAATGTCCAGGGTGCTCCACTACTAAGCCGGATCTTGGAGATTCAGGAAGTGTTTGCCAATTTTCCTTGATAGTCTATCTGCAAGATTGAAGGCTACCTACCAATCCCTCAACAGTCGCAAAGGACTGATCGCCCACTCGCTCATCGCCATCAATAGGTCGCTATGCCCGCTACAATACCAAAACACAGAGGGTAAACTGGGGATGACTTCAGGTGCTGGGTGGGTTGTAATGGGGAGGAGGGGGTGTTGACGGTGTGGTGGAAGGGGAGGTTTAGCAACTGCGACGAGGCGCTCTTTGCTTCCAAAGCTCTAACAAGCTGGCAGAGTTTTTGTCGTCCATTGCGTATGGCCGGAGCGTGAGGCCGGCTATGTGGGCGAGACGCTGTTTCGGATTGTTTATTCGGAAGCCTTGAAGAGCGCCTCGTTTTCCTGCTGGGCCTTGATGAAGGCCTCCTTGAACAAGTTGGCGTCTGCAAGCAGCGTTAGTAAGAGAAGCCGCTGTAGGGCATGGAAGTTGGACTTACTCTCGCTGTTGGCAAAGCGGATAGCCAAAGTCTGCGCCTCCGGCTCACCCTCGCTGACATCTGCGGCGGCGTTCCACACCCAGCTGCGGTCGCTGCCGACGTTCGGTGAGAGCTTCATATCCGGAACGACTACACATAAGTTAGCATTTCAGCCCCATTGGATAACATGATTGAATTTCCCTCACCGTAGTGGTTGGCGCACACCTTCAGCGTCTTGTCCCTCCGCATGACCAACCTCGTCTTCCCGTTCTCCTTGTGCTTCAACAACCTCACATCTCCCGTGCCCCTCTCCTTCCACTCCCTTGACTCCCTGTCAAACTTGAACAGCTTCGCCCGCATCTTGAAGGTCTGCTCCTCCAGCTCCTCGTTCGTCTTCGTCTCGACCTTCTCCGTCAGCCGGACAACGGGCTCGAAATGGACGTCAGGTTCATGGGAGTCAGGCTCGTCTTCCTACAATACGTCATTCGAGTGTCAGTCAATGTTCGTGCTTCATCCACCCATAGTCCTGCACAGAGCGGAGTAAGAAGCTCAAATCCCACATACCTCGGCCTCCTTGTTAGCCTTGCTCGACCCCGACGGCTCGGCCGACTCGTCATCTTTCTCCTCCTTCTTCTCCCTCTTCGCTCCGCCGCCAAACATGCTGAACACATTATCCTTGACCACCGCAGTAGCGGTCGAAGCCGCGTTCGTCGCCGCTCCCAAGATGCCGGTGGGTTCTGCAGGCTTATCCTCAGTTGTCGACTTCTCAGTCTTATCGTCACTCTTCTGGTCCTCCGTCACGGCGGTAGTCACCTTCTCCGTCTCGTCCTTTGCAAGCGTGGGCTGCGCGGAGGCGGAAGTCTCGGCGGCCGGGTCGAGCTTTGTTGCTGAGGGCTCGGCCATGGTTGGGAAGTGTGATGTGAATGGTAAGTGGTAGTGTGTCGTTCTGCTGGGAATGGCTTAGACGTGGTTGTAGTCACGGTAGATGGATATGGGTGGATTTGTAGAAATTATGCCCCTCGCCAACAACAAAGGTCTTGGCTTGCGCTAGCGGGGCGTCAGTGAAGCTGGCCCTGGTCCGTGCAGATTTGACAGCTGTCTGCCTACCTAGGTATCCAGCCTTTTTGTATTTCTCAACACGCTGCCTACTTTATTACTGTTGGTTCACTGATGACTGTGTCTTATTGGGAGTGATCACGGTAGCTATCCGTTGAGAATACGGCCATTCGGAGCAATCCATATTGAAGATCCAGAGTAATTGCTTGCAGCGGCGGAGCAAACCACGAGTTCATGGCCACTATCTACCGGTGCTGTGCAACCCAACATCCCTGGCCCTCGTTTGCCTGATACGAAGCTGATCGTAAACGGAGATGACTACGTTTGTAAACAGTAGAGCATCATGCCCGGACCCATTCCCCAGCAGCAGATCCAAAAAGCAGTATGAAAGGGGGTATTGTTGAAATGAAGCATTCGTCTCACAGCCGCTCCTAGCAGCCCGAACGCCCGTAGCCTCCACAAGAGAACATTAACCTCGTAAACCGTATCCAAAGAGAAGCAGATCAAGAAGACGTGCAGCGCCTGGTGTGCCTCGCGGCGTACAAGCCGAACGTCGAGCAGTCGAAATCTGACACCTCTGGCGAGCCTGAATCAAACTTCCATCGAGTCAGCGATATGCTCACTCACACCCCTGACGGCGCTCTTCTCCCGATGAACCCTCAGCTCCATATCATAGTCGTCGTCATCGGTCAGGTACGAGCTGACAGAAGCCTCTCGAATGTCCGGATATTCGTCGGCATCGACTTCGTCGTCTCCGGGGTCGTGAATGACTTCGTCATCGTCATCAGCAGCATCTTCGACCTCAGCGTCGTCTCCAAGCCAGTACCTGGCCCGTTTCGTTGCGCCTTCGCTGATTCTCAGGGAGTTTCGCGCATGTTTGCGCTTCGAATACGGTTGGTGCCTAAACTAGGTGTTAGCATGGCCAGGTGCTTTGGGAGAAGATGGAGCTCTCAAAAGCTGCCATCATAGGTCTGATATATAGTCTGCATAACGATAACGGAAGCTGAGACTTGGAGGAGGCAAGGCAACAAGCTTGGAAATCGACTCGAGCAGAAGAGAAAGGGCTTAAGGACTTTGGAAGAGGGAAGCGTATGAAACGGATAGGAATGATGAGCACTGACTTCTGTGACCAGGCCGATGTTGTGCGGACAGGACTATGGCTGATAACGCTAAGACCGCGCAAGTAGATGTAGCAGACGCGCTTGCGTTCCTTGTTGAAGAGAAAGTAATGGAGGCTCCAGATTGCGTTCTCCTCACCGTCGAACGGATCTTCTTCAGGCGAGTAGCAGTAGGCAGCGCATTCTCGGAGGCTCATCTCGTTGTCGATGAGCCGCCACATGCGTGGTCCCCAGATGTGTGTACCTCCAGGTGTTTGCGCACCCGCCGGGGTCTGTGGAACCGCAAGCAGCGCTCCTGAAGGCCGCGGCCGTAGATTGTATAAAGTGGTGTCAATTGTGTTCATCATCCCCCTAATACTACGCTCCTTGCGGAAATCAGACGGACGTAAGATATGTGAGAAATCATAATCCGGGTGACTCGCGTTGAGCGTCGCGATCAAGTAGGCAAATGTGCGACGACTAGAGATCTGACTGAGAGAACCAAACGGACTAGAGCGCGAAAGATTCAAAGACGCCGCTAAAGACTCGGCTTGAGGTGTAGAGAGCGATGCAGACAGCCTGAGTAGGGACTCATATTGGGCTTCGAGTGAGTTTTCAATATCCTTGTAAAGCTTCTTGTCGCTACCAGCCGCTTTCGTTGTATATAGATCGCAACCACCGATGACGTGACAATCAGCGGTGTCGAAGTTGAGCGCGCTAGTCACGTCTTCGAAGTCGCGAAGAGGTAGATACTATACGGAGCACACAGAGTCAGCCATAATCCAAGGTTTGGAGTTGATTAGAACGGCTGCGAAGGCGTGAAAGGCGCTAGACATCGTCTCCTGGCAGATGCAAGCCAGCTTCCCATGCCCTGGAGCTATGTTGAACATTCAGATAGCTTCCGCCGGCAAGCTCTGCGCGCTTGCGGATTGTTCAAGACGCGCCGATGCTTGCGAAGATGAGGCCCAGATGTGCGCCGGATGTGTCTACTGCACTGATTTGAGAGCAAGGACGGGCTTGTAAAGGTAGGCTTCTGAGAGATCTAACTCCGGATATGCTTCTTCCTGCAATGTAGCGACGTGCCGTACCTGACGCGCTGTGACTCATGCTTACGACGTACCTTCATGTTTGTTTACCTCTTCGGCGTGCTTCGAAGATCTAGAGATTGATATTGGTAACGTGTCCGGTGGACGCCGATGATCTGCAGTTCCGAAGGACTCGAACTGGCTGAGCGCGGCGAGCGCTTTGTTTGTTGGTTCGGCGTTGCGGAGGATTCACCTGCTACAGCGAGACAACACGGCGAAAGATCAACCCAGGCTGGCTGCAAGGACCGATCTCTGCGTGCTGTGCAAGCCAGACTTGGAGTCTAGCAGGAAGCGACAGTGCTCATGGACGGCATGGTGGTGGTGTTGACGATGCGACGATGGGGTGACGGAAAGGTGGAGGTGGTCGCAAGCTATCGCTGCGCGTGGTTGATAACGGACGGCGATTGGCTGACAGCTTACCTAAGCGGCGACGACGGCCCAGATGGGCGTTCTGACCTGTAGCGATGCGGAAGCATCCCACGAGCCCAACTTACCTGTTGCAAAAGTACGAGTATGCATCGAACCCTTCCGGTACTGCTGTACGCCAGAGGCCGACTGTCTGTAAGCAAGCAACAGAAAGGTGTTCGTGGAACTCAGCTCCGTTGTATTGCAGCATTGCGACATCACAAGCGAATACATAATAGCAGAAGGGTAGGTGGATGCAGGAGATATTGCTATCAGCATTGAGGGGCCGCTCCGTATGCCGATGCCTCCTGGATAGGGAACAAGGAGCTTGCCGAGTAAACTGGACCTCGTCGTCGCCCCAATGACGGGAAGCTAGATCGACCGATACGATCAATGGTCATCAGTGGATTGTTTCATTCTGCACGGCCTCTACGAGACGTCGAGTCAACCGGCTGTTCAAAAACACAAGGTAAGCGTTGTAAGTACAAGAAAATTTGGAGATGCAGTTTTGTCTGGGTTCAATTTTCGGTTCCAGGGTTTTCTCCGGCCCGTGTCTTGCGCTTGCCGTTGCCAGAATCTCAAAGCATAGTCTGAACAGTCAAAAAGTCCGCCGAATTGGATCACAATTAAGAGATATCATTCGGGACAAAATGCAAAAGAATGCGTCGGCCGGGAATCGAACCCGGGGCCCATCGAGCTAGGCTCACGTGCTGACGGTGATCTTATGGCAACGATGGATTTTACCACTAAACCACCAACGCTTTGATAGAGGACAGCTAGCAGCCAAATATTATATATTACGTCACGCTGGACCCTGATGGTATAAGTCTAGTCGATTGCTGTCAGCTTTGCCTAGATTTTGCATCTAATTCAATTTGGTTGGGCGATTGGTGCATCACCAAGCATCTCGAGATCCAAGAGCTGCATACGGCCATGATCTAGGTATGAGAATGCACAGGACAGCCTCAGGGATCCTCGTTGTGAGTTCCCTTTGCAGGTGTTCTCATTTATTGAGTCTAAGATGTACGTGCTTTCAGCTTACTTGGCTACTAGATAGAACGAAACAGCAGTAGTAGTTCCCGCTTTATGAGCAGTGGCTCAAATTCGATGTTAGAATTGAGAGCAATAAGTTTGACTTAAGCAGGTAAATTACGGGGTCACTGCTCTGCATCTTGTTTATGGCCTAATAACACTTATCACCTCTGCCGCGTGGGCAGGAATGGCCTCCTCTGTTTCATAATCGGTATTGCTGCTTCTGAAGCTGCAACAAGTTGCGACAGCGTTGAACGCAAGCTATGTATCCCATGAACGTAAATTAGCCATTGCGTACGTCATAACCACTACCCAAAGCAAGTAACTAGAAATGATAATCGCAACGCCTGGAAGAGTGTCCTGCATCGGCCAACAGCAGGGGAAAAACGCGACAACAGAAGTAGCCAAAGGAATGAGCCCGACAGCTTCCGTCCTGTAACACGAGCATCCTGTCCTCAGTCTCCTTGCTGCTCCTTTCGACCCGTAAATCATCTGATCAAGGTATCGGATCCTCAAACCTTCCATTCTGCCCCGCAGCTGCTGATTACACGCAACCGTCCAGTGAATCTCCAGCGCAGCATATACGTAGTTGTCCACGTTCCTCTTAGCCAACTGTGGAGTCTCCGCCCTGATGCGTCTCGTATTGATCGGGCCATAGCCGTTGTTCAGATCCGTGATCAACGAGCCACCCACATCCTGGTTTGGGGGGTTGTTACCGAACACGGACTCTCCGTTAGCGTTGGAGTGCGTCATCTCGTGCAGGATGATGCTGCCCAGGGCAGCCATGTCGGGGGTCACGCGGTACCGGCCCTGGATGTTGAAATCCTCGCAGCTATTATCGATGAGGCGCGGTGCGGGACCCTCATCGGCTGCGTCGTCGTGGAAGGCGGCGGGGCAGAAATGCGCGGAGGCCCAGCGGCGCGTGGGCGGTTCAACCCCTTCGATGTTACGCGTGTAGCCCTCGGCGTCGGCCTTGGCGCAGATATCTAAGTCGCCCAGGCCGGCAAGGAAGTCTCTGCCTACGATCTCATAGTCGCCGACGATGGGGCCTGGAGTAGTCGACGCGAGAAGCTGGGGGCTGGAGGTTAGCAGGCAACCTGTGTTCGGAGATCGGATAGGAGCATACTTAAGATGACACAATGTTGTTAAGAACTCGTTTCACGCCCTCATGGTCCCCCATGGAAAGTACTTGTCCAGAATATCGGGGTACCATTGCCAGAAGAGCTGTGCGGTGCTTGCTAGATTGTACGTGTCCTGTAGCGCTACTCGCAGAGCTCCCTCTTTTCGACTTGAGATTGGTCCGAATCATCCCAGTCCAAGAACTGCGGTTCGGCGCGCTTGGCGAGATGGGTGGCCGGGCGCTGTCCATTCAGCGGAGCAGCGGACGCGATGGCGATGATGGAAGCCACAAGGGCGATTAAGGTCGACAAAATCACTATGGACTAGCGGTGAGACAATGATTGTGCTGGTCTAGAGGGTTCTATTAGTGCTCAATGAAGCGAGCAATGAATGATCACATAAGACTGAGGATACAAAATGTGGTCGAGGAATGGGCCTCTATTTATGCTCATGGCTGAAACTCGCCTTGATCCATAGATTGAGGCCACAACGAGACATGGTAACTTTTGTTTTCATCCCAAGACTCCTTCCAACTATAAAAAGAGACACAATCACTCAGGAGGAGCGCGACAGCGGTATGGAGACATGGAGTGGCATGTAAATTAGAGCAGGTTGAAACAAAAATGACTCGGATGAATCGGGAAACAGGATAGAGATGTGGAAGAGACATGGAGGTTAGAGGAGGCTGAGAGCACACATGACTTTTCGTGCGTACGCGCGAGGCATACTTCCCCATTGTAGCATTTAGGAGTCTGATACCTGTACAGTGGTCTGCGGCAGAAGTTTAGGAACCACGTCTATTGACCGTCTCATGCATGTTGGCTATGTGGGCGATAGTTACATTCAAAATGCTACGCTATCGCTCTGTGGAGAGCTCTCTTGAAGCAGGTACCACACATCGCGCGCTCTTTCCTGTAGACAGATGCGTTGCAGGTAGGAGGTTGATGGAAGCGCTGTTCTACTGAGGCTGGTGTTGGTATTGGAAATTATCAGGATCTAGGTGCAAGGTGAGGTTACAAATGGCGCCCTGCGGCACAGCACAGGAAGCTTGGCGCAGCAGCGAGCGACATGATGGCACCGATGGATCAAAATCCTCCAAAAGCATCATGGTTGGAAAACACAGATACCTTACTTCCGGAACCCTGCGCAAGAGTCAGGATCACGACAGCTGTGGAACCCTTAGAAGCCATTTACCGACTGAGTGACACCCACCGGTCCATCGAACATCTCAGAGTAGCCATGGCCGCGGGATCAGTATCAAGCCCCAATGACTTACCGGCCCCATACATCACCAGGACCATCAACCTTCCTTCCGTCTGTAGTTTCTCGAGTCCCGAACCGCCCATTCTCACTGTGACGCTCCTCCTTTGTGGGAGCTCCTTTCCAATCACCATTCGGACACGAGCTACATCCCTCGTCTCCCCTATCTCATCCACCGTAGTCATAGATCCTGAGACCGGAGAATCAAGGCCCCCTGCAGGTGCTACCGCAAGATGGAGCGAAAGAACCCTCGGCTTCAGTCGCAGAGACGCGGAAGATTTCTTAACGCTTTCTCCGGACGAGCCATACGTCATCAGCACCCCTTTTCGTGACGATTATTCAGAGCCGTTCTCAAGACCGTACGAGCAGGTGCTTGCTGAGCACATGGAAAGACTGCTAGTGGCCGAAGATAGCGGCATCCCTGGAACTTACACCCAGGCTCTCATAGCTTATTTCCGGCAGCGCAGTCCAACCCGTATGCATCAGTTGAAGATTAGGAAGGAATATCTGATCAGATCAGAAGCTGATTTGGTCGTGGGCTGGTGGAGGTATGGGGCGAAAGGGCAGTTGCTTGAGCTGGTGGATCATGGGGACCCGCTGCCGCCATTTCCAAATCCACGGGTCTTGCGAGTTGTTAATCTGAATGAGGTCACCTTCCGAGTGGAGGCTTGAACCATCCCGTGTAGGCATGTTCCACGATTCATGCTGTACGGTTTTAAAGGTCGAAGAATGTATACAATACTTTTGTCGCCATGTCTCTCAGATTTTCATGAGTGCTTATCTCGGCTAGATCTTGCACTCACATCCTCGCAGGTGATATTCTCGGAGTCGGAAGATAGGTCTCATATCCCGTTTATTACGAGGGATGGACTAGGGCTGTATAGAGTTATCGGATCGCAATACATGCTGCGCTACGATGGGAACTCGTTGTAAAACAAGCAGGGGTTGGAAGATCATGCAGTACATTTCTGTTGATTGCTCTGCCATGTGTCAGCTCTGCGGTCCCAGATCGTTATTCAAGATTTGGTATCAAGTATCTCCCTATTCCCCGAGCTCCGCCACTGCAAAGTAGCCCTTGTTCTCAACAACACCCCTATCCTTCACTACCGCCGTATACTTTACCACCCACTGCGGCTCCACGTCACCTCTCAACCCCTCACCCTCCCCACTAGGTCCCGCCAATACCCCCACGCCCTTCTCGCCTGACCCTAGCAGTTCCCGTAGCGTACCCCTCGGTAGAATATTCGTGCAGTCATTGTGTGTTAGTAGTTCAATCTTCTCCTGCTTCGCATACAGTATCAGCGGCTTCGGCACAACACAACAATCCCTGACATTGATCTGATCCACACTAGGCCGTATCCGCGTCTTCCCCAAAAACCGCGCCAACCTCGCCGTCCCGAATTCAGAAACCCCAAGCCGCGAGATGATCCCCTCGTCATGCAGCTTCTCCAGCGACCGCCACGTTTCGATCATAGTATCGATATCCTCGGCGCCGACGCCGCTCTCCGAGCCCGAGCCGTCTTCGGGTATGCCGTCGACTTCTCCGTCGGGCTCAGAGAGCGCGTCGTCCTCCTCGTCATCCGCGTCGAAGGAGAAGCCGGGGAACGACACGATCAGCAGGTCTATGGACGGCACGTGCAGTTCCCGCAGCACCAGATCAATCGCTTCCCGCGTCTGGGCGCACCGCCGCGATGACGGCACACCAGGGAGGTAGAACAGTTTCACCGTGATGTCATATTGTGAGCGCTCTTCCGCGAGGCCGCTGTGCGCGAAGTCGAGGGTCGGGATGTAGAGGGTGGAGTCTTCGCGGGCGGTCCAGGCTTGGTAGGAGAGTTTGGAGGGTGTGGTGGAGGCGCCGTTGGAGGTGCTGCTGGCGGCGGCTTGCTGGGAGACGAGGAAGTTGGCGCGGAGGGCGGTGGTGAGTTCGGTGTTGGATTTTTCGACGCTGGGGCGGCGGATTATGGAGGGGCCGCCGCCCATGAGGTTTCTGGAGAGGAATCAGCATGCGCAGAGGGAGCGGGTCACTTCGGGATTGCCCACGAGGTCGAAAGGACGAGCTTCATTATGAGGAAAGGAATGTCCACAGGGGCATAAGACTATCCCTGAGAACCCTTCTCTTGTGCAGCCCTTATACCCGAGGCTGTGCTCCGTAACCGTATGATGGTGGTGTGCGCGGATGGGGCTGCGGCTGTTCAGCGCGTCCAACGATCCGACTATGAACTCGAGGATGAAGACGACTCGGGCTGATTAGGGGTATACGATGCGATTGATTCAAGATGCGTCGTAGGTGCTTCTCTGTCAATTGCGCCGGTCTTGGGTTCGGGAAGAGTTGACGTACCTTGTGACTATCGATAAAGAAATCTGCCAAGCATCGTGGAACATATCCGGTCTGCCTGCCCTCCAGAAGCACAAAGGTCGCAACAGCATGGCCATAAAGTGCGCGCACCTAACCCCCACTCATGTACTCCACCTACTAACGCTGTCACAGATACCTAATCTTGCTCTCGCGGCAGGGCAAAGTGGTACGCTTCCACTCCCAAGCTGCCTCAAACCCAAGTACCTTATTGACACCCAACACCAGCGCCTAGCCAAATGGTTCACGACCCTCTCCCCGAAAGACAAAGCCAAGATCATAAAAGACGTCTCCCAGCTCGTTCTCGCACGCCGAAACCGCATGTGTAACTTCCTCGAATACAAAGGTCTCCCCCATCCTCCATCCTCCCCCGCCTACCCCCAGCAACGCCCACTCTCCACCAACCTTCTAACACCGCGCCCTCACAGACACCAAGATAGTCTACCGGCGCTACGCCTCCCTCTTCTTCATTGCCGGCTGCGACAGCACGGACAACGAGCTGATCACGCTGGAGATTGTGCACCGCTACGTCGAGCAGATGGACAAGTACTATGGCAACGTGTGCGAGCTGGACATCATCTTCAACTTCCAGAAGGCGTACTTTATATTGGATGAGCTGTTGCTCGCGGGTGAGATGCAGGAGAGCAGCAAGAAGAACGTGTTGAGGTGTATTGGGCAGCAGGATAGTCTTGAGGATGTTGAGGTATGTGCGGATTCTCTTTATGTGGTTGAGTCCGTTTCCTACCTCTCCCAGTTTCAGTTTTATACGAAGTTCTTTGGTTGCTCCATATATTGTAATCGGCGGATTGCTGATGTATATACACCCTCTTTCAGGCTGAGGACGATGGCGTCACGAGGATCGGTTAGCCTGGAAACTCGTCGCTCTCCGAGTCGGTCTAGTGTCTTCTTGTTCAAACTCACTCCGTCGTGGTCACCCTTGCTGTGAGCCCTGTGCTGACGCCGATCGTCCACATGACATAGTCGGAGGCCGAGTTGGTGAGCACTTTGCGAGAGCATGGCTTAGTATGAAGCTGGGCAATGGCAAAGTGATGATAGAGTAGTTGATGGATCTGTACCGGAGTGACGAGCGGGCTCTTGCTACATTCAGAGCTGAGCCTAGGAGTTTGGCGCACGGCTCCATTGCGGGTAGCATTTGAAGCTGTCACGTGGTTGAAGAGGTCGGCTTGTTGAATGGGATCAACGGCATTGCATGTTTAGCGTGCCCAGAACACAGTTTCCTTCGGATTGCGAACATGACCCTTCGTATGAGAAGCTTGATGGAGTATCAACCCCGCTGTCCATGCTGAAATCTCTGAGCTCAGACAGCGAAGTTACAAGTTATGTGTATGCGAAAGAACCAGTTGTGGACATCTCGTCAGAACTCATCCTGATATCCACGCCGCGCAATACATTTTAATAAGCAAGAAAGCCCGAGTCCACGCTATGCAAAAGCGAAAAGCGAAAAGCAAAAGGTCCGAACTGAACAAGAAGCTGAACTCGAACCGCACCTGATACGCTCCGTTTCGCAAAGCTTTGAGCTAGAACCGAGGAGCCACATCCTTAAGTGCTTCTCTTCCGTTTCGGCGTCTTCTTAGGCTGGCTGCTAGAAGGATTGATCAAGAACTCGTCGCTGTCCAAATCGAGCCGGCCGCGTAGGATGCTGACGGAAAGCAAGTCCTTGTGATAGCATCTGTGACCGTCCTCATTCAACTTCGCACCATCCAGATCTCCATTCTCTAGCGCGAGAACGATCGTCTTATCGCTGCGCTTGAGATCCCTCGCCGGCATCGATACAATCCGATCCGCCCCAGCCACTCTTGCTACCTCTTCAATCTCTTTGTAGCCACTGCCGTAATCTTTCTTCAGAGATGGCGTGACGTAGAGCCTCTTCCCAGCGAATAGATCACGCCGGTCTATCCCCACAGTGTCGCTCATGCGAAAGCCCCACTCTTTCTCACGCTCGGGATCAGCTGGAAGGAACAGTTGCGGATCCAGCAAGTGTCCGGCTTCCAAGCTTTCGGTGAACCAAGCATCGGTAACTATCTGCTTGCCGAAGGCGATGCTGAGCAAGAGCTTTCCTGTCTTAGCCAACTTGCCGTTGCCAACACTACGTTTGTCAGTGCTGTGCATCGGTCGCAGCATCAGGGGATGCATGAGCCAGAACTGCTAAAAATGGAGGCTTACCAAAAGAAATTACAGCCTGTCTCAGTGACTGCGTCGACAAGGGAGCCGCCGTGTGCTTTGAAGAACTTCTTTAATTCAACGCTCTTTGGAACACTGCTGCTGCCGCTAAACACCACCCTGGGAGCTGAGCCACTGTAACGCCCTGCGACAGGAGATGCGTTGAGTGCTTTGTTGGATGCGGTTGATAAAGGCGTCCGCTGTGCGGCGTTTGTGGTAGCGAGACCCGATGCCTCGCTGATGTCTGACAGCTTCCTGCCCTGCGGCTTGGGTGTTACATGTGATGTTGGCGCTCGTCGGGGAGGGATCTCCACAGCTACAATACTCCTCAAGCTATCTTGAGATTCTACTTTATCGCGCTTCGCCCGCTTACGATACGGAATATCTGAATCCTCGTCGTCATGGTCGTCCCTCTCGTCATCAGCGCCGTCTGAGGTGGTCTCCATAGTTGCAGCGGGTGTTTCGCGGCCAACATGATTCTGTGCTGTACGGTAGGACTCTTCAGGAGTAGTATCGTTGTCGTCATCGCTCATGTGATCACCTGCCGGTAGAGGAACCTCACTGTCTGTTCTTGGTGTGGGGCTGCGTTCCTCAACCTCGTTACTGCCGACTGTCTGACCTGTGATACGTCTATCACTGACGCCTACCCCTTTCGGACCTGACTTTGAGGCTTCCCTGAGGCGACTGTCAACGGTACCGCGCGGCAAACCACGATCGCGGTCCAAGGAGGAGCGGGTGACTCCGCACTCTTCACGTGCGTTCTCGTGTTCTGTGTCCTCGGTTCCAGATTCCTCGTCCCCGACAAACAGTGAGTCGTTGCTTGTAGACACTGTTTGCAAACGTTCTGTGTGTCTAGACTCAAGTGCCGGGGTCTCTTGAACGACCTGCGACTCTACAGCTGAGGGCAGAGGAGTAGACCGCGATGGGTTCTTGCTCGTTTGCTGCATGGACTTCGATGCCGTGATTTGGTCATTCTGATATGCAGCACCCTGCTGCGCCGTCGATAACATGACGGCAACCGGAGCATGGTGTTCAGTGTTGTCCGTTCCTAAACCAGCTGCGGTTTCGGGGGGCAATGAAGAATCGACTTGGACTTTACTAGCCTCAACAGCGACGGTGAATTCAGTCTTCAATCTACTGAAAAAGATCGTGTCTCCAGGCCGTAAAAGGACGACCACCAACGGTCCATCAGATTTGCGCGGATCTAGCCATATGCAGTTGAAGAACTTGGTCTGGCTCTTAAGCTCTGTTGAGTACGGACCCGCTACTTTGATGTGCTCAGCCACGGCTTCAAACGCCAAGCTAGAAGAGTCGATATCTGCAGATGATCAGCATTGACCTTTCCCTACAGTAGATCACAACTCACGGAGGAGTCCAAGGCTTTGCCCAGTGCCATTGCGAGGTGATTGCTGTAATGCCAAACTCCCGTCGTCTAGCTGAACGATTTCGTTGGTGCCCTGACTCGCGTCATGCCGTTTCCCGCCTGTCTGCGTGAGAAATATAGTGCAACTACTCAGTTCCAACGCCATTGTTGTTGGTGATCGGAGGACGGATGTTTGTCATCCTGGAAAGCACTGCTGATGTTTTCTCTAGTGACTTTTTTCCGAAGAGTGAATGCAGAAGTGGGATAAGGCGGAGAGCTTGTTCGCAACGCGCGCCAATGACACGGAAGCATGTGACTTGGTTTGGCGGCCATTACGCAACCATCCTTGCGTAGCTCTCCCGCACCCTTCAATCACAATTTATGAGCATTAATCTGTCATTTCATGTCAAAGAGCTGTTCGAACTGCAAAGCCAACAACTGGGCACAGTTGTCTCAATATTGTGCACATGTACATGCTGTGCGTGCGATACTCTACCAGAGCTTGGGAAGGGCTGGTAAATGGTGTATTTGGCTGGTGATCATGCAAGCATTCTCACATCCGATCTGTAGGCTGAATCACACTTCTATCTACCAACTCTATCCAGATTTGGCTTGGTCAAGTACTGGTAGTTGGTCGGGAGCAAGACGCGATGTTCGGACGATGGACCGCTGTGTTTGGTTCTCTGGACAATATCAAGCAGAAGAACAATACCAAGGGAGCGGCCGACCGCGAACGGGGAGACACCAAGTCTCACAACCCACCCGTCTTTGGATGCTATCCCATCCTATGGAAATCCTCCGGCGCTACGTTACAGCTGCTAAACACTGTTGCAAGTTGACGTAGCCGCTCAGGTCATGCCTTTACGCGCTTTTCTTGGGGCGTGGAGAAATATCCATTACCATAGCTCTCCTCTACGCTCCTAACAAACATCTCCTTCTCGACTTCATATTGTCTATCACAGTCAATCGTGTATCAATCTAGAAGCTATTTTACCATCTCTGTGTTGCGTTTCACCCTACGCATTGTTCTTCCTCCATTGTTCGCCTATCCTAGTCTAACGCAACTGTCCACCTTTCTATCCTTCCATCTATCTTGTCTTGTCTTTCTAACTCTCTCCTTGTCCTCATGTTGAAAGCCTAAACCGCCCAGCAGAGCCAGCGGAGTGACGGTCAATCAACACTACAGTTCTGGGCGCTTTTTTGGTTTGGGATCTCACCTTCTGTCCATCTCGCAGAGGTGCGGCTCCGCAATAGGCGCTCCTGTCCTGTTGGTGAGCATATGTTTCCAGCTTAGGCAGAATGTCAATGGCTAACAGGATACCCAGAGCTCCTCCTCGCCATCTCAAGCTGGAGGTGTACCTCTCGGCGATTCAAGAAGACTTGCACACACGCGTTATCCATCACTTGAAGTACCTGCTCAGACACCCATCATGGACGCTTCTACGGACACTCCAACATCGACCCCCGATTTCGACCCGTTCCACCAATCCTTTACAATCCTCTTTCCTGACGGGACCCCGTTCAACTTCACCGTAGATGACATCAATGCCTACACCCAATACGGCATTCGTATCACCATCAACTTCAGCTCCCAGATCGGAGCATGCTTGATGGTGCTCGTAGTCCTCCTGATGCTCACGAAGCAGGAGAAGCGCCGATCGCCAATCTTCATACTCAATGCACTGGCACTGGCCTTGGGCGTTATTCGGAACGTACTCTTGTGCATGTACTTCACCGGTCCATGGTACCATCCCTACGCCGTCTTCGCCCTGGACTACTCCCGCGTGCCGCAAACCCAATATGGCATCTCGATCACCAGCTCAACCTTGACTCTTCTGGTCCTGATCCTAGTGGAGATATCTCTGATCCTCCAAATCCGCGTCATGTGCGTGACGGCTACCTCCGTGTTACGCTTCTGGATCGCAGTTCTGTCAATCACGATGGCGATGATAGCGATCGGCTTCCGCTTTGCCTACACAGTCCTGAACGCAATCGCCATCCGCGCCGTGGAGAGCTTTACGAAATACGAATGGCTCGGCAGCGCGACAAACATCACCGCGACCATCAGCATCTGCGTCTTCTCCGCCATCTTCACAGCCAGGCTGGGCCTCGCGATCCGCCAGCGGAAACGACTGGGCCTGCACCAGTTCGGGCCCATGCAGATCCTCTTTGTTATGGGCTGCCAGACGATGGTTATTCCTGGTGTGTTTACTCTCGGCTCTCTAACGCTAAGATCATATGCTGAAACGCGGTAGCATGCTTCTCTCTGCTCCAGTACATCGCCAACGAAAGCGAAGTCCCGTACTTTTCTGCGCAGGTCCTCACCGTTGTCTCCATCTTCCTGCCGCTGTCCTCGTTGTGGGCTTCGGCATCCCTTGGTGACAATAGCAAAGCGTCAAATGGTCCGGACGCGCATCGCACGCTTCTTAAAGACGATACTAGCCACGGCACGGGCGGCAGTGCTGGGGGCAAGGCCTCGTTGACTACGGACACGACGGCCTCGAGGGCGTCGACCTTGCCGCCCAGCAAGGCGCGCAAGGCGGATGATGATCTGGAGGCTGGTGATGGGGGTTTGCTTGCTCACACGTCGTCGAATCTTGCGAAAGAGAAGCATTAAGGGGGACGGTGGGGGCTATGAGATGCAGTATCTACGCATTTGGGTGGCAATCGATCTTCTTCCGGCCGACACAAGTACTCCACACCTTTTCGATACTGCGGTTCAAGTTTCTTCTGATAGCGAGGACTTTCTATCTAATCTGTTCACATGACGTACATAGCCTACTATGATCTGTTGTTGCCATAGCACAACGACAAGACTGCTGATCATGAGATCGCCTCGCTGTAGGTTCAGAGGGTACACATGCTCACTGTAACACACACCGCACAATATTCACAAAATGACTGCCATCCCCATAAAGTCTCACTAAGCCACCACGGACACAGCGTAAGCCTCACCAGGCCTTGTACGACCGGTTCGCACCCACTTCGTACGCCTCATTATTGGTGGCTTTGTGCTTCAAACGCTGAACGCCATGGGAGCCACGAGACGGTGCGGGAGCCGCTGGATGTGGTGCATCGATGACGTGGGAGAGCTGTAGCTCGATGAGGTGGGTAGGATGGCGTACTGGGAGGAAGACTTTGGGGAAATGAAGCGCTGTCGCTGAGTTTGGGGGATTGGATGTGAATGCGATGAGCGACAAGGATATGTTGCTACAAAGTCTCTTTGAAGGTGACGGTGATGAAAGGGTTACGAACAAAACTACAGTAGGTATTGACCATGTCAATAGATAAAACGATGGATATGATGGCTTAGTCGTCGAGGTACCTCTGCGTTGCGGCTCCAACACCAGTACGGCCTCATCCGAGGAAAACCCCGTCTCAAGGACGCATTGAGAGGTCAAATGTTGCAGAACTAACGAACGGGCGCGTGCGGCACCTCACACACGCGCATGGTCTGTTGAGCGCACTGCATCTTGTGCTTCATCCTCCGTTAATCTGATACGCACACACCTCAACAGCACATGAAGGCCCTCGCGCAGTTCGATGCTGCACGCTCCCGTCAGGCCTTCCAGCGGTGGTGTATTGTAGCACCGGAGTGATCCGACGGCACGAGCACGACACGACGGGACGTTGGCCAGGCTTCGCTGAGGGGTTTGAGTTTGGGCTTGCCGCGACGACCTCGGGAGCAGGATTGGAACTGACAAGGACTGCGATGGCATGCAGGTGTGGGCCTGCTTCGCTGTGTTGCGTCGTGGCTGCTTGTGACTTGCTCGACTTGCTCCTCACCCGCAGGAAGTCAAATCGTGGGGCTTCCCGTCAGTTCCGCTGACCCTCCGATTGCCATTTCCGCTTCAACCCGGAGATGGAGTGGGGTCTGAGACTGCCAGCGGTTGCTCGGAGATGGCCGGTAGAAGTGTGGTTGGTGAAGGCTGCAGGAGTGTTTGATGGTGTTCAGGAACATCGCTGCAGCGGACGCGGACTGAGATGCAAGTTGCATTCGGTTCCGCGGTTGGCCTGTATCGTGCATCTGGGATTTCCTGGCGGGCGGTCGGAAGCCTGGAAGGTGCAGGACGGAAGGCAGGATCCTGAAGCTTGACTTGGAAGGCGTTTTCGTGCGCCCGTGCCTGGAATCGTTGAACAAGTTGGGATTGCCTGCTGGAGGTCCTGTTATTTACGATCATTTCTGCAACGTCTGCAATGCTTAGGATGAGAGCAGGCGCGCAGAATGTTGTCGCCTAAGGCTGCCCATCCGCAACTCTGGGCGACCCGGGACGAGCCTTTCTTGCTCGGTTTAGTATCTCTCAGCAACAGGACGTGATGCTTGAAGAACTCCGGTTGCAGGTGCGAGTGGATCGTGCTGAGGGACAACTACGTATGGCTTCTGCTGGGCCAGGTATTTGGAAGTACTAGACAAAGTTTAAACTGCGTAAGACGCTGCATTGCATGTCTCGTCATGCAGCTACCCTTAGTGCCAAGGGTAACGGAATTTCTTGCTTATCAAAGCAAATGCTTTCCCTGGCTTTCGCGTTTCGCTGCCGATACTGACAGATGCTCGGTCTCCAGTGACGGTGGGCGCGACGTACATAGACTTGCAGGAAAGATAATCTTACCTTAGCTTTGACGAATAATCAAATGTGGTACAGATGTCTCGTGAACTCGTGGGTCCCGTCTTTGACCCAATCACTAGTAGTAGTACTGTATGTTTCGCGAGCATCAATTGGTGTTTCCAGTACTGACACTTCTTGGCCGGCTACCGGCCGGTAATGCCCAGAGCTCGCGCATGATGTTTTTGAACAGGGACGATCTGAAGCAAGATTCACGCCGGATTTCTTTCGCTCAAGCACTCAAGCTGGTGTTATAGATTCGCGGTAAAACTCTGGCGTCATCGAGAAGCTCATATGGCTGACGGGCTACGCGAACGGGAGCTGTAAGGCGTTGGCCCAGACCCAAGAAGTCATCTCTGAACGAGGCGATCTGCCGTCTATTTTTGTGCCGCTGATTGACCACCAGGCTAAGGAGGGAAGTGGTCCGGGCTGGCACAAGGCGATCGTGGATGTTTACGGCCGCAATCCGGGTGGCGCTCTTGCAGGCTCGGCGGGATCATCCCCCTGCATGACCCGACTGACGGATCAGGCTGGGGCCAGGTAGCCGCGATTTGCGCAGGCAAAAGATGTTGTCTTTCTCGTTGCAACTTCTCACAGGCAATCACGTGGTGGAGGACAGCAGTGAAGAACGATAAGTGCCATGCCATGCCATACCACGCGTTGAGATTCGGATACGTTAACCGTGCTTGTCCGACCGTTCGACCGCTCGACCGCGCTTCATTTCTCAGCCTGGGGTGCCTGGCGTTGACGACCCACGGGTCGGAGCATCGCGCTAGAGAGAGCCCGGTATGGCGTCGCTGTGGCCAGGAACCAAGCAGGAGGCAGATCGTTGCTCTCGCTTCTTACCCAGGCAATCCAAGCACAGATGATTGAAACAAAGGAAATTCCCGTCATCTCACCTCAGTTTGATCACCAGCGGTAGTTATGGTCAAACCCGCAGAGCATGGACTCGAGGCTTCAGAGCAGGCGTTCATTCTGCAGCTGGACTTCGCATCTCAACGGTGTGTCTGAGGTCTGGAATGTAGCTACCAGCTCTCAGCAGCCGTGAAGGGGCAGCCGCCATCTCACCCTCCCCTCCACCAGCTGATGCTGCTCGGGAGAGGCGGCTCCAGAGGCCTGCAAGCAACCTCGCCGGGCTCGGGCTTGTGTCCTCGGCCGAAGGCTGTCCAAGGAATGCCATGCTCAGCACCAATCTTGTGCATGGGACCGTGCAAACAATTCTCACCGCAGCTCTTGGTTATGCGGCAGCACAAGGGCATCATGGCGGCGTGAGGCGAGGGAGCGAGGGAGCGAGGGAGCGAGGGAGCGATCGAGGCCTGCTCAATGCTCGACGGCAGAGGCGCTTTAGCAGAGCGTTCCTGCCGGCCGTCCTGCTCTAAAGGACTCGCATGTGTGGGAGCCAAGCTGGATTGAGGTGGGAGCCAGCATGCCGAGTGCTCAATCGGAAATTGTGCAAGAAGCAACGGCCATGCGCCTGCGCGCCATGGTTGGACCGCCCTCGCGAATTTCCAGCAGACCCCTGCTCAGCTCCGTCCGCGTTTCCGCTCACTTCACCTGGCCAATTCCGCTGCCAAACGCCCTCTCACGCCGCCCTCTTCTCCCCCTCACCTCCACCGACTTCCAGGCTCGAAAGCGTCGGCGTGATAGATCTTAGCAGACTGTCCGTCGCATCGTTTCCATTGCCGTCCACTCCTTTAACCCTTCATTGTTCAACCACGCAGCGGCTCCAGGAGACCCGCCCAAAGTACATTGTAGGTGCTCTCGACGCCTACCAACACCTCACCGCCGAGAGCATGTCCCACTCGTGCTCCGCTGACACTCGTCCGCCTTTCCACAGTTAATCGTCTTTCAGTTTCGAGTCTTTAAGCGCTTGTTGGTGTTAATTCGAACGCTCCTGCTGTGCCGCCCAGCAACGCCGTACCACCGTGCAACCAGCCGCTCAGCCAGAGCATCGTCAATCCGCATTACATCTCCGAATATCCGATACTCGGGCCCTTGCAGAAGTGAAGCGGACAGTCCTTGACGGATCGCTGCAACGCCTCGCGAGACAGACCTTTATTGCTGCCTAACTCTCGGCGATTGAGTGTCCAAGACGACGACGTTCACATCCCAACATGGCGTCGATAGCGCTACCGCGACACCAAGCCATGCCGAGTCCTGATTATGCCTACCGCATGGGCTCAGCCATCCACCAACGGAGTACCTCAATGAGCTCACCTGTGGAATTAGTCCCGAATCCTCACTTCGTGTTTCCCATGAGAGCTGAAGAGCCTCCCCGGTCGGAGTCTCCAGCATTGAAGAACTCCACAAGCCGTCCTGTCTCACTTCCACCAGCGAGGCGTGGTGTCGGCACTGGCTCTGGTCAGCGTCGGTCTGCCAGTGCTCTTCCAGCCTTCAGCTTCAACCCTTCCGGCTCCTCCACCTCGACCCACACAACTACACCACCAGACTCTCCGCTACCACCTACGATGCCGGTGACGCCTTCGAGAGCAGTGGGTCACAGACGTGGCGGCAGTGAGTTCATTGGCGGAGACGGAAAGGCAGGTGGAGCGGGTCTGAGGAGCTCCAGTCCGACCAAGGGCGAAGGCGTCCTTCCTGCACCGACGTCCGAAGTGATATTCGGACCGCCAGCAGGCAGGCGTGGTCACGCCCACCGCAGGTCGGGCGCTGTCTCTTGCCATGATCTCTCGTCCATATTACAGCCAAAGGACGCCAACACCAGGACACAAGCGGGAAGCGCTCCCGTCACACCGCTGAAAGACGAAGTGAAGCCTCTGTTGTCGACCAACCTGGATCAGGGCGCTCCGCCATCATCTTTGCGACGTCACTCGGCTGAGGAGTCCGGACTGTTCCGCAGCGACTCGGACTCATCGCCGACACGGCGACCTTTTTCACGTGCGCGAGTCGGGTTCTCAGATCGCATAGAGTACATCCGTCCCTTGTCCACCATTTCATCCGAAACCGAGAGCTCTATATCCACTCTGCGCGGCCACTCCGTATCTGGCAGTCTCTCGTCCGTCATCAGCTCTGGGGCAGCAAGCCCTCCGCCATCGAGGATGACAAGACCGTCCTTAAACACGACCTTTGAGGATGGAAATGGACGCAGACCAAACACTGCCGGAGCGATTCTGGATGGAATTGCCGCGAGGCATTCTTTTGGCGAACTATCAGCTGCACCAAAGAGACCCATGTCTGCGATGGCGACCTCGCCTAATCCGTCTGGGTCTACCGGCAGCCCGGTCAGCCCTCATATCAAGACGAAGAGGAGGGCTATCTTCGGCTTTGAAAACCGCCGCAGTGAACCGACACTCCCCGCCACTGAGGCGGCATTCTCCACCTCGCCTCCCAGGTCTCCCCTGGTGTCGGACGAGGCAGCCACTACGGATATTGGCAAGGTTGAATCCGATGAGGAACAGTCGACGTCAAAGCGGAAACCCAACTCGAAGCCACCGAAGGTCATGTCGTGGGCCAATTCTCTGATATCCCGACGGTCCTGGTCACATGGTGCCCGTGTCAAGCCTGCGGTACCTCTAGAGCCCGAACCTGTGTCTCACGATCGCATTCCCTCGCCTGCTCTTGCCTCGCCTGCCTCGGATGACGGTAGTGTCTTCGGCAATTTTGATGTTGACGACACTGTCACGATCGTCTCTACGCCTGCCAACGTAGCCTTGCAATCGAAATTGCGGACCAATCTGGCACCCTGGAGGCCGAAAGAGCGAACCTACTCGGATTCGGATGCTGATGCCCTGAGTCCCACCATCGATCTAGACGCAGCCATGGGACCCTTCAATTCATCATCTCTCGGTTCCGGCGCAAGCCCCCGTCTACGTGGTCGTGATTTCGCAGTGGCTCGGAGGACGATGCACAGTGCAAGTGGCTTCGCAGGTTTCCAAAACCACCGAAGAAGCGAGAGTGCGCCTGCCCTGGTTCCCTTCCAGTTCATGCCTGCGGCGATGGCAAGCAATACCAGCATGCCAGATGTGTTCGAGGAAGACGAGGAGGAAGAAAGCGTGCCAAAGATGGGTAGCGCGAGTTCTTCGCCCCCTGCAAAGTTTACAGGCGCGGATGACGAGGAAGAGCAAAGGATGGGCGTCCAGGTTGTTGAGGCCGACAGCGCCAAGAACGGTCGGGCGATGGACTGGAGCTTCGACAACGGCCTAGGTATTCAGCGTCCGAAGCTGGAGAGGCAAGTTAGTCCCATGTCCAAAGTCGATCAGGCGGCGGTACAGGATTCCGTGGGTACCCCATCGCTGGATCCTACTCAGGCTGTAGTCCCTCGCGGAACGAGCCCAGTAGAAGTGGTCGACGATGACGAGGAGCCCCGAACATATTCGAGGGCCAGGTCATCCGACTCGTCCGCTACTCCTACGCTTCTTTCAGAGGAACTCAAGGAGCCGCCGCCTCTGATGATCCACCAGCTTCCCGTCCCTCATCAGTCGTTCGGGACACCAGACACGATCACGACCTCATCCTTCTCGTCGCCTAAGTTCAGCGTCAGCCAGACTTCCCTAGACACTCCTCGACTCGGCACAGCCGCATCTTCGGTTGCCGAGAACCGCCACCATTCGCTCTTAGCAGGCGAACCGGGCCCCGACATGCGCATCTCTGTGGATGATGTACCTTCTTTGACCAGCAGCAGATCTACAATGACCAGTGCTATGCAGAACCCCTTCACTACATGCGCTCCTCGCTTTCCTGGCGGTCGGTCGGAGTCGGTGACCTCACTCCCTCGCGCTGAGTCCACGGAGCGTAGAACGAAGCGCTCCAGCATCGCGAGTCTGTCCAGGCTTATGGGTGGCTCTTTTTCGGAGAGGAGCAAGCTGTCAATCGAGCATACAGCTCAGACAGAATCAGCACGGCCTATGACAGCTCCCAAGCCGAAGACGGCCCGGCGCCTCAGCAAAATGATGCTTTTCTGGAAACGAAAGGAGTCGACCTGAGAAGCTTGATTCATGTTGATGATACAAATTCTACTTTCCGCGTGGCTTCTCCGGAGGCATGCCTTAACTTGATGGGAACGGCTTTTCCCTTATCTGTTTGATGTCTAGATATGGCACGGTGTTTTACGAGCGACTCTGTTTTACTGCAATGCAACACGGGAAGATCATCTGGGGGACAATCTGGGGCATTTGGGCGGGGATCACATTCGCTTGCATAGGTGCCTTTACTGGACAGGAACATGGCTCTGCGCTTTTGCGCTTTCGATATGCTGTGTCTACTTCTATTGTGCCGTTCTTCTTCGGCGGTGGCTTCGACGTGTGTTCGAGGCACCATCCAGCTACGGTTCACTCCTCGGAGAATTACGCATGAGACTTTCGATGGCCCCCTGGGGCTGTGATTAGGTAGCTTAGGTAGTTCTCTACAATGGCACAACGCCCCTCATTTACGAGAATCTACAGCAATACCGCTCCCAACGAATCAAGAAGTGACACGCGTTCGACCCTGATAAACACGGCACCCGCACCCCTTGCCTTGAGCTACAGATACGCGCCATCACGTGCATTCGTCGTCGGTCTTGGCATTGAACCCTCAGAGAGCTTCGAGTTCCAGACGAGTATGATCAACAATCCCCAATCATGACGGAAGCAGAAGATAGAGAGAGAGCCGACAAACTCGCGGCAGCTAAGAAGCGCGTACGTCTACCGAATCAGCAGAACGCTACGATTAGCTTGGCAGGCTGCACTCTCAAGCTCCCTCGCGCTAACCATTGCGCATCCTGCAGTTCGAGCAATTGAAGAAGCAAAAAGAGAGCAAAGCCAAGAAGGCTGCTACGAAAAAGAAGACCGACAAGCCCGAGCCAGAAGCCGAGGCAGCATCCGCCGCCGAGAAAGCGGACGACATACCCGATGAGCCCACAGCCGCCGAGAAAGATGAAGAGGTACCAGCAGAAGCCACCATAACACCCCAAGAGCCAGAAGAGGCCCCTCCGCCATACGACTCTACCAGACCCCCCAACGGCCGCCAACCCTCCATCTCCATCCAGTCTAAGCTGCGCTCCGAGTCCTTCCGACGGGGCTCCAGCTCTCAAGACCCAGCCTCCCCTATAGGAGCGCTCAAATCGCCCACTTTCTCGCCCACGAGCCTCGCCGGCGAAGGCGCCCACGAGATCTTTCAGAAGCAGGCACAGCGGATCGAGGAGCTGGAGCGGGAGAACAGGCGGCTGACGACAGAGTCGCAGGAGGCAGTTGCGCGGCGGCGGAAGGTAGAGGACGAGCTTGAGGAGCTGAGGGAGGCGAGCGCGGAGGTTGCGGAGTTGAGATGCCGGGCTTCGGAGGCGGATGAGAGGAAGGAAGAGCTGGAGAAGCTGGTATGCTAGGCCCCGTTGCGGCACCCATCTGCTGCGTCAATGCACATGAACGCTACTGACACCGACCAGAAAGCGGAGCTCGCGGGTCTCGAGCGCCAGAACGCGCACCTCCAGTCCCAAGCCTCCAAGTCCTTACGGCGCGTCTCATCTTCCAGCCCCGCCACGATGGACGACCTAGCCGCCCAACTCGCCTCAAAGGCCTCCACCATCGAGAATCTCGAACTCACCATCTCGAACTTACGGACCCAACTCTCCGCCTCCGTGACTCTGACCACAGACCAAGCCGTCGACATAACCGGCCTGGAAGCCTCCCTCGAGCGCGCGACCCAGGCCGCCTCTACCTCCGCCGCCGAGCTCGCCGAGCTCAAAGCAACACTCGACAGCGCGGCCTCAGGCGCCGCGCAGGAAAGCACCTCCCTCACCTCCGCCACAACACGTATCGCGCAGCTCGAAGCCGAACTCAGCGCCGCCCACCGCACCGCCGAGACCGCCGCCGCGCGCGCCGCGACGCTGGAACGCAAAGTCGAGGCGCTGACGTCGCTGCACCGCGAGGCAGATGCGCGGAACCAGGCTCGGCTCCGCGACGCCGAGACCCAGGAGCGCGAGGTGCGGGATCTCCGCTCGCAGCTCGCCGCGCTGCGGAACGAGAACGAGCGGCTGCGCGTAGCCGGGGAGAGCGCGCGCAAAGCCGCCGCCGCCGCCGTGCACGGCGGGCACGTCTTCAGCGACGAGGAGGGCGTCGAGGAGCTCGAGGATGAGGAGCGCGTGGGGCTGAGGAGCCGGGTCCGCGAGCTCGAGGACGAGGTCTTCGACCTGCGGCGCGGTGTTTGGCGGGATAGGAGGAGGGAGATGCAACCGGACCCCACTGCGGCCAACGACTTCGATGAGGTCGATTTGTCGGGCAGTGCGTCGCCACCGCGGAGAGAGCAGGCTGCGAGGGGCAGCAGCCTTCAGGACGTCATCAGCAGCGGTATCAGCGCGTTCACGGGGGGCAGCGGGGGGAGGAAACCCTCGCAGAGTGCGACGAGGCAGCCGCAGCAGCGGAAGCAGAGTCTAGGCCTCCTGAGCGAGGATGCAGATTTTGCGTTCGATGAGGATGCGTTTAGGGTTGCGCAGGAGGAGGAGGCTAGGAAGAGGGTCGAGAGGGTCAGGGAGGTTAAGAGAGGGCTGAAGCAGTGGCAGGGGTGGCGGGTCGATATTGTGGATGTTAGGGCGGGAATTGGGGGTGTGTTTGATGTGTAAGTGTGGAGTTTTTGGTATATCGTTTTGGGGCGGAGGTGGAATTTGTTTGAAAGATATTCGGTGTTGGGATACCAGATATTCAGCTATACCATCTGTCCCATCCTGTAGCCATTCTAAGCCAAACCGTGAGCCATCTATGCTCCAACCGGATGCAAGCAACAGCACTAGCCAACCCATCTGCAGCAAAGTCTCCAATTCAGACAAATGAAAGCGGATGGCGAAACCCCTCCTCATGCATAGGCCAGCGCAGCCTCCTGATCCGCCCACTCCGCATCGTCCAAATAGCTATTCTCATAGTCCTCCGCGGCCGGCGCCCCATTCTTCCTCCCCTTTCCCTTCGCCGCTCCCCCCGCACTCTCCGCCCTCGTCAAACTCTCATAAAAGCTCCTAACCCTCTCATGCGCGATAACCTTCTTCGGATCAAACCTTAGCACCTGCAGCCCCGCCATACTCGTCGCACGACTGAGCGCAACATACGCCTGGCCCTTCTCAAACACCTTCCCGAGGTCCACCTTCACGCGCTCCAGCGTCTGGCCCTGCGCCTTGTGGATGCTGAGGGCCCACGCCAGGATCAATGGGACCTGCGTGCGGCTCGCCTGCACCTCGCCGTTGGGCAGTTCCACTTTCCACACCTCGGGCTGGCATAGCAGCTGCCGGAGCGTGCCGTCCGCGATGACGAATTCGACGAGGGGCCACTGGCGCGCTGTGCTCGCCGCGAGCTGATTGATCGTACGCTTGAGTTTGACTTCCGCAGTGTTCAACTCATCATCGTCCGAGGCGGCGTGCACGATGCGAAAAGCGTCTTCGTCCGCCGTGTACCGCCCGAAGGTCGCCTCGTCCATGAAGCCGAGGACTTTGCCTAAAGAGCCGTTCACGAGGTCGCCGTCGATATTCTTGATGAGCATGACCTGCGCGCCTTTTTTGAGGGACAGCTCTTCGGTCGCCATGCAGTTCGCGAGGAGTTTGTTCCGGAAGGCCTTGTCGGTTATCGTGCCGCCGTCTTTGGCGGCGAAGACTTGGACGTCGCCGACGAGGGAGCGCATGCGGTTACTGTTGGCTGCGTCGACTTCGTTGCGGGTGGGGAATCTGGGCGGTGGGTTAGCGGAGACAGGGAAGAGTTAGGAAGGATACGGACAGCTCGGTTGCTTGGAGGTCGTCATCCCATTTCATCTCGCGGTTTAGGCTTTTGAAAGCGCGGATGGATTTTTCGGAGAGCCGTCCTTCTCTCATCTCGTTGAGCATCGCCGCGAATTCTGTAGACGATTAGTCAAGTTCTCATTTCGGAATAAATGCTCCATACCTGGATCTTTCTGCCTGAACACATGATGCAAGCCAATAGTATGTTCGATCGACGTGTTCCAGGTCCCGGCATCGAAAGCGAACTTGGCTATCCTCCCGCCCTCAGGCACAGGCGGCAGCTGGAAGAAGTCCCCAGTGATGACCAGCTGAATACCGCCGAATGGCCGTCCGTTATTCTTGATCAGCCGCGCAATCTGTTCCAGCTTGTCGAACAGTTCTCCGTCAACCATAGATATCTCATCTATCACTAGCACTTTCGTCCGCATCCAGCGGTGCTTGGCTTTCTGGTTGCGCTTAATTTTTTTAACAAGCTCTTCTACAGGCTCCTTTCCGAGACCAATGCCTGCAAAGCTGTGCAGAGTAACGCCTCCGATGTTGCAAGCAGCAAGACCGGTCGAGGCCGTCACGGCCACTCGATCCGACTCGCGCTTGTACTTCTCGCGAAGGCCGCTGATAATCTCCCGTAACAAGACGGACTTGCCCGTACCTGCAGAACCGGTAAAGAAAACACTCTTGCCACCATCGACCACTAGGCTCCTCACATGCCGCTGTTCTTCGCTCAGGAACACTCGCGCGATTGACCTTCGTTTCTTGGGTAGGGGGACTGCTGTCGCATCTCCGTTGGCAGCGTCGCCCGCCTTTACCGCCTTCTTGTTCGCTTGGCGTAGCGCCTTCTGTTGCTCTTTCACAGCACTCATAGTGGCATTCCACGGGTACTGAGACCCGCTCTTACCCCTCGGGAGTGGTGTGAAATGGCTTGAAGCAGTGTCCCTCGCTCCTCGCCTGCTTTTCGCGTGCTCGACGCGCTCTATGGATTGCGCCTCCTCCTGTTGCTTGGCCTCTTCCTCGAGCCAGGGAAGTGTGCGCCTCTTGGTGGGTCTCGGCTTGCTTTCCGTGGGTGTAGGCCGTACGGACGCAGGGTCGTTGTAGGCGAACGATCGAAGATCTGGAGGTTGCGCCGGCAGCTTGAAGTGGTCCACTGGCGATGACGACCATGGTATCGGTGCGCTACTCGGTGGGACTTGCGCTGAGGTTTGTTGCGTGCGTTCGAAGGGTGTGCGAGCTTGAGACACATAACCGGAGTCCAGCCCCTGTTCTCTCATGTGCGTGGCGTGGGCTGCAGCCTTGGGAGACGTCTGCTGGAAGATGGGTTGGATGGGCCTCGTCGAAGGGGCCGGGAGTTTAGGATAGCTAACGGAGCCTTTAGTGGCGGGATTTTCGATGTCCAGATCAATATCGCTGTCGAAGTCGTTCTCGTCGATATAGACATCATTCAATGAGCTGTCTCCCCTTTTAAGCGGCGATTTGTCGCCGATCAACATGGGATTCGCCTGCGAGTTGAGTCGGGGGTATAGCGACTCTTCGAAAGGGTCCCGCGTGCTCAGAGTCTTCTCCAGCCCGCTAGAGGTCCGCTTAACCCCGTTCGAGAGCGCGGTTTGTGGCCTGTTTTCTGAATTTGCGCCATTATAGGGGCGAGACGTGTTCGGTCGGACAACATTGCTGCTGGTTGTAGATAGAGGCCGAGCGGTGGGGCGCTGTAGAGCTTGCTTGATTGTTTCTTGCGGAACCGGCGGACTGCTAGAAGGGAACAGGGTTTGCGATAAGGGCTTTGAGGTAGGATTCAGGGCCTGGTGGCTGTCGACAGCCCTTTTCAGCATCGTGCGCGGAGTGTGAGGTTTTGTCGGGTGGTAAAGGTGGGATTGTACACGCGTGGAGGCGGCGGATCGCGTCGCGGTGGAAAATGGAAAACCGGCAGGTAGACGCAGCGCAGCGGACGCCCTTTGCCGGGCAGGAAGCATATAGTACAAGAGCGGGATTAGAACAACTGACAGGACCAGAAGTGAACAACAAAACAGCATGAGGTACGTCGAAGATACAGCATTGTAGTCTCCCCTCATCCCCCAAAGCTGCTCGTTTAACGCGACCGCCGCTAAATCATCCGCCAAGCACGACGCTAAATTGCGATGTTGATCACGTGAGGCGTCGCGTTGTATAAAGACCAACCGCGCGTGATGGTGATTGAACGATGCTCGAGATTCTAAGACTTAATCTTACTAGAAGGACATCTTGATTAAGTCGGGCGAGCGGAGAAGGAGTGCTTGATGATACACCACGCCAATCCAGGTATCACTGTCTATATCAACGGGCACTTTGCATAGTGCTCAGCCGCACCACGGGTCGTGTAAGGTATACGTGCTTTCTCTTTTACCTCAGCTGGTCCGCGTCTAGAAAATGCAGAGTTCTCCTGTTGGGATCTTTTACCTTCGTCGTCTTCCGGCCTTTGAGATTACCCGGCACAGTTACATGGCTACCATTCCATACCAGTACGACCCGCTTGACCACCACGTGGGATCCATCCGTTCGTTCAGCCAAGATCGAGTGCACCGTTGCTCACGATAATATTGGAAAAGCGCAGTACAGAGCCCTATCTTACACATGGGGAAGCCCCGACGATAAGCAAACAATCAGTCTCAACGGAAGACCGTTCCAAGTAACGAAGAACCTTTTTGTGACCTTGGAACGTCTACTTAATGAGAAAGAACCACTCACGCTTTGTATTGACGCCATTTGCATTAACCAAAAGGATGACGGTAAGCGCACTCACCAGGTCAGACAGATGACTGAGATTTACAAGAAAGCGACACAAGTCTTCGTCTGGATGGGCGAGGAGATTGAGAATCTCGAGGCAGCAATCAGTCTCATGCATAGACTTAAACAATGCATGGATAAAGGCGGAGTTGGTATTGAAGGACTCGCCGGTCTTGCCGAGAGTAAACACCGAGCGAAAGGCTGGGAAGCTCTAACGGAATTGCTGAAGCGCCCCTGGTAGTCGAGAGTCTGGATCCTTCAGGAAGCGGTGTTTGGAAATGACCTTGTTGTTGTCTGTGGAAGACATCGCTTCTCTTGGGATCTCCTTCAATTTCTTGGGGAGTCAAGACAAATCTTGCACAAGATCACTTGGTCGCTTCTTCATCAGGACAAACGTTTTTATAGCGGCCACTTCGTGGACGCGTCTGGTAGATTGGACTTTATCTGCGCGCTCAGGGCGTGGTACCCTCTCGGCCGCCAATCGTTGAACATACTTCTCTCTGGAGTGAGGGTGTCAGAGGCCACCGATCCGCGCGACAAGGTCTTTGCCATATTGGGGCTCTTCAAGGACAGTGTAAAGCTCTGTGAGGTCGATTATCGCAAATCAGTAAGCCAGGTCTATATTGAGGCCGCTGCTGGAATTCTGAGAGAGACAGGAAGTCTTCATTTCCTGTCGTGGACTCATAATACCACAGACCGAGGCAGCTACCTGAATCACCCAGAAGGTCTGCCCAGCTGGACACCCTCATGGATCGCTTCAAGACTCCACTTTCTCGAGCTGCAGTCCCTCGATGAAACCGTGTCTCCAGATAATCGTACTCTGGCGGACCAGGAAATCGTTGGGGCCGCCTCAGGATCTACCAGTAAGTCGACTTTCCAGCGCGACCTTACAGATAGAGCGTACCATATCAACACCCAACCTATTTCGAGCCGGACGCCCCTATTGACGGGTTCCAGCTCTAAAGCTGAACCGCAGTCGTCTGATGCATCTCAGCCCAAAAAGAGCCTCTATGCAACAACACAAGATTCCCGCCACTTTGCAACCTGCAACGTGGAGAAGGGAACTCTAACTGTCCTCGGATTTGCCATTAATGTACTTGACGACGTCAGTCCACCAACCACTAATGGTCCGTTCCCTACTGACGGCCCGGCTTCATCCTGGATCAGGACAGTGCTGAACAGAAAACTCGGTCTACCAGTCTCTGATTTTACAGAGAATTCCAACTCTGATTCTGACGATGGAGCTTCCATCTCCTGCCAATTGTGTCCCACCTTTTGGAGAGTCCTCCTCGCTGATCAATGGCGAGGAGTGCGTTTCGGGAAAGATGTCTCGATTCCAGGAGTCGGTTCCATCCCTCCAAAATCGTTCCAGGAACTGTTCAAGATGCGCGCCGCAGCCAAGTCGTTGGAAAACGAGGTTGCGTACAGGTGCCGCACACTGTTTACATCAAGCAAGACTGTTGGTCTCGCGCCGCCGGTCGCAATGAAGGGGGATATTGTCTTTGCTATCCTTGGCTGTGATGTTCCCTATCTCATCCGGAAATGTGAGAACGGATATCTATTCCTTGGAGAATGGTAAGACCATTATCCTCTTCCTTTCTCTTTGGGTATGTCAATTTGCTAATTTTTTGAAAGCTATGCCCATGGCTTGATGGATGGCCAGGCTATGTCGGGAGGTTTTCTCAATCCAGTTCTTGTGGAGTTAGTGTAGAATCTTGCGTAAGAAGTCCCCTCTGCGAAGTATGTGCCGTTCGCATGGTTCCCTTGATATGCGCCCGCTCCCGCAACGGAATCCTCAATCCCATCTTGGCTCATCGTAGCCGGTACTGTCTCTGCAAGAGTCACTGAGATAGTGCGAAGGAGAATGCAGCATGTAGTTGGCAAAGGTAGTCCGTTAGAAAGCATAGAAATTCGTCAGTCCGAAAGCAATCCTACAACCCTAACCCTACTGCCTCCCAGAACTCCATAAGCAGCTTCTCGATGCTTCCAATCTCTCTCAAGAGCCCCAGGCAACCCTCCAACACTCCCTCCGGCCACCCATCATCCTCCCTCCCCTTCTCCAACCACATCTCCGGAAGTAGATCACGTGAGAGGAGCGCGTTTCTCCACTGGTGACGAGCGACTGCATACAACACGGGCAACGAGATTATTAAGGATCGGCAGATGCTTCAAGTCCGCCTATATTGACTAAACTACTCAGGGTAGAACTCCCAAGGGTTACGATCAGCAACTAAGGAGCACAAGAGAGGACAAGTACACGTATCTTGTACGAATATATCCAAGTCTTGATACTCTACAGCGTATATGCACATAACCTACACCCAATGCTATAGTATTCAACACAGCGGGAATCTAAATGACGCACTATAATCTCCTTTTCCCCTTCGCCGGTCACCCTCTTCTCGCCCCTGCCGGCAAAAAGTCCTCAGGAACATCGTTCCAATTCTCCGTCCCTCCCCGCCCATTCCCACCTCTAAGCAGCGTTTTCGCATCTGTCCCCTCCTCACCACTACTGCTATCATACCCGTCCTCATCCTCCTGGGTCTGCTTCCTTCGATCCAGCGCCTGCATTAGCGGCCCCCCCGCCTGCGGCGACCCTGGAGACCCATCCACAAACTGCCCAGGACTCCTCCCCAAAATCGAGTCCGCCTTCCCCGGACTCCGTCTCCCGGAGGTCGGCACAGCCGTGACGCCGTTCGTAGTCGTCAGAAACCGCCTCTCGCCGCCTCCGTCCTCCCTGTCGTCCCAGTTGAGGCCTTCCTGGCGCCAGGCTGGGGGCTGCCGGGGCGGAGGGTACCCATACCCGTAACCTCCGCCACCACCAGTGGAAGTAATGTTCTCACCCCACCCCGCCGCCCTCTCCCTCTCCTCCTGCCTCCTCATCTCCGCCTCCCTTCGTCGCCGTATCCCCTCCCTCGCAGCAACCCACTCACGACTCGCCTCCCACTGCCACCCATCTCCCGTGGTATTACATATCGGCAGGAACCACAGCGCCGGCACGGGTCCCAGCACATGCAGCAAATTGCGCTTCCAACCCAGATCAAACGCGTTGGGCAGCGCGTCGCTGTCCTGTTCTTCCAGGTACTCTGCATAGCGGTCGCGCTCGCGCCGGCGTTCGAGCTGCGCGTAGGACGTGCGGAGGGAGTGGTGGGCTGGCGAGGAGGTGGAGGCATCGGAGGAGGTCGGGTAGGGGGAGCGGGAGTGCGCGCGGGAGTCTGGGCGGGAGTCTTCGCCCTCTTCGGGGCGGGTCACGCCGGGGAGGGCGTTGGCGTGGATCTCGCGCAGCTGCTCGCCGAGGTTGTGCAGGCCGTCGGTGAAGCTGCCGCGACGCTGGTCGTGGTCGGGGTAGCCGCGGCCGGCGTCGGAGGCGGCGAAGGATTGTTGCATTGCTTTTCGCAGGGGGGAGATGTAGCGGGTTTTCTCAAGGCTTTCGATTGTGGTACGTCCTTTGCAGGCGAGCATTATGTGCCAGGCTGTGAAGCCTGTGATGACGAGTCCGATTATGCCGGAGATCACGGCCAGCAGGATGTAGTTGACCGGCATGAGGGTGTCGGCAAAGTTCGCATCTGAGACCATTTCTGTCCACACCCACGATGCGGACGCGGCGAAGCAGACCCAGCAGAAGAGGGAGACGTAGATGAGGAAGAGCAGAAAGGGCTTGTAGTTGCGCAGCCCGACGCAGGTCGCCAGCCATGGGCAGTGGTGGTCCATCTTGAGGACGCAGCGCTTGCATGACGAGCAGTGGTGCGCGCGGTCCGGCTTCTTGGTCTGGCATTTCTTGCAGAAGCGGATGTCACCCGAGGACTTGACGGTGAAAGAGGTGTAGGCGCGGGGCTCGTCGGTGGGGAGGTGGCTGTAGCCCTGCTTGGAGGTGAGGGGCGAGCCCGGGTCCGTGAAGACGGCGACGGTATATGACCAGTTCAGGAGGATGTAGAAGAGTATGCCGAGTGCGGAGGAGAAATAGCCTGTCCACCCCCTCGACCCCTCTATCCCCATCCCCGCCTCAACCCATACCGCCCATGTCGTGAGCCCGTACACGAAACCAAGCGGGAGATATGTCACGACGTTGCAGCAGTAGCGCTCGCATTTCCGCGCCCAGCTCCGCCGCCGATTGGGCGATCTTGGGGGTGAAGGCGAGCCCAGCGTCGCCATGGCTCTAGGTTTCGCGCCCGGACACGCAGAAGAGGGGACTACTTGCGTGTTGAATTTGAAGACATGGGGAAACAAACGTGGACGGCGGTATTCGTAGGGGGTTCAAGGGGGGGCGGCCGCTGACTCGTGGAGCGCGTGGGGCGGAGTGACGGCGGAGGTCTCGGGGCTGGCGTTGAGATAGGTTGGGACACGCTGCGGAGCGAAGGGAGAGAGCAGCGATCGGAATACTGGTGAGGATGGATTGAGTACCGTTGTGAGGCAAGGTGGTTTGCGACTGATGGAACGACTTGAATAGCTCCCGAATGCAGCCACCGACCGTCAAGTCGTCAGCGCTGAGGCGTCATCGGCTGTGGCGCGAGCCCGGCATCCATGACGCAGATCCCCCGGTTCAGCCGCCGTGCACGTGATGTGAAGCTGGAATGCTTCCCTGTCCCTCTGAACTGAGATGGACACAGGTATATGCCCGGTGGCCGCCCAGCCATATCCAATCAGAGTCGCAGTAGATATCGCAAGGAGCCAAAAGCTACCTCTTGACCTTGCACGCTCGATAGGAAAGTGGTTCAGGTCGTCGCCGGCCACTGGGTCCACTGTCCATCCAATCTTCTTTGCCGTCACCCTGTAGTTATAATCCATCAGTTTCTCATTGCAGTAGCTTCCGATGATAATGCCTGCGCCACGAGGCAGATACGGTAGACCGATTTCGAGCTCGTTGAAGCGGTGTATATACTTATAGATATCTAGAAGGGCAGCAACGACGGAGTAGTCGACAGTATAGAAGGAGCCGTGCATCCACAGAGCGAGAAATTGTCGGGATGGAAGATGATGCGTAGGCAAGCTAATGGGTTTCGAGGGCGGAACCTCTTGCGAAGGCTACTATTGAGGCGGTCGCCCTTATTCTCAGGCCCCGCCTGATGCTTCTCGTCCTCGCTTTTCTTCTTGCGTAGGTATCTTGAACCACTGTTTACCCATGCTCCACCAAGTCTCTTCCCACCAGCTCTGCCCCTTCCTCCCACTGCCATTGCCCACAACGCTTCTAGCGGTCTCAGGCAGCAGAGCCCTAACACCCAACAACAAAATTCCCTCCACGATGACCAGTGCCCAGAATACCCATTCGCAACTTCCGCTTGTGTAGGCTACCCACCCCCCTACTGCAGGTGTATCAAGCCTACAATAACATCCTAGTCCTCGCTGTCGTGAGTTCGTTCGCGTGAAAAACTGTCAAGGCTGCTTCTAATAACAGCGACTCTGTCGTCTCTCGGACAGGGAACTGTGCCATCCGTCGTCATATAACACTGCTCTAAGCTTTCGGTACTGACCCAATCCCTGGGGATGAAGTAATGACGTTTCAGGCCCGCATGGCTCTCCTGACTATACACGGATCCCAGCCTGTACGTGCAGACCCACAAGTCTTGGTCTAGAGAAGCAAGCCTTGACCCAGATAGTATGCCCAGCGGATGCTCGACTCTCGCCACGATGTCTGGCGGAATGTAAGAGTAGGTCAGGCCCGTCAGGGGCTCTATGGAGTTCTCCCTATCGCCGACCTCAAAGAAGTTGTCATTCCACGCAGTGTTTGAATCACAAGTGACCGATACCTCCGCTGACTCGGGGTGGCGGAACTGTGAGTGCAGTACGATTTCTCAGGACAAAATGGAGGGACAAGCTTGTAGATTGCTGACGGTTCCGAGAGCAAACGCCCGCTGAATTTGCCAACGGCTCGATCTGACGTGATGAGTACCTCCAGTATAGTCCCAGAGTTCCTTCATCCCGGTGTTGAATGCGGCGTTTTCAAGTATCACAACCTACATCCATCCTGGATTAGGAGCAGAAGCCGTCAGAGAGAAACACAATCCCTCCCGCCCAATACTTACTTTTGCCCGACGCAATGCGTCAAGGTCGGGGTTACTCCATAATCTTATTCCTCTTCTTATAATGCCATACAATATTCACCACCTCTCCACCCTTTGCTCTGACGACCTCTGCCCTTGCATGATCACCAATCCACAGCTCGTGTAACTTCGAACACACCGGGAAAATCATCGATGCAACTCTGTTTTCGGCTTCTTTGCCACGTTGGTTGACTTGTCGACGGACCTCCTCGCCGTTCCGCCTCTTGTACACGTTCCCACACGTGGGAGGATGGAAGCCTACGCCAAGACAATGCGCGGGTGCTAGTGCAAGATATGTCAGGTTCTGGAAACGGCTGAGTATTGGGAGGAGTCCCTGTAACGGCGTAAGTGGGACATAAGGACAGCACATAGGGGCAGGTCGCAACGCACAGATATTTTGTCGCTGTAACTACCTCCGTCAAGACCGATGCTGGAGATATTAGGCATGACGTCCAGAATTGCTACAAGGATGAAGTCTGCAATCAGTCTTTCGACCTCGATCTGCCATCTAGAGGATCAAGAATAACATACCTTCCAACTCTTCACGTCTCCGCCATGCCATCATCTCAAAATGCTGAAGCTTGGGGGCTTTGGCAGCAGCCATAATAAGTCTGTGAAAGTGTTCTTGCTCGGATGAAATCCTTCCACTCCTCCCACGCGACGCCTGTAGCCATTGCAACCCAGTGGTCGAGATGGCGGTAACATTCGAACAAAGATTAACGGTCCATTCGCAGAATGGTCCTACAACCAGCGTCTTTACGCAGGGAAACGACAAGTCGGCTTTAGCGAATTCCATTGCAAAAGTATCAGTATGGCTTTCGGGTATACTAATAACGAGTTGTTCGAGACGCTCCATGGGCTTAAACACGATCGCTAACCGAGGCACAACGCTTTGCGGTGGAGGATATGACTTTTCTTCGTTAACCCACATGTGAAACTTGAGGGACCTGTCATGCAGTGTCAGCCAAAACACAGAATATGATGCTTGGCAAGAAACAGCGAACCTTGCGTTGCGTGCAATTGCTGGGCAGACCTCCATCAGTCCCACTGCTCGAATGGCATCGTCCCAGCCACCTTTGATGGCGATGTTTCGGAAGAGCATTGGCATGCTGAGGTGCCGCAGCCGGTGATTTGTCCTTGAGAAGCTGTCGAGGTGTGGCTTATGACGCCTCACGCCCCTGAAGTTGCAAGGACCTTCATCTATGAAGGAGCAGATCATGTAAAGAACATCGTCGTTTAGGTCGCTGAGAGACATGATGCCTTCCATATCGACTCTAGAACCCGACGGACGGCAACCGAAGCGAAAGAAAGCGATGTACTGAGGAACAAATACTATGAGAAGAATAACCAAGGTAAAATTGTTAACAATAGAGATTCACTTTATTCAGCGCCATTGGATGTGTTATAAGTTGTACATGTTGAGATTCTAGGCAGCCAAAGGGTCAAGGATGAGTGTGCCAAGTCGGGAAGGTTCAAGCTCGTCCGAGTAACGTGAGCAAACCCCACTGGTTAAAATAGTCGTCACATGGGCTTAGCATGTAACTATCACCTCAATTGGTATGTCTCTAGAGCAAATGTACTAGATGGACTTCCAACATGGCCATGCCGTTAGTCTTTCTGTCTCTCCTTCTATCACCTGCGCTCGATTCGTGCCCGCTTAATGTCCTGATTACTCTGATTACTCGAACGAACCTCACAGTCCGTTTTCTTCCGGGAGGTATCAGCTCTCTTACCAGCAAACCTTCGCCGGGATGCTGAACTGTCTTCTCTTCAGGCGTCGAAGCTGTGAACGCCCGTTTAGAATATGTCATCAGTAATCCGGACCCCTATCGACTCTTTCAGAATATCTACCCAACGCCTTGGATACCGCGATCAAGCAGAAGGGCTACCCCGGAGGAAGCGATAAGGAACTGACATTTTTGATCACTAGAGGCATCAATGCGATGTGGTTGCGCGATTCTGCGAACTAAATGTAGTCGTATCTGCCTCTACTCTCTGCATCATCCTCCAGCGATTTATTGGCATCGCTGTATAAGGGTGTCATCAACCTCCAAGCGCGATATCTTCTCACGCCGCTCTACTGCAACTCGCTTCAGCCACCCATCGAGTCCAGCATCTCCCTAGCTCCGAGTTCAGCCGCTAGCGACGATACAGTTGTGTCACTATACAACGATCGGAGCATCTTTGGATGCAAGTACAAGCTAGATTCATTAGCTGCATTCCTTCAGATCTCCACGAACTACTATGGTGGGGTCCCGCTGGCGCTCACCGGTCGCCTTCAGCGAAAAAGGTCGGGTCCGGCCGGCGGGCCGCGCCTCAACCCTCCATGTGGAGTTCTTCGGCAAGCATCGCTGAGTAGACGCCATCAAAGCCGTCCTCTCCGTGGCCGAAGCAATGACGACCTCGACTTATACGGCTAACGGCAGCATTAATGCTAGTCCGTAGACCTTCACTCGTTTCACCACGCGTGCTTCAGAGACCTTGGCGAACTATGGGACAGGCAATCCAGTCCAAAACGATACCGGCCTGATCCGCTCTGCCTTCCACCCCTCGGACGATGCAACGATCTTCCAGCTGTTCATTCCGGCTAACATAATGTTTTCTCGCTACTTGGACTAGACCTTGCACATCATGCGGCAGCTTGACAATCAGGGTGCGCTTACAGACCGTATGCAAAGCCTCGCAGCCAGCGTCAGGAACGCCATCACGAATCATGGCATGTTTAACCGATGGCGAGTATTGTTCGCATCCTGACCAGTGAAAATGATGCAGAGATCACGGCAGCACTGAAGGAGACCTTGAGCTCCACGGATGGGCTGGGCTTGATTCACGAAAGTGTCAACAGCTTTATGCTTGAAACTGGACAAGGCAATGGTGTATTCATTCGGTCGGAAGGGTGGAAGATTGTCTGACTCACCATCAGGTTTTCGTGGGCGAATGGCTTATTCGGGCGGATAATCTTTGATTTGGAGCAGAGGAAGCCGCATATCCTGAAGCAGAGCTTTTAGTAAGCTTGTAGAACGGCTTTGATAGTCTAGGGTAAGACGCGCTTTCAATTTGAGCTAAAATCCTCCCTCAAGAATCAGGAAAATCTTCCCATCCTCCTGCAACCCAGCCATTGTTCCCAGTATATGAGGTTACATAATTCTAGCTCGCCATATACATGTCGATTGCCAATATACTCAACTTTCAGGCATTAGATGGCCGGCCATGCTCTTGCTTCTATCATCCTAAAACACCCGTTCTTCCACCCTTACTTTGTTACTGCCGCCAGTTAGGTTTCGGTGCATCAGGTATTCGGTTAGTGGACCTAAATTTCCGGGTTTCTAGCTCCTCCGGTCAAGACTAAAGGGTCTGGACCAGGTGCCAGTTCGGCCTGCGATAGTGGCTGGCCCGCAGGCTGTACCTGGCCTTGCGGCTCCATCTCTTCTTCAAACACAACGTCGGCAGTTTGCCTCGCTTTGCTCTGAACTCGCGTTGATTTAAGTGCGCGCGTGTCAATACACGCCCAGACGAAGAGGGCCATGTGCAGGATGCTTTGTTCAACACCAGTCAGCTGAAGAACAGTCATATAGGAAAACAAATCGAACTTACACAGCAACGAAAATGCATGCAACAGCGACATACTCCAGCCTTACTAAACGACGCCGCCTGACCAAGACAGCGTCCTGTTCTACACAGCTATTGAACCCATAACAGGGTACATCATCGGGAATCCATCTATACACCCCGTTCGCGTCATCGCCCCAGTGGCCCCTGACACTAGTGTAGGAGTCGGAGAGATACCACCTCTGCGTATAGATCGGGGCAGTCGTAGCGAAGTAGCCGGCGGGGATGAGGGAAAGCCAAAGGATGAGATCGAGGCCGACAGCGACGCCAGGGTAGACAGGGCGCTTGCGGGATACGAGCACCGTGAGGGCGATAGCATTCCAGATAACACCACAGCCGAGCTAGAGAGATGGGGCTGTCAGGCGGATATCTGGGGCCGTTGGAGAAGAGAGAGAGAGAAAACACGCACAGGAATCAAGCTAAAAGCGATCTCGACGAAGGCCTGATTACTAGGAGTGGATAAAGCTCCCGCCACACATCCTATCCCGATGAGGGAGATGATCAGAGATGCGAGGCGCAGGCCGAACTTCCAGGCCCACTGTTTCTCAGCGCTCTTGATGCCGACACCGGATGCTGCGTTGAAGACCATGTTTGGTAGTAAAAGTAGGATAGGTGACTGTGAAGCTTAGAAATCAAATTGCACGCCCGGTCGAACAGAGACGCAGTGGGGAGGGGGGCACGATGTGAACTTAAAACAGTAGGCATATTTCGTATCCATGTTGCGAAGGATGCGCGAAGGATGCGCGTTGTCAACAAACTCTGTTGCCTGAAGCAAGCCATGGCAACAACCAAACATGAGGGGTAAGCATAGAGGATCCTCCAGCATCTGCTGGTCAGTGTGTGTCCGTCGACCTTCACCAGAACCATTGTCGTTTGCATTTGGATCACGGAATCGTTGAAGCATGTTGTCAGAAACAAACATTGTTTTCCTAAGTCTGCCCAGGTCTCTAATAGCAATGAAAGTCATCCAAGCAACAAGCACACTCGAGAAAGCCGCGGCATATCCATCAAAGTACAAGTCGTTTCCTCCAAAAGAGAAAAAAGTCGTCGTTAGAGTAAGCGAGTCCCAGGGGACTTGAGCGCACTAGTCCATCTAGCCCAGCAGAAACACCGAGCTGATTGTCCATCTTGAGAGGGCGCGCCAGTCACGCCTGGTTCCCGTGTCGAATCTCCCTTGGTATGTCATTCGATCGTCTTGGCCGTCAAAGTGTCGAAGTAGCGTTTAACAGCTCTTGTGCTAGGGCCGTATGAGGTAGCATCCTAGGAGCCATGATGTCGCGGCGGCAGACCTTGGGAGGAAGAGATCTTGGTGGTTGGTGAGACTGTTTTACATCACGGTGCAGCCGTATCCGTTCTGTCCTGTTGCAAGTAGTCAGCAAGTGGTAATACAGATCGAGATCTAGCGATGCATACCTCTCTTGAAAGGGCCGGCCATATAGAATTGCTGGTTGAGCGTTGGATAGTCGTGAGACTGTGTGTGAGTGGCTGATTTGATGTTGTGGTTGCGTGTGGTTGTCTGAACTTCGTCCAGAAACAGGAATGGCAGCGTACTTAAGAGAATGATGAGTTCGGAAGCCACGGTGCCGAGCGGAACCTCTGCCACAGGCATGATGAAAGGTAGTTCTCGTTTCCTTGAAGATAGATAAAGCATGAGGGAAGTTCGTTGTTCGTGTTAAGACAAGTCCGTTTGGTGGATACGTTGGTGGTTTGGATTTACCGTTAGTATTGTTGTGCTTGATATTGTTCTCCGCCAGAGAGGAGCGGCGATCCTGCTACCACCACAACTTCCCTGCCATGACAATGCCGTTCAATACAAAGCGGACCCACTATTTTGAAAGCTCGTATTGTCTTGAGCCGTGTTGCCGAGGACTTCGTCAACGCTCGTGACGACGCCTTGGTATCGATGGTTGACTCTGCCACTACGAAACTCCCCACATATTGTGGCAGCCACCTGGTCAACATAAAGACAGCATCTACGTGGTCATCAGATATAGAGAATTGTCCGGCTGGTACTGTGCTGTAGATGAGATGTTGAACAGTCAGGAAACGGTATCAAATTTTCGCCATTCTGAGGCGCCTCATCGATGGATCGGCAAGCGTTCAATGAGCAGCACGTTTTGGGCTCCATGGCATGCTGAGACAGAAGGGAGCTTCCTCAAGTTCAGAAAGAACAATGAAGCGGACGATAACGAGAAAGGTGCTGTGCTCGATGAAAGATCGATAATGAAAAGCGTGGGAGCACGAACTTGCTCGCGCGTCATGACATCCAGTGTCTAGAGGAAGAGGATTTCTGACATGACTTTCATATCGGAGCTAGACATTGTGGCCCTCCAAGGTCATGGCTTCGGATTGTGCGCACTCGCTCCCAGCTACTCACCGTCTCTCAAACCTCTTGACAAATCGGCTCGAGTGTCATTACGTTGTCTGGCCATCCGTGTCGACAAGACGTTGCGATTGTTCTCCGGAAATGTTTGAGGTGTTGATGGTTCGGCGCTAGCTTCATGCAATTTGCTTGGCGTATCACGTGACGTGACAGCAAGACGCTGCTGTTAGCTACCTACCGATAGTTATCTGCGAGCCCTGTGCAAGATTCCTTCTCCTGCTCTGGAGGGTGAGTGCCGCCGCCCTGAGCTCGCGTGAGCCGAAGTGATTTTTGAGTGAGTTTGGGTAAGTATAGAGTGATGAACAGACTAGCCTTCATGCAGACGTTGTCCGGACGGTAGATAAGGCGGAGTTAACGAGACGGTATTGGCATCTCTACGGCTTCACCGAGCAGCTCAAGTTTACGCGGACTTGGCCTAAGAACCAGGGGGAAGGGATTGAAGGGTGGGGGCGTTTTCGCGTTAGATTCATGTGGATACCGCATTATAAAGTTTTAGAAAATGGGAATCTACGGTGCGACATGACTTGTAGGTAAAGTCCTCAGACCAGCAGCTAAAGTCAGCAGGTGCAGTACACTGCTTATCTATGTAGTACTGCGTGAAAGGAGATACTCTTGAGACTCGTGGCTCTTAGATCTGCACTCCGACATTGACATGGGAGCAATACAGGCATGCGATATTCGCCGCCCCCATCCGCAATCGTTCCTGAGGAATACCTCCCTACAACCACAACTCTAATACCTCATTGATGTGTAGGTTCAGACAAGAGTCTGAATGATATACAAGACCGAAAAGTGTTGTTCAGTCATGAGATAAAAGTACTATGGATGGTTAGCTTTTGGCACTTTGGATGTGTAGAGCCCTGCTGACGAAGCTCTTCAGATTGCGGATGGGGGCCGAGTCGTGTCACGTCCGTAACTGAATCCGGGATTTTAGGATGGAATGTTGCATCCGACATAAGCTCACATCAGCGGCCTAATGTGGTTGAGTGATATAAAGCAGTGTCCCGTCCTCATGTCCAAATGCCGTTTGTAAATCATCTATGCTGACGTTGTAGGACTTCGAGGTGTTCTACTTGTAAGTAAACGTGTCGACTATCACCAGGGCTCCTAGAGAAGCACCAGTATTGACCAGAGCGTTAGGTCAAGCACCGTGAAGGCCCAGACTCAGAGCTAGCTTAAGCTTCGAAATTGTCAAACATGCAGCGCCTTAAAGAAGCAATTTACGGCTGCCCCAAAGTGCCACCGCGGGTCCGCACCAAACCCATGCAAGTCCTATGTGTGGGTATATCCCGTTCGGCGACTGAATCGCTCGCCGTCGCCCTGCGCAAGCTTGGTCTCGAGACGTACCACGGCTGGGACATGATCATGGAGGACAGCGCACGAACCCAACAGGACTGGAACGATTTGGCACGTAGGAAATACTGCGGCGAACCGGACGGCGATGTTCGGATCTCCAGCGCCGAGTTCGACAAACTCCTCGGCCATGCGGAGGCCGTGGTGGACATTGCAGGGTGGACGTTTGCGCCAGAGCTCATCGCCGCGTATCCCGATGCAAAAGTCATCCTGAACACGCGCCGTGATCTTGACGCATGGCATCGGAGCATGGCGCAATCGGTTTTGAAAGAGGCCGAGGACAGCTGGTTCATGTGGTTCATGCATTTTTGGACCGCGGAGCTGTTTTGGTCATGGGAAATGTGTTTCTGTAATGTGTTTCCGGCATTCTATCGAAGTCCGTGGCCGCACACGGCAAGGGCAGGTGTCGTTCGTAACGGCAAGTGGGTCTATCGTGAGCACTGCAACGCGATCAGAGGTCTCGTGCCGAAGGAGCGGTTGCTGGAATGGAGTGTTGAGGATGGCTGGGAGCCTATCTGCAAGGCAAGTGGAGATTCCGTGAAATGCAGTTCATGTTCTGACAACTGGCCAGTTCCTGGGCAAAGAAGCGCCGAAGGAACCGTTTCCGCACGCCAATAATCCGGCTGACTTCAAGAAGACCGTTGAAAAGATGGTTAAGCCCCGTTATGCCAAGGGTTTTCGTAACTTGGGGTTGTTTTTGGCCTTCTTTATTATCCTCGTTACAGCGGTGGTCCTTGGGATGAGGGAAGGTGGCGGTCCGTGGAATACACTCACTTAGTCCAAACGGAGGGATAACCTTTCATATAGGATGCGCAGTCTGATCGCGATCAGGAGAGGAGACCTGAGAAAATGGGGTTGGTGGTTACTTTGTCATATATGCCTGCCGTAAAGTCAGTTCGATACGTGCCACTTTCGTATGGCAATCAAGGAAGGTCACGATGAGAGCGCTCGTCACGAAGAAGATGAAGATGTTCGTAAAGAAGGATTGATGATGGACACTTGCATTCAGTCCAAGGAATTTTAATCACCAACATCACCATTCGATGAACTCATACTCATCCTCATCATTCCATCGTAACTCTATTCCTTTTCCTGTTCCTTTCTTTTTTTCCAATTGTCAACCAGTAAAATATCCTGCCCGCACGCCCCGCTCCCATCTACGTATACACATCCTCCGTAAATGCATTCAGCCCGAGCCCCTCCTGCGCGATATCCTCCTCCTTGAGAAACAACAACGGCATCTCAACAAGCGTCCCCCTAATCTTCGCCAACTCCTCTTTGACGGCCCTGACATCCCCCCCAAACTCCTCCGCCACAACATGCCCCCACTGGTACCTACTCGGCTTCTTCTCCTTGCCCTTCTCATCCTTCGGCGGGCTAAAAAACCGCCCATAAAACTCCTCATACTGCTTCCAGTTCCTGACGCCATCATACGGCACGGGATGAAACAACCTCGCAAACGCATCCGTGTTGATCTTCGCGCGCCGATTCCAGAAATGCAGGAACCCATCGTCCAGCGGATCCGTGACGAGTCGGTCCTCCTCGCTGCCCCAGTCATATAGGTTCGGCGCGCCGACGGGCTCGTAGTTCGCGTCGGGGACCTCGTAGTTTTGCGGCCGCACGAGGCCGAGGTGCTTGCGGAAGATCTCGCGGCGGAGCGAGGCGGCGAAGCGGGAGGCGCGCCAGGGCCGCCCGTTCATGAGGGAGTCGCAGGGCGTCGGGTCTTCGATTACGACGGCGATCTCGGAGTCGTGGTCGCCGAGTTGGGAGCGGTCGTTTAGGTTTGCGCTGCCGCAGATTACGACGCGGTCGTCGGCGATGAGGAGCTGGTGCGTGTTAGCGTAAGACAACGGATGGAGATGTGAGTGGGGTTTAGGTAGGTACCTTTGAGTGGATGTACAGCTCCTCGCTCACGAACGCGTCGATCTCATCCATGTTGCCGCCCTCCCAGGGCACATTGCGAATGTCTTCGCCGCCAAGCATGTAACATTCGCTGACGGAATCCCAGCGGCCGCTTCCTAGTCCTTTGCGGTTGCCTATTTGTGCAGCACCTTGCTGGTACGCTTGGTAGGCGTCGCCCCGGCCGTATCCGCCCTCCATCTCGTACGGAGCGGGCTGGCCGTATCCCTCCTGTGCACCGTATGCTTGTGGGCCGCCATATCCCTGCGGTACACCATAGCCTGGTTCACTAAGTCCCTCAGGCCTGTACGGCTGATAGGGGTGCGGTTTCAAGCTCCCCTCTTCGTACTTCCCACCGTATGCCTCATCGTGCTTCTGTCTTGCCTCTTCATACGAGACTCCGCTCTGCTGCTCCGCCGCCTTCATGGCACCACTAACGTTAATGCGGTCGTAGCTCCGAAGGTTGTAGAAGCGAATGTACTGTGTCGGGTCAAAGCCCTCCCTAGCGATGGACTCCATGATGCTGTGTCCGTTGCCTCGGTTGATGGAAGTGTACTGGAACTCCATGATCGCACGGGTACTCAGCGCATCATCGCTCTTGAGGTCGCCGGCGAAGGCGGGAACGGCGGGCATCATGACGATCATCTTGTACTTCTCGCCGTTCCGTGCGGCGCGTAGGATGCGCTCGACGATGGCGGCTCCGATCTTGTTTTTGATGGGCTTCTGCTTGTCGTCAGTCGCGGTGATAAAGAACTGGTTCTCGATGTAGATGAAATGCTGGCTGTTGCGGATGACCTCCATGTATGCGTTTGCGATTGAGTGCTGCGTTCATCAGTGTTGTGCTGTAATTGAGCTAGGGCACGGTACAACCTACCTCGACAACGATACCATGACTCCATTTCGCACTACTCCTGGTCAACTGTATGGCAGCGGGGCCACGTGCACCAGCTGTAGCCGGGCGAGAGCCTGTGCGACGGCCGACACCCAGATGATCATGTCTCCCCTGAAGTTCTTCGCCAAGCCGATCCTTGAGCCTGTCGCGGATGCCGCCCTCGTGGCCATGGAAGAGCGCCCGCTCACCCCTTTCGTAAGCTTCGCGTCTGAAGTTACGGTCTTGTCCTCCTTCGTACGGATCACCATAGCCACGGTCACGGCTCTCATACTCATCGCCATAGCCACGGCCGCGGCTGTCGTACTCTTCATCATAACCACGCCGGGAGCTTTCATAGTCACCACCGTAACTTCGCTCGCGGCCAAATTCTTCACCTTCCACTCCTCGGTAACTCTGTTCGGAATATGAGGGAAACGCTCCCGGAGGCGCGCCGTCGCCGTAACCGCTGACAGTTCCCGGGAAGGTAAGGGGCGCGTATCTGGCGTCTTTTCGAACAGTGTACTTCTCAGCGTAGATGAAGTTCCACCTCTGGACGAAGTGGTTCTGCAAATCCTGGACCGCCGGGCCGCTTATGCAGATGGACACATCAGACCAGCCCATGCGTGAGTTCTTCGTCCGGTCGAGCTTGTTGTTTTGCCAGTTCTTGACATCTTGAAAGTCCATCACCCTCGCGTTGTTGTAGTCCTGGCCGGGGAAAACAATGTCGTCGAGGTTGCCGGGGTGGGCGTCGGCGATGGCGTGCTGGTTCGTGTCCCAACGCCCGTAGCACAGGTCCAGTCCTCCCATGAAGGCGGTCTTACCGTCGACAAGACACAGCTTTTCGTGGTGAGCCCAGTACAGGACCGTTCCCTCAGTCTGACCGTAGAGCCCTTGCAGTGCGCTCAGTGGCATCTTAGCAGCATTGGCAGCGGTGAGGTTCATTGACTGGAATGACGCCAAGAAGTCGGCAGCGATGGTCTGGCGATCCGGGAGATGGTCAGGGTGCCGGAAGACTGCGATGTTGGGATGTAGGTCTTCCAGAGCATGCTTGGTGTGCGAGGACGATACTGTAACAGGCGGAGCGATCAGCGGATTCGTCTCCTCTACTTCTTCTAGTGACTTGAAAGTGACGTCCAGGCCAAGCCGTGTCAGGAACCTCGTGAATGGGTCCGTCGTGTGTGGCAAGAGAGAGTGCAGATAGTCTGGTAACGTTGGACTCAGGTACTTACGAGTGAGGGCTTGGGTTACCTGTGTGTTGTCAGTATTGTAATCAACGTTCCCGAGGTGGATGTTGCATACTTCTTTGTAGACTATAATATTGACCTTGACTCCTCGCCGGGCGGCAGCCTGCAGCATTCGGTCTACCCTGTATTGCTCATGCTTCGCCGGAGGCCGACGAAGATACAACTCCGGCGACAGCCACCCTACGAAGCTCAGCACCGCCTCAAGAGACCTGAAAGCGGCGGTACGTACAGTCCAGAATCCATATCGATTCCCTGGCTTGCTCCAGTGCTATGGACACGGCCCACATGTATCCGCAAGCGTCAACATACCACTTGATTTCGTTTCCCTCACGCTGTGGAGCAAAGCTGTGGAAGCGGTTTTCCGCGTGGTGGTCGTGGGTGCCGTCGCTGCATTGCCCGCTTGGATGTGTGTGTCCATGAGTCTCTTCGCGGGCAGCCAATCTGTCTTTGAGTTCGGCGCCAACTCCGTGCACAGCGCCGTGCAGCTTGTCGAAGAGGAAGGACATGCCGCCGCTTGATGTGGGCTTCTGAGGCTGGTAGTGGTACTGATATGGATCCTCCGATGATTGAGGGTTGTAGGGTGCGGGGACGTTCTGGAGGGTTGTCAGCATCAGGGCAGTGGATGGACAGCATAAATGAGGGCTCACAGGTTGCTGCTGCTGGGACTGTCTTCCTCGAAAGCGTTTATAGATGTCTCCAACTATGCCTCGCTCGCCTCCTTCGTCTTGACCTTGGCCGTGATAGTAGTCTCCGTATGCGAGGTCGTCGTCGTACCTGCTTGCCATCACAAGGGAACGAAGAACGAGAGGCTCTTCTGCAGGCTAGTCCATCAAAGCCTGGTTCACATCTTTAACAAGGGTCACCTTCAGGGTATCCGTGGATCCGCAACGGTCGTGTGCGAGCTGATGACGCTGCGGGGCTTGCGTCACCGTTGATCTCCGCTCTCCGCCGCACATGCTGACGGCTGGGGGGAGGTCTTCCGCCATTGTGAGCAGCGGAAAGGGATCTGTTGCCGCTGGATATCTCCAATGCGTCTCAAGAGCCTCGCAACCACTACCCAAAGGTGCTCTCCTGTCAATTGATGATCATGAACCGGTATCACGATCCAAAACAGCTAGACAGACTGCTACCGCCAACGCCATGACGTCCGAGCATTCCCCGCCGCCGACAACGAGCTACACCCGACTATTACCAACACCCACGTCTCCTCGGTGCCCCTCTCCAGCTTCCCATTGATCCGCTGATTAACTGCCAGGAAGTACCCGTCGACCTATATAGCTGTGCACCGTCTTCTCCCTCATCATGCATGCCCCATCTCCATTTGCGCTGTCAACCAGACTCTCTACTCGTGCTTTAGTGCCTCTCTCAGCGAGAATCATCCGTCCTGCCACAGCCATCGCAGCTCAGAACTTCAACCGCAGCTTCCAGCAGACCTCCAAGATGACTTCCCCAAACGCGACAATCGCTACCCTTGATGTGCGTTGACGGCGCTCAGCCGACTGAACGCCCACTGACACCCCGCAGGCCTCCCTCGTCCATCGTCTCCCTGCGTCCTCGCCGACCCTCTTCGAGGCCAAGAAGCAGAAGAACCTGACCTTCGAAGCCATCGCCAAGAAGCTCGGTCGCGAGGAGGTCGCCGTTGCGGCGCTCTTCTACGGCCAGGCCAAGGCCAGCGCCGACGACATCAAGAACCTGTCCGAGCTCCTGGACATTCCCCAGGACAAGCTTGAGTCGCAGATGGCTGGCTGGCCGGACCGGGGCCGAACAATCGATATGCCGCCCAAAGAGCCGCTGATCTACCGCCTCTTCGAGATTGTGCAAAACTACGGGTACGCCTACAAGGCAGTCCTGAACGAGAAGTTCGGAGATGGCATTATGAGCGCCATCTCTTTCTCGACCAAGATTGAGAAGGAGACTGATGACAAGGGTGACTGGGCTGTCATAACTCTGAGGGGGAAATGGTAGGCCGATCGCCCTTCTGTCTGCGCTTTGAATGCTGACAACGCCGCAGGCTGCCGTATACACGCTTCTAGATGCGTGCATATTCTGGACATGGAAATCCGTAGATACGTGTAACTAAGAAACGCTACATCAATGCCTATGGTTGAGTGTTCAGTCTATTTGGAGCGAACTGTGCGGCTGCCCGCTTCAAACGCTGTTCACATCCTGAGAGTCGTTCTGCGGTAGCGTAATCTCCCCTGGTGGGGTTCTGTTCACAACAACTGAAGCTGTAAAAGATATCCGGCAGGCGATTCTTCTCAGCAATGCGCTTGCTATGACGTCTAACTTCACTTCGCTTCACTTCGCTCCGTCTCATATCGACGCTTTTCCACCTAGACTGTTCTCGACCATGTCTTCAGATATGAACTCCCCCCAAAGTCCGCAGATCTTCTTCACACAGTCTCAGAGTCGCGTTCAATCTGATCTCTTCTTGGAACTGTGTCCTCTCTTTCACACTAACTAGCTGATCCGCTCTCCACGGTTCGACAACCACTCGCAATGGGCAACACCTCTTCGAAGGGCAAGCCTAGCGCACCGAGAACAACCGCTCCAAGGGCAGCCGCTCCTAGCATTTCCCTCGAATACTTTAATAGAGCAGAAATCTTCTCCAACACCCCTCCGCCTCGATCTTTCCACACGCCTTCCGTAGTCCTCCCGCGCCCCATCCCTCAGCAACCCACGTTCACGCGCGATGCGAGGCCCCTACATCGCCGCCCTGAAGGCTACCCGAGAGCAATCTACGTCACAGCCACCTCGCACGCATCTCCCACGATCCCCACAAAGCCGACGCCGCTCACCCCGCCCGTCCAACCCCCATCCCCAGCGCCAACAGCCGGACCCTCCACGCCATCCACCTGGTCCCCCAACCCCAACTCAGCCCCCAGCTCAGCAATCACACCCCCGGCGCCCCGCAGAGATCTCGTACGTTACTCCTCCTGCCTCGACCCTAACGATCTCATAGTCGCGGATACGATCTTCGAGTCCCCCTCCGGCCACCTGCTGGGCCCGGACGCGTTCTTCGCGCGCGAGGATCGGCCCATGAGTATTCGCGAGCGCCAGCAGGCGATTATCGCGAACACGATGCTGAAGACGAGGGCGCTGCCGGAGTTTCGTGATGGGACAGAGACAGAGAGAGAGACACGACGGAGAGAGATGACGGGGACCGGGACCGGGATCGGGAAACGCAAGGGGAGGGGATGTTGGGGGTGTTGGGGCGTTGGGAGGGGGCGAGGGACGTGAAGGTGAGTGCGATGGGAGATCTTGGGGGGGTTGGGGACGGGTGCTAATGTGTGTGATGACTGCTAGAGAGACTTTCATGAGGCTGAACGACTGATGGAGGAGAGGCGGGATTGCGAGGCTAATGGCATTGGTGGCATTGGGGGTGGCGTGGGAAGTGTTTGGCTTTCTGGATCTCCATGGGAGCGTAGCATGATTGATGAGTTTGTACGTGCCATGTTCCCGTATCTGGGAGCCTGCGGACAAATTATGAAGATATGCTAAGCATCAGAAGCTGTCCTCCATTAACACCTGAAGATTTCTTGCAAGTATTCCCACAACTCCGTTTCAGATCTATGTTCCACCTCTGAGTGATTACGACAACAGATTTCTTTGGTGAATCATCCGCATGCTACGCAACCCGACCAACCGCTCGCATGTCTGGCGCCGGTCGGGCATGTCTTACTCTTCCACAAATCAGAGTCTCTCTGTATATTTCGACTCACCGAGCTCTCTCTCCGTTGAGGCGGCGATACCTGTATCCCGAGAAACCCTGTGATAAGTGTTCTGAGTTACTATCTGCTGAATGATGGGGCCCCACACCATAAAAACTGCCTGCTTTTGCCGAATGCCAGCTAGACTTCCCCTTTGGTCGTAATGAAAACCGGCGGCTTATTGTCTCAGTGCCACATTCAAGAACTCCTATCTTCTAGATCTTCTCTCATTCCCCTATGGCGAGAATCCGCTCCAGATGCTCCCGGACTCGCCTCAGACGGATATCCCGAACCTCGCTGCTCTGGGCCTTCTTCCTGTTCAGGCTCCTCGGTATCTAAGCCGAGGTTGACCCTTGTTTTCCTGCTCTCAAGCTCGACTTCTCGCCAAGGTCAGCACGCTTGATCTCTACAGCCCATAGCGTATCAGCTAGCCAATTCTCAACTCGAGAACATCGCTCTTAGACATCTGTGAGTAAGATAAGATAGATCTTATTGCGCGGAGCGTACTCCGTCATCTCACCAGCATCGCTTTTCGAAACGGCGAGCTGCACGAAGACTAATCGTTTGACCTCAGCCATCTCATCTTCGTGAAGCGCGGATAAACCTCGCTCGTTCACCTCTCGACTTTGGCCGGTACCTCACCTTGTCGACTACAGGCAACTTACTGCCGCTCCTCACATATCACATCAGCAGCCATCGCATTGACAGCCACCGGGCCCAAGCTGACTACAGTCTACATACTCCCGGCTTCACATACCTCACAATGGCGAGCACAAACACCGCCAAGGGACGCGTCATGTGCCGCTTCAACAAGTTCGGCCAGTGCTTCAGAACCTTCGCCGACGAGAAGGAGATGAAGCGTCACATGGTCAACGCCGACGATCACGACTACTGCAGGAAGTGCGACGAGACGTTCAACGACTGGGACGATTTCGTAGCCCACAAGGCTTCACCGGCCTGCCCGTTGATCAGCTGCAAGTTCTGTGGCGTGGACTTTAAGACGACCAGCGGACGGGACCGTCACCTTCGTTCGGTAAGTACATCCATGGCTCTGACAGCATCCAACCGCTTTCAGATGCCTCCAACCTACATACCGCTGACATGAAAATACAGGACCATCCCGTCGACCAGAATCTCCACTGCGTCGGCTGCGGCATGCACTTCACCCGCGCCGCCGCCCTTATCGACCACCTCGAACGCGGCCGCTGCGAATATGTCAAGAAGGAGCAGTTCGCTGCGCATATCCAGCACAAGACAATCATCAACAAGCTCCTCGAAGCGCCCGAGCTCATGTCCCCATTCACCGAACGCAACGACTTGCCTCCCGATACAGACACCACTGGCGGCGTGAAGCTAGGTCCCACTCTTCTCGACGACGAAGCGGCCATACCTTCGTCCCATGCGCCTCTGACGCCAGCTCGTGGTCCCAATGCTGGCAAAGGCCCGCGTCTCGGGGAGCGCTGGCCTGCTCTGGGCTCCTCAAACAAGTCAGAGGCAGGGGACGCGAGTGTTTCTTCGCTTGGATCTAAGCTAGGCGGCGTTTCTCTCACGGGCAGACATGAGACCGATATCCGTGACAGCATTCTCGAGGACACTGCTGCAGACTACCGCCGCAGCATGAGACCCGCCGCAAACCCCACCCCTAAGGCGAAGCGTGCAGCTCCGGCCATTGCTGCCTCCGCCGCCTCTCCTGTCCCGACCGGCACCGCGTACTCCGAGACCTGGCGCAAGCGCGCCGGATCCGCCACCACGACAGCCACCAGCGGTACAGCGACGCCCGTCTACGCCGGCAAGAACGCTGCCGCGACCATGTTTCCCGACAATGACCCAGCCTCTACCACCAGCATGGCGGCGCCAGTCTGGGGTAGCAAGAATGCAGCCTCGACGCTCTTCCCGGACGCGCTGCCCACGCCTATCACACAGGACTGGCAGGAAGCGCTTGGTGCTCAGGCGGCAGAACGGAGCCAGAATTTCTTCCGCATCCGCTTCTGGGATCCCACGCACAAGGACTACGATCCTGAGCGCTTCTACAACAGTGTGATTGAGCAGTACTGCTGTCCGTTTCCGCATTGCGAGTCAGTATCCTTGCTCCCCTTGCTCCAGCCATCTAACCGGCCCATTCCCTGGGATCTCTGCTGACACTCAGCCCACCACAGCGCCCGCGCAGACGTCCCCCTGTCCCTCGAATCCCACATCAAGACCTTCCACCGCCCCTCCCAGCTCCGCTGCCCCTCCTGCCTCAAACTCTTCAAATCGATCACCGCGCTCGTCTCGCACTGCGAGGCCGCGAACTCACGCTGCTCTATCCAGCGCTCCGAGCGCTTTGGCCAGGCGATTGACGAGTTCAGCGGTGGGTTCCTCGGGGTCAGGGAGGCGGAGCGCGAGGATATCAGCGAGGAGAAGGATGGGTATACGGTTGAGTATACGCGGTTTGAGGGGACGCTGCCGCCGGATTGGACGGGGGTGGAGAGTGAACGGGGGGTGAAGGTTGGGGGTGGGAGGATTTGATGAGGCCTTGGGGGTAGGGTGGTGGGATGGGAGATGATGAGTAGGTGGGGTGGTGGATTTGCGAAAATGGTAAAGGAGTGCTTGGGCGGCCTTGGTGCTGGGATTGCTGGACGTGGCTTTTACTTCATGAGGACTGGCATTCGGTTGCGGGGCTGGTGCGGAACATACTTGGGAGTGCTGATTCCGGCATAGCATCGGCGTGAGGCAGACCTTAACGGTGAGCTCAGATAGCTGAGACTGGAATTCACAGGCGGATCATGACATCCCATTAGCTTCTCTCTGAATATGAACCAGAGAGGCTGGTCCTCTGGGCTAGCTAATAGCTGTTGGTGAAGCGTCTGCGTTCTCTGCAACTCCAAACCGGAGACCTGTTTCTTGAGAGAGATACTGCAGGTTACACGAAATTAAGAGCTTCCCTAGTGCCATCGACTATGCTCTAGTCGTTGGATAGTCATGTCTCGAGTGTGTATGTCGCTGCTATAGAACAAGACCTATGCTAGAGTGAAGCATTTTGCGTGATGAGAGTGGGCTCTTTGACCAGCCGGGGATCCTTCATACCTCAACGGAACTGGATTTGCGCTGCAAAGTACAACGAACTAAAGAATTCGAGACCCATTCTTGAGATGAACGAAGACTTTCTGTAGAAAGATAACCGCACGCGACGACTGACATTGTAGGACTCAGACGTCGTGTAAGTCGTGCTATCTCGATGCTTCTCCGCTATTGAAGCGAAAGCTGACTGATGGAAGCGAGCCTCACTCCATGTGCAAGCCGATCTTGCTGTTCCCAATGGCCCCACCTCTGCGACGCAGCACGAGGACTGGCTTGCATCCCCTCTTCGCGGGACCGGCAGAAAATTTATGGATTTCCCGCGTAACCACAAAGTCATGTGGCACACGCGCTTCCAGTGCCGTCCCGAATTTTGCGCACAATGCCTGAGCCTCATCGGGCTTATCCAGGCTTGCCCTGATCCGCGATTCCATCTCCTCGTCACCCTCGGCCCGCGGCATCATGAGCATTCTGATGACATGCAGATTTTTGAACTTCTTGCGGAACATGATCGTGATGCTGACGAGTTTCGCCACCATGTGCCTCACCGATTCATCCGGGATTGGCTCAGTGGACTGCTTGTCGAGTAGTGGTACCACGATGGGCGGATAGACAATCCTCAGAGTGTGGATGCTGCCGTTTGCTAGTAGGGTCGCTAGCTGTCGGATGTAGGACCAATGCCATTGCGCCTTGAAGCCCTGAAAGTGAGGATAATCGCTACACATAGCGAGGGACATGGAAAGGGTGATTGGGGCGGTAATATCCACAGATTGGAGCTGGAGCTTTCTTTCAATGATGTCGGTAACTTCGTACCAGTGCCGGCCTGTGCCATACATGTCGAAGATGCGAGATTCGGATAGGAAGGCAAGGTGTCGGAGATTTGTCGTGGCATAGTCTGGCAAGCGGCCAAGAAAGTGCGAGACGCCTTGAAGCGGATCTTGGAAGACAAAGAGGTTGTCACGATACAGGATTTCGGTGGCTTCGTAGAAGATCTGTCGATTGACGTAAAGGATGGAGGTCTCCAGCAAGTCGCTGCGCAATTCCTTGAATTGGCTGCTAATTATGGAGTCGAGTTCGTCCGCCAGCGCGTCACGAAACTCTGCGAGTTGGCTGGGGTTGCACGCTTTGCCCGTGACCTCATACGAGGGGACCATTCTCATGGTGCCACGGATACGCATCTCGGTCAAAGTTGGTGCGGCTCTTATGAGGATGATGGAGGTTGGCGCGAGCAAAGCGCGATAGATTTCGTTGCGAAGCTCAAGGGGCAAGGAGAGGAAGCGAAACGGTCCTTCACAAGGCCTATCGCTCTGTCAGCTGAAAGGAGGTCTACTGGAATGAGGCACGACATTGTGTAGCATACCCTAGTGGAGGCGGGCATGAACGCAATCGTTCAGCCATTGGCGCCGGTGTTGTCATGATTTGGTTGACCTTCGCGGTTGGTGCTCTAGTTGATGTTGAGAACGACGTGCGAGTGGGATTAAGAAAGACGGGTGAGTCGCGTCGTAGCGCAGATACAACGCGTGAGAATAGGCACACTTCACCTCGCATGACTAAGCATCCGTGAATGGGATTGTGTCGGTTGACTTGAACTACCGCGCCGTTCTTTGATAGGGAAAAATGCCCAAGTTGAATTTGCTTGATACTCGCCTTCTGACGGTTAACGCCTTAGAGCCCCGCGCTATGCAGCAATGCACCGTTCTATCCTGGACGCTTGTGTTGAACTCCTGTCACTACGCCGCGCGCAAGCCCAACCCCCTGATAAGAGCACGACGCGTCATCGTTCACTCTTCTTCTCATTACCGTACCCTCCTTTCCCTTCATACGACTGATACGTTTTCCCCTGGCTCCCACGGGCATTCCTTGGACCCCTCTCATCCAGATCTTCTTGCAGCCAACGCAAAACCAACTCGCCAAGCTGGCTGTTGCCAGTCTGGATACTCTTATCAGCCAGCACATTGAAGTCCTCCATGCTGCCCCACTTCTTGACGCGTCCCAGACTCATATGTACCAAGTGACTCGGCCAATCTGCCAGGTTATCCAAGATGTGCGTAGCATAGACAATGGTGCAGGGCCTCGTCTCAGTCTCCCGCTTCAGGAACTTCAAGAAGTTGCTCCGCGACAGCAGATCCAAATCCACGGTGATCTCATCAAGCAGTAGAATCGTCCAAGGCCTCAACAATCCCATAGCCAGCTGTACGCGTCTCCTCTCGCCGTCGGACACGGCGTGCATGCGCCAGCGGAGGTCGATGTCCAGGATACTGACGAGCTGATCCCGACGATCAGAGTAGTAATCCCCTCCCACGGAAGCCAGAAGGGTCGGCACATCGATGTCGGTCCTGACGATAGGGTTCAGCACCCACTCGAGGCCGAGGTAGGTCACGCCCTCGAGGCCTTCTTTGAAGGGATCCACGCCCGCGATGCTGACGCTGCCGCTTGGGGCCATGCGCTTGCCGGAGAGGAGGCGGAGGAGGGTGGTTTTGCCAGCGCCATTTGCTGTTGAAGATTTAGGTACAGTAGCATGGTCTGGCAGGTGCATTACTTACCACCTATGAGGAGGGTACGGCTCCCGGGCGGCAGATCGAGGATCACATCCTTCAGCCCACTGCTTCCGTCGGGGAACAGATAGCTGAGGTTCTTGACGTCGATTGAAGGCGCGAGACTGCCGTTCGTGCCGTCCATCGCGCTGTATATTTCTGACTGAGCTTCCAAAAACAAGAGGTGTACCTTGTTCACCCCATCTTTGTGTGGTTCAAAAGTGTACCACACCAAGCAGCGGTCATTGAAATCTCCGATCAATGCCGAATGACGCGCATGGCAGAAACCTCCACCGCCTTGAGTACCTTGCTGACATCTTCAAAAGCCTCCGAGGCTCGACTTTCCCATTAATATCCAGATATATGTTCCGTGCTACGCGTCCGCTGTTCGCGCACACTGGGATGGCCCGCTCAACGCCGCGACAGCCTCTCGTCGCCATACTCGGCACGACGGGCACCGGCAAGTCCCAAGTAAGTGCTACTAGCTCACGCGACAATCACTGCATCCGCTGATCACCACAGGCAGCTTGCTGTGGACCTGGCTAGTCGCTTCAACGGCGAGATCATCAATGGCGACGCTATGCAACTTTACAAAGGTCTACCAATCATCACGAACAAAATACCACTTGAGGAACGGAATGGCATACCGCACCATCTACTCGGCTGCATTGGGCGTGATGAGGAAACGTGGACGGTATCGCGCTTCGTCAAGAAGGCGCTAAACGTCATTGAAGAGATCAGGTCAAGAGGCAGATTGCCGATACTTGTTGGAGGGACCCATTACTACACGCAGTCGTTGCTATTCAAGGACGGGCTGGCGGATGAAGACGTGGAGTCTGGCCGGGAGAATGAAGGCGCAACAGAAGCGCAGAAACCCTTTGCGATCCTGGAGGGGCCTACGGAGGCCATTCTGGAGATGCTAAGGGAGGTTGATCCCGTGATGGCAGATCGCTGGCATCCGAACGAGCGTCGCAAGATTCAGCGGTCGCTGGAAATATGGCTCAAGACTGGCAAAAGAGCATCACAGGTCTACGAGGAACAGCAAAGAAGAAAGCAGATCGGTGATCCGGCCGGGGAGACGGTTGTCAGTGGAGAAGGGTTGACAGCTACTTGGATGAGATTCCCCACCCTCATGCTCTGGGTACATTCATCTACGGAGACACTCTACGCGCGGCTAGATGCGCGAGTTGACAAAATGATCCAGGATGGCCTGTTAGCCGAGGTGAACGAACTGGACGAGTATCTTCAAGCACAAGAGGCCACAGGCAACACTGTAGATCGGACCCGCGGAATATGGGTCTCTATCGGATACAAAGAGTTCGAAGGCTATCAAACCGCGCTTAGAACAGGAAATAGTACGGAAGAGGAACTGAGCAAGCTCAAGATGGAAGCCATCGAAAGGACACAGGCTGCAACGAGACAATACGCAAAGCGACAAGTAAAGTGGATTCGGACAAAACTACTGCACGCCTTGACCGCCGCGCAATCAAGCGACAAGCTCTTTCTGCTCGATGGCTCAGATCTAGCAGCATGGAGAGAAAACGTGGAATGTCCAGCTTTCGACCTGACAGCCTCGTTCCTAGAAAATGCCGCGCTGCCAAAGCCACGTTCTTTGTCTGGATCAGCTGCCGACATGCTGGTTCCGAAGACGGAATATGATATGAGCCAGCGCCAAGATTTGTGGAAGCGGAGGACTTGCGACGCGTGCAATATCACGGCAGTCACGGAGAGCGACTGGAATCAGCATACCAAGAGCCGCAGCCACCGGAGAGCTGTCAGCTCAAAGAAGCGAAAGGATGATCTGTCGGTAGACCTGCTGCGGGCCAAGGGGGCCCAGAAAGCTAGCACCGACCACTTGGAGGGATCTATAGAATCTTTTGACACAATAACGATCGAAGTCAATTGAATTCCATCGCCTCTGTGGTTGGAGCCGGACAACCAGACTGCCAAAATACCGGGCCGCCCGGCTGTAGGGGTGCGTGGCGATAGAAGTTGCTGTCGTGTCGTCTTCACAAGGTGCATGTTCCGGCCAACACTGCGATGTTGCAGATCAGGAGGAGTCAGTGCTAAACCTACTCTGGTGGGCCAAGTCATCTGTGAAGGCAAGAGGCCACAATGGCTTGCTGCAGCCGAGATATGCAGGGAATACAGCGGCCATGTTGGGTACAAAGAGGGCCCTACAATGTCCGGAAATGCCTGCAGCTCTGCCGAGCTACAAGATGTTTCCTCACAATGCCACAGCAGTCCAACCAAGGGCGCAGCAGTGGTGTTAGCGAAGTGGGATTCATGGTACCGGTAGAAGAACACGAAAGTTGAATAGGATGCGCCGACAAATTTGCAACAAACCGTGCATTGGTGCGGTCCCAAGATGCAGTTGTGGTTTAGGAAGGGCGTTAATACCTTCACAAGCGGAAGGTCTTCTAACGAGAGCGTCGATATGTACCTAGTTGAAACTTGGACTTGGAGATCCGCTGAAGATATTCTCCATCGCCCTGTGAACTCGCTGATTACGTACTCTACACATCGAGCGCACTTTATGTGCAAAGGGAAAGAAGGCATAGCACTTCAGTATACGCCGGATAGGCCTTCAGATCAGACAGTATTATCTAGCGTATTGAAAGGATGAATTACTGGCAAGATGAAGCTTTACAGTGAATAGAAAGAAACTCCACGAGCGCTGGAAACCAATCACATTGATACGGCCTTCACGAGTGTGGAGAACGGTGAACAACGAACTGAGATACCAACATCTTCCCAGCTCCAGATCAGTTGGGCATGGGTTCCAGGTACCGGGGAGCAAGGGAAGCTGCCGCTTTCGGGTAGGGCTGAACCATCCGAGCAAGGGCGGTGGTGAGCTTCTTTCAACCTCACCTGTTCTCTCATTGTCCAAGAACAATGCGCTCTCTCTCCTCGGAGCAGCCGACCTGATAACAAGTAGCGCATATGGAAAAGAGTCGAGTGAAGTATATGCCAGTGAAGCGGTGGTGGGGAGGTGCACGTGTGCCATGAGCCGTTGACAGCCAGGGCACGATGGATGGCAGCAGCGCGGTTAGTGAAGGTACGGGGGAGGTGGACTGCGACGAGGTCAGTGAAGAAGCGTAGCGGTGAATGTTCATCACCAGTTAGCGAGAGTCATCTTGTCACGCGCTTCGTCCCTACTTTCACCACAAACATATATATCGCGATCTCTTCCGTAGCTCAGAACTTACGTCCTTTTCATCATACTCCTCTTACCCCAGAGACCATCCAAAGAGTCACAAACACACGAAATCCAGTCCACCCACAAATCCTCAAAATCCTCAAGCGCTACCCACCCACAGTTGGAAACACCTCAAAGTCTCCAGATGACGCTGCGCAAACGATTCAGTTCGGCGCAGGCAAAAGCAGTGCACAAAGTCGCCGAATTTCTCCACATGTCCAAGCTGACATCTCCCCGCGGTACTAAGCGTCCCGCGACAGCGTCTCCCGAACCTGAAGGCTCCTCGCCGCCACCGCATAAGCGGTTTGAAAAAGCCAAGAATGGCGTCCGCAATTTCCTGTCGCCTTTCAGCTCCAAGTTTCAGCACCATGAGCCCGCTGTCGAGCTCCCTGTGAACAACGCGACTACTGCTGAGCACATCAAGCCTACCATCACGCGCGATGAAAATCGCATTCGCGCTGAGGCTACCGTCTCAGCAGGCGACACGTCTAGGCTGGATGATGTGGTCAGTCCTCTACACGACAGCACTACGGCGCCGGCACACGGTGTCACTGTCCGCGCCGTAGGACCCTCAGAAGATGAAGTTCGACTTATCATCCCACCTCGCTCAAGCTCGAAAGCCGCCCTTCAGAACTTGGAGCCTGAATTCGCTCATAGTGGGCATGCAGATGGCATCTTCGACCACCAAATCACCAACGGATATGAAGAGAAGGCGGATCGTGGCGCCACACACCGCGCCTTGCGCGAAGGAAGTCCAGCGAGGGTGCATGCCATTGGCGCTAAGAAGCTGGAAGAGCATGTCAAGGGCCACAAGACGAAGCCTTCGGAAGATTCGGGATACCAGAGCACACGGAAAGTGACACCGCCGCAGGAGGAGAACGAGGCCATGAAGATCGTGGAAGAGAATGCTGAGGAACAAGAGGATTCAACGTCATCGAGTGGAAGCGGAAAGCAGAGTGTTGCTACGCCTCCACCGACACCGACTCCTCCTTCACCTGCGTTACTACTTGAGAAACCCGACAGCAAGCAGCATCGGCCTCTATGTGTATCGCGTGAAGGTCCGCCAAAAGATCCGCTCGCAAGGCAGGAAGGCATTCTGGGCTGGGAACGCGATCCTTTCGGTACATGGCTACCCCAATGGGAGATGGAGCCGGATCTTGAACTGATTAAGGAAACTGTATCACCATACGGCTTCCTGTGTGGATTCTCAAGCGAAGACATCACTGTGCAGTTTCTGGCAGAGGGCTTATGGAACAAGGTCTACACAGTTTCTTGTCCTGATCACGCAGCCGGAACGGTGCAGCAGTGCATATTGCGCCTTGCTCTTCCAGTTGATCCATGGCACAAGGTTCAGAGCGAAGTTGCTACAATGGAGTACGTTCGAATGCAGACATCCGTCCCGGTTCCCAAGGTCTATGCATTTGACTCGTCCGCAAACAACAAGTTACGCCTGGAATGGATACTCATGGAGAAGATTCAAGGAAAGCCGTACAACGAAGTCGAAGATGTACTGGACTTCGACACGCGAGAGCAATTGCATAAGACAGCAGCCGACTGGGTGGATCAGCTATCGAAGCTCAAGTTCGATAAGATTGGCAGCTTGTACTGTCGTTGGGACCAACCCTCATACAACCTCACAGCCTTCATCCTCGGACCGGTTGTTCATGCTGAATTCTATCCCGACTTCAGATTACAGTACGGAGTGTTTCGAGGTCCGTTCAGAAGCCTCGCGGATTTCTATCGATCCGTCATTAGAGTACATGAGTTGGAAGCACAAGACCAGCGCCAAAAGGACCGGGCCTTGTACTGGGAGACGCACAGTGACGGGGAGAAAGGACGAATTGAGTCGAAGCAAGACAAGGCGGCCAATGGCGAGCGCCAAATAGAGCGGTGCAATGGAATCAGCAGCAACGAAACCGATGGCGATGTCGTAGACCTACGCATGCAAGACGGCGAAGAAGTTGACCAGCACATGAAGGAGTCGCTTTATTCCGTCGAAGATCTCGAACGGATCCCAAAGTATCTAGGGCACCTGAGGGAAATCATCCCTCTACTCGATTCGGATGAGCTCTTGGGCCCAGCACATACGTTCCTTAACCACTGGGACTTATCCAAAGAGAACATCATGGTTGACGATGCCGGCAAGCCAATCGCACTGCTTGACTGGGAACAGATCACGACGAGCTCCGCAGCGATGGCAACTGTGTTTCCAAGGCTAGTCGAGACAAATGGGTTTACCGAACCGCCCTCTTGGCCAGCGGACAAGCCCAAAGATGAGGATCAACTCTGGCAGGAAAAGCTTTGGGATCAGGTTCTACTGAAGCGGGTATACGAAGCGCGGCTGAGGGAACTGAGTTCCCCGGTCTTGAGGGCCGAGGATGAATTAGACGACGACTTGGACACCTTGTGGCGGCATGTCACCGACATGGATTACCACAGGTTTCCGAATTGGACCGAGAGGATCCACGAGGAGAAGCGTTGGAGGCTGGAGGGTCTTCAGGAAGCATAAGAGACGGACTGGATCGAGCAGATGCAGGAGCTGAAAGGAAGGCGGCGGTAGAGGGTTTCGGCATCGGCATGTGCATCAGGGCTTGTTCTTGCCCTTGGAATACCCGTAGCAACTTCACTGGCTTTAGAGTAACGAGTCGTTGAACCTCGAGCACTAACGCTCTTGTTCCCAATATGTGGCATTCTTGTTAGCTGTTGATCTTGTAAAGAGTGTTGTTAATGGTACGCGTTGACTCCTCCTGCCACAGCACCGCAGTCACATCAGTAATCTAAGCCTTCAATCCGTCTTGCAAAAGCGATGCAACTTAGGCTTGCCGCTACAAATGTGGTGGCATCGCTCTTGCATAAGACAATGCAGACATAACCCCAGTCGATACTTGCAGACAATCCCGAAAGCCTCATTGTGCAGACACAGAGTATAGACCGAGAAGACCAAGACAAGGGGACAAGGGGACAAGGAACCAATAGAATCCGAGACGCTTGAGCACCTAGTCCCTCTCGACGATGCGATCGAACACAGTCTTCCAGGCCTCTATACCAAACAAGACTCTTTCAGATCGTGTTGGCGACGTATCCACAGAGCTGGCTCGGCATATGCTGTCATGCTCCTCATGGCGTGCTGGAGTGAATAGCCTTCGTAACCGGCGCAACTGATCCATAATGACGGAGCGGTATATTCACCCTCGTCAACGAGCGCTCTTGCGCTATGTCACTGTGTCGGAATGACCATGTGGTGCTTTCACGCGTACGTTCGTTGCCCTCACCTACCGCTTGAGTTCGCCTCTCCGCCCTCTTCTTCTTCCTCTTCGTCTGCTTCATCGACATCACATACCACAAAACACTTTCATCGTTCTCCATAGTTCTTCTACCGCAGCACCATCTCAAGCAAAGCCCGTTCTCCAAACTCATCAGGCTCCTCTCACTTCAACAGCCCCTCCGCTCACTCTTGAGATCGTGCCCAGCTAGACTCGAAGTCCAGACTGCCGCAACCGCCGGTATGAGTCGACGCAAGGTCTTCATGCAATACGTGGACGCGATTCCAGACAGCTCGATCAAGGACCACCTTTACAAGCGGGCGGGCAAGACCACCGATATCCAGGCATTCCGAGATCGCACCGGCAAGAAAAATTTCCACTTCGACGTCCAGGAGTTCACAAAGGCCGAACCCAACGGTGACCAGTGGCATGTTCTTGAGGTTCAGGGCGCGTATAGCGCATTATCGAAATCCGTCGTAAAGAGTGGGAAGGGCGGCAACCAAGCCAAAACGTCTACCTACGCTATGCTGCGAGTACATCGCGATGCCGACCCAAGTCCATTGGACTTTAAGGAGGCGCTGAAATCGGCGGGCTCGCGGTGTGACGAGAAAGAGGAGAGGGGCGAGGAAACTTGTCCCATGGCCTTGACCGTTAGCATCTACGCCAACAATCAGTGGATCAATGAACACACCGGGGACCGAGGCGGACCAGCCTACCAGCCGCCGCAGCTGACAATCACGGATCCGTTGGACGACCTCGAGGACGGCGATTACAACGAGGCTACGATGAAGGCAGCATTCGCCGAAGCAAAGCGAGGGAAGGAGAAACTGCAGAGCGATATCCAGCAGAAGAACGATGCGCACGATGACATGGAAAAGAAACGCGCCGAGGATATCGCGGCTAGGACTGCGAACAGAAATCTGGAAAAGGGCAAGGGGAAGGGCAAGGGCAAGGGCAAGGAAACATCTGGGTATAAGTAGGCCCTTGAACAAGGTTGGTCTGCTCGTGTGCTTTGCTCCGATACATGCACTGACAGTGACCACGCTCTTAGAGTCTTCATCTTGCTGTGGGCTCATGGAACACTTCCTCAGAATGACACAGCATTGTTGATACCTCGGCGGCCTCTCATAACGACACCTAATCACACGACTCTCATTGCACCTGTCCTTGTTTTCGGCTCTGGAAGATTCCATCGAAACGATACTGGTCAAATGATACCCTGACGGCTGCTTGTAACTATATTCGATTCCACGACTCATACGGCACTCCTTTCTTGCATGCGGATCTTGGATGACTTCCTCAGAATGACTCAGCATGAACGGCACCGCGACGGCCACTCACAGCGATACTTAATTCTACGACTCTCATTGCATCTTGCTCTTGCTTTCGGCCCTTGGAAGACATCATCGGAATGACACCGGTTGAACGATACCCTGACGGCTGCTTATGATGATTTCCAGTTGCACGACTCTTACAGCATATCTTCTTGCTTCCGGCTCTTGAAAGACTTCCTCAGAACGATACAGCACTCAAAAATACTCCGGCGACTGCTTACAACGACATCCGATTCCACGACCCCCACAGCACCCGCCTCTTGTATCCGGCTCTTGGAAGACGTCTCCAGAGTGACGAATCATAAACGAAACCTCGACGGCTTGCGATGATACACGATTTCACGACTTTCTTTTACGGATATGCAGCGTCATCGCGACACGGTGATAGATCGCTCACAGCATTCGGCGTTTACTTGCGGCATTGGGAGACTTTCTTCAGATTGGCATAGTATGAATGATACCCCGGCAGCTGCTACTAATGACGTTTGTTTTCTTGACTTTGAGTTTTGCGGGTCTGAAGCGGCATTGGATATGGTGATGGAAGATTGGCGGTGGTTGAAGTTGGGAAAAGATCCCTGTCTGGGTTATGGCTCGGTCACATGATATTGGATGTACTGAGACTCAGATTCAACATTACAGATACTTTGAGCACACGGTTTCTGGGGAATAGGTTATTGCTTCATAGGTGTCGATGCAATTACATTGATTCGTTAGGTCAAATCATTCCCATTACACGTCACATGATTTTATACATCTACCGCGATCTAACTTGTTCTAAGTCGATGCGCCTTCAGATAAGCATTACGATATGTATTCGCTTTCCATGATTTCAGCGACGCGCCATCATAGACGTCACTAACTATAAGCCTGCTCTCAGTCTCTATCTTACGTTGTTGACAAACAGTTACAGGCCCGCCGACCAGGAAACTTCTCCAGAACGCATTGCATAAAACCCAACAAGACCATGCCATTGTGCTACACCAAGTCCCCAGCAGCACCGCCGCCACCGCCATCTTCCTCCTCAATCACGTTGTCTAGATCGTCACGGCGCTCCTGCCGTTCCTTCTTTCCTTCTAGGCACGACCTTCACAGAGGCTTGGCGCCACCACGGCATTTTTCAACAGTTTGGTGGCTTGCTCGTGGCTCGTTACATAGCTTGTGACTCATGGTGCTTCATCTTCTTGCACGTGATCCGGTCCTATCTTAGACTGTGGTCTGGATCTTGTGACGCTGTGAACTCAGAAGATCTTTCGAAGCACCATGAAGAGGAGGGCGGCGATGATGCCATAGATTGCCTTGTCGATCCAAGCTGGAACGTCGTCGTTTGTGTCCAGGGGCGGCGGACGCGGAGGTGGCAGAGTGATCGTGCGCGTCGGTGTTGGAGGCGGTGTATTGCTGGAAGCTGGTATCGGAGGCCGAGAATCTGTTGGAGCTGAAGCTGCTTGAACGGCCGCATCAGGATGTGCAGAATCTGTATCCCGCGTCGCGCTGTTCCCCTGCCCCTCGCCCGCACCCGCACCCAACTCCTCCCGATACGCAAGCCTCAGCTCCTCCGGCACAACCTCCTCCTTCTTCACCCCCTCCCCCTCCATCCCCCGAACCGCCTCCTGCCTCTCCCGCATAATAGTCTCATTACTCTTCCCACAAGCCGCACACCTCCAACCCCCCGACTCCCTCGCCATCCTCACCCTCGCCTCCCTCGTCGAATCCACCCCCCCAACCTGCCCCCTCGCATCCGTATCCATAAAACTCCTAATCGCGACCATCGCGGTCCTGATGCCCCAAGCCGGCTGCCACGTCTCCTCGTGGTGTCCACTGATACTGAGGCAGATCTCGCGGTTGACTTCGAAGCGGCCGGAGGGCGTCATGAAGCGGAAGGAAGGCGGGCGGAGCGGGTATGCGGAGGGCAGGATTATGCGCCCGTGGTAGAGCCCTCCGGCGTAGGGGGAGGGCGAGGGTGGGCCCCGGATCGTGAAGTGCCATTCGAAGAGGTTGGACTCAAGGGGTTCGGCGTGGAGGTCGGGGGAGGGGTTAGTGGCGAGTTCGGTGGCTTCTTTGACTGGGAAGGGGGGTTTAGAGGGATGGCTGAGGAGGGAGGGGGAGACTTGCGGATTCGTTTTATGGTGGGGTTTTTGGTATTGAATTGGCCGCGGGTGGACATTATGCAGGTAGTGTGTGGAGGTAAGTGATTGGAGGGGAGCTGCGGAAGATGTTGTGGTGTAGTTATTATGAGGAAATCCAAGGACATAAAGTGATCGTGGAAATTCTTGAAGGCATGGTAACAGGTGACTAACAAGTAAGTTGAGGTGCTGAGTGCCGCATAGTAGCAACGTGGAGGTTATCGCGGTCTTGGCCTCTACCACGGTACGGTTTCGGCTATTCCTGCCTTGACGCTCCTCCTGTCTTTGATCATTTCAACTTCAACCTCACAAGCTTATCAGGTGTCTTGATCAGGCATTTACATTTTTCCTGACGGGCGCAATCGAGTGACTGACTTCTACGTGAACATAAAATACCAACATCATCTCGACGTAATGTTTCACAGCTGGTTGCAAGGAACCCAAGGCTTTGGTTCGCCCAAATGCATCTACAAGTAGCTCCTGATCACTCCAAACACAACTGGGTGAAGTCGTTTTTTGCCCCCATCAGTTCGTAGCGTTCAAGAAAATCTTGCTTCGTCGCCTCTTTTCCGGGGCAGACCAACTGTAAAGCAACACCCTGTTACTGAGGCGAGGCTGTCACAGCCTTGCAGGACTCCGCCCTTTTTCACGCATCGCCTTTCCACTGCTCTAAAGCAGCAACAAGGCTGAGAAAGTGCTCCCTCAAGCAGATAAGCCTGCCTATCCCCGCTCGACTTTCTCTGCATCTTGCTCCCGTGGCCTGCTCCGACTCCTTCTGTTTCGTCGCCGCTTTACGGTCAAAGCTCTCTTCGACTGCACGTGTGACGTGTCATCTCAGCCACGATGTCCTTCTCCCACGCAAGCTTCATGCAGCCGGAACAGTTCCTCCAATCCTCTGTCGAGGATGTCAGGTATTTTTTTTTTAGACTGACGCAGAAAAAGGGCGAAGGTTCAGGACCTCCAGGCCCAGGCGCCCCACCATGAATCCTATTGGCAGTATCAGGCAGATCATGCGGGAGTGGATTTGGGGAATATCGAATCACGCACCGACATCAACGAAGACACGATCCACGGTCCGCTCTTCGCTTCGCAACTCGGAAACTTCTCAGTCTTCGAACCGGGTCTGGAGAGTGCATCCTTCTACGACCCGAATTCCGATTCCTTCGGCTGCCAGGGAAATAACGTTCTATCGTATGCTGCGGTTAATGGACACCACAGCGGCCTGGCACTTCCGCCGAATCCTTTCAATCATCATGGATCTGCGGATCATTGCTCCGATGCGGCTCACTGGCTGTCCGTAGCCGCCGCACCAGGAGTGCCAGTCCATCAGACGATGCTCCCCGACCATAATGAGGCGACCAAAGTGACTGCACCAGATTCGGCAGCTTTTCAGCCTGCCGCGTCGGGTCACTCTACCTGGTGGAACAGTTCCAGCACTGAGCCCTACTCTTATCAGCTGCCAAACTGGGGATGGCCTACATATGCTGCTCCGGCTACAAGCGGCTTGGCTGGTTCAGGTTTGTATCTTGGCGTAGGCTTACTCGGCCCTTCACTCAGGTATGTTTGGTGGAAAATCTCTTCAAATGGGTCTCGGGCACTGATGTCTGCTAGCATACCGCCCGCGACTTTGCATGGCCAGAATTCTTTCGAGCGCTCAATATACCGCAAGAGCTTCTCCGATTCTAATAAGGCATATGGCCAGGAAACAGCATCGACTGAAGAAAAAGGTGTCGATAATACCACGCCGGAAAACCCTTTGCCGTCAGATACACAGCGCACCGGCTGGAATGGAGCCATGGAACTGCATACCTGTGGCGAGTGCCACGAAACCTTCTCTACTGGTGGGAATTTGCAGGAGCATGCGCTGCAACAGGCGCACGAAGCCTACACTTGCCGCATAGAGGGGTGTTCGTCAGCATTTCAATCCCATAGGGGCCTCGCGGCGCACGTAAGAAGACACGATCAAGGTTCTAAAATTACCTGTAATCAATGCTGTATGACGTTCACCAGAGACGCGGAACTGAACCGGCATGCTCAGCTCAAGACGCACGCAGCATATGCTTGCTCAGAGGAGGGATGTACATCAACGTTCTCCAGGTCCGATGTGTATCAACGCCACCAGACAACCCACTTGCGTGGAACTCCGCGCTTTCCGTGTCTATACTGCAAGAGACACCGCGGTAAGGAGGGCTTTAGGCGCAAGGACCACCTCACACAACATTTGCGTAATTACCACCATATTGACGAGGATGATGGATGGGGCAGGTACCGGGAGTCATGCCAGCACGAAGGTTGTCCCGAGTATAGGGGTGACCTAGATGAGTGGTCCAGGGAACATGCCTTCAAGAAGTTCGCCAAGTACATTACGCACATGCGAAAGGTCCACGACGAGTCCGAGTTCCCATGCCCAGCGCCGGGCTGCGAGAGGGTGAACGGCAAGGGGTATTTCCGAGAGTGTGACCTTGCTAAACACCAGCGCAAACAACACCCGGAGATGGCCGAGGACAACCAGGCTTGAGCGAAGAAGGGCGGCTTGAAGGGGCTGTCTTTTTGTATCTCTGCAGTTCTACTTTTGAGCCCTTGGCTGTCTCTTTCGACTGGATACATATCTTCCACAAAAAAACATGAAAAGCAGAAAACCATGCTTGGATTAACGACTTTTCGGTTTTGTCGTGAGAGTCTGCTCTTGCTTTTATAATTAGATCAACTTTGTTGCTTTCCTTCGATACTGTTCAATCTCCAACGCCGTGATACCTGCACCCCGGCGTCAAAATGTCTCCTCGCATGTTAACCCATCCAGTATGCCAGCCCTCTTCCCGCGCCTAGTAGAGCATCGATGCTTGAGGGTTCTCTAGTCATGTCTACTCGAAGCGTGAAAAGGTGGTGGCGAAACGAGTATCAAACGAAGGGTCGCCCTGTTCGAAGACGATGATGTTGCTCTTTCCGCAGTCATCCTGATATTCGATCTATCAACACGGATCATAGCGGATGATGAAGCAAGCGCGACCACAATGTCGTTGATTCTAAGACGATCCAACCAGGGTATCACGTAACACCATCCAGGCCTTTCGAGTATCCCAGCAATGACATGTACGAAATCGATGCGACACGTCTCCCAAGCACCGTCACTGCCAACATAGGAAATGCCATTGGCGAGATAACAAGCTGCTCAAGAGAAATCATCCCACTCTTTCTTGCCCAATACGGTGACGCTGCAATGAGAGACTGCAAACCATGATACAAAGCTCAGCAAAACCGCCAGACCAGCGAAACCCGATTTGCTGAACCACGTCCGCGGCTTCCTCACCACCATCTGATGCGCAGCCGCTCCGTGTCGCGCGGCTGACATCTTGTCCGTCTCCACTAGCCCTTGCGCATGGCTCCCCAGAAGCTCATCAAGCTCCTCCACCAGCAGCAAACTCCGCCTAAAAATCTCCACCGCCTCCTCAACCACCTCCCACCTCTCCTTCTCCGTAAAAACGGTCTCAGCCTCCGCCAACCGCCGTTTAAACTCCCTCTTGATATCCTCACCATCTCCCTCACCCACAAAATGCCAGAACGACAGGCCCACCTGTTCAAGCCCCCTCTCCTCCTTCTCCTCCTCTCCACTATCCCTATGACCATACCTGATCCCCCTCCAAAATCCCTCCCCAGCCCCAACCAACTGTCCCCTGATCCACCGTCCCCCGGAGAAGACAGCCATATACATGACCCACGCGTACGCAACGAGGACGTGCGGTCTCGCACTCACAGCCTCTCGCATATGGACGCAGTACTCATGCAGCTGCTCCCCAGCCGGAGGCCCCGACAGCTCGGCCGCGAGCTCCAGGTCAACAGGCAGCAGCGCGTTACACAGCGCATCTAAATCTTTGCGTAGGCGCTGCGAGCGCGCGAGGCCTGGTGGGCGGAGCGTGGAGAGGAAGGCAAGAACACGGGGATCCGGTGGTGGGAAGGGCGTAGGCGGTGGGGTGATGCAGATGGGACCTGGTGGGGAGGGGGCGTGGCCCGGGGCGGGAGCGAGATCACGCCAGAGGGACTCGAAGATTGAGTACACTTGTGCGAAGTGGCGGAGGCCGAAGGCGTAGAGGTGGGGGGTGGAGGTGTGGGGTGGGAGGGCGAGGGGGAGGCGGGTGGTTATGAGGCGGTTGAGGCGGGTGTGGAGGTGTCTTGGGGGGTCGTTAGTAAAGCTGTCCTCAAGTGTTCTCCCGTGCGGTCTGTAGGGGCGTGTTTACCTCGTCGCCACGTTTATCTCTGTTGGAAGTGAGAGAGCCTCCGGGGTGGGCGCAGGCGATAGCGACGATGCCATTTCGCTTTGTGCCACGAGTAAGGAGAACGCGGGGCCTGACGAAGAGGTAAAGACAGTAAGAGGATGCGTGGGGATAGTTGAAGGCAGTAAGGAGTTGTTCAAGACAATAAAGCCATCGCATGATCAGGCAGAGGCACGAGGCAGCGGCAGATGGCCGACAGCGCTACCACAACCCCGGCCATGGCCATAACGGTACATGGGACGGTAGAAGCCAGGGAAACCTTTCTGACGGTGAGGTGTAAGAGTTTGATAGACAGATCATCCATTATTCGGCAAATCGGTCTTTACTCAGCACCGCCGATTCTGAAGGGACATCTCTGTGCCCCGAAATCGTGGCTGATGCGTGGCTCCCTGCACATGGCCGGCGGCTCGGCGGATGCTTCCTGCGACCTCACATCAACCACCTGGGCAAGATTGACAGCATGTTTACATGCAGTGGACATCCCTTGCCACATATTCACAAGTATGGTGCTGGCGCAAGAGTTTGTGCCTGCGGTCATGTGTGGACCTCGTCCACCACCCCGTTCACAACGCAGACCCAAACAAGAAGATGCGGATTTGTACAAATGGACGCACCTTCGCGTGGACGCTGCTGTTGGGCTCTGATACCGATCTCACCCCACCGATGGATTGTCTCCATACTGGTAACTTGGGGATCAAGTTGTGATGTCGAGTCGGAGAACCAGACTTCTTCGGCTATCGCTGTGATCGGTTTTGACAGGCTACGGGACTCTCCTCTATGCCTCCATCAGTGAGTCTTTCAGGGTCAAACAGAAGCTCAAACAACGCTAGGATCATTCTGCTGGCAAGTATGCTATAACAATACTCCCTTTCTCCTATCATGCCGCCCGTCCTTAAGCCAAGGGTACCAATCAGAGCGTATCTCCTGTCTTATTAACTCTTTTGGTCTACAACCATCTGTCACAGACTATGGCTATCAAATACGCCGCCACCGGGGTCGTGTCTGGAAGCCATCAAACCCCTGTTTCTGCTCCTACACTGTTCTGTACGTTGTCGCTCATCGTGTACCACTGGACCCCGCTTCCAAACGAAATGAGTTCACAGATCATCAATTACTTGACCCCAACGCCGGTTGCGGAGTGAACAACAACAGATCTTCACTGCTGGACTACTGGGAGTACCCGGTGTGAGACCTTTTCTTCTGGCTGTCAAGGTTCCCGCGCATGTCACCAGTGCCAGGATCATAGGCGGAAGCTCGCTCTGGCTACGACTGCGTCTTCAGTCTATCGAAACCCACAGCCCCACTGTACCGTATCGTCGACTATCTGACGCCAATATCGACAACTCGGTGACCAACTGGTGGACGGCCCACCGCAACCCATATTTTCGGGCTGGTCTGACCTGGCACGCGGCTCTCCGCCAACGCTTCCAGCTTCACATAGGATAAGGCTAGGTCAGTCAGATCAACTTGCTCGTGCTAACCGCTAAACCTCGGTCTGTTTGGATCTTGTAAATATCAATGAATACTTCATGTCTGAACCTCTGCTCAATCCCAATACATGTTGTGTAATACTGCGTGTCTCCCGCCGTGAAGACCTGCATTCGAGAAGCTGAATTGCCTGGCCGTGTGTAAGCTGATGCCCGATACAAGTACCCTCACAATATGCAGGCCACAGTAGCAGAGCCGAACACATGCCGAGACTATCCGTGGAGCAGTAATCGCGCAAACCCGCGTCGACAGAGAGTTTATCTATAGAAGCACGGATAAGTTCAAAGCAATTGATAGTGCGCGAATGTAGTATTGGAGGCAAGTTTGAAGTGGAAAGGTCACTGAAGTCAGAACTGATCCCTGTACCTGGGTTCTCCGAAGCAGCTAATGAAGCAACTTCTAAGAATAGTTTATACCTTTCAGAGGTTGTTGGCAGGCGGTTTGCTGTCGGTGGCTGTTCTTTAAGCTGCCATGTCTTTCTTGTTCTTGTTGTCTAAAGTCACGGTAACAAGAAGAATCAGACGAAGTAATAGTTCTCTTTGTTGTCCTTTCATTAAGCTCAACACACCATTCAGAGCGTTTGTTCTATCGTCATTCCTTCATCCTTTATAATGCTTTGTTCTCGACTATGACTATTAAGTCCGCGCCCTCCGGGGCCGTTACGAAGGCACTAAATCCTTATCTTCGCTCCTACACTGTTCTATACATCGTCTTTCACCATGCCCAACTGGCCGGATCTACCACAGGCGGTACAGCAAATGATTATGAGAAACTTGGTCACGCCCGAAGATGGTCAAGTGGTAAACCTTACAAGAGATGCTGACAATCGTCCAGATCTGAACATTATTCACACATCACGCGAAGCGGCCAGGGATGGCTTTGCAGAGATGAGACTACGCAACACGTACGTTTTTGAGGATGCCGACCAGATGCGTCGCCTGAGACGTCCGCCCCCTAGAAGGATCCCGGGACGACGGCGGGGCCAGCAGTTTGTCCGCCATGGCATCAGAAAGATTAGGATACGGATGAACTATACGCATCGTGCAGGACAGCCACCGAACTGGCTGCTCCTATTAGCGAATGCTCACCCCAGAACAGAAGACCGGCAATGCTGTAACAAGAAACGGGACAATGTAGACCCCTGGCATGCCCTTCTCCCAGTGGCTCCACCGGAGGAGTGGGTAGGCGCGAGGCTGCCCGTTGAGGAAAACATCCCGGTTCCTCAACTCACGATTGATAACCGCCTCTTCCAGGTGGAATTCTTGCGGCGCAGATGGGACTGGGTATTCAAGAATTGGAGGGAATATGGACTTTTGGAGGTGAGAGAGGTGGAGCTGCAGCTAGACGACCTTATGAAGTGGCATACGTTGTGGGGCCCTATAGGAATGAGGGATAACTGGATGTATCCAGCCCGCGACCTTTTCTTGCTGCTGTTCCAGGTTCCGAACTGGGTCACCACCGTTACTATTGTTAGTCGATATGCCGGGTTTCTGCAACGGCGCCTACGATCTATCGAGAGGAACAGCAGCCATGGAGTACCGTATGGCCGACAAGATACGGACGAACAGATCGATTTTTGGATGACGAATTGGTACGAGAACTACAAACACAAGTTCTACAGACGCGGCACCACTTGGCACGAAAGACTCCGCAGTCTGCCCTTCCAGCTCAGATGGAGATTCGACAATGATGTGGAATAGTGATGCTCGGCGCGGAGAACGGGCGTGGCTGAATCTCTCGGGCCTCGATACATTTGTTGGGCACATCTGGTTTTCTTCACTGACTTCTCACTGCCAATAAATAGTCTCGTATATTGTACTTATTTTTGCGTTTTTAGAAAGACCTTAGCGTTGTGTCAGTTTGTTTCAGACGCGCTGAATGAACAGTTGCGCACAGTAATCCGATTTTAGACATATGTCATCGCCTACATCGGGTTGATACAAGATAGTCTCCCGACCACGTGACGAAGGCACCGTATGGTTTGCACCTCCAGGGGAGATACGCTATTAGTCGTTGGGTCGCCCTATGCGTGTGAGCCGTGTATGGAACGTGGAAACAACGGCGCAGTCTGATCGTCAGCGGAAAGATACTTGGTCCCATGGCTATTTTTGAACGTGGCTGAGGCTTGGATCGCCTTGTTTGCGCGTCTTGGTGCGCGCTTGGACTGCATCATCCAGCTGCATCGCGAAAGGGACCCACAGCCACGCCAGCGCAAAGGCCAGACATACATCCGTAAAACTTCTCACCTCCTGAAGCAGCGTGTCGGTAGTATCTGCACTTTATCTCCTCACACTTCCTGTCGTTCCCGCAGAGCCCAGCGCCCGCAGAGATCGCCCCTCCGGGACCTTGCATCGCGCACGAACTGCTGTATTACGCTGGAGCCGCTTGTCAAAAAATCTCCGAGATCTAACAGCAAGCACACCCTCGTTCCAGAGGGGCTCCTCCCTCAATAACCCGACATGGCCGCCAACGACCACTACAACCCGCACGCCAGCCCCTACAGTTCCCCCTACAACCGCCGCGAAGATGCGCCCCTCCCACCCATCCCCTCCACATCGCCCTACCCACGCCCACACATAGACACCCCCAGCACAACCAACGTCTCGCCCGTCACCTCGCCCTTCGACGACCGCGAATACCCTGCCTACCCGCAGTCCAGCCAGCAAGGGTTAACCGCCGACTCGGCATACTACGGCGCGGGCGAGCGGCGGCACAGCAGGATGTCGGACCCGTTCACGGATCACAATGCGATTCAGCTGCAGAGCCAGACACTGAAGCTTGATGGGTCGCCGACGAGATACAACGCTGATCCTGAGGGCTCGGGGTTGCACGGGCAGCCGCGGGGCGATGCTGGGGCGCAAAGGCAACCGAGTCGGAGAGCAAGGAAGAAAAGGAAGGGGTGGTTGTCGGGGCGTGTGACGTGGGTGGTTTACATTCTCAGTACTGTGCAAGTGGGCGTCTTCATTGCGGAGCTTGTTAAGCAAGGTAAGATCTATTGCAACCTCACTCTACAGTCTTTAGAAACAACTTCTTCTACTATGTGGACCTCAAGATCTAACGCACCCCCAGGCATCCTAACCGGCTCTCCCATCGCCACAAAACCCTCCTTCAACCCCATGATCGGCCCCTCAACCCCCCTCCTCATAAACATGGGCGCACGCTTCGTACCATGCATGCGCAACACGCCGATGATCACCGACTCCGGCGGCGCGCTCCTTCCCTGCCCCAACGCTACAACCAGCTCCTCGCTCTGCTCCCTCTCCAACCTCTGCGGCAACGGCATGCCTGCGTCCCTCGACCCCCAGCCGGGCTGGGACCTCAGCCACAAGCCCGAGCCGAACCAGTGGTGGCGCTTCATTGTGCCGATATTTTTGCACGCCGGCTTGATCCATATTGGGTTTAATCTGCTGCTGCAGCTCACCCTGGGACGGGATATGGAGAAGGAGATTGGGAGCATCCGCTTCTTCCTTGTCTATTTCGCGAGCGGCATCTTCGGGTTTGTGCTCGGTGGGAACTACGCCGCGGAGGGCATCGCGTCGACGGGCGCGTCGGGGGCGCTGTTCGGAATCCTCGCGCTGTGTTTGCTCGATCTGCTCTACAGCTGGGGCGAGCGGAAGAGTCCAGTCAAGGATCTGCTCTTCATCCTGCTGGACATCGCTATCGCGTTCGTGCTTGGCTTGCTGCCCGGCTTGGACAACTTCTCGCATATCGGCGGGTTTCTGATGGGTCTGGTGCTCGGGTTGTGCATCTTACACTCCCCGAACGCGCTGAGGGAGCGCATTGGCCAGGATGACCCGCCGTATGCGGCTGTGGATGCGGCGCGTCAGGATGGCCCGGAGGTGGTCAAGGGCGATACGGCACTGGCGGCCTTTGCGAAGGCGCCGGTGGGCTTCTTCAAGGGGAGGAAGCCGCTGTGGTGGGCGTGGTGGCTTATCAGAGCTGGCGCGCTGGTGGGAGTGCTGGTGGGCTTCATTGCGCTGTTGAACAATTTCTATGTTTACAGGAGTCGGTGTGGGTGGTGCAAGTACCTGAGCTGTCTGGTAAGTCATGATCCCCTCGATGTTGTCGGTCTGGGATAAGTGCTGACCCGAACTGCAGCCGGTGAACGGATGGTGCGAGATTGGGGATCTGAAGTTGCAACCTGAAGCTGGCACCGGGACCACCCCGAATAGGAGGGATCTGTTTGGTGCAGGCGATTTTATGTTCTAGGCGGCTCTGTCGAGCGGTCAAGGAGGGACTCTGCATAGCTGAGTAGTTTGTTTTGCGGATACTTCTGGGTGGGTACGAGTCTCCCGCATCCAGAGAAGATGGAGTTCAATCTGGTTTGATCGTCTGCATAGCGCTGGTGTTTTCACGTAAGTGTTGGGCAGGGCGGTGTTGGTTTCTGAGATACCACATGAGATGTGCTCGGGTGGTCAAGTGAATTCCAACAGCTTTTGGCTGTATGAACGACATTGTTCGATAGTGGGCTTGAATCAGGGAGATTATTCAATAGACAGCCGTCGCTTACTGACTCGTTGATCCTGCTTGTTTAGGCGTCTCGAAGAGTGTGCATGCCGCTCGCGAAAAAGATCGGGATACCGTACGCTCATAGTGGTGTTTTGTACTGCCTGGTGTCTTCCGTTCAGTACGAATAGAGACAAATTGTGGGTTGTCAACGTCTTATATTCTATCTACGTTTCACATTCGTTTTCGTAGGCCAGTCTTGCGTTGGCATGATGCTGTTAGACCGTTCGGGAGCATCAGGCCGACTGGCTCGCTACAGCCGCTACATCTCGTACCAAAACGTGAGCATACAGCCGGTCTCGACTATGGTCAGCTACGCAAGACGACCTAGTGATGGAGGTAGTATAAAACCGCGAAATGTTTTTCGAAGTTCTCGATTATTCACATAGTCTCTGAATAGGGTACTTACACCCACTGGAAACAAGGACGTTGTCCTTCCATTGTCAATGCGACATGGCCCAGCTATGTCGGCCTTGTAGACGCGCATAGTTTCATCCCACCCGACCCTTCACAGTCCATAAATACTGAGAGCCTGCCGCCGAGCTTCTAAATCCCAAGAACGCAATCTTCTGCACACCCTGTCCAGAATCTTGTCTCTTACACCCTCGCCCAACCCGAAAGCTACCCATTCGCAACAAACCTTTCCAATGATGTCCAAGACCGAGTCAACCAGTCCATCCGGAAACGGTAAGTCTCCAACTGCGCGCAGGCACGCAGTTTCAGAGCAGGGCGGCGTTGTGGGTGTGGCCTCCGTCGCGATATCGTCACTCATGCCCGGACGTCTCAGGGATATTCGAGATGGTGTAGGCGACATGTCGTATAAGCCGTCCCACTGCGACAAGCACGAGACGATGAGGGGATACTGCCCGGATTGCGAGGGTCCAAACGTAGAGCAAGGACGGGCCTACTGTGCAGCGAGAGACTTCAGGAAGGTTAGGAAAGTGATTCGCGCGATCGGCGAAGCCCGCGACAAAGAGAGACGGGCACGTGTGCTGAGAGCCAACATTCGAGACAAGGCCGTTAACGCTATGCAGGGAATAAACGGCTGCGAGGAGAAAGGCCGCAGTGTTCGCTTCGACGACAAGCAAGTGCATCGCCTAGAGGCGGAGTATCGGCCCTCTCCGTTATACAGCCGCAGCGACCTGTATTACGCGCCCGGTAGGTATGCTGACCACAGCGGGAATGGCATCGAAGATACCAGCTTCATGCGCGACCCCACTTATGGCGTTGGCGACAAAGATGCGGGGGAGGATCGTCCTGTGTCCAAAGAAGAGAAAAACCTGATGAAGGTGGAAAATTACTTTTCCAAACTCGATAGCCATATGGTGGCTCTGAGGAACTTTGAGACTTCTCAAGAAGCAGCGCCCGGCGCGACGGAGGATATGAAGATGTCCGATTGGGAGGATCTGGATGAAGATGAACTTAAAGCGCACCTGCACGAATTGCATGGGAACAGTGAGGACGACTTTCCTGGGGAGGAGGAGTTGGTTGGAGAAGAACTCGAAGCGTACCTGCGCGATATGTATGCGAACGATTCTGACGACTTTCCTGAGGACGAGTCGTCCAAAGAAGACTTCTCCGAATACGAGATCCTTTGAGGACCACATCCCTGAGGAAATCCTCTAAACGGAAGGTGAGCAAATGACGCCGGTCCTCAGTACGATGAAGCCGCCGGCGGCTCGTCAGAGTTTTCGGTTTTCGCATTTCCGGTTTCTCGCTTGCGCTTCTGCTAACAGTTCTTCGTACTATTCGTGCTGCGTTTTCCGAGCATACATATCAGCTTTAGCGTTAATAAAACTCAGTTTCGACTGACAAGTATGTTTCCCAAAGTGAATTTTCCGCGTTGGTGCAAGATCACAATAATCTGCGTCGTACTCTGCCGCATGGAGCACCACCTGCAAAGCCTATCTCTTCAGGTCGTACACCTTCTTGATGCGGATGCACAGCGAATCACACCTGCGACATGATGACAGCTCAGCACGTGCAAGCGTCGTTGTAGCGAAGCAGCCAGTAGCCGACTTCTACCCAAAATTCGTACGTAGTGGATCACGGCCGTGTCTCGAAGTCCGTGGGTGTAGGCCTGGACGTGTCCTCCTGCCCATCTCCGTTGATAGTAATGTTAACTAACGTTTTTCCGTTATAATTCCCGCCCACGATCCGACTATTAGTCACGGTGCAATTAGTGAGCTTCGCACCTTCGACGAGTGAGTTCACAATGCAGCTTGCGCGCACATCGCTCTCGTTACTGATGTAGGAAGTCCTGACTGTGCTCTGCACGACACAACTGCGGCCCTTAACGTGGGTTGCAGCGAGCTGACAGTTGTGTACCGTGGAGGTTTGAATCTGGCTGCATTGTAACAGTGAGAACCGGACGTCGCTGTCCAGGCAACTTGATTCTTCGTCTATAGTGCAGTTTTTTACACGGGTCTGCCGAGCTGGCCGCCTTCGGAGAGCACCACCACCACGTGTCACGGAAAGATCCTCGCGGTTCTGTAGAGAGACCTCCGGGGTCTGCTGGGCAGCAACCGGATTCCGCCGTCTTAGAGTCGTGCCGCTGGGAGAGTTGTCGGTATCAGGGGACGGCTCCTGAGCCGCACCAGGCGTGTCAAGAACTTCAGGCGCGGACGGATCACGTGGAGCCAGAGGTCGAGGCCCCAGCGAGGGATCCCACTCGGGAGGGCCGCGCTTCCTGTACACCTTCTGGATACCTCCATTGACAGTTTGGCCCTTTCGATACTTGACGCTGCCCGGTCTCATATTCTCAATCTTGGTTTTGTTGGCGACCCAGTCCCTGAGCATGCCCCAGGTGATATTCAGGTGCTTGGCTGCTTCAAGGCCTTCAATGGGCTGGGGTGTACCATCTGGTCCCGGCTTCATTGCTGTGGTCGCATAGTGAATCGCGGCTAGCTTCTGCTCCCTGGTGTATCTATGCCGCCTCTTCTTGGGAGTCTTGTAGGGCCGTTCAGGATCCGCCGCACCCGGAGTGTCGGCCTCGCTGGTGTCGTGATCATCTAGGGGTTCGGTGGCTTGTTCTCGCAGATGTTGGATGAGCGCGGCTTCTGCTGTCGATATTGCAGACGACACTCCATTGGCCACGACTTCGGACGGACGCTGGGGGTAATGCTGGGAGTAGCTCATCCTAGAGCGCGCGCCTGTCGGGGGCGGAACGGTAAATGTGAGTATGTCGCCAGGGTAGCTTGGGGGTCCTGATGCAGACTCTGGTAGGGCGAAGGATGCCACAGGATCCTATTCGTATGGGGCTGGCATCCGAAGCGCTCCTCGAGCCCTCTTGTGCTGCTATTGGATTTGCGTCTTGTTTCTAGGAAAACGTGCAGACTTGGAGATGAAGTTGAATTGAAGCTCTCACGTTGCTGACATAATAGCATTGACTCGGGGACAGTCAATAGCACATGAAGCGCTCAACAACCACTGATTGCTATCCTCTTGTGGAGCAAAACATAGCTGCAACTTCCTCATACTTTGCTTGAGGTCCTTCTGCACTTGCTGATAATGTTGAAATACTATGATGTCCCTGGTGGCTGATAAAATTGTAATTCTAGTGATGCTCGAGTGACTCTGAGTCTATGCTATTATGTCAGCAACGTTCCGCCGGCGCATTTCATGAACTTCGTCATATACGGAACTTCTGAAGACAATTTCCAAGATGGGCAAAGGTACGTTAAATCCTTCTTTCAAAAATCAGAAACGATGTTCTAGTGCTGATATATACCTGCTTGCTCACTGAAGCTAACTTCCGCCCTCTCGTCACTAGGCACAGACAAGCTCTACATAACCCACTCCGAATGGGCCTCCGAAGACGCCTACTCCGCCTCCCACGGCTCCGGCGTCTCCAAGTCCAGAGTAGTAGGCGCGAGTTTCAAGCGCCTACCATTCAACTTCTGCTCGCTCTCCCTCCAGCCCTTCGAGCACCCTGTCTGCACCGCCAATGGCACCATCTTCGACCTTACCAACATCCTCCCATGGCTCAAGAAGCACGGCACCAATCCTGTCGACGGCTCACCGCTCAAGAGCTCAGAGCTCATCAAGCTAAACTTCGCCAAGAATGATGATGGCGAGTACGTTGATCCAGTCACCTACAAGGTCTTCACCGACAATACGCACATTGTTGCGCTGCGGAACAGCGGGAATGTCTTCGCGTGGGATACTATCGAGCGGCTGAACATCAAGGCTAAGAACTGGAGGGATCTTGTCAGCGATGTAGAGTTTACCAGGAAGGACATCGTCACACTTCAAGACCCCCAGAATGTGGAAGCGCGAGACTTGAGCTCTTTCAAGTATCTCAAGGAGGGCATCAGCACATTAACGGAGGAGCAAGAGCAGGAGCGCAACGACCCCACGAACAACGTCAACACTGCTGCGCTTGGGAGTGCGGCGAAGGTCTTGAAGGCAAAGGAAGCAGTAGCACGAGCACGAGCCGAGCGCGCAAAAGCGAACGACCCAAACCGAACTTCCGGAGCCGCCAGCAAAGCTCTCACAGCATCCAAAAACGGCTCCGGAATCACCAGCACCCTCCACCCCACCAAGTCCATCCCCTACAACGCCGCTCAGTACACGACCGGCAAAGCCGCGGCCTCCTTCACCAGCACGGGCGTAACCCCCCACACATCCGGCGAGCGCGCCCTCCTGACCGACGAAGAATACATGCTCAAACCCCGCCGGATCAAACAAAAGGGCTATGCACGCATGCAAACGAATCTCGGCTCTCTGAACCTCGAGCTCCTACCCGAATACTCCCCCCGCGCGGTCTGGAACTTCGTCTCGCTGGCCAAGAAGGGCTACTACCGTAACTTACCTTTCCACCGCAACATCCGCAACTTCATGCTGCAGGGCGGGGACCCCAGCGGCACGGGCCGCGGCGGCCAAAGCATCTGGGGAAAGCCGTTCGCGGACGAGTTTGATGGCCCGCTCAGCCATGATGCGCGCGGTGTGCTGAGTATGGCGAACAAAGGCAAGAACACCAACACGAGTCAGTTCTTCATCACCTACCGCCCGGCGAAGCATCTGGATCGGAAACACACGATTTTCGGCAAGGTGGTGGGCGGGTTGGAGGTGTTGGACAAGCTGGAGAATCTAAAGACGGATGACAAGGATAGGCCCGTCGAGGAGTGTGTACTGGAGGATGTGGTGGTGTTTGTGGATCCGTTTGAGGAGTTTTTGAAACAGAGGACGGAGAATGAGGCGAAGGAGAGGGAGAAGGAAGAGGTGCTGAGGCAGGGTGGGACGGAGGATGATAGGACGACGTGGACGGGGAAGAGGGTTAGGGGAGATGGGACTGTGGATCAGGGCTCGGGTGGCGGGGGTGTGGGGAAGTATCTAAAGGCTGCCGCCGTGGAGCACGCTCAAGCAGGAGAAGACGAGATTGTGGGCGAATGGGACGAGCCTGCTGTGCAGGAGCCTGCTAAGAAGAAGGTAAAGGCCGGCGGCTTTGGGAACTTCGACAGCTGGTAGCTTTGGAGAAGCATGGCGTTGTGTGCATATACCCAGGCGTTGAGCGAAGCAATCATGCAAGCTTGCGCCGCGAATCTACTCTATGATCTTCCTCTGGTTCTTCTATACTACAAGCTCGACGTGACGCTGACAACTCTAATTTCGACATATCATTGCTCAGTGCTAAGCGAATTACAGCGATGCGGATTGCATTCTGTCTATGCATTGGAAAGTATGTCTGTGCATAGGGAAGATACAACGGGAGATGTCAGCGATCCGTGAGTCGATAGCGCCTACGAAGTAGCAAAGACGCCTGTTCAAGCATGCATAGATCTCCTTCCGGATCTTCCAAGCAAGTCATGACGAGTCGCTTGGCTTATCTACCAAACCTGAGCTCTTCTCCGTCCAGGTGTAACGCTGGAACCCAGGCCTAAAAGGATCATCCCACAAGTTCAACCACTCGTTGTGAAAATACTCAATCATGCTCGCAAGACCCGGCCGAATGGCTTCTCCAACAAGTTCGTGACGACGGTCAGGGAGCTTGAACCAGTCTTCGTCGTCGTATGCGTCTGCCAGCGCATCGTAATCCGGACGCAGTTCCGCCGCCAGCTGAAACCAAGGGCCCTCATACGGATGAAAGTCAACGGACTTGCCGTCTTCAGACACTCCATCGATGAACAGTCGATTGAGTACTGGAAAGCGTTTCAACGACTCCAAGATAGTCCGCCACTGAAGACACCTATGTCGGCGGAGGTTCAGGTATTTGACGTTGAGAGATTTGAGTGACTGCTTGTGATTGTTAAGGAACTTCTGGAAATGATCCGCACGACCCCACAGCTGGAAGAGTTCGACATGCTCTAGTTGCGGGAAGGAGACAAGGGCGAGCTGAGCCATGAAGTCCGAGGTGATTTCAGCCGTAGCTTCGCGCGTACAGTCAGTGTATCCAGCAAGACCGAGCTCGACTAGCGACGGCATTGCAGATAACAACCGCCAAAGCCAGTCATCGCTCGGGCTGGGGCCACCGTCAAGATTGTCGCATACCCAGAATTTCACGCTCCGTAGGTTGTTGAGAGCGGGTCGCAGATGCTGGATCTTCGGTTCTGGCATGGCCGCCATGCAGGTCCAGTCGAATCTAGCGTTCTCGCTGCAATGGAGCGTCTTAATATTCATGCCCGAAGCGGCGATGGCGATGATGGCCGGTATGAACTGGTTCACCGGGTCCCAAGCCTGGTAACTGTTTGGCCTGTACGGGTCTTCGACGCACAACGAGGACTTAGCCCATTTGAAACCATGTAGCCGACAGAAATCATCTCCGAGGTATAGCGCGTCGAGGTTCGGAAACTTGGCTATAGTTGAGGCCAATATGGCAGTAGAGAAACCTTCGACCGCGGAATCCTCCCAGCTGCTGACGATCTTGTCATAGATGACCCGTTCTTCGTCCGATAGACTGGACAATCCTTCATAAATCCAGCGCGGGCCCAGCTCCCAACTGCCAAGTACCAGCGTCTTGACCTCCAGGCTGAGCTTGTCATGTTCTGCTATACGTGCGACGTGTTTAAAACCCATGCCTTCCTCTATCCACTCGGCAGTGGCAAGAAGGTTGGCCGCGTAGTGGTAGAAAGGTTGTTCCTTTACGACCTCTTCGTGATGGTATCCGCAAAGGTTATAGACGTTCAAGTGGCGGTCAGCAACGTATCGGAAGGATTCGTCCATAAAGTCCTTGCGAATCAACCGCAACGCGCAGAGACTTCCGAGATCCAAGTAGCTGGCAATCTCCTCAACCAGCTCGACTGGGAGGTCGACGAAAGACGGCATGTTGACGGGCTAGCGGAGTAATCCAGGGTAAGGCGCTGGTGTTGCGACCAAAGGAAGAATTGCAGTCTTCGAACAGACCGAATAGTTGCGCTGAGGCGGACAGGCCGCCTATGAGTTATTGGTGAGGGAAAAGTTTTGGCATGAACGACAGGGAGGAAGGCCTTCTTGTGGAGCTTGAATACTCGCACCGCGAGACAATGGAAGAGTGAAAAGTTAAGCGAGAGTTTGGTGAAGCTATTGATATTCACTCGGCTTGTGCAGGTGGCTGTATCCGTGACACTCGGCGGACAGTCGGCAATGCGTCTTTGTACTCTGGGCCAGAGATCGCAAGCGAATTCTCGTTGGGAACATTGGGGAAAGCTTCCTAGCATACTTATGATGTGATTCATATTGGATATCCAAGGGCGAGAATATCGCGGTGAAGTTCGGCAGAAGGAGAACTATGTAAAAACCGGCTTCGGGATGGCCATGATAGTACTGTGGGGCATAAGCGAAGTGGTTCGGTACCATGTCTGAATCAAACCTTTTGTGAAGCTAACATCATGAAAATACTTAAGAATCTCTCGGATTCGCCGTTGAAGTGGGCTCAGATGAACAGAGGCAGCACGCCAGGTGTTTGCGCTTCTGTATTGCAACTTACGCTTGCTATCACCACAGCAGTACATCGCATTACGCATAAGATCCAGCTGTATCACCGCATTTGATCGAGCGTCCAATCGATCACGGAGTGGCCTACCCCTTGCTAAGTTCAGAGTCGGCTCAGTACGAGGGGTAGGAAATCCTCTGCTCCTTTTACCACTTCGACCAAGGTATTGATTGACCATGCATGGTGTCATTCTCTTCCACCTTGGAACGTCGCACCAACTGTGTAGGCCTCCACCACGGAACCTAGATAATGGTCCATTGGTACCCCTGATGGCGGTGGACCCGGATTGCGGGAGTACCATTTCTGATACGTGTCCACAGCTTCATGTTCGTTGTACTGCTCCCTACCGGCCGCAGCTCCTTCGTTGACCTGCGGGACGAGCTTGTTCTGGGCTTCTACTCTGCTTCATCTCCGCATGAGTGCTCTCGTTCGGTTTCTCAAGCTGCTGCTGCCCATCCGAAGGGATGCGAGGATCAACGGCCCAGGGATCTTGGCATGGAGTATGGGGGCGCTCGGAGTGAGTTAGTCCGCTCCGGCTGTTGCCTTGCAGCCTCAAGTAACACCAGGCCCATGGAGCATCAGGGGTTCGTGATGTGAGTGTGGTGTGTTGAAATGTTGGTGAGCAGTGTGGTCGTTGGAAGCCGTAGAATGCTGTCGGGTATCGGGTTTGCAAGATTCTTGACGCGAGGGGATTACATCCTCAAGGAAACCCACTGATATATGCGGGCTCTGTACATCTATAGAGGCTTTGATACAGGATAAGGTTGTAAGAACTGAATCATGGAGCACTCTAACCGACAATGATTAGGTCTAAGAAATCCTTGTGACTCAAACTGATGCGCTGTAAAGACCTAGGATCTATCCTCTGGAAGTCTGTAAAAGTCGCAAACTGTCCCCTGTTTCCTAGTGACTCAAGAGCGCAGGAGTGATTACACCTCTGAGCAACGAACACCCCTGTGTTAAGAACACCTCAGTGCTGGGCACGCGCCTGAAAAGCGTTTTGTATGACTATGAAAATGCGAGCGGGCATTATCAATTGCGTGCATACTCACCTCGAAGACCGAGTCATCTTGTGAGGAGTCCGGTGAGAGACCAGCTGTGTAACCGCTTCAGAACTACCGCGCGCGGCCTGGTGCGGGTGTTGCAGCTTTGACGTTTGTGAGAGCCCTTCTGCCGCAAGATCCATCCGCGAGCAACTAAATCGATTGTGGTCGTGGAAAGCCTTGATAATTCTGAACTAAGTGAACGTATTCGGAGTTGCTAGAAGTAAAGTTATTCTGACAGGGCCGGATTCCTGAGTTCGAGCAGACAGCAAAGCCTTGTGGAGGCCAGCTACCAGCTTCTACGGCAGGTTCTGCTTGCTGGATTTGACCTTGAGTTTCGGCGGCTTTCGCCGCAGACTGGAGACAGACGCATCAGATTCGGGGTCATGCTTCTCGGGAGAAAGTCTCTCAGGAAGAGACTTTTGCGGGACAGCAGTTTCGAGAAAAGCCTGTCCGGGCACAGTCTGCTCAGCAGCCATCACGGAAACACGGTTCTCAGGTCCTGACTTCTCCGATTCAGGCCTGTCGGTAAGCTCCTTGGGGTCAGAAAACCTTAACAGCTTGCGAGGCTTCCGCTTTATCGGTCTCGTACCTAATAGTAGCTCAGCTCCCGTTGTTAAGCATGCTGTAATCAATCCGTACTTTCTACTACCTCCTGATTATCAGCTGCTCCCTCCTTCTTATCCTGCAACTCAGATTTCCTTCGAAGTTTCCTGGGAGGTCTCGGGGTCTCTGGACGGGAGTGCACGAGTGGTGCTTCTGCCTCGGGAGCTTTTACCTCTGCCTCATCGACCTCCATTCTGTCCTCAGGTTCTGGGTCTTCTAGGGCATCATCAACGCTTACAGGTTCCTTCTGGTCGCCCACCGGCTCCTTCTCCTCGACTTTTGACTCTTCCTGGGCACCAGATTTCCTCCGAAGCTTCCTAGGACGCCTTGAGGTCTCCGGGCAGGAGTGCACCAGCGGTAATTCCGGCTCGGGCGCTTGCATCTCTGCTTGATCAACGTCCATTTTGTCCTCAGATTCTGGATCCTCCACAGTATTTTCGGTACCCGTGGGTTCTTCCTCGTCTTCTATAGGCTTTACCTCCTCGAACTGTACCTCCCCTCGAGGAACGGACTTCCTTCGAAGCTTTCTGGGCGGCTTCCGACTCTCAGGGTTTGGGTCCGCCAGCGGTGCCTCCGTGTCTAGTACTTTTGTTTCGACGTTGTCAATTTCCATTTTCCCGGTCAGTTCCCGGTTTTTTGCAGCATCACCAAGCTTCCCAGGCTGTTCATCAACCACTGGCTCCTGCCCTTCGTCCGTTGGGCCCGGTTGAGCTGACTTAGCATCTGCCTCACTTTGCGGCTTGGCCCTCACCTCCTCTGCAATTTCGGCTGCTGTTTGGCTGGCCCTCCGGGCCTCTCGGTCTTTCGTCGCCTCCTTCACTCTCTCCTTGTGCTCCGCAGACTTCCTCTTTTCCTTTGCCTCCGCACCTTCTCTGCTCTTCGGCCTGCTTTCCGTACCTTTTTCTCCCTCTTCTCCCAGCAGGCTTGCACCTTCTTCATCACCTTCTTCATACCACCTGTCCTTACACCAACTCGTAACCGCATCCTTAGCCTGATCACTCATCCCATAGAACCCCGGGTTCTCCCTTGGCCCAAACATGCTGACATGCGCCGCAATCTCATCCGTGGCCCTATCATTTCTCGCCTCCACCCAGTACTTTCTCGTCCTGCTCTCCTCCCTCGGAATCGTGCAAAACGTCCTTTCCTTCCCAACCACGCTCGTCGACCACTGATCCTTCCCCTCGACCGCCTTGCCTAGCGTTGTGTAAAACACACTGAACCCAACCCCGCGCGCCTCGGATACCTGGGTTACGGCTACTAACCTCTTCTTCAGGTCATCCCCACGGGCAAGACACCCGATGAACTCGAGATGACTCCCCACCCAGCTCCATCCCTCCGTCACTTTCTCCCGGCCCAGATACGCCGCCGCGCCACCGGCGGCCACGACGCCCGCACCGAGCAGCGCCACGCGCCCGAATTTCTGCCATCCGTTCCCCTGCGCCTCCACACCAGCAGCCGGTAGCGCCTTGCTCGCGTCGACGGTCGGGGTTTGGGTACCAGACTTTGAGCCGCCCCAGCCAAAGGCCGCGGCCATGCTATTGTAGGCCGACCATGCCGAAGAGGCAGTGTTGAATTGCTCTTCGGCGCCATGAGCGATGACGCTGGGCGAAATGCCGAGGTAAGGCGTGTCGAAGGCGAGGATGCCTTGGATGAAGGGGAAGACGAGGGTGGTGGGGTCCGGTGGGAGAACAGTAGAGGTGGAGCGGGAGCGGGTTTTGGGTGTCGTGGTGCCGCTGCCTGGAAGCTTGGCGTTGGTCGGGATGTTGAGGTTGACAGGGTTGGAGAGCTTGTTAGAGGCCGGGCTGGGCGTTGTTGGGCGGGTTGTGGTGGTACCGTTGTTGGCTACGGTTGTCGAGTCGGGGTGGATGGGCTTCTCGGAGAGTATCGAGAGGAGGGCTTCGGCGGCTACGATGCCTCTGGAAGGGTCGGTTAGCTGCTGAGCAAATCCTAACTGTTGTGACAAACTTGCCCCATGGAATGTCCAACCAGGACTGTTCGGACTGACGGTTCGACTGTAGGTGAAGGGGTGCCATTGGCGACCTCGAGGTCAATGACCTTGTTCTGGAGCCTGTAGCAAATTCACATTAGCAATCAGCCCCTGTGTAATACTATCCCAAGTAACACTCGTACCATTCTTTGAACCGGGCCACGCAGTCGTGGAGGTCCCCTCGCGTTTCGAATCTCGGATAAATTATCGAGGTGACGGTGACCTTCGGTACCGCGTGGCTAAGGAGTGCCTGAAGGTGCTGCGGAAAGTCACGAAAGGTGTCTTCTCCTCCCTGTGCAGAAGTTAGCATTTGTTAGCAGATAGTTTCGAAGATTTGTTATCAGTATCGTCCTTGGATGGAGAGGCAGTCTCATACCTTGAAGCCATGAATGAAGACGAGCAGCAGCGTCCTCTTCATCTTGTTCATCCGTGTTGTGTTCTTGCATGTTGAGAGCAGAGCGAAGAATCAAAGATATCTTGAATTCAAGAGAATTGGCAATATGACGTCTCGGGGGGCCATAGCGGAAGGGTCATCCCGTCTCCCTGTCGATCACCTTTCGCTTGGCGTAACGGCAGCTGACAGTATCAACGTTGGAGCATCAATATTGTCTTACAGTACCGTACTTCGTATGCAATCGTATGCTTTGCCCTTAGTAAAGCGCAACGGCTCTCAGTCGGAAAAGCTCTTGGAGAACATGTAGACTACATTCATTTGAAAATTGTAGCCTTTCATCTCCACTTGCTATTACGTCTCACTGTCCTTTCAGCCGACTGAACAACACATGCAACCAGACCAGGCAAAGAGCGGCAACGAAGTACTGATCCATCTTTACTATGTACAGTTTCCTCCACATCAAGTCATGAGCTCCTCTATCTACCAGCATCTCCTCATTATCACATATCATCATACCTCATACCCACCTCCTAAACCTGCCCCTCAGTACTCCCCACCGCATCCACTCCCGCGGTAGCAATCTGCACATCCTCATCCGTCGTGCCCCCACTTACGCCTACAGACCCAACAAAGTACCCATCAACATAGCACGGCACGCCGCCGCCAAACACAATCAGGCCTCCATTCGTCTCCTGGATCGCATACAGCGACTGGCCGGGCTGGGTAAGGTTGTACCAGGCTCCCGTGGTGATGGCGCCGTTGAAGAGCGAGACGGTGCGCGCCTTCTTGATGGCGATGTCGATGCTGCCGAGGTATGCGTTGTCGGTGCGCAGGAAGGCGAGGAGGAGGCCGGCGGGGTCGGTCACGGCTACGTTGATGGGAATTCTGGGGGTGGGGGTGTTAGTAAGATCCCGCCGTATAGGAAGCGGGAAAGGGAGGGGGAATGGGAAGAGTGACGCACTTGATCTCAGCAGACTTAGCGGCGGCAGCGGTGATGATTTGAAGCGCCTGGTTTTGGTTCAGTTGGAAGCGCTGGTTCGGGTTCGTGCCTAGGTTGTTGGTTGCGGTACGGTTTTGGGCCATGGCGAGGGGGAGGGCGCTGAGGGCGAGGGTGAGGGTGAAAGTCGAGAAGAGGGAAAACTTCATTGTAGCTAGAAATTGAAGCAAGCGCGGAGATTGAAATGGCAGAGTCTTTATAGAGAATTGGGTTCAAGAGAAGTCCACTTGGTACTTATCGTTTGTACAACGCGAGAGGAGATGCGTAGATGGTTTTGACACTTGCCCGGGTACGGCAGTACGATGTTACCGGTTGTTACTTGGAGACAAGGGCTAGCAAGCTCGAAGCCCGCCGATTCATGCCTCTCCACATGTCTGGACCGTTGACGTTTACAAAGCGCTGCCGAGGCTGCTGCATTGCTCTAGCAACAGCAAGCTAAGTTACCTAGCTGTGTGGAGCGATGCGGCTGTTTACCGATGGACAGGGGCTGAGAGATGCGAGATGGGAATCGAGACAGGCCATCGCTGACGCACCAGCGGATCTTGGTGTTCACAATTGCATCCTTCGATGCATCGCGGATGAGGCTTGACGTAAAATGCCCTGGTGGTTTGCTCGATTTGCGGGGAAGTGCGGGATGCTTGGCAGGAACGTGGAAACAATCCGGGGTTAAGGGGTCCCAGATCCGATCCGGACCGCCGTTGGAAGTTCTAGATCTCTTGTATGTTGTGTCCAGGTACTCGTGAGCTTTGGAAAGAAGCGCACAAGGGTGGGGTAAGGCTGCGTGCAGTCGCACCGTCGTTGGCGGCCCGTAGAACGCGGAGTGTGTGTTGAGTGTGGGTTTCTCAATGCTGGGAACGACCAGATAAACTCAAGTGGTTGGATTTGAGCTTCCCAATTTAACCAACATGATGTTCTGTTTATTACAAAACTGTTGTCCATATTCGCTCTCTTAGCTCAGTTGGTAGAGCGCGGCACTAGTACTTCTCCGAGTCAATGCCGAGGTCGCCAGTTCAACTCTGTCAGGGAGCAAAAGACCTCATCTTTTTGTTTTTGCCTGGTCTGCATCGCCAAGCTTGTCTTTTGCAAGCTCCTTCCACTTTTCCTTCGTCTCATGCTGTCCACAATCAGACTTTTTCTTTCATTGACCTTAAGCCAAACTGGATCGGCACAAGGATCGGTCACACCGAAGGTTTCAAAGCATCCCCATTCAGTAAGGCATTGAAAAGCGGAGAACGTGCCAGTATGGCTACGACTAGAGGCTGCCGTGAATTCCCCCAATCAAGCCAAGTTTCAGAGAGTAGGAGTACAGTGCAATGGTCGAATCAGCTACTTCTGCTGTGTATAGGGTCATAAGTCATTCTTTGGTAAACCCATAAGTCGTCATCGTAAGAGTCGTCCGGCTAGTCAGACCAACACCCTGCCTTGACGGCCTCTAGTCATCGTAGGTCTCCTCATACTCCTCCTGGTACTCCTCTCTCGCCTCCTCAAGCTCTTCCTGCTCAGAACTGCCAGCATCCGAGCCTTGAGCCTCAAGCTGCGCCTCTTGGTACTCGTGCTGAGCTTCAAGCACCTCCTCACGATCGCTTCCCGAGACCGAGTCGCCATCTGCGTCCACGGCAGGCGGCATGCCCATAGGTGCACCACCGGAGGCATAAGGATCACCGCCGTAGGGAGCTCCGCCGTAGCCACCCGCAGCTCCGTGGTGGTCATTGTCACCTGTTGAGCGAAACTGTTAACACTGGAGCTCTTGAGGATTGGATTCGAAGTCGAGGCAAGAGGACTTACTCATCCCGTGAGCAACGGCACCGCCGGCAAGAGCGCCGACCGCCAGGCCACCAGCACCAGCCATCATCATGTTCCTGCTGCTGTTGTCCTTATGGACGTCGCCGTAGTATCCGCCGGGACCATGGTCGCCGTAGCCGCCGCCGTGGCCAGCACCATATCCACCGCCATGGCCACTACCGTGTCCACCACCGTGTCCGGCAAGTGCACCGAGTGCACCGAGTCCGCCGAGCGCGCCAAGTCCACCGGCTGCAGCGTGCCCGCCAGAACCGTGAGCACCATAGCCCTCGTCGTGGCCGCGAGAAGTGTCAAACGCGCCGGACGGGCCATGCGACTGCGGCGGGTCCCACTGCGAACGGCCCGTGACCTGCTCGACGATGTACCAGTGGCGGGTGGAGAAGTCGTACTGGCAGGTCCAGCCGCTGGGCATAGGCGGCATGCCTGGTGGGCCCTGGATCACGGAGGTGTGGGGTGGTGGGACGCCGTACTGCTGGGGGGCGCCGTAACCTGGTTGGTTATGGGTCTGAGAGGAACTTTCGTAGTGGGGGGGAGCTCCGTATTGCTGCTGGGATGGGGGGCCGCCATATTGGGGTTGGCTCTGGGGGGGATAGTGAGAGGTTTCGTGGCTGTAGGATTCGGGGGCTGTGAGACATAGGTGAGCGGCAGTTCCATGAATCAAGACACGGATTGGGAGGATGGTTGGTTTGGCCTGTACCTCTGGTGTGTTCCTCCTGCTTGTCTCCGAACTTCATGTCACCGAACTTCTTGAAAAATGACATGGTGAAGATTCGATATTTTCGAGGTAGTCTTGACAAAGGTCGTTCGAATGGCTTGGGTTCGGAAATAAGCTTTCGGCTGCGGAAAGGAAGCTTCGTAGAGATGAAGGAGAAGCTGAGAGCCGGAGGAAGAAGAATTTATAGGAAATAGAGTGAACTGGTGCGATTAGGTGACGGTCAGCAGCTGTAAACAACAAAAAGTGCCCCGCTACACATGCCAAGCCTCGGCGAGATTGGAGAGGAAATCGCTCCGTTCAGTCGAATTCTTTGAAACTCACGGGAACAAATGTCGTTGACTGTTCTGAGCTGCGGCTGTGATTGACTAAGAGATCAAGGGTAACCGGAGAACTGAAGATGTTGACCAATCTCGCAATCCTAGTCAACCTTTTGCACGCATCCAACCGAACTGCTGAAGCTGCCCCTCCCCACCACCAGCAAGTCGCAATCCGAGACCTCGTCCAGTTGCTCACCGCAGCCGCGCACGTTGTTGACGCCTCCAAGCATACTCAGGCTCTTGGCCCTGCAGACGCGGGCCCTTGCGGAGCTGAAAGCAGCTGGAGCTCCCGAGGGCATTCCTAGTGGAACCATGTACTTGTGAACGAATAGAGCGGCTTCCAACCAAGTGTCGTCAACGTCCTGCACTTCGAATAAGACATGTTAAGCGATTGGGCAAGCTCTCGGCGAAGCAACTGACAAGTACACGTCAAAGGCCTCATGCGAGCAGTAAGACATATTCTAACTTTACGTCGAGACGTATCGTATAATGTTTGACCCCGTCGGGACATACCCTAGGGCCGATGCTCGGCATTCGGAGCTCACCAAGAATTCGTTGTTGCTGAGATTGAGCAAGCAGCCGCAGGTGGTGCCAGACAAGAGGCGGCGCCTGCTGACTGGCGAGGCGCTACGGGTAGAGGTGTGTAGTATCATGAATGAGACACGTGAGGACGGGAGTTACAAGAAGGTTGATGGTGCGACAGCACGTGAGTTGCGTTAATGTATAAGGTACAACGCGCAACACGTGATCAACGTAACAGCTTCATGTCTTGAGCGACATCACATGAGAGGTTTTGTAAAGATATCCAAGCTGTGCAGAACGTACCATTCCCAAACGCATTGCCTGACCATCGTGTGCCACACTCTTCTCTCGAATCACGAGTGGTACCTTGCACCCCCAAGGATGCAGATGATGTCCCCAACCTGGGTCTCTGCTGGCACTAGCGCCATGTCGTTGCGCGAAGTAATGGCAAACCGACGGTGATTGATTGTCTTCAATAGTTTCTCCGTGAGTAGCCTCGCCTCTTGCTTATTGCGGTATAGTATGGCGGGATCGCTGTATGCGTCCGCAGATGCTTCCTTGTAACAACTTGACCAATGTTGCATCATAGATACTCGGGTTGCTCATATTTTCCAACATCGACCATGCCGAAGCACAAATGGATGCTACGACTGGAGGGAGAAACAACTGTATGCTAGAATCGTGTGAAGCAACGGCGGGTAAAGTTTGTATTCAGGTATGAGCCGTCTGAGAATAATGACGAAGAGGCCAACGGCTTGAAGTTAAAGTGAAAAAGTCTTGAACTGACGATAAGCCTGCATGGCACGAGCATTTCGACCTAGAAAGGCTGCCTTGAGAAGTGAGCTCATATGGTAAGCCTTCCCTCGATGGAGGGTTGCATGGTGAGGCTGACGCTCATGCGATCATGCGCCACTGACCCAATGCTTGATGCAACAGGGTCATACACCGGCGGAGGTTAGTTGCAACAAGGACTTACCATATGTATGGGCCTGCTGATTGGCAAACTCAGTGTCTGGTGTAGAGGAACTCAATGTGAGGTGTGGTTGATGAAAGGTGACGCGCAGGTGCACGTGACGCCATGGTAGCGCCGAGCTTCGTATCTTACATGTTGAGGTGGGGACAGGTGTGCTCAATCCAGCTGTCACTTGCGCATAGCTTTTGAGCATACTAGTCGTAAGCGCGATTCTTACACCCATATGAGGAACTGTTTTGCCGCGTAGCTAGACTAGCTACTCAATCATAATGAAGTTCAGCAGATGGTGATGACCCTAGATTGGCAGTGGAGAGACCGAACCGATCCAGTGCTCGAGGATGCTGGTGGCTTGTTAGCAACGCGCTAACCCGCATCAGGCTAACGGTATGGATTCGGTCATCACCTCGAGAGGACGCCGACTGCGAACATATCTCGTAAATCGAAGCAAATGAGGTTATCAGCTTTGTGATCTCGCCTCTTGGCCACATAGCTGATCTTCACTCCCTCGACTCTGTTTGGCGCAGAAGTTTCTCGAGATTTGTAAACAAGAGCGCACTTCGGCCAGTCTCGAAGTCCGTATGCCGAAGAAGCCTCAATATAAAACATCCCAGGGATTATATCTTTTACTCATATCCTTCCTAGTTGTAGTCATATCCATTGCAACAATGTCATCTACCCGCGCCTTCTCCCTCAACAAGCAGCTCTTCAACGCGAACCTCTACAAGCGCGTCCGCGACGTCTGGTTCGCGGACCTCCCAGCCGGCGCAAAAGCACCGAACCAAGCCACCGTCTTCCGCTGGTTCGGCAGAGCCACTGAGGAAGAGAAAGATCTGTTCGATGGCGTGTGCCGCTCCCACTTCCACGACGCCCTGGCCTCCATTGGGCCGCAGAAGTACACCCTCCCGCCGCCCAAGACGAACTACAGCGCGGAGCAGAGCGAGGCGCTCTCGATAGCCGCGCCGTTTCTGTCTGAGCTGGAGCAGAAGCCTGACCAAGACGAGGGAACGGCGTCGAACACGGCCCTCAGCCTTGTGCTCCTGCTCGACCAGATCCCGCGCAACATCTTCCGCGAGGACCAGGGCGCTATCTACAGCCACTACGACCGCATCGCGCGCGCGCTCATCAACGTCATTGTTTCCAGAGAGCCGCGACTGGATCTGCATCCGCAGTTCCGTGCGGCGCCGGTGTACCGCAACTGGTTCTACATGCCGCTTATGCACTCCGAGTACCTCGAGGACCATGAGAAGTACGAGAAGTTGATCGCGGAGCTGAGGAGTGAGATCGAGGAAGCGGGGGATCAGGAGACGCTCTGGTTTCTCGACAAATCGATGGAGGCTGAGACGTCGCATCTTAATATCCTGAAGCGGTTTGGGCGGTATCCGCATCGGAATGATCACCTGGGAAGGGAGACGACGAGGGAGGAAAGAGAGTTCATGGAGTCGGGAGGTGACAGCTTTGGCGTCAAGCCGAAGCCAAAGGCATAGAAGTCGGTCATTAATGCGAAGGTAGATTTTATTGATATTCTGTAGAGCAAATACTGATCGATATACCGTACTTGGTTTGCTCCAAACTCCGTTGAAGACGAGACGGAGGAAATTGAAGGCAGGTCATAAAGACTGCCGCATATTGCAAAAGTAAGCCATGGTCCGCAAGATCATGGCGTGCTATAGGACATTCTCGGAAACGGAGAGTTTTGAATGAGTTTAGAGGTGAAGTACAAAAGAGCTGTTGCTCAGATGCTCAACTTCCTTGCTTGGCCGGAGAGCTCAGCAGAGTTGTTATACGGCCTGCAATCGCGTCTGTGCATCTTGTTGCAGTAACTGAATTGATTTCTTTAGAACAGCAAATGATCTTCTTTCGAAGCCGCTTTCATCCAGTAGAGCCGGTACTCCATGATGATGTGTCCGTCGCCGCAACCCATCCACCCCAGTTCTTCCACACCCTCTCACACCCAGGCATCGCTTATCGCAGCCTCCTGGCCTCACGCTCGGACTCGAGAAGGCAGAGGATGTCGTTCTCGCGCACTAGTTTCAGAGAGCAGTCAGCCTCTGCTCTTGGGTTTTCCCGCATGCCTGCAGCCTAACGAGCGCAACTCACCCGGTCCCTTTACGTTCCTGATAATGCTCCGCGTAGTATCATCCATGAACTCGACGCGGACCTGGCTGACACCACCTCGCGAACCTGACATCGTGTATTAGCCTTCCGTAGGGCCCTATTCCCTCGTTTACTCGCTCGCGTCGGACGTACCGGTGCGGCCGAGAACGCGGGTCACTTTGACAAGCTTGACGGGGACTTTGGCGGAATCCATGTTGTTTGAGGTTTGTCTGTCGGCTGGTGCCTAGCGGATGCGTGAAATTCGGCGTGTGAGGGTTTTTGTCGTGTGCGCTGGAGTCGTTGTCGTTGCGGCTCTTGAATTTTGGCGTGACGCGGGTGAGGGCGTGGGCCGTGCCAAGTCTTCGCTTACTAACACCGGCCAAGCGAGATATGGGGATTGTTTGAGCAACGCCCAACTTCACTGCTCGCGCTCTAATCTAGGTAGCTGCCTCTTAGACGGAGAACTAGGAGAAGGAGAAGGAGAAGGGAAACAGAAGACATCGTTCGCATCGTTATTGGTTTGTCCTTGAGCGCTAGACGCGGATAAGTAAACACAATATGCACTCCCAAGTAAGCCGCGGAAGATGACATGTAGGTCTTGTACGCCTGAAAGAGTGTACTTCAATCCCATTCCAGATAAAGAAGTCCAGTTTAGTCCACCGTCACTGTGCTTGAAGTACTCCGCCTACCGTCGGCCTGATGGCCATAAAGTCCAATAAGCCATTTCCACAATCCATCCTGCCAAAACCCACTCTCATTACCTACCCTAGCTTCATCCACTCGTCGAGTTCCCCCCCCCTCACCTCCAGCTCCCGCCTTCTCTTCTCCACATCCCTCAACCCTAGCTCCAACTCTTCCAGTTTCAGCCGTGCAAAATCCACCCGCAGCTCCTCCAACGCCTTCCTCACATGCTCCAGCCCCACGCCCCTAATCTCCACATCCGCCTTCCAAGCCCTTCGCAGCGTCTTTTGGTGCCGCTCAAAAGCGCGATACAGCTCATTCAGCACCCTCTCACCCTCTTCCACATCCTCCTTAGTCTCTTCTTGGCCGCTCTTCCGGCGCTGGGCACAGGATTCTGCAATGCGCTCCCAGTGTTCATAGTACAACTGCAACACTTTTCGCACGTCGCGGAGCTCGTCCAGATGCTTGTGCAGCTCGTCTGCGTGCTCAGAGCCGGTGAGGGAGTCGCGCTTCAGAAATTCATCCTGGGACGCGACGGTTTCGTTGAAGAGGGATGTGATGGTCTGGCGCAGCGCGTTCTCGGCCTGCGCGATGGGATTGTGGGGTTCTTCGGGGACGATGCCTAGATCGAATGACATGTCTTTCGTCGGTTCATTGTTAGTTGGTATCCGGTCTTCAGAGAGACGGCTGGGTGGGGAGGTAGAAGTACATCTGCGGTGACCCAGTCGCTTGTCGGCCTGTTGCTGGCCGTTATTCACAGTTAGCCTTCGTGTGGACATCTTTGCGCTTGTCGAGGATTCCATTTCGGGCTCTTGCTAGTAGAGGTTCTTACGGTGTTGCGGCTGTTTTCGTGTGCTAGGGGAGGGCGATCTGGAAGACGACAGAGTGAGACGGGGTTTACAAGGCTGAATGACAAGAGACGGCAGTATGAAAGGCACGAAGTAGTCGGCGTTTTCCTGTGAATGACACTGAAGTAAACGTTAGGTGGCCTCTGCGCGTTGGGCGCTCCTGGACGCCTGTACATGCTCGGCTCACGATATTCCACTGTGCTGCCAGCGCTATGAGAAAGCACATCAAACAAAAATCAACCCATCCATCGTCTTAACGCTCGGCCACTGCCACTAACAGCCCTGCACTTCACACCCCACCGTTTCCCCCATTTAAACACTCCAGCGCCCCCAGCAGCTCCACCACAACCCTCTCCTCAAGCCTATTCTCCGCCATCGCCTTCTCATCCACAGGCCTCATCCTCTGTAGTTCCACCTCTCGCTCATTCGTCGGCGTGATCCTATCTCTCAGTCCTCGTCTCCCCTGCAGCCACCCCTCCACATCCTCCTTCACACCCGCCTTATCCCATCTTAACTGTAGGATTTCCCCCGCCGCTACGCCAGGCGCGGCGCGCATCTGCTCAATCACCAGCGCGATCAGCGCGAGCGAGTGCGTCTCGGATGCTAGGCCCAGCGTGATGTGACCCGTGTGAGAACCCTTTCTTGAGGGAGGGGGTTTGCCGCTCAGGTCTGCGGCTGCGCGTGCCAGCTGGTTTGGGAACTGGTTCAGGAATGCCGCGACTTCGGCCGCGACGGGGACTTGCACGGCGAGTAACAGGTTCAGGCAGAGAGGCAATACACCACGCGTCCAGATCGAGAAGAGGCGCGCCGGTTCATCGAAGGGACCCATGCCATTCGGCCGCTGGAAGTACTTAACGAGGTTCGCGGTGCTAAGCTGCGCCAACACGCCATCAACAGCGAGGTTCTCGGCCATGACTTCCATGCTGGAGAGCTCAAGGAGGAACAGGATGCTCAGTTCGCCGTAGATGGGGTCGCGGTCGATGGCAAGCTGGTCCGACCAGGAGAAGAGGCTTGTCGCGTAGCGGCTGGTGTTGGTTGCGGAGAACTGGAGTGCGATCTGGGAGTGGAAAGTTCGCATGCCTGGGACTCGGAGGATGGATTGAAGGAGTGCGGTGAGGAGGACGAAGTCGGAGGGCGAGCAGCTCCGGGAGTCTTCGTGGACTTGAGTTGCGAGGGAGCGGAAGCCTTGGGCGACTACTTTGCTGAGAATTTCTAGTAACATTGGCACGATGGAGGGGGAACCATTTGCGCTCGGTTTGGTCCTGGTAGATCTTGTAGAGTCGCTGCCCATGAATGGAGGTGAGTCTGAAATATGCGGTTGGAGAGAGAGGAACAGGATCTTGGTAAGAGCGCGGTAATAATCAGCGTTTTCTCCAACAAAGGCAATCTCAAAGTCCTGGCCAGACTTCCGCATAGTCTCCCAGGCGATAGGAAGGATCGCTTTGGTCTCGTCCTCCGTTGACTTTACGGTTACGAGCTTCTGCAACAGTACAAAGGCCAAGTCCAGTCGCGTGTAGATTAGTCGATCGAAAAGCGACTCAGGAAGGTTCGATGCGGTGTTAGCCTTGAGGCAATCTCCGACCACTTTGGCTAAAATCTTGGAGAGCTCGGGGACTTCCGAAACGATGGTGCTCAACTCACTTGCAAGCGCTTTCCAGCTTTTGAGCAAGAGCACTTGAGATTCGACGAGGGAAAGGTTGACATTCGCCCGAAAAAACTCTTCTTCAAATCCCTGACTCCGGCCGTTCGACCAAGCTCGATCGTGGCCAAGAAGCTCTGAAGCAAATGCGATGTTGTAGTAGTAGTTCCTACCAAAGCCCATTCTGGCAAGTGAGCTGTGTTTGAAGTTAGCAAGACGACAGCCAGGGAATTTAGTCTCAAAGTTCTTCTTCAGATTCCCGTGCAGTGAAGAGTTGTATTCGGGAACAGAGATACCACGGGCGGACATATAGCTCAGCTTCGGCACAAGCTTCTTGGCAATGGAGATGTCGCCGATCTGACGTGCATTGTGCAGGTACATCGCAAGTATACTGGCAATGAGCGAAGCCTTGTGGTTCTGGTGAGCCTTGTCGACGCTCTGCTCGACTGACGAATGTCCATCATCTTCCAGATCACCCAAAAAGTCCATCAGGCTCGTGAGGAACTGAGGATGCAAGCGGATATGGTTCATAGTCCAAGGCCAGTGATCCAGTCCTAGCGCGACAAACTCGAGCATCCCTGTCGCAAGTCGCGGCTCAAGCTGTTCAAGGTTGCTGAGCTGGTCTAACGCATATGTAAGAAGCGATGTGCCGCGCGCTTCTGGTGACCCCTCGGCTTCCTTTCTCTTCAGAGTATCTCTTGGAGTGGTTCCAGTAAGTAGGTAGATGGCAAACCACTGCTGCTTGTTGCTGACGACTGCGGACAGAAGATGCCAGATATCGGTTTCAGTTGACTTGACGTTGAGTGGTCTTCCGAGGTCAGAGAGCATGCTAAGGAAGCTCTTCGCTGTTGCTGGACCAAGGTGGCCTAAGAGCGACGCTGGCTCTCCGTCAGTCCGTCCAGCAGCCTTCACTAGCGCCTCGAGCAGCCGCACGACTGGCGCTCTGTACGATTCATGAGTCGCATACAGACGAGCTAGCAGCGGACATGCCTTGAACAACTGAGTCTCTAAACGTGAACTACTCCGGGCCAGCAACACACTGACACGTAGTAGGTTTGTCGAAAGAGATAGGATCGCACGAGTCTGCACTGTCCAGAGTTGTACTTTCTTTGCGAAAAGGGTTGTTCTCGGTGTCGAGATTCCAGCAGCGAGAATGCTGACTATTGGGTGGGTCGACAAGTCATTGGAGGATCCTGAGAGGAAGGACTCGACCAGATACTCCGCTGGCGATGCCAAAACTCCAACAAGTTTCTGAGACACCGGCTGCGTGTCATCACATCCATAAGCATATTTTAGTAAGCGGTTGAAAGCACTAGCAAGCCGGGCGCTGATTTCCATCTTCTCTTCCACAACAACGAACCGCCAGTCGGGCGAGCTTTCAAACACACCCATCAGCGTTTTCTCAAACGTCAGAAGGATCCTGCTCATGACTCTCTCGGAGGAGCCGCTGCCCGAGTTTGTGCCAGAGCCAAAACGTGTCAAAGCTTGACTTGAGCCTTTTCGAACGACCGTTTTGGTGACAGCGTTGTCAACAAGGATCTCGAAAAGACGTATGCAACTGACAAGGAAGTCGTATCGTCCAGCGACTATCTCCGTACCAGCAACGATCGCTAGCAAACTGCCACCGCTGCCTTCGATACCGAGTAGCGCGCTGCGAGCAAGCAAAGGCCACACCCTATTGGGTAAAACAGCAGTCAAGGCATGCATGAACTGCACGCAGCTGACGACCAGGTCGAGGTTCTCACCAAGCCCGGGCTGTTGACGCTGTCGTTGCAGGCTCTGCTCGAACAGATCGGATACTATGGTGACGATATCTTGGTTGTGCCCCACATCATCGCTGGCTTGCTCAAGTATCTGCTGAGCCGCAGCAGTCAGCTCGAAGGCACCGTTGCTGGCTCTGGCGGATTTGACTGAGGCAGTAAGCAAGGTTGCAAATAACCCGACTATGTCGCTAGCCGTGTCCAGTCCGACCCGAGCCTGGGTAGCGGTTTCTACCCGATCAACCCCAACGATGCCAGTCGTTAGGAGCCGCGATAGATACCTTAAGCTCGAGTGAACGAACAACCAGGAGGTGATGGGCGGCTTGGTGTTGCTCATGACATATCCAGGAGTTCCACAAGGTATGATGAAGTCCTCGGCTTCGTCATGGACGCCCACGGGGCTAAGGGCTATTCTGCTCCTCTGTGACACGAATACTGGAAGATCTTGGGTCAAGCTTACCCAGTTTGCATCCTCCTCTTCTCGGATGGTTTCGTAGCCCACGAAGTGTCGTGGCATCTTCTGTGTAAACTCTGGATTGTTCTCGAGCATGCGTGTCACCCGCAAAACTCCGTCGTCGTCGATTTCACCATACGTGGCGATTATACGTAGGTAGGTCAAGAAGGGCATGGTCTCGTACGGAAACCGATGTTGTGCTTGTGCGAGGAGAGAAGGTATCAAGATCTCCTCATCGTGAAGAAAAATTCCAACGACAGGATCTGCAGTGTCCGAGAGTGGTTTCTCTAGGTAGTCCCAATACCGCCTGTCTTCGGAGAGAACTGCAATAGATGATGCCACAACTTCGCCTGCGTAAGAAGCGTACGAAAGACTTGCTCGCAAAAGTTCGAGGAATGTCGCACGTGCCCGGCGTTGAAAGCTTAGATCGATGCTGGCGGCAAAGCTGTGCACCATGTTTGTGGCTAGATTGGCAACAACATCATACACGTGGAATACGTCGGCGGACTGGCCCATGAGGAAAGCGGCGAGTTCAACTCCCTCAGGAATGTGCTCTCTAACCAACTCCATCCTCTCCCATGCTGCTTTGACGGGAAAAACTCCCGGGGGAGGGGGATTCGGTGGTCGCGAAGCACTTCTTGAGAAGGCAGACGGAGATTCTTCTCCAGTCCAGTCACCCTCATCCTCGCCTACCAGGTCCCTGAGGAGTCTAAGAATGATAGCCCAAGCAAAAACAGCGGGAACTGCCGGGCTTGGTTCGCTAATTGCAGCTTGAACGAGGATTGTGTTCACTTCTCCGATGCACTCCAGATCAGAAAGGTAAGGGCGAGCGTCGACGTGTGGAGCCGGGGGGTTACTCGGTGTAGAAGAGGGCAGCAGAAGCTCTATAGCCTTGGGAAGTTGAAGAATTCTCAGAGAGATGATGGCAACCATGTTCTGGAATAGCGGGACCATGGCTTGCTGGCTCGCAATTGTCTGTAGTCTTAGTTAGGAATTGTTAAGGCGTGGGAGCGCAAAGTCAGCTTACAAATTGCATCTCCCTGAAAAAGGCATACTGTGCGGCTAGATTGAACCACGCAAGAACAATCCGCGATGGTGGTAGTCCGGGGGCACAATCGAGGTGGACAAACAGTAACTGTAGAATATGGATTGGTTCCACGACCTGCGCAGTACCCCATAACGCTCCCAGTTCAGGATTGTCCTCTGCTGCGTCCCACTTGCAGCCAGCCTCCAGCCCAGCTAAGCGGCTCCGAAAAGCCTCGATACACTGGGACGCAAAGCTGAAGTCTTTTCCGGCTGACTGAGAAGTCGTGATTTTGCGTCCCAGATCTTCCAACCAAGTGCCAGGGTCCTTTTTTTTTCCTTTGTCGGCGTCCGATTTTGTGACACGGTCCGCGTCTATGCTCTGCCGAACCAAGATCTCGCTGACCCTGAGGATGTGTGACCTCTCGGAGAGATATACTTCCAGCAGCCGCGCGCGTCGCTGTTCCGGAGAAGAGAGGCTCGCCAAGTCTGATCTGGACGCGCCAACCGGTGCAACGAGGACAGAGGAGTTCAAGAATGACATCGAAGCACCGAAGCTAGCGCCGCCCGCCGCATCTCGAACGCTAAGCGTCTCCTCTTCCGTAAGACCGCTGAGCAATTGAGTCGCCGGCCGCGTTTGCCATTCGACGATAACGATCCTGAGCGCAGAGACCTCATCCGTGTTTGTCTCCTTCGAAAGCCAGAGCGCATCTTCCTTGATCTCATCGATGTTGTAGTGGCCGTTGCTCGAAGGCGTGACATGAATCGCCGCTGTCCTGGCCTCGAAATCTGTCTTTGACTGAGGAGTAGCGGTCGGGAATGGCTCTAGAGGCCGGCCCAGGATCGCGGTGCTCGTCTCATCGGACAGGAAGTGTGGCAGAACGGAGCTCTGGAGCGCGGCCTCGACATCGCAGAGGGCGACATAGACTTGGCTCCATGTCCTAGCAGGTTTTAGCAAATGGATCGCCAGAAGGTCTTAGGAAAGGATCTGCCCACAAGAGCTTCTGGTCTCCGGTCAAGCATTTATCCAGAGGAGGAAAGTAGGCGGAGTCTCCAGCCGGAGCCATTCCACGCGTCAGTGCGCTTCAGGTTGCCGTCTCGTGGGATGTTCCATGGACTTGACGACAGCGGCGGGTAAGGGACTGAGTGTAAACAGACAGAGAGACGTGGAGTCGTGGAGTGGTGCGTAAAGTTGGAGCTCTGTTGAAAGTCGCGTCAAGCAAGCTCGAAATGTCGCGCTGCTGCTTCTGCCGCCCGCGGCTTGCTTGTTCCGCGACACCGCCGAACAAAAGTTCCTGCCCGTGACTCTTCCAACCACGACTCCTCCACGTATTCAGTGACTGCGCACCATTGTCTCGATTCTAGAGCTGAAAGGTTAAACGATCCTCTGGTGAGACGCTGTGGTCACTCATTGGAGCCGTTGACGCCATGCCCGCCATGCCCGCCCTGGACCTCGAGGACCACTCGCCGCACCACCCCTCCCCCGCCCAACCGGTACCTACAGCTTCGAATCTGGTCCTAATCGACAACTACGATTCATTCACCTGGAATGTCTACCAATACCTAGTGCTAGAGGGCGCCACGGTAACAGTGTACCGCAACGATGAGATCACCCTGGACCAGCTCATCGACAAGAAGCCGACGCAGCTGGTCATTAGCCCCGGGCCCGGACACCCAGAGACAGACGCGGGTATAAGCAGGGATGCCATCAGACATTTCAGCGGAAAGATACCTGTGTTGGGCGTGTGTATGGGAGAGTGAGTTTTCTTCCATCCCTCATCACGGCGCAAGTGACTGATTGGTGCGCCAGACAGTGCATCTACGCCGTCTTCGGTGGCCGCGTAGACGTCACCGGCGAGATCCTACACGGCAAGACCTCTCCGCTGCGCCACGATGGGAAGGGAGTGTACGTCGGTATACCGCAAGACATACCGGTAACGCGGTACCACTCCCTGGCCGGCACCCACCCGACCCTGCCTGAGTGCTTGGAGGTGTCTTCTTGGATAGCGACGGGTCCGGATGGAGGCAAAGGTGTGATCATGGGCGTGCGCCACAAAGAGCTCCTGGTTGAAGGCGTGCAGTTCCACCCAGAGAGCATTCTTACTCAGGAAGGCCGGACGATGCTCAAGAACTTCCTGCGGATGCAGGGCGGGACTTGGGTGGAGAATGAGAGGCTATCGAAGGAGGCCCAGAGCAGACCAAATGGAACCAACGGAGCTGGTAGTGCGGATTCGTACACCAACGGCACATCAGATCCAGGAAAGAAGCCCTCAATCCTCGAGAAAATCTACAACCACCGCAGGGCAGCCGTAGCCGCGCAAAAAGAAATCCCCTCCCAACGCCCCATAGACCTACAAGCAGCCTACGATCTCGACCTCGCCCCGCCCCAAATCAACTTCGCAGACCGCCTGAGGCAATCGCCCTTCCGGCTTTCCCTAATGGCCGAAATCAAGCGCGCCTCGCCCTCCAAAGGCATTATTTCTCTATCAACTTGCGCCCCTGCTCAAGCTCGCACGTACGCCCTCGCGGGCGCCAGCGTGATCTCCGTCTTGACGGAACCTGAATGGTTCAAGGGCAGCCTGGACGACCTAAAACTAGTCCGCCAGAGCCTAGACGGCATGCCCAACCGGCCCGCGATCCTCCGCAAAGAGTTTATCTTCGACGAATACCAGATCCTCGAAGCGCGGCTCGCGGGCGCCGACACTGTTCTCCTGATCGTCAAGATGCTAGACGAAGCCACGCTCAAGCGGCTTTACCTGTACTCCCAATCCCTCGGCATGGAGCCACTAGTCGAGGTAAATACGCCAGAGGAGATGCGTATTGCAGTCGACCTTGGGTCCAAGGTGATAGGGGTCAATAACCGCAATCTTGCCAACTTTGAAGTGGACCTAGAGACCACGAGCCGACTGATGGACATCGTTCCTGAGGAGACGATCGTGTGCGCTTTGAGCGGCATCGCTGGATCTAAAGATGTGGAACCGTACGAGAAAAATGGTGTCGGCGCTGTGCTTGTGGGCGAAGCCTTGATGCGAGCTTCGAACACTACCCGGTTCATCTCGCAACTCCTAGGACGGAAAAACCAGCCGCCAGATTCCGGCAAGAGGAGCCGGCTGGCAGTTAAGATCTGCGGCACTCGGAGCGCCGAGGCAGCAAAGGCCGCTATTGAAGCAGGCGCAGACCTCATTGGTATGATTCTAGTGAAGGGCAGGAAACGTTGTGTATCAGAAGAAACAGCGCTACAGATATCTCTGACCGTACACTCAACCTCGAAACCCTACCAACCCCCCCAACTACGCACCATCGCTCCCTCAAGCGAAGCAACAAGCTACTTCTCCCACACCTCCACCCACCACCTCTACCACCCCACCCGCGCGCTCCTTGTAGGCGTCTTCCAGAACCAGCCCCTCGACTATATCCTCTCGCAGCAGCGTCTCCTCGACCTCGACATCATCCAATTCCACGGCTCAGAACCGCTCGAATGGGCAAAGCTCGTCCCCGTCCCCGTGATCCGCAGCTTCAAGCCTGGGGAATCCGGCCTGGCGCTGACGGGATATCACGCAATGCCCTTGCTAGATTCCGGCGCCGGTGGGACGGGTCAGAAGCTCGATCTTAGCGAGGTCAGGGCAGCGCTGGCGGGGGATGAGGGGCTGAGAGTGTTTTTGGCTGGGGGGCTGAGTCCGGACAATGTGCAGGCGGTTGTTCGAGAGCTTGGGGATCTTAGCGACAGAGTGGCTGGGGTCGACGTGAGTAGTGGCGTCGAAGAAGATGGGCAACAGAGCATTGAGAGGATTCGGGAGTTCATCGCAGCTGCGAAGGGGGCACTGCCCGATAGTTGAGCCGTCTGCGTCGGCCAATAGAAACCACTTCAACTCATCTTGCATGTCTCAGCGGGCCTCATCAGGCCTGTCTGACGTTAAGAGTATTCTCCATCCTATACTCTATATAACTTGCCGTCACCGACTGAACCTCTCACTGGGCCCACCTAGCTTCTATCGCAACCAAGCAATAACCGTCATGAAGCAGGCGCCACTTCCCGTTCTTCCCGCATCAAAGACAATCCGAGAAGACGAACAGAAATGGTCTTATAGATGACATTGGGCTTCACGCCTGGGGATCAGTGAGTACCCTATCTACGCTTGGGCGCGTGGAGCGCTACCAGAGTTGTAATGCTAGTACTATACTTCGATTGCAGGTCTGTATGGAATGTGGAGGCTCCGATGGATCTTCCAGAGCGCTCAGAACGCTTCAACGACTGCGACTTTGTAAGTTATTCATATACACACGTTGTTCACATCAACCCTAAGAGGGAGTTCAATTGTTTGTTGTCATTCTCGACCAGCGCCGTTTAAGCTGCAGCTCCGTCGGGCGTGTTACCCAGTAGGGCACCCGGTGCAGCATCCTTTTCAGATAACTCGCCGTGCGGATCCCAGACAGCTTCAATTGCCCACATCTTGCTCTCTTTCGGCTTGCTCGCGCCCAAGAACCTGAACCGAGGATCGGCGCGATAGAACAGGGAACGCCAGTCGTCTACTTCGCGCTCGCGAGCGTTGACGGTAGTTAACATAACGAGGTCGATGGTCCTACAGCCCTCGCTATCAGTCACTCACTGTTCGTGTAATAAACAAGCGAGAGAGACCTCTTGGAAAGGCGTACCGCATAAGCTTCTCGTCCCACCTGCTCAGAACTCCTGGCTCCGGCAGTACGCCGTCATTCACAATAATTTTTGCACCCTTCTTTAAAGCCGGGATGTGATTACGGAGGATCTCAACCGCGTACTTGTCGCTCCAATTATGGAAGATCCATCGGAAAAGATAGACATCTGCATCCTTAACCGGTTGCTCCGTCAGGAAATCATGAGCCACGAACTTGATCTTATCCCTCAGGCTTTCCGGAATCTTCTCGTGAGCGCCATCAACGACTTTCGGCAGATCCTGCACGACGAAACTGAGATCAGGATAGGCACGCGCGAGCGTCACGCACGCAAAGCCAATACTTCCACCCACATCGACCACTTTCCCATTACCGATGCTCGCCCACACAGGATGCTCCGCAAGATACTCGATCTCGAACCCTTCACCAGAGCTGAAGCTCGCCATAGCAACGCCGAACCTCTTCAGGTTGTCCGGCCTCTTCCCCAAGTACTCGAACCAAGAGTCAGTGAAACCGTGTTCGATCTGCAGCGCCGTCTCTCTAAACTCTTCGCTCCGTGGCCACTTCTCCAGCGCCGGCACCGTCTTGGTCGTCACGCCCCAAAGGTCCTCGGTATGTAGCCCGACCCAGCACTGCAGTTGCGTGTCCTCGCGGAGTAAGCGCGACGCAGCGGTGTGTTCGATGGTGTTCTTCGCGTTAGCAACCTCGCGGAAGATGTTGTTGGTCATTGCATGGCGCACGAGGCGGCGGATATTAGCTTCGGTCATGTTTGTTTTCTCGGCGAGTTCGGTGTAGGTGATGGTCCCGTCCAGGGGAAAGGCGTGCGCGATCTTGTAGTGGTATACAGCATGCAGACTGAGGGTGTCATTGTGCTACAACGCTCATCTGGTGTCAGCCGATTGTGCGTGCGTAGCTCAAGCTTCGATGATTCAAGGCAGTGTACAAACACACATCCCAGGCCAGATAACGTAGTGTTTCTCTAGCACCGACGACAAGGTCACGCAGCTCTTTCGTGGCATCAATCAGCTCCACGCGCGCTTTCTGAACCTCTGCATCTTCTTTGGCAATCGGGAGTTCAGCGAGGCCATTGGCGTCAAAGGATGACTCTCCCAGCCCCTTGAGCTTGAGATATTCTGCAATCTGCGCGGTGCGTTGGAATATCAGGGTTGACAGACGTGTCAAACGCGAAGAGGAAGAGACATTTGGGGTTGACTCTTCCATGGGCATGGTCAAGGGCAAGGAGTGCACGTTCTCGAAGGTGGGATGAGAAGGATCTCAGGATCAAACCGCAGGATCCCGACAGCTGTGCGGCACAGCTGAATTCTGATGCTTCAAGTACCTGACCGATACCTGTGACAATCGCCTACATGTATTGAAACATGCTTCGTCAAGACTGGATCCACTTGCTTGCAGGAGGGGCACTTGTTAACGCTAAAGGTCGCGGGAGCTGTTCCCCGAGCCTGGTGGAGTGCACTAAGATGATGGAGGACGGGCGCGTCCCGAGACGACGCCTTTTTTGTTGAGCATCTCCAGATACGGACCCGCTTGGGATGGTTGCATCGAAGGGGACCAAATCTCTCGCCAGATTCGCGGCTTCATGGCAAAAGAGCGTGCTGTTTCTGAAAGACTTTCTAGCTGAAGGTTTGCCCTTGAGCAATTGCTCCCACGCGATCGACACCCCGCTAATGCACCAAAGGTCCTCTGATAGAAGAGGTATAGAGGATTGACTCTATGGCTGAAAGCCTCCATTGTTCCCAAGAACCGTGTGGCCCTATCTATGCCGGCTTCTGCCCGTATATAACATGCAAAGTGAAGTAGCTGTGTATCGACTTGTTCTTCAAGTCTTCTCTGACGCTCGGCAAGAAGACCTCGACTTCTTCAGGCGACCAACCCAAACCGCGGCACATCGGGCCCAAGGCAATACCCTGTAGACCGTCCATAAGAACTGCCTGGAAGTAGAGGCCTATCTTCTTGAGCGTCTTGTTTCGGGCCCAGCTGCCGATGGGCACCTTCAGCACCCGCTCCTCGACGTTGACGAAACCGGTGGCTCTCAACTTGTCTGCGAGCTTCAGCGCTGCTTGGAGGTCTGGTCCTAGAACTGCAAGCCCTTTCTGGATATAGCCAAGATATCCAGTAAGCTTGTAGTCGTCCGGCATGCTGCCGTCGTCGCACTGGGCTAAGTGGTGCATCTCTTGACACTCCATCCAGCCTGGCAGTCGTTAGATTCTGATAGCATTCTCTTGCAGACACGACCTCTCACCGCCTGGTTTGAGATGACTGTGCCGATTAGTTACTGCGATCTTAACACTTCCAAACATATGCGGGTCGCCATTACATACTTGTATGCCCGCTTGAGCACCATGTCGTAGTTTTTGAATGCCTGCGCCGTATGCCTCGCATGCACAAAATCGAAATAGTCTTTCGGATGAAGCCACTCGCTCTCGGCGTCGTCAACAACAAACCTGCAGTTTGGAGGCACCCACGATGGCTGAATGGGACTAAGGTCGATACCAAGGACGTTCGCAGATGGATATGCGTCGGCGACTGTGGTCTCAACGGGTCAATACGCCACGCTTCCCATCACCGTCGTCTGAGGGTCGCCCACACTCAATTGCCCAGATTCCAGTTCCAGTGCCTAGATCTATCACCTGCTGCGGGTTTTGAATCGGCGCAAAGTGGAGCTTGTCGCCCATTACGGAGACGGCCATCGCGTGCTTCATGTCTTCCCTGTCCTGTTCGGGCTCATCGTTCGGGAAGAGATACGCTCCCTCACGGAATTTGTGATACCGACGCCCATTTTCAAATGCATAGTCTCGTACCGAGGAAGCAAGTGAAGTGGAAGCGCGGGACCCTGCATCACTGCCGTAGTTGCTGAAGGCGCCAGAGCGCTGAGATGCGGTGTCTGATTCGGCGGCAATGACGCTCGCGGCTTGGACAGCAGCTTCGGAGACGTCTTCAGCGCGTTCTTGGACTTCCTCTGCTGTGGGTAGGGCAGGTGCCAGCCGAGTGGCTTCTGTGGAGGCTGGTGTCTGCGCCTGCGCTGTCGGGTTGGGAATGAAACTTGACATGCTTGCAATCCGATTTGTAAAGGAAAACACAGAGGAAGAGAGAGTGGAGATGAAGGAGCTGTTGAGGAGAGAAAGCGAAAGAGCTCAGGCACGATGATGTGCCGCAAGTTGGCACCTAGTTAACTACATACCGGTACAGGGCTCATGGATGGCAGTCGGCTGATGTTCTGCGGCTTGTCATCCAATGATGGCACCTTCTCTTTCGGAAGCGCAGGCCTCACGCATGCCGACCCGCTCATGTGGGAGTGTGGGCTGTTGCATGGTTGGTGTAGCGGGGCCTTGGTGCCTGGTGGTTGAAGGATCAAGATGAGATGCTCGAGGGCTGCAGGGCTTTCCTGATTGCGTGTGCGTGTCCATGTGCATGTGCATGTGCTTGCGCAGCGGCACGGCATGCATGGTATGGAGAAGGGAACATTTTGAATCTCGACCCGCTAGATATTCTTAGGATATTCTTAGATCTCTCTTGTATCTGCAGGTGAGGAGCAATCGCTCAATATACTCTGAGCTATCTTCCGCAGGCCTTGTGAGAATTTCAATTAGTCTCGGTATATACATGCCATGTGAACCCTAGCGCACGATGGCTAGGGTCAATCGACTGCCTTCTACGGAGCCTGTCGCCAGCTTGATTCTCAGAAGATCCACAACTGCAGCAAGGAACATCGAAGGGTTCTACTTCAAGAGCTCGACCAGACAGCGCAGTACACACATTAATGTTACGCATCTACTAGACGCTTGGGGCAATGATCCAGGTTTTGTAGACGTGCCTGATGCTGCTTGAGGAGGGATAGTGTGGCGATGTGATGCATGAGGACAAGGCAACAGCTGAGGGAACGTTAAGCTCACATTCGAGAGACAAAACGTGTTCCACGAAGACTGATCACCGGCACGCTTTTGGAGAGCCAAAGGCTAAATGATGCTCAAGAGGATCAGATTGCATCCAGAGTATGAAGGCCCAAGCGACTCAACATGCCTATCGCAGAAGCGGCCAGTGATGACCATGCAAAATATACGGCAGAACGGCCCCTCAAGCACAGGAGAGGGAGGAGGCTCAATATCAACAACATACGCCTGAAACACACCAGTCCGTAGTTGTCGCTCCACTATGTCCTATCCAACTTCCTCCGCAAATTCCTCGTCCTCCGCATAAGCTTCTTATACTTGTGTTTCTTCATTTTCAACTTCCGTTGCCTTTTCACACTAATCAACAGCATATTGCTCGCGCCATTACCCACGCGGTCCTCCATGTACTCTTCCCACTTCTGCTGCCGGATGCGCATACGCTCGAGAAACGGCTTCGGGACGATGATGCGCTGCTCGAGCGACTCGACTAAAGATGGATCCCGAATCTCCTTCAGCGGGGTTGTGGTGGTGGCGTAGGTTTTCGCGCCGTTGGCATCGGTAGATTCGGTCACTACTATGGTGGTCTTCCAGGCTTTGCGCTTCTGGCGCGCGGGCGGGGCCTCGCGGACCTCGGAGGGTCGCTGCTTCTGCGATGCCTTTCGCTTCGAGACTGGCGGTTCGGCATCGTCGAATGGCACGGGTGCTGGCGGAGTCCGGAATGGGCGGAATTGCGCTAGAAGTTGCTCGAGGGAGATTTGCGACTTTGGACCATCAAGATGTTTCGTCGACTCGGAATTCGACACAGAATTTTGCATTATCTCTGCTCGAAGATCCTTCTCTTCCGTGGATTTCGAAGCTCCTTCTAGCGCTTCCACCGCGTTGGACAGGGTGAACACAACGTCAGGAAAATTGTGATTCTTCTTTTCTCGAGGCTCAAAAATGGCGTTAAAGGAAGCTTCTGTTGCGGTAGTAGGTATGGTGGAGGTTATAGATATAGGGCGGTGGAGGGAGAAAAAGGATGAAAGGCCGACATCTAAGCCCAATGTTAGCTCGTGACATGGAGAATCTAGCGCTGCATGGCATACCCGACTCCTGTAGATGGTGAGTAGGAGGAACTCGAGGTAAACTGTATAGCACCCCGCTGTCCTCGTGCGCTGGTGGTGCTATCGCCGCAGCCTGTCTTGCCTTTCTCCGATTGCTGCGTCTGGAAGAACGACCTTCCCCTTCGCCCGCGGACGTCGCAGAGGGGCGCGCAGCATCTTGCTGAGGGGCGTTAGGTCCTTTCGAGCCATCGGGAGGACATGATGTCGAGGACTGTCGGCGCTGATGTGTGCAGAACGGCCTCGGAGGCGCGGCTATCCTGGTCGATGCTGGCCCACGAGCAGCGTTGGCAGAGATAGAGCACACCGAGCGTACAGCTCTCCCCGATGAGAACATGGCAGATTAGGAGCTTGCGGGTGGCGGGCAAGCCCTGCGATGTAGATGTAGGTTACCAGTAAGGTACCTTAAGTGAGGAGTTGAGGTGGTGAGGTTGCAGGTTGCGGCTACGCTGGAGCGCGGCCAGCTTCGCCAAAGCACGGAAGAAGCCGCTGCAACCTCGAGCAGCGCCTATGCCACCACGGGGGTTCAGATGGGAATTCTCATCACATATCAAGCATGGCTTCTACGAGTGGAAGAAGTGAGTGATCTCGTTCAGCAGGCCGCGAGGCTGCTGCTTCTACATGCGAGTATACAAAATCGCCAGCGCCAATCCTACGTCCCCAAATATCTGCAAGATTCCAAGCTCGACGCTTATGAGAAGAAGCCAACCCTCTCCAAAATGCCATCATCGGTGCTGGCAGGCACCGCGAGATGCATATACAAGCAGACGTATAGGAGAATGCGAGCCCCCCCAAACATGATCCAAAAAATGATATCTTCTTTCATCAAGTCATTCCGGACGCCCGAGCTCCCATCATGGCCACAAACTCAACTCACGCTTGTTTATAGGATCAGCTGGTTGAGGTTGCGCTGTACAATCATATCTTGAACGGATGCCATCGTCTTCTTCAAAAGATCTGTGTCTGTAGCGTTCGTGTAATGGACGTAGACCTCTTTCTTCGGCTGCCGAACCAGATTGCGGAACTTGTTGGCGAAGAACTCTTGTGCTGCCTCCACGTCATCGTTCTTGCCGTAGTAGTCCGGGAAATATCTGCTGATTGGGCTCATGCCGGCCGCTAGCTTCTCGCGGAACAAGTCGATCTTGTTCAGGAAGAGGATGAGGGCGGACTTCTCAAAGTACTTCGAATTTGAGATTGATTCGAAAAGCATGAGCGCTTCGTGCATTTGATTCTGCAGTATCTGTCAGCGCGCCCGCCCAGTGGCCGCGGAGCATTTCGCGAAGCTTACCCCATTCCTGTCTTCTACGAGCGCGTGGTCGTAACCACTTATTGCAACCAAGAAAAGCACGACTTGGACGTTGTCGAAGACGTGTATCCACTTCTTTCGCTCCGATCGTTGTCCGCCCACATCGAACATCCGATATGTGAGATTGCCAAGTTCGAATATTGTCTCGCTGATGCCTGTAGTCCGTAATCGTGTGCGCAGGATGTCCTGGTTGCTTGGCAAATAGTCCTTCATAAACAGGCGGTCCATGTCCGCGAGGAAGCTGGTAGGCGGTAGTCAGACAGGACAGCGTGGTTGGCATACGGATGGAGCTTACTAGCTAAGATTATCGTGCAAGGCATATTCGTTGCCTTTGAGTATGGTCAACTGGACACCTTTATCTGCCCATAAGTTGGTAAAGGCGTGCAGGCAATCCAGAGGTAGCGGGTCGTCAAGCCCGGTTTCCGGCTCCGACGCAATGAGCTCAGCGAATCTCTGGGCAGGTTCAGTCAATACGATCCAAGAACAGGCTGATGAGAGCGTGCAACAGGGTGTGCGAAGGGTGCCGTACGATGTTGTCATCATCCTCAAACTCTGTTTCCTGCTCTGTCATTGCGCTGAAGATAGTCTGAAAGGCGTTGACCAAGTTGCTGAAAATGACAACACGCCATTGCTTCCGTTCGTTCTTGCTGAAACCGTCCGCGTGTATAATTCGCATCTGCTTGAGCACCGTCGACTTTCCACTTTCACCAGCACCTGCGCCGATCAGCCCGTGCAAGGAGGGTCCCACGAGCTCGGAAGATGCTCACCCAGCAGCAGCAACTTCACCTCCCTCTCCTGTTTCTTCCTGTCCGCGCGCAGCGCCTTCTCGATGTCTTCATTCCTCCGGGACTCGGGGTCCTCTGGCTTCTTTCCAAAACACATTATCGCCATGTATGCCGGGAGTGCTTCGCGGAAGCGCAAATGGAGAGACGACGTCTTGGAGCTGCGGACAAAGGCGCGTAAGATTCTGAGACAGTCAGTGGTTTCTGTGGACGGTACGTTCAGGACGGGGTTGGTAGTGTCACGCACAAGAATGAGTGTGGTAGTAATGAATGAGAGACTATTGTCGGGCAACGAGCAGTGAATAGCGATATGTAACAATACCGACTTCTGAGGCGAACGTCTGAAATGGTGACGGGGAGACCCAGAACAACTTTAGTGAAGCTCTAGCGGCTGGATTGGACAGCGTAACCCCCCGGCGCTGCTCTCGGCAATTTTTCCAAATTAGTGACCGATGCGATTGTCGCAGGCTCGAGCTGTTGGAGTAGCAATGCTTGCACTGGCAAGGGGAGATGGCATTACAAAAAGGCGACTGGGCGGGACGGCTGAACGTCTGTCAAGCACAGCAGCGCGCAAGGCGGAGGTGATGGGTCGGTTGAGACACACGATGAGAGCCAAGTAGCTTAGGCAAAATACTCGTAGGTAAGCTGATAGGAATCCCGCTCGGTGAATACGAGAGGGCGCTGTAGTTAGAGAGCACACTTGAAGGTGTTGCTGCTCACCTGCTTCAAGGGCCCCCGAAGCCTGCACGGGGCATGATGCGCGCGCCCTTCGGTGCTTTTGGCCTTCCGCGCCGGGGGGGAGGTTCTGGGATTTTAGTCAACTAACGTTAGATCGGTTTCAGCTCCCCGTGCATTCTGGAACAGACGGCAGTCGAGAGAGAGATGGCCCTTTGGCGGACCGCATGCCGCTCTCACCCCAGCCTGAACTGACCCACATGGGGGATAAAAAAAAGGGAGAGCGGACCGGCCGCGAGCACCACGCCCCTATTGGCTTCTACTGGGCTTTGCGCCACTGATAGCTTGACCAAAAAGACTCAGCTTCCACACTAGACTGTAAGAATAGATATTCCCGAGTAACCGCATGGCACTCGACGTCCACTACCGCCCAATTCTTGAGGCCGCTCTGCAGAAGGGGGCAGGCCGATTTCCCAGGTAAGGTACGGTTGCTCGCGAGCCGACGCCCCGGTGCCTTCTTCAGCACGCGTCTCCAGCGATGAGAGATGGTTAACCAGTCTCGGGCAAGATCACCACTGAGGGGGAACTGCAGAAGTGCCTACGTCTAGCGTCTCCATGGCATGGGATCTGGTCTCGCTAGGCTGATGGGCGCATGCATGAACAATCTAAAAATCCCCGCCGTGGCTTCTCTTGACTTGAACTTCACCTCTGCCAACTGGCCCTCTATCTGGCCAAGACACGTGTGAACACCCGACCCGTACTGCCTCGTCGACGACAATGGTCTTGTCAACACCTTGGCAGCTTGCAGCGCCGGCAAATCATCTCGAGACACAAACCAGCAGGTCCTGGTCAAGAAGCAACCCCTTATGAAGCTTGACAACATGCGATTCATGACGAACCTGTAGATGAGAGCATAATTCGAGCACAGTTGACACACGGAAGGACGTCTGTCTGCAGTATTGGTCTTGCCGATATGCCAACAGCAACCACCTGCACTTGCAGGGTCTCGCAAGGCTGTTCATGTTGTTCAAATGCAACACCCACGTCTTTTTCGCAGTCTCAGCACCAAATTCGAATCATGTTTCTTCAAATCGCAGTCCTGTGTGGGGATCATGAACGGTAATACTGATACTCCTACCCATACTCTCTGAATGACGGTGTGATATACCGGAGGCAGCGTTGGGAGCGTCCTTTCCCCAGGAGATCTGGCTTGCAAACAACTCTGTAGAAGCTTGTCGTACTCTGGTCGATGTGCCGCGCGGCTTTACCTAGGGGGCTCGAGTTTCTTCCAAGGCCCGATACAAAAGAAACGCCATTCGTCGATGGGATACTACATATCATATTTCAGCCCCACCACCAGAACAGGTTCCATTTAAACACACTCCCTACCCTCATCGGATAGCCCTCACCAACTCTCTCAGTTCCCCTCCCTCCGTCCATGCTTCCTCACCTCCTCCAACCCCATTCCCGCCCCCGCCCCAGCCTTCTCCAAGCTCCCCAACAACACGCGCGGGCTGTCCGCCCAAGACGACACCTGGTGGCACGACCATCAAGGCCGGCACCACGGTACCGGGTAGGATCTTGACGTTAGAATTTATTATGCTGAAGTCGCCAAGTGTACAGGAGGCTCCGATGTGCACGTGACTGGAGATGGAGGCGGAAGAGAGGATTGTATTTGGTCCTGCTGCTATCAGCACAAAGCAAAATAGACCAGATGACTGAATCGGGGCTATTGAGGATGCAGGGGATGTATGACAACGGAATTTTTAATGGAGCAGATGATCCGACATGAACACTGCCTTTAACGACCAGCACGTCGAACAGATGATAGACACACATAAGATGGGCGTTCCTTACCGACGAAGACATTGTCCCCAACCTTCATCCCATAGTAGCGCCACGTCCCACCCGAGTTCCTTCCCGGCGGCCTCAGCACGCAACCGCTACTAATGACCGTGTAGCGTCCTATGCTGATGGCTGTGGGCGTCCGCTCCATAGTGCCATCTTCCTTCCTCTGGGGCAGTCGGTGCAGGTCGCCGCGAAGAACAACGTCGGATTGGATGACTGTTTTGCCGCCAAGGGTGATGTTGGCGGTGCCGGTGATTTGGGCTCGGCGCGAGATCTTGTTGCCTGTATCCTGGGGAAGTCGACCTAATCAGCTACGGAGAGAGGATGAATACGTATAAGAAAGAAGTCATGGTTTTCACTAAGTGCAAGAAGAACTTGTAAGGTACAATAGCCGAGAGGAATAGACTTGTGAACGGGCAGCGTTACGTTAAGAGTAAAGAAAGCGTTGACGATCAGTCACCTACAGTTATAGACTCCAGATCTGGAGACATACAAAGCAACGCTATAAAGTCTACGAATACTCGGACCTGACTAACGAGAAGCGCAACGAAAGCAAGTACCTACTGTTTCAATATACTCCCCTTTGGCAGACTTGCGCGAGGATGCAGCTGGGCGCGACATCAAGTTGTCATACGACCAGCGAACTGGTCGAGGAGTCTATGCCAGTAGTCACTAGTTATCGACGGGCGTCATACTGCTTCATCACGGCACGTTTGTTGCTTGAGATGGATGTCGGCGGGAGAAGTAAACACAGAGACACAGCACGTGAGGCAGGTGGAATCCTCAAGGCTTATCGGAGCTCTTATCAGTCATCCGAAGTGCAGCTCGGGTTGTGTACGGAGTATCACTCTGCCGCGCTTGATATTGCGGCAAGCGATGCAGAAGGAAAATACTTCATTCAGGTGTTTCACTGCTGGTTGAACGCTGCATCAACAGCGGGAAGACCCCGAAGCGTATGCCGCTGTCCCGCGATCCGTCCATTCCAATACAATCTCCATGCGCGGCGACCTCCGCAACGTGCAACCCCGACGACAACAACCCGCATCTTTCACCCGTGGAGACCTCCGACAGACTTTGCTTGAGCAAACTCTGCTGTCCCACGAGCCGCCATCGTGGATGCCGTGAAGCTTCTCCTACGTCAGTGATACCAGCGCTATATATTGCTTAAAGGGCACCACGGTTTCCGGTAGGTATATTACCAGCGACGCTCCAAGCTTCAAGCACGATGGGCACTGACCAAGGGAAACAGCAGTACCAAACCTTTGTCCAGAAGACCGCTGCTCCCCGCGCCAGGCCTCGAAGACCTGGCTTCGGCGAGTCCCACACTATGAATCCAAAGGGTTGGGTCCGCGACTTGACCGGTTATTTCTTATATGTCCTTTTAATAAGCACACTCGGCCCGCTATTGTTCGGTTTCCACCTGGTACGTGCTTGGGCCAGAGCCAGCCTTCTCGCATATAATGGAATATGCTCTTTGAATAATCAAGCTGACGTACGCGCATCTACCAGTCTGAACTCAACACCCCGCAAGATGTAATCACTTGCAAAAAGCACTCCATACACAGCACAGCTGTAGAAGACAAGCTTCCCCAATGCATACCCATGAACGCTAAGCAATGGGGTCTTGTCGGCTCAATATTCACCCTCGGCGGTCTCATCGGAGCACTGTCTGTCGGTCCGTTAGCAGCCCGATACGGCCGCCTTCGATCCATGCAGACGACCACAGTCTTCTTCATTATCGGTCCCTTATTCGAGGCCTTCGCGCCCAACATTGGGACTATGGCTGCGGGGCGCTTCATCAGCGGCATTGGCGCAGGAGCCTCTGTGGTCGTCGTACCTATCTATATCTCAGAGGTTGCACCACCGGCCGAGAAGGGCTTCTTTGGCGCGTTCACGCAGGTGCAGACCAATGTTGGCATTCTGGTTACCCAGATGTTGGGGTATTTCCTCAGCCACGGACAGTACTGGCGTATCATCCTCGCAGCTGCCGGGGGGATCGGTCTTCTTCAATTAGCTGGACTCTTCTTCAGTGTCGAGAGTCCCAAGTGGATGGCCGATCAAGGGAAACCTTCGGCCGCCAAGAAAACTCTCAGGAGGATCAGAGGACATCAGTTTGATATTGACGACGAAGTGAGCGGATGGGGCATAGAGAGCAGCGAAGATATCGAGGACGAAGAGGAGACGCTGCTGAATAATGAAGACCGGATGTCTCACCACAGCGGAAGCTCGAGCAAGAGCAAGATGGCGAAGCAGGAGATCCAAGGCATCTGGCAGGTCTTGAGGCACCCTGAGACGAACAAGGCGGTTGTGGCCGTTATTATGGTCATGCTTGCGCAGCAACTCTGCGGTAGGTCACGTCCCCTTTGCCCTTACTTTCCATGGACGAGCAATACGCACACCAGGTGATTTCAAAGCTGTTCATCTGCTTTCCAACTGCACTGGTCCGAAGAAGAGCTTTGCTGAACCAAATACACAGGCATCAACTCCATAGTTATGTACGGCGTCTCGCTCCTCGCGGACCTTCTCGAGTCCAACTCCGCTCTCCTCAACCTCTGCGTCAGCGCCATCAACATTGTCGTCACCATAGCATGCGCACCCCTAGCCGACAAACTCGGCCGCAAACCCTGCCTCATCGCCTCCATCGCCGGCATGGGCACTTCCGCCACGCTGCTAGGCATCGGCATCATCCGCTCCGTGCCCATCCTCTGCGCCATCGCTGTCCTCACCTTTGTTTCCTCCTTTGCTCTCGGCCTTGGGCCAATCCCCTTCATCCTCTCCTCTGAGCTGGTCGGACCGGAGGCGGTGGGCGCGACGCAGAGTTGGGCCTTGGCAGCGAATTGGATCGCTACGTTCCTCGTTGCGCAGTTTTTCCCTATACTGCATGATATGCTGAAGGGAAAGGAGTTCTTCATCTTCACAGCCTTGGCGGCGGTTTTTGGCGGTTTTGTTGCGTGGTTCGTTCCGGAGACGAAGGGAAAACAGACGGCGGATGAGGTTTGGGGCCGTGAGCGGAGGGAAGATTGATCGAGTGCTTAGGGAAGTTGCATGAGCGGTGCGGTAGAATGTTTCGATCATGTGTAATACCGGTCCATATTCAACCAGATCGGCCAAAAAGCCCAACCTAGTCTTGACTTCGCCGTCATGAGCGGGAGGCTACAGGCAAACGAAAAGACATACCAATTGCAAAGCCCGTCTTAATGAGACATACCGTGGTGATCTGGCCGTCCTCGTTATTCACGAGCTCGTGTCATCGCTCTCACAGGCCCCCGTGGAGGCCGCAAACGCCGGCGCCTCAGGGTGTTTCTCGTCCCACTCACAGGGGTCTAGGATCGGCGGCTCTGCACCACCATAAAGGCAGTAGTTGATAATTGCCATCTCATATGCACCGTTCTCCCACGAGTCAAGAAATCCCCCAGAGAAGTTATTCCATACGACATCGTGCAGCGATTCAAGGTGGATTGTTTCCAGTGAAAGAATGTGCGGTATCTGCTCTATGATGTTTTGCCAGAAACCCTCACGGATTGTGCAGTCTTTAATTTGAAGGTGCCGAAGGGTTGGGGAGTGTCGCTTGAGGAAGTCGATGAGGTTGTCTTGTCGGGTGGTCAGGGTCAGTGAAAGATCATTCAGATTCGGCCATGTGACATCTGCGATCACGGAGAGGAGGTCATAGTGTGTCTCTTCGGCGGGCTCGCCTTCGCTGTCGTCCTCGGTCCACTCCAGGTGTAGTTTCTGGAGATGAACAGCCTCTTTGAGGAACAGTCGAACTGATGCAGCGATGGACGGTGCGTTATCCATGTTGTACGTGATGTTCATGTGCAGCTCCTCAATATGTCGAAATGCTCCGCTCATGGCAGCGACATGCCTTTCGATCCTGTCCATGCTGACCTCCCAGCCGGGCCGGAATCGCTGGTCCCAGAAGTGTTGATTGACGTTGGTCAGCCTTAAAGAGGTCACCGGTCTCCATGACTCTCTGGCATATCCGCGATCTTGATTCATGGTACTCCTCAAGTTCCTAAGGCTCAATGCTTCAAGGAGGCAAGTCATCGGCTTGGCTCCCTCTAAGACTAGAGAGGGGCTGCGATATCTGCGCGGTGACTGATCGGAGGCGGCTTTGTGCAAGGCCCAGTTGTCGGGCGTGTGCAAAATGAGTGGGTAGAGTGAGCACCAGACAGGTTCGTGCATGGCCCTGCGGCCCCAGTGTCCGCTCGAAACGGAAGCCTGTGTCAGATTGGGAAAGCCGCAAATCGCGCCTTGTAAGATCATGCCCTCTTCATCCACGTCCCAGTTCTCCTGCTCTTTCTGCAGTCGACGGTAATTGGTCCAGGCATCCTGCAGCGTCTCGCCATCGACGGTACAACGCGGTAACTTCCCGTACATCTCGTTTGCAAGCCTGCGGGCACCGAGACCGCGATCTGGAACTGATGACAGAAACTCGGTACTCTCCATCTGCGTCCTGAGAAACTCGTTGAATGGGGGCCGAAGATCGATGTCTTGCTCCCACTCCTGCTGCGTTCCGTAGGGGGGAAGCAGATCGGCATGAAAAGTGAACGTCTTGACCATGATATGAAGATGAGGATGATTTGCAATGCAGAGTAGCTTTTCCAACCCGTACTTGAAAGGACCCATGTGAACATGCTGGTAGAGATGTGGCGTTACAACGAGTGCGAGTTTCCTGGAAGTGAGTCGGAGCTGTTTGCATGACATGAAGTCACCGTGCTCGACAATGAGCTCCAGCAGTTCGACCGGCAGCTGCTCCATGTCTGTCGTCACGATGTTGTTACAGCCACATCAGAGCAATCACAGCAAACTGGAGCTCTGGATGTCGCTGATGCAACTCAGAGCACTCACGGGCTGGCCCAGCGTTGCAAATGCCCAGGGCCTTGTCTGGCAGAGGTTTTTGTAGAAAAGACGGCGGGCGCTCGCATCGTAGAGTATAAGAAGAGAGGAAGGGAGGAAGGGAGGAAGATTAAAGCATGCAGGTGGAGCCAGGCACCAAGAGGTCGTCCAGGCATCGTGTTTCAGCCTTATAAGGCGCACAACCTCAGCTTCCCTGGTGCTTTGCCAACCACATGTCAACAAGCCATTGCGCACACAGTCGTTACCCTTTTGCTATCCTTAACGCCGGTCTGCAGCGGCCTTTGCTGCTCTCAACGCCCGAAACATGTCTTATCCTCTCACACAAATAGGAGGCAGAGGTCAGCCTTCGAAACCCCCCCCCCCCCCCCTCCGCCACGGAAACCCCCCCCCCCCCCCCCCCCCCCCCCCCCCCCCCCCCCAAATCCTC